ACTCTCTCCACTACGGCCTCCGGCGCCCCCGCCTCTGTGTCCACCTCTCCCAGGACCTCAGGCCCGCCCCCGGGGACATCATTCAGGACCAGCAGCACCCCGCCAGCCCACTCAGCCCCCAGGACCTCCCTGTCCACTCACGAGCCTCCTATTTCCACCAGTGCCGTGACCCCAACCTCACTCAGAACCGAACCCCCGACCCAACCAGCAAACTGGCCATCGGTCTCGGCCAGCAGCCAACCCACAGGACCCCCCTCCGCATCCACGCAGCACCCCAACTCAGGATCACGGCCCACCCACTCGTCCTCACCGTTGCCAACCGCCACCAGTGGGTCCACCCAGGCTCCGGTTTCGATCAGCACCCCCAAGACATCCCCGGCACAGGGTTCTCGAACATCACCCACCCAGCTGCCCACGACCACTCCTGCCACCCACACCACTGGGACCCCAAAAGGCACCACTGGGGCCTCTGAGACGCCCGCGACCAACACCCAGAGCCCCAGCAGGCCCCACACTCTCTCCACTACGGCCTCCGGCGCCCCCGCCTCTGTGTCCACCTCCCCCAGGACCTCAGGCCCGCCCCCGGGGACATCATTCAGGACCAGCAGCACCCCGCCAGCCCACTCAGCCCCCAGGACCTCCCTGTCCACTCACTTACCACCATTTTCCACCGGTGCCGTGACCCCAACCTCCCTCGGAACCGAACCCCCGACCCAAACAGCAAACTGGCCATCGGTCTCGGCCAGCAGCCAACCCACAGGACCCCCCTCCGCGTCCACGCAGCACCCCGACTCAGGCTCACGGCCCACCCACTCGTCCCCACCGTTGCCAACCTCCACCAGTGGGTCCACCCGGCCCCCAGGATCCGTCAGCACCCCCAAGACGTCCACAATCCAGGGTTCTCCCGCGTCCCCCACCGGGCTGTCCGCGACCACTCTTGCCACACACACCACTGGGTCCCCAAAAAGCACCACAGGCGCCTCGGTGACACCCGGGACCAACACCCAGAGCCCCAGCAGGCCCCACACTCTCTCCACTATGGCCTCCGGCGCCCCCGCCTCTGTGTCCACCTCCCCCAGGACCTCAGGCCCGCCCCCGGGGACATCATTCAGGACCAGCAGCACCCCGCCAGCCCACTCAGCCCCCAGGACCTCCCTGTCCACTCACTTACCACCATTTTCCACCGGTGCCGTGACCCCAACCTCCCTCGGAACCGAACCCCTGACCCAACCAGCAAACTGGCCATCAGTCTCGGCCAGCAGCCAACCCACAGGACCCCCCTCCGCATCCACACAGCACCCCGACTCAGGCTCACGGCCCACACACTCGTCCCCACCGTTGCCAACCTCCACCAGTGGGTCCACCCGGTCCCCAGGATCGGTCAGCACCTCCAAGACGTCCCCGGCACAGGGTTCTCCAACATCACCCACCCAGCTGCCCACGACCACTCCTGCCACACACACCACTGGGACCCCAAAAAGCACCACAGGGGCCTCGGTGACACCCGGGACCAACACCCAGAGCCCCAGCAGGCCCCAACTCTCTCCACTACGGCCTCCGGCGCCCCCGCCTCTGTGTCCACCTCCCCCAGGACCTCAGGCCCGCCCCCGGGGACATCATTCAGGACCAGCAGCACCCCGCCAGCCCACTCAGCCCCCAGGACCTCCCTGTCCACTCACTTACCACCATTTTCCACCAGTGCCGTGACCCCCACATCACTCAGAACCAAACCCCCGACCGAAACAGCAAACTGGCCATCGGTCTCGGCCAGCAGCCAACCCACAGGACTCCCCTCCGCGTCCACGCAGCACCCCGACTCAGGCTCACGGCCCACCCACTCGTCCCCCCAGTTACCAACCTCCACCAGCGGCTCCACCCGGGCCCCGGGATCCATCAGCACCTCCAAGACGTCCCCGGCCCAGGGCTCTCCTACGTCCCCCACAAGCCTGCCCGAGTCCACCCCTGCCAGACACACAACCTGGACCCCCAACAGCACCAGTAGGGCCACCGTTTACCCCACAACCAAAACCCAGAGCCCCAGCTGGCCCCCCAGTCTCTCGACTATGGCCTCCAGCTCCCCTGACTCCCTGTCCACCAACCCCAGGACCTCAGGCCCACCCTCAGGGTCGTCCGTCTCTAGCACCCCTCTCGTCCCCGGTCCTCCGAGCAGTAGCCCCTCTCCGTCCCTAGCGTCCAGCACCACCCCTGTATTGTCCGCTGCAATATCAGAGTCGCTTACCCAGCATCCCCTCAGCACCACAGCCACTCTGACCACCCTCAGGGCCACGGCCAGCGCTCCTACCTGGTCTACCTCCTCTCAGTCCACCACCTGGCTTTCTACTCCCCTCACGTCCCCCTCCCGTCCTCCCGGTCTCCTTTCGTCCACTTGGGGTGTGACATCCATTCCAAGTGCACCCATCACCAACCTGACTACCCAGCTGCCTGGCACCACCGGCCCGCTGTCCACTGGGGGGCTGCCCAGCTCTATGTCCTCGCCTTCCCTAGGGCCTCACCCCACCGGGGGTTCTCCCGCATCTACCCTCATCACGTCTCCTCCCAGCTCTCCAGGTACGTGACGCCTCCTTCTTCAGCACGCTCTAGCACCTGCGGGTGTCCAGCTCCCCCTCGCACCTGCCTCGATCGCTGTGCTCGGGCCTCCTGCCCGCTGCCCCCTCAAGGAGCTGTCCTGGCTTCCCCTGGGGCGACGCCTCACAGCTTTCATGCCGCGTTTCCGAGTCTCAGAGGGTCAGCCACCCGCTCCCCACAGACCTGCCAGGGCCTGCCCACTGCCTGGCCCAGTCTGCAGCTGCCAGTGTCCTGGCAGGTCCTGCAAGCCGCCCCGATGGAGGTGGGCAGAGCTCATTCCGGCCCTTGACCCAGAGACACTGAACGCCTCCCTGGTCCCCCCACAGGTTCTGGGCCAGCAGACCAGACACAGCTGCGCGCACAGGGCTGAGTCGCGCAGGGCCCTGGGAGCGGGCTGGAGGCAGCGCAGAGCAGAAAAGCTGCATCTGCCTCTGGGAACACCCCGGCCCCCAGCGTAGCTGAGCTCCAGGGCACTGTCAGCGGCCAGCAGGCTGTCCCCCACACAGCAGTGACGTCTGGCTCTGTGCAGCCAGATGGGGCGGACGCTGGGTGGGCAGGGAGACCCCGCAGGCAGGGCAGAGGTCGCAGCGGGCCTGGCTGTGTCTGACACCCGCGCCCCCTTGCAGAGACCTGTGGCGTGAGGGAGCGTGTGGAGGAGATCACGTACCGAGGCTGCACCACCAATGTGACGCGGACCCACTGTGAGGGCGTCTGTGGCTCCTCAGCCAGGTGAGCATGGCACCAGCCCGCAAGGGGAGGGGGGGACCCGCCGAGGGCACGGCCAGGGGTGGGCACGGCCAGGGGTGCGGCCCGCAGCGCGGCATGCCTGCCGGACAGCCCGAGCCCAGCCTGGGGCCTTTTTCCTGGAGCAGTGTCCTGACCGGCCCTTCCACCCACCCCATGCAGCTTCAACCTCGCCAACCAGCAGGTGAACACCAACTGCAGCTGCTGCTACCCCGTGGGCACCTACGAGAAGGAGCTCGTGCTGCCCTGCCTGGACCCCGGGGTGCAGGGCCGGCCGCTTGTGCTAACGCTGACGCTGTTCAGCAGCTGCACCTGCCAGCCCTGGCCCTGCGGGCACTAGCCCCGCTGCCCCACACTGCCCCGCCCCGCCCAGCAGCTTCTCCCGACGCAAGCACATCACCAAGGACCCCTGGACATGGCACCCCTGGGTGCTAGACAGGGGTCCCACAACAGCCCTCCATGCTAGCCCCTTCACGCTGGCCCCGCGCGGCAAGTGACAAATAAATGAGCACTGGTGACAGCAGAGGCTGCCGCGTCATCTCGCAGGCACTGGAGCCTGCGCACCGGGCGGGGGCCACCAGGACGGGTAGGGGCTGCCACCACGGGGAGGGGCCGCCGCCAGTAGCTCCATCACAGCGCTGGGCTCTCCGTGGGCGCCTGCCAGGGCCCCACCCTGTCTCAGGGCGCTCCATGAAGCCCTCCTCCTGGAAACCTGCCCCGCCCACACCTCTTCAGGGACTGACCCCTGAACCCCATCTGTGGCTGGAGCTGGACAGGGATCCCCAGCCCGGGCTGCCCCAGCCCCACAAGAACTTGGTGGGCTCCTTCCCAGAAGACCCCTTGGCCTGCCTGTCTGCTAGGCAGAGGGGGGAAGCGGGAGCCCCATCACCGCGCCCACCGCCCGGGCCCCAGCACCCGGCCTGGGCTGCGGCCTGCCCCCAGCCACAGGCAGCCCCACGCCGTGGCCTGCCAGATAGGCAGTGCTAGCCGCCCCCAGGCGGCAGCCGGGGAGGAGGTGGCGGCAACTCAAGCAGGAGCAGGAGGGACTGCTGGGCAACCACGTGCCCCACACCCGGGCCCGGTGCCTGGGGACAGGCAGTGGCTGCTGCAGGCAGCGTGGCTGGAGCTGGGGGTGGCACGGGGCGGGAGCACCCCTGCGGGGGCTCACCTGACGGTGCCCCAGGACTGCACACCCTGCAGAGCCAGGCACCCCGGGAGCTCAGGGAGCGAGTGAGGCCTGGTCTCTGGTGCAGCTGGGGTGGGGAGTGGGGGGCGCCAGCCCAGGCTGCTCGCGAAGACGGAAAGACACTTACTTGAAGTCCACAAGGAGGGTTGCCCGAGGCAGCGGGGCCGCCTCCCTGCACACTGCAAGCCTGAGGGGCTGCACACGGCTTTTGGGGACCCAGTGCTGAAAGCAGGGAGCAGTAATGTCCAGCCAGGAGACGGCTGGCTGCGGCCATCAGACACAGAGGCCCCCACTGGGGTCTGGAAAGCTGTCCATGGAGGCGACCGCCAGCCACAGACACTGGGCCTGAACCAGGACCCCAGGACAATGCCAGCAGCTTGGGGGGGCCTCCCACACCATGATGCCCCCCACACTGGGTCAGAGTGGCCCCTCTGTGGACAGCACCAGAGACCAGCTGCCGTTACAAAGCAGGAGCATTTCAATAAAACTCCAACCAAATTTTCATTTTCATTCAAACTTCCAATTTCCCTTTAATTTGTTGTTTTGGCCACAGAACTGCCCTGATTTCCGTACAGGCCACCCCAGGGCAGCTCCCCACCTGGGAGGCCAGCTGCAGTCCTGCACTGGGCCTGCCCGGCAGGGCCAGGGCGGTGGCGTGGGCCTCGCACAGTGGCGTCTGGACGGGGCCGGCCGTCGGGAGCGGCCAACGGTGCCGGAGCCACGGCGCGGGGACTAGAACTGCTCCGACAGCAGCTCACACAGCCTCTGTGACACGGCGTCCCTGCTGGTGCGCAGCGTCAGGCGGTACATCTGTGGCGGGGCAAGCGTCAGGCCCCGCCCCCGCCCACAGGCCCCGCCCCGCCCCCGCCGGGCCCCGCCCCCAGCCCGCGCCTCAGCAGGCTCGCAGGCCCCTCCACCACCAGGCAGGGGCGCCGTTCCAACCCGCCCGTCGTCAACACCAGCGCGAGGTGGATGGGCAGACAGGCATCACCCGGTGGGGGCTGGGGAGCCAGGGCTACCTCTGTGGAGACGCCCCCGCCACGCTGGGCCCCACATCACCCTCACAACAGACCCGCTGGGCAGCGTCCCCGAGCGGCCGACCTGGGCGTGGAGGTTGGGCTCGAGCCGCAGCAGGCAGCCGACCTGGGCAGTGCTGGTGTGGATGATGCCGGCCCCCACAAAGTTGGCAGGGTTGGGGTCGACCTCTTCCAGGAGCGCAGGACCAAAGCCGATGATCTGCCGGGGAGGCACAGGGTAGGCCCAGGCAGACGCTGGCCCCCCAATCCCGCCCAACCCACCAACCCCTACCCTGCCCTCAAGGGCAAACACCTGGGCCCGTGGTTCCTACCTTGGCCTTGGTGACCTCAGCGTCCATAGGGTGCTTTGCTTTGAAAATGTTCTGCACTTCCTGCTGGGGGCTGCAGGGGCGGGGTGGGGGCCGTGAGGGGCGGAGTGGGGGCTGGGGCCGCAGGGTGGAGACTGGAGGGCAGGGTGAGGCAGAAGCCAAAGGCCCCATTCAGACAGCCCCGGCCCAGCCCCGGCCCTGCCTCACCCACACTGACCGGCTCACCTGCTCAGCTGCTTCCAGCGCTGGAAGAAATCCTGAGAGGCCATGTCCGTGGGCTGGAAGAACTTGTTGAGGGTGATGGGCAGCTTGACAGACACATTCTGGAAGGTTCCCCCGTACCTGTGAGCCACAGTCAGGGAGGGAGGCGCACACGGTCAGGCAGGAAGGCCAAGACCCAACAGAGAGCCAAATTCCTGGCCGGCCAGCCTGCAGAGAGGGCGCCAGCGTGTAGGCGGGAGGCCCCAGCCTGCAGTGGGAGGTGCGGGCGGCAAGCCGGGCAGGCCCTCAGCCCACAGCCCCTCGCTCGGCCCTGGCCTGGCCCTCAGCCAAGGCTGCCACATGTGCTGTGGCCTCCTGGGCCGTGAGCGGCCCTGGCGTCTGCCTGCGGGAAGCAGGTCAGGCAGGCCATCCCACCCCCTGCGGAAGACACGCCCTTCAGCTCTGTTTTTCGCATTTGAAAGCGAGCTTTCCAGAGGTTCACCTCACAAACACCTGACAGTGAGCTGCAAGGCCCTCACTGGCCACGGGCAGTGCCGGCAGCAGCCTTGCGTGGGCCCCAGGCTAAGCCCCAGAGCACTGGCCAGGCAGGTGGCACCAGTCCCGCAGCCTCAACAGCACACACTTCTCCGCCCACCGCCACGCACCAGGCCAGCATCCACCTGGCTGGCCGCCGGCCCCTCGCCCCAACGGCCCTGGGCAAGAGACGCTGAGCTCGCAGGGAAGCTGCCGGAAGGGGCTGAGTTGGCGCCCGCAGCCCCACCTGAACTGGATGTTGAGGACCGGCGCCTCCGTGAAGTCGGACACGCACTCGATGTTGACGGCCTGCTGCACCTGGGCGCCCCCGTCCACCGTGGGATCCACGGGCTTGCTCTGCAGGCTCAGGGGTGTGCTTGTCAAGGAGACCACGGCAAGGCGGCGGGCCCTCACAGAGGGACAGAAGGGAGCATCCCCAAACCCACCCGCAGCCACGTGGGGTGGCCCCAGCCCACCACCCAGCGAGACCCAGCCGGGCTGAGCCCGGCAGCACCAGGACCGTGAAGGGAGGGCAGCGACCACCCAGCCCGCGGAAAGGACCCTGCTCGCTGAGCCAGAGCGCAGCCGCCCAGGGCGCAGGCGCAGGATATCCGCCTGGAGGCTGTCGGAGCAGACGAGCGTGGGCGTAAAGCTCAGGAGCTGTGTGGACGTCTTGTTCCCGTAGAATATGAGCATGCGCCCTGAGAGGAGACGGACAGTCTGCTGCTTGGAGCACCGGGCCTCACGTGGGGTCAAGCACCCGCCCGCTAACCAAAGGCCACAGGCCCGGGCGAGGCTCCGCGTCCACTGGCCGCCTCTCGGCCGCGCACCGTGCCAGGCCCCAGCACCAGCCCCACGCGGGGGCAGCGCACGCGGGTCTGTGCCCAAGGCCTGCGGGGACCCAGGGCGACCTGGCTGGACGGGGCTCGCCCCTGCGCAGGGCTGCTGTGCCCGAGCGAGGCCCGGAGCCAGGAGCTGCCAGCTGGCATGTCGCCCCAGGCGCCCAGCCCAGCGCACGGCACAGAAGTCCCTGCGAAAGCCTGTGGACGCGCTCACACCCTGAGTTCAGAGTGGAAACTGAGCCTCACGCGTGTGAGAAACAAGCAGCTTAGCTACCCAAGTTCGATTTTCAAATTTAAGAAACAATAAAGCCAGCCAAGCCGCCACGGCCCACAAAAGCCCCGCGCGGCTACCGGCCCTGGCCTCCGGCGCCCGCCATCTCCTGCCGACGCTGCCCCGTGGCCCCTGGGGAGGCACCGGCCCTCACGTGCTGTCCCCGTGTGGGCGCCCTCAGTGTGGAAGCCCTTCCCTCCCCCCAAATGGGCGCCGCCTCCCGCTGTGGCCACGCTGGGTGAGCCGGGTGAGGCAGCCGTGCCTGCCCTCTCTCCTGCCTGACTGGACCCAGAGATGGGGCCTGGCTGCGTGGGAGGCCTGGGGAAGACCCAATGCTCAGGCAGCACGGCCCCACCTCCCGCCCCCTGCACTGGTGGCCTCGGGGTGTGGCGCCCCAGGGTGCTGGCCAGCAGCGGCTCCTTAGAAGAGTCTGCTCAAGCCTCGTCCCCTTTCTAACCGGGTCATTTGTTTCCTGCCGTCCGGTTCTTTCCATGTTCTAGAAACCAGACCTTCATCAGACGTCCGGTTTGCAAGTATCTCCTGCCCGTCCCGCGCGAGGAGAGCTTGAGGCCGGGCCCTCACCCACCTAAGTTCTGCCGGAACTCGGACTTGAGGCCGACCTGCAGCAGCTGGTTCTCGAACAGCACCCCGTTGTTCTTGCAGACAAACCTGCAAGAGAAGGCGATCGCGTGACTCGAAGCCTCCTGCTGAAACACGGTTTGCCCGAGAAAGGGATTTCACGAGCCCCAAGGAGGGAAGACAGCCCAAAGCAGGGCCGTCGCTGCGGAGCCTGGAGCCCTGGGCCAGCGCAGGCCTGGAGCAGCACCTGCGCCAGGGCCCGGGCCTTGCCCCACCAGCCCCTGCCGGCCAGCCCCGCCCAGCCCAGCCCAGCGCCTTCCCACACACAACCCCTGCCGACCCGAGACCCACGTGCCCACCCCAGAACTGACCCCCAGGACACAAGACAGAACCACGCTGCCAGGGACCCTGCCCCATCCACACCTGGCTCACACCCCCACTGGGCCACGAGCCCACTGCAGAGGATGGGAGACGACCCCAGCGCGTCATGCGGAGCAACACGAACCGCCTCTGGGGCCGAGGGGCAGTGCTGACTTTCCAGGCCGGGAGTCCAAGGCCACAGCATGGACACCACCAGCCCGAACCCACCCACCCCACACCAGATCCTCCTCGGGCTCACAGCCCTGTGCCGCCCCATCACACAGTCAAATGCTGCCCACCGCTAGGGGCCTGGGGCCGCCAGCCCGACCACACAAGGCCCAGCTGGCGGTGGACGGCCACCCCCGCCCTTCCCCAGCCCCAGGGCGCCCAGGGCCCCGCTGAAACACCCCTGCCCGAGCCCCACCACGAGGAGGCCTGTGCTCAGCACGGGCCCTGCCAGGAGCTCGACACAGGCTGCACCAGGCAGGAGTCCAGCGTGAAGGCCGCACCACCCAAGACGTGCAGGGCCCACCGCAGGCCCCGGGGCATCTCAGGCCTGCCCCACGCTCCAGGCAGAGAGAGATCTGTTTTCAGCCAGATGTGAGATGGCTGTGGACTGGCCCCTCCCCAGCCATGTCCCACAGTAACAGAAAGTGGGACCCCCGCGGCACGGCCCCGAGTCTAGCCAGCCACACACTCCCAAGCACCGGCACGGCCCCGACAGCCCTGTCCCCACCTGGCGCAATCACCAGCGCCCGCATGCCCCTGGAGGGCCCCCACTTCTGCTGGCCAAACTCTAAGATCAGTCAGGACAGAGCCCCAGAGTGAGGGGAAAAGAGGACACGACGCCTGCGAGAGCACAGGCGCCTGTGAGCGCACAGCAGCTGGCGGGGAGGCGCAGGGCGGGGAGGCATGCGGGTGCTGGGGGAGGCGCGGGGCAGGGTGGGCAGGGGGCAGCCTCCCCAGGATAAGGGTCCTCCCGGCAGATAGCGACCGCACAGCATGCCCAGCTCGGCCCAGCTTGTGACCCGCACCAGAGGAGGACCGGCCTCTGGCTGCGCAGGCCCCAAGGGCGCGCTGGGAAGCAGCCTGACCCCCAGACAGGGTGAGGACAGAGAAGCTCGGCTACCAGAGGGGCGCCGAGAAGGAGCCACCCGGGCTGCCCACCACCCCCTCCCGGGAGCACTCGCTGTCCTCAGGGAGGACCAGCCACCCACAGAGGGCAAGGCCCGCAGAGCAAGCCCACCCAATGTGCGAGCCCCAGCACCTACGGCCGGCGACCCGAGAGGCGCAGCCCCACTGACCCGCTGACCAGGCACGGCCAGGAGCGGCTCTCTGCAGGGTGCGGGAGCCCCACTACCTGGCGAAGTTGTCCTCGGAGCCGGGAGCAAGCGGCGCCACCGTGGAGAGCGAGTCTGAGAACACGTCCACCAGCAGCCCCCCTCCAGAGGAGGCCAGAGGACCTGTGGGAGCAGGCGGGGCAGACCCCAGGCCCAGGAGATCTGCAGACGGAGAAGGCGTGGACTGGGAGAGAGGAAGAGGGCCTGCGTGTCAGCTTCCAGGAGGGCATCGACCATGGACCTGCCACACGCCCGGCTCCGCAGCGCCCTGACCTCTGAGGGCAGAGCCCCTGCTGGCAGGCCGGTCCCAACCCCACAATCTGCTGCCACAGCCAGTGCAGCCTGTGGCCCCAGCCCACAGCCATTCCAGGCTCACCCTGGCCAGGGCACACATCTGGGAACAGGTGCTGGCCACCCCCAGGAGCGGGGGGCACCGCCCTCACCAGCAAGAGACGCACTCGGGCGCGCCACACACGGGCCGGCGAGGGCCGAGGGCCCTCTGCTCAAGCTGCAGCGTCCCAGTGACCCCACACAGGCAATGCACCTGCGCATCAGGGTGCAGGACACAGCCCAGGGCATGAGAACGGTCGCCCTCCAGGACCGGCCGGCAAGGGTGCGCAGGCAGAGCAGGCAGGCACACTCCTCCAGGCCAGGAAGACCCCAGAGGGGTAACACTGGTCACGCGCACCCCAGGAGGGGCTGCAGAGGAGCCAGCCAGAGCAGACGGGGAGAGCTGCGAGGTGGGGTCATGCCAGCCTGTGCTCAGCATCCCCTCGCTAGCACCGCCCTGTTGGGGGGTCTGAGCGCCGAGGAGGGTCAGCAGGGACCCCTGCCCTGTGCGAAGCCCGCGGCCAGGCCTCGGCGGCCCCAGTGTCCCTGGCACCTGAAGGCCCACGCCAACGTTATTTAATATGGGAAGCATCTCTTGTCCAGCGCGATAAACTCGCACCCAATCAGCAGACCGCGGTGAAGCTGCCCCTCTGGCCCCACTTGCAGCGTGCGACCCACCGCCTCTTTGCAGGCCTTGGGCAGCAAGAGGAGCAGGAATCAGGACGGCCAGAGTGCCCCGCGACCACGAAGCCCGTGCCAGCCCCACAGGAAGGTGTGTCAGTGCCAGACACGCCGGCCAGGGCAACACACACATCCGCCATTGTCTCCAAGATGCTGCCCGCCCGTCCCCCAGCTCTGCCCCTGGCACCAGAGCAGCCTCACGCCTGCTCACAGCAAGCATCAGGGCCGGGGGGACAGACCCAGTCCCGCCCCCAGGCCACGCGCACTGCGAGGCGAGCATGGAACCGGCAGGCCAGTGGGCAACCCGCTCAGTACCCACGGCGTGCCAGGAACCAGAGGGCATCAGCGGCATCAGGAGCACAGCTCCGCCGGGGACGTGTGGGCAGACACCACCTGACCCAACCAGGCCTTGGGGCACCTCCTGCCAAAGCTTGAGCCACCAGCCGGGTGCCCGTGTCACAGGGCAGCATCTGGAGACGGATGATGCTATCCAGCTGCCCTTCAGCCCTCCCTGCAGCCCAGAGGACGCTCGGGGTAGCTGCACGGCGCAGCTCCCCCAGAGGCAAGGAGCTGCGTCCGAGCCAGACGCCGCCGCAGGCCCTGGGGCCGGCGAGCCCAGGATGGCTCCTGAAAGGCAGCCTGCTGATGGAAACTGCCCCCCGGGCCTGGCCCCCGCCTGCACAGAAGCGGTTTCTGGGTCCCTGCTGCAGAGAAGGCACCTCAGGCTCCATCCCCAGCCAAGCCCGCAGCCTCGCCCCCTGCAGCGGGACCCACCATGGTGCTGGCGCTGGCCGGGGTGGGCTCGGGGCCCCCATTCACGTCGGCGCTCCTCTCCCGCTTGGCCTCCTCCAGGTCGGCCGGCGCGCGCGGGCCCTTCTTCTTCTTGAGCTTGGCCAGGATGGAAGACTCGCGCTCGGGGAACGGGGGCATCTCCTCCAGGACGGTGGCCTGCGGGAGGCGGGGTCAGCAACCACAGGGACGGGCGGGCTGGGGCGGGCGGGCTGGGGCGGGGCGGGGCGGGCCCCACCAGGATGTCGGTGCTGGCCACGGTGCTGAGCCGCAGATACTCCACAGCCCGCTGCTGCAGCTCCACGTCGGCGTTCTTGAGCTGGCTGTCGCTGCGCAGCACATCCTGGATGGTGGGCTTCACCTCGGGGAAGAGGTTCACGAACTTGATGTAGGTGGACAAAAGCAGGGCCCGGGTGGGGACGCTGCACAGGTGGAACTTGGAGTGCAGGAGGTCGAACTGAACCAGAGGGCTGTGGGGCCAGAGCAGGGCGTCACCCCTCCCTCTGCGCGTCGGAGCCCCGCGGCCTGGGCAGAGAACGGGGAGGGAGGCTGGGAACGTAAGCCCACACCAGCCACAGATGCCTGCGAGGGGCCGGGAGGGGCCAGGAGGGGCGCCCAGCCCCGGGAGCGGTGTCGGGGCCCGGCCACGACTCCGCATGCCCAGCAGCGCCTGTGTGGAGAAGCTGCGGCTATGCCCCCAGCACGTGCACAAAGGCCTAGACTGGCTGGTGCCAGGAAGGGGGTGCAGGCCCTGGCCCCCAGGGCTCTCACCTGGATCTTGGGTCCCCAGCTATCAGGTTCCCAAACTCCCCCAGGATGTAGCCGCCCACTTTGACCAGGTTCTCGTGGCACGCGGGGGCCTGGAGTGCCTGTGGGGGAGCACAGGGGCTGCGACGGGTGGGCCAAACAGGCCCCAGGCCCAGGCCCCAAGAGCTCCCCTGGGGGGGGGTCAAGCTTTCCTGCAGTCTCCCAGGGGTGTCAGTCCTGCCCTGCCTGGTGCTCCAGCACAGATGTCAGCAGCCCAAGAGGGGGAGGCAGAGCCCACCCAGGACAAGGGCTGGGCCCAAGTGTGCACCCGGCTGTGGATGGGAGACGTGCCTCCCCACAGGTACACAGAGCAGCCCCCACAGGCAGGTGGGGGTGCGAGGGGCAGGGCCGGCGGGGCAGGGTGGGGCGGGGCCTGCGGGGGGAGGGGGCCGGCGGGCCTCACCTGGAACACGGTCTTGGCGGCGTAGCCCTGCACATCGTCGCGATTGATGACGATCTGGATGACGCGGTACCACACCTCCTCGCTCACGTAGTCGCCGGCCACGCGGATGAGGTTCAGGATGGTGTCCACGTACCAGGCGTAGTCCACGGCGTACCTCTCCGCCAGGATGGCCACCTTGAGCACCTGGGGGACGACCGCTCAGGGCGGTGGCCGCAGCCCCCAGGGCCACACGCAGAGTGCGGCGCTCCTGCCGGGCGGGGAGCCCGGGTGTGGGGCCACCCAGGTGCAGGGGCCTCGCAGGTGCGGGGCTCAGACGTCAGAGGAAAGCCAAGGCGGGCAGGCGTGGAGCGACTCAGTGGAGCCAGGGCCTCATGAGAGCCAGAGCAGGAGCCAGCTGCCGGCTCTCTGGGCGCCCTGTCCTCGGGGCCCTGCTCCGGCTGGCCTTTCTCACCTGTCTGCCCTGGGCCCCTCTTCTCCCCCTCCCCTGGACTCGAGACCCCACCCATTCGCCCACCCCTCAGCTCTCCAGAGGGGTCGTCCAGGCCACACCCACCACCCAGAACACCCCCAGGCAGTCCAGCACCATCCAGTCTGCTCACACGCCCACCCCCGCTGGAGGCTGGCCCGTCCTTTGTCCGCTGGCTCTTCGTGATGGCCCCAGTGAGCGCGCGGAGACATGGAGGGAGGCCTGGCGCCGCCCTCGCCCAAACACCCGTGCCCTAGCTCGCCCCGCAGATGCCGCCCTCACGCCACGCCAGCCAGCGTCCCCATGCCTCGGCCTGCACCTATCCTGCCAGATGCCCGCACACCGCTCTGGGCTGCCCCACAGAGCTCCATGCCTCTGTCCCTGGACACGCTGACCACCGCTTCCTGCAGAAGCCCTGCCCTCAGCTCCCGCTACGGCGAGGCCTCCCCGGAGGCCCCTGGGGCCAGCCCGCCTCCGTCCACCTCACACCCCCACCCACACAAGCAGGTGTGGAGTCCTGGGGTGACCCTCCCTCCTCGTGGATTGAACCAGGTGGCCTGCGACGGGACCCGGGCCATGTCCACCTGTCTCAGAGTCCCGGCACCCAGCACGTGGCTTGGGTGCACACTCACAGTGCACCTGGCTGCACAGAAGTGGACAGAGCTCTCAGTGGGGACACCGGAGCTGGCGCCGACCGGGGCTGCTGCTCAGGGATGGGAAGCAAGCACCGGCGTTGCACGGGCCACCCGACCTCTCGTTCTGGGGAACCGCAGTCCTCGGCCCACCACCACAGGCCTCGGGCCGGCCGGGCAGCCCCCACCCTCTCCCACGTGCCTGCTGGGGACTTTGGGCCAGGAGCCACCAGCCCCTTCCCGGGTCCAGGGTGGGCACCCTCTTCCAGAGCACGGCCACCTTCCTCTCCACCACTGAGCACAAACCCCCACCACACCAGGGCCCGGCATCTGGCCCAGCCCGGCCACGTGGCCACACACACTCGACCCATAGCCCAAACAACCTCCGAATGGCAATGTGACTGGCGGCGGGCTCAGGGCCTCCTTTCACCCCAGCGGCTGCAGGAGCAAGGGGGACGGCGCCCACCAAGCCCAAGGCTGCTGCAGGAAAACTCCAGGCCGGGGCCGCATGGCTGACCAGCCAGACCCCAGCCCCGCCAGGCCTGGCCCGGCACCCCTCCGCCGCTCACAGTCTGTGGGCACACCGCAGGCACTGCGGGGTGACACCCAGTCACGGAAACAGCGTCCCCCTTCCTAGGCAGAGCAGCAGGGCGGCTCTGGCTCCAGGCTCGGCTGCAGACCAGTGGGCGCGGCACCGGCAGGGCCAGAGACGCCTGCCGACCACCATTCAAGCGCTCCCGAAAAGCCTGGACTCACGATCTCCTCCCGGATGGCGTAGTCAGCAGTCTCCAGGTAGCTGAGCATCTCGGCCACGATCTGCCGGGCGCTGCTGCGGTCGCACATGGCATAGAGGAGGTCCACAGCCCGCTGGCGCACACTCACGTCCCGCTCCGTCTGCAGCAGACGGGAGGGTCACTCGGGGCGGCAGCTCTCCCAGGGCCCGCCCAGGTCCCAGGCACCCTCTCTGTCCCGCACCCCTGACTCCAGCCCACTGACCCCCTTGGCACCCGCAGGCAGCCCTGGAAGCCCCCCCGGGAGCGCCTGACCCGCGCAGCCACAGAGCACACCTGTGCACCACCTGGCCTGTCACAGTTCTCGGCAGCTGCCCCTCCACGGGCAGCCTGAGGCACAGTGCCCCACGCAGGCCACACCCACCACATCTGCCAGGAAAGGGCTCTGCCACCGCAGTGGCCCAACCATACTCCAGGGCCAGGCCCAGGAAGGAACCAAAGGGCCTCCAGCTGCAGATACCCCAGGGTCCAACTCCGGCACACCCGGCCTGCCATGCCTTTCAGCCAGCCCCTCGGGGGAGGGGGGGTGGGCCTGTACCTCCTGCTCAGGCCAGCAGGGTGTGCACTGCGGGCCAGGCCGCGTAGGCACCCAGCGGGGCTCTGCCAATTTGGGAAATTTAATGACTCGGAAAAACCGAGCTCTCTTTTGACAAAATGCTTTATACCTCTCCCCAGAAAGAGCTGTTTCTGTGGCCGAGCGTGTGCCAGGAGTCTGCCATGCGCAGCGAAGGAGCGGCTGGGCCTTCCCCTGGCCGAAGCCACGGGCCTCCCGCCCGCCCGCACCCCCACCGCTCCGCTGCACCTGCCTTGAGGGCGGTGATGACGGTCTCGATGTGGGTCTTGACAGCCTCGTGGGAGAACTCAGAGCTGGCCAGCGCGCACATACTCTCCAAGGCCAGGTAGCGCAGGTTGGTCTCCCGGTGCTGCAGGAACTGGCCCAGCTGGTTGCAGGCGCGCACCAGCAGGTTGGGCTCGCTGGGGGCAAGAAGCGTGGGGCTCCCAGCCACGGGCAGGGTGCCCAGCCCAGAGCCGAGACCCCAGGCAGCCCAGGCTCCCCTGCACAAGCTCCCGTGCAGGACAAGGCCTCGCAGAAGGGCCAGCGAGCCCAGCACACCCCTCCCACGCCCTGCCCCTGCCCGGGCTCAACGGCAGCTGCTCTGACACAGACTGTCTCCAGCGGCCCCAGCATCAGCTCCGTCCCATGAAACGACGCTTGTCAGCAGCACCGAGGGGACAACAAACCCCACGCAGGGGTTGGCACCCAACCCTCTGCGCTCCCGGGGGAACCAGACGGACATGGTGAGACTCTCACCCCTTCCTGGTGCACCGTAGCAGGATCACGAGAAGCCTCAAAGAGGCTGCCGCTGGCCAAGCTAAGTGGACAGGCGGAGGCCCTGGCCGGCACACTCACCAGGCGTTGGGGAGACAAAGAAGGGGCCCGTGGCGCCAGAGCAGACCACGTGGACCGGCTGGCTGCCCACCTGTCGTGGTGGACGATGAGGCTGATGGCCTCGAAGAGCACAGCGTTCTTGGCATTGGAGTGCTGGACCTTCTTGGACTTGGGTGGCTCCTGGGCCTTGTTGAGGACGGTCTCCAGGCACTCGGTCAGGCGGCCGCGCACCGCAGGGTCTTCTGGGCGAGACAGATGGGGTCACCACACCGGCCCGGCCCCCCACGAACCGCTCGTGCAACAGGAGGGCTCAGGCGCCGAGGTGACTGCCCAGGCAGTTTTGACGCACAACCTGCTGAAGCACCGTCTGGACCAAGAGAAAGAGACACCTCGAACAAAACAAACGTTGGAGGGAACAGGGACCCTTGTGGCCGCGGTCAGCAGAAGACGCTCCGAGGGAGGAGAATGTCGAGATCCTTCTGGGGCCCCAAGACGCGGAGTCGCGGGCCGAGGATGGGCCACACAGGAGGAGGGCCCGGCCGGTCTGCACGACCCAGCACAGGCTCAGGCCACAGCAGGCCAGGCAGTGCCCGAAGAGCATCAGGCAGAAGGAAGCAGGAGGAGGGCCCAGGCAGAAGGAAGAATAAAAGAGCAAAAGAACCATCAGGCAGAAAGAGCCGCGGGAAGGGGTGGCCCTGGCGCAGAGAGCAGATCTGGGCGGCCTGGCCACCCCCAGCCTGGCAGAGCCCAACCCCAGGAGATGCTGCTATGCCTGCGGAACGCACTGCACCCCTGGAGCCTGGAGCAGGACCAGGAGCTCGGAGGGAACCCCAAGGACCGCCAGGCACTGGCACACACCCCCACGAGGCCGCCTGGATCCTCGCAGGTGCCGGCAGCTCAGGCGGCGGCCACCTCAAGCACATCCCACCCAGCCGGCCACACGGGCTCACAGCGCCAGGACACGCGGCGCTCAGGGCTCACAGAGCGGGCGGCCGAGCTCTGGGCAGTGCTGCGTGGCCCTTACCTGGGGGTGGGTAGCACTGGAGCAGCCGCAGGAGCTTCGCAGACAGCCAAGGTGCCGGGACGAAGTAGTAGGTGTAGTCCTGCAGGTCCGTGCACGCCGAGGCCACGATCTACAGGACGGCGGGGCAGCTTGCGTGGCGTCCAGGGCGGGCGTGGGGCGGGTGCTCTATCAGACGGGGCCGCAACACAGGCTGCCAAGGTCCCCGTGCCGCACACCACTGATGGCCCCACAGGGCGAGGGGCACTGCCCGTCCCACAGGACCCTGGAGCGCCCCCGGCCCGGTGCCCTGGTGACCCAGTCACAGAGCGGAGCTGGGGTCCCTCAGAGGGAGCCACCCAGGACCCAGGCTGCAGCCCCTGCACCCCCACTGGGGCAGCCGCCCTGAGCCACCAAGCTGGAGGGCGCACATCCCTCTCCCCAGAGCCACCGCCCTGGCCAGCTCCATTCTGAAGAAGCGTCCACTAACGCCCAGCGGCCACCTCCCATTTCCAGTACCAGCAAGACAGGTGGCTCCACCCTACAAAGCTCACAGTATGACCCTTAGGGTTCAATAACCATGTTCCAGAAGGTTCTCCCTGCCACCTGGCCAGACTCAGCACAGGGCTCCTCCTGCAGTGAGGTGAGTGCCCGTTTGCTTAAGACTCTGAGGGCCCATCAGGGCCGTCAGTCACACTGAGCAGTGGGGCTGTGCCCCACACAGACAGGCGCACAAACAGATGACGCACAGACAGGTGTGCACAAGTGTGCGTACGCAGCCGGAGGCAGGGACACGTCAGCTCAGGCGCGTGTGGTGTGTGAGACAAGCTAAAGATAAAAATGGTGAAGCCAAACCCTCTGCCGACACCGTGAACAAAAACATTCCGGAGGCCCCGAGACTGCGACGAGGCCGCAAGGGTGCACAGTACTAACCACCCCCCGGCTGACAGCACAGTGCTGGAAGCGAACCCGGCAGGGGCCGAAGCCACAACTGGGGCGCCCGCAGCGACGGGCCCTGTGCAGTGGGAGGAAGCCTGAAGCGACACGCCGGCGGCGGGGGTCCTGTCCAAGCAGTGCTCAGAACTCACACAGCTCAGCAGGAGAGCCTGGAGCCCTGCTGCAGCCCAGCGGGTTGAGGAGAGACCGGGTGGAGGCATGAGCCGACGCTCACCCCCACCCGCCACAGGAAGGGGCGGAAAGCACTCCCCTGCACAGGGCAGGAGGCAGGCCTGGCAAGGGGCCCAAGGCTGCAGGGACGGGGCGCCCTCCCAGGGCCTTAGGGACGCACGCTCCGGGCAGCCACCTAGCCCACCTTAAAAACTCAGGATGGAGACACGCTGGGCCCGAGCTCCCTGTGCATCCGCCAGAGACGGGCGTCCTGAGGTGCCCGTGTGTCCCACCAGGCCCGCGGCAGCGCCATGGACGATGGCCAGCAGGGGCGCAGCCCCATGCCCTGGACGGACGCTGGGCCCCGAAGACATGGTGCATCCACAGCCAGGAGGGGGGCACCAAAGAGGGCCACGGGCACACGCCAGCACGGGGAAGCCAGGCCAGCAGTCACAGCAGACAACCCCATGGTGCACAGCCCTCCCAGACCCCAGAGCCACGCACAAACCCAGCAGGGCTGAAATAGCGCCCTGAGGAAGGCATGGACGCCAGGACAGGCTGCTGGGCACAGGGCAGCGCACATCCTCCCCGGCCAGCCCTCGGCACTGCACCCTGACCTGTTTCCTGCCGGGGGCACCTTCAGCGCCTTGGTGCCCCCGACCCCCGCACCTTGTCTGCTCAGCTGACCTGGGCCCTAGAGAGGGTGGGTGGCCGCAGTGTCTCTGGGCGCTCGGGCTGCCCGCCAGGCTTCTGTGTGGGACAGGCTGGGAGCCTCTCAGCTTTGCCCAGAATCAGTTTGGTTGCCTGAGCGGGAAGAAGCCTCCTGGTGACAGAAGGGCTGATCTAATACATGTGACGGACGGACGGAGAGCTGCGGCCACACCACGCGCCTGGAAGCTGTGACGCGGGGGGCATCCTCAGCACCATCCTCGATAGCCTGTGGGGGGCTTCCAGGCACGGGGGCCGCGGGGCATGGGGGGAGGGCCCAGGGGAGGGGCCTGCAGCACACAAGGGGACTGAGGACCTCAGTCTCTGACCAGCATCACCCCTGCGGTCAACGACCGGGCCACACACCTCGCAATCAGGAGGTGAATCTGCAAGTCGTTCAGCAAAGCAAGGCCAAGACCCGGCCCACGTCCAGCCCCGCCGTGGCTCACCCTGCTCAGCCTGGACACAGCCAACGAGACAGACGTCTTGAACTCCTCAGGGTTCTTCTGTGCCAAGGTGGTGATGAGACTTGTGGCTGCGGTCACCACACCCTGGAAGACACACCGGCCGTGGGGCTCTGCCAGGCCCCCGCTGCCCCCTGCAGCCGCCCGCACACACGCCTGGCAGAGGGCAGACTGGCAGCCACGCCCCGGCTGGCTCATCGGCCCTGCGTCCACGCCGAGCAGGGTTACTTCCCGTGCTGGCCCCTCCGGAGCCGCCAGGCACGCACCAGGTGCTGGTCGTTGAGGAGGTGGACCACCCGGGACGTCCAGTCACCCATGGGGACCAGGTCGGGGGACGTCCGGTACAGACGCAGCAGACACAGCGCGGCGCTCTGCTTCACGCTGTCCATGGTGTCGCTGGAGACAGACCCAGCCTCAGAGCACGGCCCGGGGGGGCCTGAGAGTGGGGTCCCTTCCCCGAGGCTCCCCCGAGGCTGGCCCCACGCCCCTGAGGCCTAAACTGGCAGCTCCCACCAGCCCCCTCCCGCTACTGATAGGGAAGCCGCGCGCCTGCACGCCCTCGAGTCCTGCGGGCCTGACGTTCCTCCAGTCCCAGGGACGCACCCAGCCACCAGGACCTTGGGGATCTCCCCGGCAAAGGCCTCGGCCATCTCCCGACTGCCCACGTTGGCAATGCAATGCAGGGCCAGGCCCATGAAGGTAGGGTTGCGGCTGGCCAGGTCGTTCCTGATGGCGTTGTTGATGAGCCGGATCAGCTCAGAGTTGGAGCCCACCAGCACGGAGATGAACAGGTAGCCCTGCGGCGGGAGCTGGGGTCAGGCGCCGGGGGGTGGGCAGGTGGCTCAGCTGAGACCCAGACTCACTGCCCGCCTGCCCAGGCCCTGGGACGGACACTCAGCACTGCGGTGAAGGTGCGGGCACCCACCCAGTCAGGCTCAACATGTGCCGGGGTGTGGACTCCCGGTCAGGTGACCACCAGGAGTCGGACCGTGGGGTCCCTCCAGCACCACTCGCCCAGCCGGGGGAAGCATCGTGAATGGGTGGCCTTCTCCCGGGGACACAGGGCTCCTTGAAGCCCAGCTGACCACCGCCCTCCCTGTCTGGAGCCCGACCCGGGCCGCCTGACCCCGCTGCCGCCACCCTCCCATAAGCACGGGGCAGCCCTGGGGCCCCTGGTGGATGGACGCCGTCAGCACCAGCTGCTCCCCGCCCCTCAGCTGCCACCCTGGCTGGGCGTCCCCCACCTGCCCTGGTTTCCCTTGGTGCCAGCCGAGCTCCCGCTCAGGAAGCGCAGTGGCCCGCGGGCTCCCGTGTCCTCTGCCTGGGGTTGTCCTTGGCTAGCAGAGTGACAGCCTCTGCCTGCCGGTCAGCCTGGGGGGGCGCAGGGGTGGCACGGGGGCAGGGTGGGCCTGGCTGGGAAGAGCAGCCACACGGCTCCTCGCAGGAATCCCACGCGCTGCGGGCACCGCTTACGATCTGCTTCTCCGTGTATCGGTTCGAGCTGAGCAGGTTCACGGCCTCCATGTGCCCAAAGTCGATGTCGTGGCCCAGGAGAAATATGAACAGCAGCTTGCACACGTACTTCTTCTTGCCGTAGCCATCCAAGGCCCTGTCGCCTGCGGGGGGGTGGGGGTGCTGGGGCCGCTAGCAGGGACTCTCAGCCCAGGGCGCCGGCCAGAGGAGGGTCTGCAGCCTGCTGCGCCAGCGCCTCCTCCCACCTACCATGACCCGCCAGGGCTGCAGGAGCCACGGGGCCTCCCACAACCAGCTCAGCCCTTAATCAGGCGGGAGGACGCCAGGTGACCGTCCATCGGGCAATGCTTTGGCGCCAGCCACGAGCCGGGCAGCCAGAGAAGGGCTGCACCACAGAGCAGCGGTCGCCGCTGCAGTCTCCCCACGGCTGGCACTCCGCTCACACGGCAAATGCACGTCTCAGGGGCCGTGCTGCCCCTTGCCGGAACCGCAGGCCACACCCGTGGGACACCCGCTCCCCATAGGGCGGGGCAGGCGCAGGCCAAGGACACTGCAAGGGTCTGCCTCCCTCGCCATGCACAGGGCCGGAGCGGGCGGGGCACAGGCTCCCAGGGCTGGCGGCGCTGGCTGGCGGCACCTGAGCCAGAGAGCAGCCCAGGGGTGAGCGCCCTACATCGGGCGGAGGTGCGGGGGCCACGGACTCCCACTGGGCGCAGCCAGCCTCGCCCCACCTCCCCAGCACACCCTCTCCGAGGGCTACCTGTTCAGGAGGCGGCGCACCGCATAGCGCCGCGCTGGCTGATGCCCAGGCCCAACAGGGCGCGCAGGCACGGGGGCGCCAGCGCACAGAAGCGGACCTCCGCGCCTATGAGCCGGCGGGAGCCACCCCGCGGAGGCAAAACCCCGTCCACCCCGCAGCCGGGCCCGTGGGGCTTGTCAGCACCCAGAGGCCCGCGTGGTGGACAGATGGCCACCTGGGCCTGCCCAGAGTGGACACCTGCCTGGCCATGAGCCCCCGAGGGGGCTTGCGCGCAGTCGGCAGGGCGGGGCGGGGCAGGGCGAGCAGGGGAAACACAGGGCCTCGGGGCAGCACAACCACCCCGAGGACAAGGCCAGATGCGGGATGCCCTGCCAGTCCACCGTGGGTGGACGTCCAGGCTGAACTCCAAATTCTAGAAAAAGCTAAACACACTCACCTTTAAACTTAGATCGAATGTTTGCCAGCTCTTTATTTATCCTCTTTATTTCTGCTTCCTTGCTTTTGCCTAAAAAGCAAACACATGCTCAACGCCCGGGCCTGGCCATGCTACAGACTTGGCCTCTGCCCTCCCTGTCGCGCCCAGCTGCACCCTTGGCCCCGCCCCGTCAGGGTGCCCAAGGGTTTGGCCCCTGGCGTGTCCGATACCTTCCAAGCGCCCTGTCCTGCTCACAGCCCCGCCCTTAGGCCCCTCAGGGCTAGTTAGGCCCCTGGGGGCTGGTTGGGCGCCCTGGGCGCTGGGGCCCCTGCAGCTCTGCCTCTGCAGGGAGCAAGACCCTTCGAGACCACTCGCCAGGCCCTGAAGGCCGTCGCCCCCGCTCCGGGACGCCCGCAGCCCCAGATCTCGCTCCTTCACGTGGGCGGGCCAGGAGTCCCGGCTCCGGCGTGCGGGCAGGGCAGGGCTGGGCTAGGCTGGCAGGAGGCAGCAGTTAGCGGGACGGGGCTGTGGGGCAGGCGGCGCGGCTGCCCGGCGCTGGCCGCCAGGACCGAGCCGGGGCTGCCGCTGGGGAGCAGATGGGAGGCGGGCTAGGGCCTGTCCTGTACCCGCTGTGCCGGACGGCCCGCCGGTGCCTGCGGGACCAAGACCGCCACGGGCTGCACCAGCCCCAGGAGGCCCTGCCTGGGTGACCGAGCTGCGAGGCTGCGGCCAGGCCGGGCCAGAAGCCAGGGCCCTCGTCCAGAACTTGTTTCCAGCGGCTGTGTCGGGGTGCACGCCCTGCGGCAGGGCGGCGGTGGGAGAGGAGCCGCGGGGCCGGCCGCAGGGAGCGCCGCCAGGAGGGCGCCCCGGGGACAGGCCAGAGCCCGGCCCTCCACTTCAAAATACGCTCAGACTTAGAGAAACGCCAGTCCCGGCCCGGTCCGCGCGGGAGCCCAGCCGTCGGGGGGGGGCGGGGCGGGCCCCAGAAGCCCGACTGTGGCCACCGGCCTCCCTGGCCATCTCGGAGCGCGGCGGCCACTGTACTGCGCCTCCTCGCGCGAGGCCGCGGCGCCCGGCTGTGCCGCCGCACCGGGGCCGAGATCCGCCCCGGAGCCGGGCGAGCGGCAGCGCCCGGGGGGACCACGGCCCGCCGCCTCCGGGCACGCGGGCGGCAGCGCTGGGGCAGTTTCACCTTCCGACAGATTCCCGACCCGGCGGGGGCGGGCGCCAGCTCCGCGCGGCCGGCTGGAGGCCGAGGCGCCCGCGCCCACCGCGCCCCTCCCGCGCGGCCCCGGGCCCAGAGGCGGCTCCCCGCCCGGCCGGCGCGCGGCGGGGAGGCTGGTCAGGCCCGGGCGGCCGGCCCTGGAGGCCGGGGCAGCCAGCGACGCCCGCGAAGCCGGGCCGGCCCGGTGTCTGTCTCCGAGAGCCGCGGCCGGGAGGGCCGCCCGGTCCGCCGACCTCTCCGAGCGGCCGTGGGAGGCCCAGGCGCCTCGGCCGCCGCGGGGAAGCGAGAGGCTCGCGCGGGCGGCGGGCTCGGGCAGCGGGGGCAGCGGGGGCAGCGGGGGCAGGGCGGGGGGGCGCGTGCCCACAGCGGCCGGCCACGCGCACCCCGGGCCGGAACGCGCCCCACGCCGCCGCCCCCCCCCACCGGCCGGGAGGGCGCCCCGGGGACGGCCCGCGCCCACCGCGCACGGGCGGGAGGCAACCCTCCCCCCCACCCCACCCCCGCCGCGCAGGGGACGAAGTCTCGGCGCCTGCTGCCCCGCCGGCCGCGCGAGAAGCCGCGCAGCGCCCAAGGGAGCGCCCCGCAAGGCCGGGGCGGCTCCCGCGCAGGGTCCTGCTGGGGGCGGGGCTTGACTGGGGAGGGCGGGGCTTGACTGGGGAGGGCGGGGGCCGCCGGGGCGGGGCTTGACTGGGGAGGGCGGGGCCGCCGGGGCGGGGCTTGACTGGGGAGGGCGGGGCCGCCGGGGCGGGGCTTGACTGGGGAGGGCGGGGCCGCCGGGGCGGGGCTTGACTGGGGAAGGCGGGGCTTGACTGGGCGGGCGGGCCCTGAGGGCGGGGCCACCGGGGCGAGCGGCAGAAGGCCCCGTGCCTCCGGCAGGTCCTCCCCCAGCGGGAGAGCAGAGTGGGCAGGGGCGTCGCAGCGGGGAGGGGAGTGTCCCACCCCCTGTCTAGAGCAGCTGCGGGCAGCGAGCCTCCCCAGCGGGGCCACGGGGTTCAGAGCGCGCGCGGCTGAGACCGGCCCCAGGCGCCACCCCAAACAATTCCGACTGTCGCAGGACGAAGCCCAGAGTGCCCTCTGGGGGACAGGCCTGGGGGACAGGCCTGGGGTGGGGGTCGGCCTCTGTGTCTCCGTTAGGGAAGTACCCGTGCACTAATCTATCCTCTTGTTTTTGATGCACGCCAGCCAGTCTCTTCCACCACCTGCGGCTGGGTCCCCTGTGCATCCTTGAGCTCGCCATGCACTCTGGGCACGACTCTTTGGTCAGATACATGACGTGTGTGTGTGTGTGTGTGTGTGTGTGTGTGTGTGTGTAGAACTGGGGTGCGGGCCAGAGGTGCAGGAGTGAGAGGACTCCCCAGAGACAGAGTGGGGAGCAGAACAGGTGCATCTACTGAAATCCACTGCTGAGGGGAGCAGCGGGGAGACAGGCGGGATCTGCTGCGCCCTGTGGGTCACTCCCTGGCCGGGGATGGACTTGTGCTGCAGAGGCTGGGGACAGCTTCATAGCACTGAGATTTTAACCCCTGCGCCCCTAGGGAGGTCCAATACCCTTGTTTCTTTTATCACATTTTTTGAGTTACCTTCTCAGTAGCTGCCTGAGAATTCTAGTTAACAACTTGAAACAGCTTATTGGAGTCAGTGAAAACTTTTTTTTTAGTCTTTTTTTTTAAAGATTTATTCATGCACACAAGAGCTGGGTGCAGACTAAAGGTGTGGGGTGAGAGGACTCCCCAGAGACAGAGTGGGGAGCAGAACAGGCGGATCCACTGAAACACACGGCTGAGGGGAGCAGCGGGGAGACAGGCGGGGTCTGCTGCGCCCTGTGGGTCACTCCCTGGCCGGGGACCGAACTTGTGCTGTAGAGGCTGTGGACAGCTTCACAGGGCTGGGACTAACCCCTGCGCCCTCAGAGAGGCCCGTCTGTGCAAACTTTAACGGCAGAGAGCTGCTGCTCTGACACAGTCCTGCCCCCTCCTCCCCCTACAAGTTGCCCCTCAAGCACCTACAAGTTGCACCACTCAGGCCACGGCGGCGGCCAGCGCCCCAGACCACCGAGGGCCAGGCGCGACTGGCCATCTAGGGTGGACGCAACCCGAGTCTCCCGCCAGCAAGGCAGCGCGGCCACCCGGTGGGGGGGGCGCGCGGCCCGGGGCCACCCCGGCGCTGGAGGAGGCCGGCCGCGCGCGGGAGACGGGGCGGTCGCCGGCCCGCGGGGCTCCCGCGACATCTGGACGCGAGGCCGTCGGGACTGCAGGGCCGAGGGGCCGGCCGGGGCGACGGAGCCGGGACCCGCCCAGCGCCTGTCCCGCGGGAGGGCCCGGCCGCGCGCAGGGCCTGCGGGGGGGCACCGGGGGCCGCCGCGGGCGCCGCGACGCTTGGCCGGGGCCGGGCTGTGAGGGAAGGCCGGCGCCCCGGCCCGCGCGCCCCGCAGCCGCCAGCCGAGGCCGAGGCCGAGCCCCGCCCGAGGCCCCGCGGCGGAAACAGCCTCGGCGGAAGCCGGAGCTACAGACGCCATCGCCTTGGCAACCGCGCGAGGACGCGGCGCGCGCGCCGCCGGGGGGGGCCGCGCTCCGGCCGTCGGGGGAAGGGGCGCGAGGCCGCCCCGCTCCTCGCCGCCGGGCGCCCGCCTGGCCCGGGGCCGCCGCCCCGCAGCGGGTCGCGCCCAGACGCCGTCCCGGGGGCCACCGCCGCGCGGCGGCCGCGCACCCCCAGCGGCGACCCAGGCGGTCCGCAAAGTGCGCGGTGCACGCTCGGGCCAGGCGCGCGCCCCAACTCGGCGCCCCTCCAGCCCCGCCCCGCCCCGCCCCGCCCCGCCCCGCCCCGCCCGCGCCCGCGCCCGGCCTGCGCCCCCCGCCGCCCGCCCCGCGAGGCCCCGCCCCGCCCCAGGCCCCGCCCCAGGCCCCGCCCCGCCCCTGCCCCCCCCCGCCCGCGCCCGGCCTGCGCCCCCCGCCGCCCGCCCCGCGAGGCCCCGCCCCGCCCCAGGCCCCGCCCCGGGCCCCGTCCCGCCCCAGGCCCCGCCCCGCCCGCCGGGCCGCGACCCCCGCCGGCCGGGCCGCCCCGCCACTCACAGTTGCGGATGTCGGAGATGAAGACCGCCAGGCCCCGCATCCCGTCCCCCTTCGACACGGCCGGCATCCTCGGCCCGGGGCGCGGCCGCGGCGGGCGGACCGGGCAGGAGGCGCGCGGGGCGCGGGGGCCGTCGCCGCCGCCCGAGGAGCCGCCTCAGCCCGAGCCGCCTCAGGCTCCGAGCGGCGCGCGCACGCACGCACACTCTGCGCCGCGCGCGCGCCCGACCTCGGACGAGCGGCGCGGGGGCGAGCACGTCGAGGGCGGGCACGTGGAGGCGGCGCGCGGGCGCCCCCTGGAGGCGGCCGGCGACGCGGCCCGGGCCACGCGCCCCGAGGGGCTGACCGCTGCGGACCGCTGCAGCGAGCGCGGGCCGGACCTGCTCGGGACAGGCCGACGTGGCCTGGGGCGCGGAGGCCGCGGGGCCGAGGTTCCAGGGGCACGCGGAGGACAGGGGCAAAGAGCAGGGCAAGGCAGTGGGGCGCGGCAGTGGGGCACAGGGGCCTGTCCCCCCCAATCCTTCCCACTTGCCCCCCAGCCTGGTGAGCCCGCCCTTGTCCGCAGCTTGCCGCCTCCCTTGTTAGCGGGGAGTCGGAGGCCTAGGAAGAAATGACTGCCCACCTCCCCCCCACAACCTGGGACTGCAGCTCCATCTAGAAGAGCCCCTCCACCCATGGGCCGACCCCAGGGAGCCTGCGTGGGCCCCAGGGCCCCTGTCCGGGAGCAACTGGCCTCGCTGGGGAACCATGACCTCCCCATCAGGGTGGTGGGGCCCAGACCCACAGGGAGGCCTCACCGGGGCTCCAGTCCTGCACGTTTAGCCCCACCCCCCACCCCACCCCACCCCCGTCACGGGAACTTTAAATCACGCACAGAAAGACGCAGGGCCACGCAGCAGAGCAAAATCGGCCCCTGCCCACACTCAGCCCCTCGGGCCCCGGCCTCTGTAGACGACGCTGTGCGCCGGCGTGCTGTCACTCCCACACGTTTAGCAAATGCTGCCCCTTGTCCGCCAGCGTGCTGTGATGGAGCAGGAGACTCACCACCCTGCTGCTTGGCGAACCACCACCACCTCCCAGAGCACGGCCTTTTGGCTCCCACGGTCCTCCAGTGCCCAGAGGGGGCCCTGAGGAGCGGAGAGCCCCATGCATGCCCACCCCAGGCAGCCACACTGCACCGAGGGCTTGGACAGGTGACCCAGCCCACTGCCCATCGCGGGACAGGGCCAGATGGGAGGCCGGACAGGCCAGCTGGGGCCGAGAGGGAGGGTCTTGTGGGCTGGGGGCCGGCAGGCTCCCTACCTCCTGGCAGCGCGACTGGGGGTCCCCAGGCCGCCACACCCGCAGTAGCGCCCCGCAGCCCCCCAGGGTTTTGGTGATATCTCAGTGGCCAGCAGGCTGGAGTCATGTGTCACGCACGGGAAGTTCCGTGCTCCAAGCTGTCTGAGCGGGACACCTGTCACGTGAGCCACACCCATCCAGGCACTAGTCCCCAGGGCGGGCACAGGGAGAGAGTCTCTCCTGGGCGTGGGGAGGGAGGGTCTCACAGATAAGCCCTGGTGGTGAGGCCCAGGGCTCCCTCCCACCCAGACTGCGCCTCTGGGCCCGCTGCTGGGGCGACGGGCTTCCCTCCCGTCCTCTCAGGAGTAGGCGATGGCAAGGCCTTCTAGGGCTTGAGGCCCTGAGCACCCATGGGTGCTAGGGACAGGGATGTAGCAGCCTTGAGGCCCGGTGGCTCAGTGTGGTCACCCAGAATGACATGCCAGGAAAACCAAGTCCTGGGGCCCAAGTGTCCCCTGTCAGGGGCACTGTGTGGCCATGAGGAGCAGGGACGGGACAGGGGCTGAGAATGAGGGTCCTTGGCCACGGTGGGGGCACAGTGGCTGGGACTGGAACCTTATCTCTTGCAGCCGCAGAAGTGTCAGAAGAGCCCCAAGCAGCAGCTCAGATGGTGGACTGGAGCCCCCAAAGCTGGGTGGGCAGGCAGGGTACCCAAGAACCCAGCACCACATCCACAGCGCACTCGGCCACAGTGGCCCTGTGTCGTGAGCTCCACGAGCCCCGCCCCACACAGAATGGGGAGCCTGGCCTAAGGAGCCTCAGGTGGGTGGGTCTGCAGGCAGAAGCCACAGCTCACAGGAGCACAGGCCCAGCATGGGTCGCCCACGGCCCAGCAGCGGGTCAGCAGAGCCTGGGCAGCCCACACCACATGCCACAGGGTCGAGACGCCAGAAACTCCTGGACATGCCGCAGAGAGAGGAAGTCTGGGGTTGACCCTCTCCCGGCTGCGGAACCCACCACTGGGGCTGGCGCCAGCTCCCGCTAAGGCTGGGGATGAAGGCCGGGCCTCCTCCCTCTCGCCCTGCCCTCTGCACCGCGCTGTGTGCAGCCCTGAGGCCCAGCAGGACACCGGTCATGCTGGCTGGGCCACCTGCTGTGCGGCCTTCCCTGGACTGGCCACCTGGAGCCACCCAAGCGCAGGCTGGTTAGGTCCTTGAGCCCTGGGGGCGCTACCCTGCCCCTTGCACATAGTGGGGGGACTTGGCTCTGAGTCCCCAGTCCCCACCACCTCTCCCACTCCCCGCGCTTGGGCCGGGGTTTCAGGGCTGCGGCTCCCGCTGGGACTGTGAGGATGGATCCCGCCAGCTCTGGCGGGATCCTGGGTCCTAACTAGCCTGCGCCTGCGCCCAGGGTGGCTATATCCTGGCTGATCCTGGGGCTTTGGGGTCCTGGGCACCTGGGGTGACCCGCCCACCTGGTGCTCGTCCAACTACTGCCCTGGGGCTCACGGGTCCTCGCAGGCGTCGTCAGGGCCCTTCCCTGCAGAGCCCTAGCCCTCCAGGACGGCGGCCAGGCCAGCACGCGCTGCTGCCACCAGCAGCCGGCCGGGTCCCTCTCGGGCTGGCGTCCTCTCGGGCCAGCCAGGGCGAGCTGTCGGAGGAGAAGCCAAGCTGAAGAATAGCCCGAGAAAAAGAGCTCTAGGAAAGAAAGTGCAGTGGCCATGGTGCCGGTTCTGGCCATCGGCCCGCGGGCAGTGCCCCTCCCAGTGGCCTGGCCTGCGTGTGGCCTGCACTGGTGCTGCCCACCCCAACCTGTGTCTCAACTGTCTTCTCCCGTCTCTTTTGGGTTTGCAGTAAGGAGAGTCCCCTGCCAGGCCGGGAACCCCATCCTCACCCCACCCAGGAGCAAGGACTGGCCCCCAAGTCCAAGATGACCTCACTTTAAGGCGCTTAATTATAACCACAGGGACCGTTTCCAAATAAGGCTGCCTCCATGGGTGCAGGGTGGGGACCTGGGCGGCTTTGGGGTTTGCCATTCCCCTCACTACAAAGACCAAGAAATGCAGCCCTTTTGGCTTCGTGACAGGCAGAGGCCCCCATGGTCACTGGGGTGTGTGAGGAGGTCGTGGGGGGCAGACCAGACTCCCGAGATGGCTGCGACGTGACACCCCACGCGCCTACCCCAGTCACGTGCCCTGCCCACACCAGCCTGGCAGAGGCCCGCCGCGCCCGCCCTGCACCCGCCCTTCCTGCGAGCGCCGGACTCTGCTTGTCCAGCACTAGGAGGAGGTCTCCGCCTCGAGAGGGACCTGCTGGACGCAGGAAATCCTGGCACCCGCCCTCTCCCTGGGCTTCCAGCCTGACATGGAAACGCTGTGAGATCTGAGAGCTTTGGCCACCACCAGGACAGTGGCCTGCCCCCCCCTCCTCAAACAGGAGGAGGAGGGCCTTGCCCTAGCTGGGCCAACAGGAGAGTCCCCTGCCAGGCCGGGAACCCCATCCTCACCCCACCCAGGAGCAAGGACTGGCCCCCAGGAGCCCCATGGCCACTGGGTACCCAATGGCCAGGAGTGAGTGCTCTGGGGTGCTGGCATGTTGTGGCTGCTTGAGGCCATCCAGGGAGGCAGCCTCAGCCTGGACCCTCGTGGCCTGGGCCTGCCCACACCGGGTTGGGGGCTCTGGCCGGGTGTCCCCGAGCGCAGGGTCCAGTTGGCAGTGGGAGGGTCCATCTCTGCAGAGCCCTCACCGCACAGGCCTGACCCACCCTCGGAGCCTACCGCAGGTGCCGGGTCGGCGGGGAGTCAAGGAGGCACCCCCACCCCAGAAGGAGGGCCAGGAAAGGGGGCGAGGGCGGACTTAGGATCAGGACAGACTTATACTCAGATTTACATTGCACGTCCACAGCTAGGATTCAGTTAGATTCAAGCTCAAATCCTGACTGTTCGCCCGGTAAGGCCAGTCCCACAAGCCCCGCGTCCCTTCACAGGCCGCGCCGCCCGAGGCCTGGAGGTCTGCACAGCTCCAGGGCTCCAGACTCGGGGACTGGACGTCCTCCGCATCTCCAGCTGAGCCAGAGGGAGGACCACGCGCGCTTCAGCACCGGCAGGAAGACCCCAGCCGCGCGGCGACTCTTCAGATCCAAGCTGCCGAGCTCCGGACTCCAGGGGCTGCCCCCCTTCTCGGGAGCCGTGCCCGCCAGGCCCTGGGCCACCCCGGGGCCTCACAGCTCCCGGCCTGAGCGGGTCCTCCCCGGCTCTGCGCGCCGCGGCCGCCGCCCAAGGCCAGGCCCCGGGAGACTGGGCAGCCGGCAGGAACTGGGAAGAGGCAGGGGCGCGGGCCGCAGGGGAGCAGCATTCACCCCAGCAGCACCCCTGGGGGGGCGTCCCCCCTTCTGCCGGCACCTGCAGGGAATGGCCAGCAGCGGCCGGGCCGCCTGGCGATCAGGCCGCCGCCTCACTCGGTCCAAACCAGCGGGGCGACTGCCTGGCGGGGGCTCCAGCGCGGGGCGGGGACCGAGAGCGCTGGGCTTCCGACACGACACGTGGGCGCCGTCGGCTGCCCAGGGGGAGGTCGAGGCCCGCGCCCAGGCCGGGCAGCCCCGAGGACGCAGCGCGCCGTTACACGCGGCCCGAGCCTTCCCGCGAGCGCGTGCGCCGGGAGGACAAGGGACCGCGGCCCCGGAGCCCCGCGCCCCCGCGCCCCGGGCCCCGCGGGGCTCCGCTCGGCGTCGCCCCCTCCCAGCCCCCGCCCCGACCCTCGTAGCCCCGCCCATCGGCGCGAGGCCCCGCCCCCGAGACACGGCCCCGCCCCGCCCCGAGGCCCCGCCCCCGAGCTGCGCGCCCTGCGCGCCCTGCGTGCCCTGCGCGGCGGCGGAAGCCGGCGTGGCGCGCGGGCGGCGAGCGGGCCGGGGCGGGACTTCCGGCCGCGCGGCCGCCGGCTCCGGACGGGAAGGTGAGGCCCGCGGCGGCGGCGCGGAGGCCGGGCCGGGAGGTGAGGGGCCTCGGGCGCGGCCGGGCCGCAGGCGCGGCGGGGCTGTGGCCTCCCGAGACCCGGGGCCCGCCCGGCGCGAGCCTCCCGGCAGGGCTGGCGGCGCCGGTGCGGGCGGTCACGGCAGCCGTGGGGCGCCGGCCCCGGCCCGGCTGCGCGCACCGAGCTCCGCGGCGCGCGGGGGCCTCGCCGCCCTGTGGGTCCCCGCGGGCAGCCGCCGAGGGGCCCGCGCCGCCCGCCCTGGCTGCTGCCGCGCCCGTCCCTGCCCGCCGGCCGCCCCCCCCCCGGCGCGGGGTCGCCCGAGGCCCAGGGTCGGAGCCGCAAGCGGAGCCCCTGCGGGTAGGCCGGACGGGCTGCCGGGCGCTGGCTGCAGGCGGGGGGGCAGCGCCCGCTGGGCCCCGGCAGCTCCTGATCTCTTCCCACCTTTAGCCACCCTGCCGGGCCCGGGGCCAGGGTGAGCGCCCTCCCTCCTTGCTGCTCCCGCCCACGTGACCCTCACCCCGGCTCTGCCACCCTGGGGGAGCGCCTCGTTCTGGGTGTCTGTCCGGGGCCTGCATCAGCCCCTCACAGCTGGACAGCGGCCGTCAGCCCAATCAGCGGGTGGGGGGGCGGCCTTGCACCTGCCGTTTCGCAGCCTCACCGGGCACGACAGCAGCTGCAGCCCCCGGCACTGCAGTAGCGCCCCGTGGGGGCCGCTGAGTGGGGGGCCCCGTGTGCAGGGTGTGCTGAGGGCATCTGTGTCACGGGTTGGCTCTGCTCCCCTCTCGCTGCTCCCTCCTGTGGGGCTCTCTCGCCCTCGGTGTGTAGGGGCATCTCAGGTGCAGGGAGAGGGCAGAGGCTCCACGTGAGCCCACCCGGGCACTCTCCCAGCTCATTTCTATGAGCTGCTCTGCTGACCGCTGGCCTCTCATCAGGTCTGGGCGCTGCACCGATGGAAGAGGAGGAGCTCCCTCACTCTGACTTCACATAGACGGGTGTCTGCTAGCTCCTGTGCCTTCCCTGGTTTGCAATTTGCACTGGCCCTTGTGGCTGGACCTCCAAGTGGCCACTCTCGCTGGGCCTGCAGGTCTGAGCTGGTGGAAGACCTCTCAGGACAAGCCAGGGCCCGCTGCCCAGCCCAGTGCCCTGGGACCTGCCCTGGGGACAGGCCGTGTCAGCAGAGGGCGGCCCGACCCACGTGGGCATCACGGCCCACCATGAAGACACTCCTTGGCATGCTCTGGGTGGTGCTGGCCTGCGGCTCTGTCCACACCACTTTGTCAAAGTCAGACGCCAAGAAGGCCGCCTCCAAGACATTGGTGGAGAAGGTAGGGGCAGCCTGTGGGTGACTGGCTGGGGTGGCACAGGTCCCCCCGCCTGTGTCTTCTCCCCTGAGCCCTTGGGCTCTGGGTGCTCCCAGCAGCCGGTGCAGGTCAGCGGGGCCTGGCGCATATCGGGCTGGCGACCGGCTTTCCACCTCGGTGGGGCATCCGCCCAGGGTCCCTGATGTCAGCCTCGCTCCAGACCCAGCTCTCAGACAAGCCGGCGCAGGAGCGGGGCCTGGCAGTGACAGCCGCCCGGGCCGAGGACGTGGTCCTGGAGCACCGCAGCTACTGCGCAGCCCGGGCCCGCGAGAGGCGCTTCGCAGGAGATGTCCTGGGCTACGTGACCCCGGTAAGCCCCGGGCGCCAGGCGGGCGGGCCAGCTGGGGTGCGCAGCTCAGCTGTCTCCATCCCCCCAGTGGAACAGCCACGGCTACGACGTCGCCAAGGTCTTCGGGGCCAAGTTCACGCGCATCTCGCCCGTCTGGCTGCAGCTGAAGAGACGCGGCCGCGAACTGTTCGAGGTCACGGGCCTGCACGACGTGGACCCAGGTGTGGCGGAGCGGGGGCCGTGCTGGGTCCCCCGGGGCTCCAGGAGGGGCAGCGGTTCCCTGAGGGGGCGGCGTGGGGGTCCGGGGAGGGCTGTTCTGGGGCGGTGCCTGTGCTGACTGCCCCCGCCCCACAGGGTGGATCCGAGCCCTCCGGAAGCAGAACGGGGGTCTCCGCATCGGTGAGTGGGTGGCGGCGGCTCTGCCCACACGTCCCTGGGGCTCAGAGCGAGGCCCTGGGCTGTGCTGGTCTCCCCGCTCCTTCCCCCCGCCCCGTGGGTGTTCTGGGCTCAAGTGCTGGGCCCGATGGGGGTGGGGGACGTGGTGGCACCCACAAGGCCTGGGAGGCAGTGCAAGGGGAGCCGCGGAGGGGCCCCACCTCTCCGTCCCTCCCGACAACCCCTGGGCGCCTGCCGGGCCATCAGGCTGGGCGAGAAGCTGCCGTGGGGGAGGCCGAGGCTATGGTGTCCCTCTGCCCTCCAGTCCCGCGGCTGCTGTTTGAGGACTGGACCCACGAGGACTTCCGGAGCGTGCTGGACAGCGAGGATGAGATCGAGGAGCTCGGCAAGACACTGGTCCAGGTGGCCAAGGTGAGGCTCCCCTCCTCACATTCTCAGCCATGGGCTCCTGCGGCCTGGCAGCCAGGGAGCCTCCGGGAGCCGGGGGGCAGGCGGGGAAGCACATGAGCACCTCTGCTGCTGGCTCTTGTGGGGACACCTGTGCCGCCCCCTAGCTCCTGGGCCGCCATGGGCCCCGGCCCACGTGGGTGAGTGATGGGGCCGTCTTGCAGGTGGGCAGAGGCCCTCACTGTGCCGCCCTCTGCTTCTTCAGAGCCAGCACCTGGACGGCTTCGTGGTGGAGGTCTGGAGCCAGCTGCTGGGCCAGAAGCACATGTGAGTGGGCCAGGTGCCGGTGGGCGCTCCGCCTTCTTTTACTCAGGCTCTGCTGAGGGGGCTACGCCACAGTGTCCAACCTGCGCAAGGCTGGGACTGGGGGGTTGGCCACTGTGGGGACGAGCAGTCCGATCCTGTCATCTCTCTTTCTGCCTGTGAATGTCGCCCAAGTCAGGTCAGGCTGCGCCCCCAGAGGGCATGCTGGGTGGGAAGGGAGAAAGCTGGGCCAGCCCTGGAGGAGCTCCTGGACCTCTGGGGGTACAGCTGCCCCACCCCGAGGTCCTGCCGCCCTGAACTCACTCGGAAAGGCTCCTCTCTGCTCGTGCCCTAGGGACCCTGGCGGCCGTGGGGGGAGGCTGGGGCAGCGGGCTCTGTTCTGGTGACCTCAGGCTCCGGGTCTCCCAGAGCCCAGGAGAGTGATCCGGAGGAATCCTGACTCTTGTCCTGGCCTTGCTCAGCCACCTGTCTGGATGCCCCCAGCCTGGTGCCCCGAGGCAGTGACAGGGCGGTCACAGGGCTCCATACTCCGGGCCACCATAGGGGTCCCTCAGCCCTGGATCCTCCTGCCAAGGTGCGGGGCTGTTGGAAGCTGTCCACAGCGACGCAGCAGCACCAGCCCCCGCGCCACCCACGCACCCGACCCTGCTGTGGTCTTTTGCAGGGGCCTTGTCCACATGCTCACCCACCTGGCCGAGGCTCTGCACCAGGCCCGGCTGCTGGCCATCCTGGTCATCCCGCCGGCCATCACCCCAGGGTGAGTGCACTGCTTGGGGGCTGGGGCCCTGGCCTGGGGATCTGGGGGGTAGGCAGGGCCCGGTGGGCGCCTCCTGGGCGTCCAGCTCCACACCTGGTCTGCTCACAGAGGCGCGGGCACCCCAGGAAGGCGGGCCCTGGCCAGGTGCAGCTGGGCTTCAGGCCTCCTGGGCCTCAGCACGGCTCCTGGGGCTGGGGGCCCGAGTTGCCAGCGGGTGGGGCCTGCGGGCTGGGCAAGGGAGCTGACTCTCCGTTGGACCTGGACGCCCGTCACTAAGGGCGAGTTCCCTCCGGGCGGGTGGCCGAGCGGGGCTGGCGTGCTCACCTGCAGGACTCACCAGCCCGGCCTGTTCACGCGCGAGGACTTCGGGCGGCTGGCGCCCGCACTGGACGGCTTCAGCCTCATGACCTATGACTACTCCACCGCGCAGCAGTGAGTGGGTGTCTGCCCGGGGGCCAGGGGACCCACTGGGGACGTCCAGCACGCCCAGGAGGAGGCCCTGCCCAGGGCAGGTGCTGCCCAAGGCTCCTCGGTGGGCCGGGTCTGGCCAGCAGGAGGGACCCACGGGAGGCCGCAGCCCTGCACCCTCCCCGCAGGCCCGGCCCCAACGCCCCACTGTCCTGGGTTCGCGCCTGCGTCCAGGTCCTGGATCCTGAGGCCAGGTGGCGAAGCAAGATCCTTCTGGGCCTCAATCTCTACGGCATGGACTATGCAGCCTCCAGGGATGGCCGCGAGCCAGTGGTGGGGCCCAGGTGCGTGCCCCAGCCCGCGCAGTGGTGGGAATGGGCGCCATGTCGGGCTTGAGGGAGGGGGTCGTGGGCTGCCGCCTGCCCTGCACCCCAGTCTCGGAGCCACACGCCCCGGTCCCTGTACAGTGGCCACACTGGGCCCCGCTTCCTGAGGAGCTGCCCCCTGCTTTCCTCAGCAGGGGTGGCTGAGGGCCCCTTTGGCTGAAGCGTGGCTCAGGCTGAGGTGCCCACACCTTGCCCTGCAGTGCCCGCCCACACTTGCCCACCCGGGGCCCCCATGGGAGTGACAGCCTGCAGATGGATCAGGGTGCCAGGAGCAGCCTGCCCCAGGGCCCGCCCCCAACGGGGTCTAAGGTCTGGGCCTAAAGGCGGCTCAGGCCCCCAGTGCCCGTCGTGCCCCGGCCTTCCTGTCTGAGGGTCACAGGCGGCCCCAGCCAGTGTGCAGCGGTGCTCTGGGGCCCTGGGGTGGCCCCATGGGTGGTGGCAGAGGCGCTGAACCCACCGCGTGACCTCCCCAGGTACATCCAGATGCTGAAGGAGCACAGACCCCGGCTGGTGTGGGACAGCCAGGCCGCCGAGCACGTCTTCGAGTACAAGAAGTGAGTGTCGGGGGGCGGGGGGGGAGTGGCAGGGGCCGGGGGGTCCTGGGGTGCTGACGCCAAGGGAGAGGGGCCTTCCTGGAGGGAGGCGGCGGCACCTCTTCAGCAGGTGTCCTCCTCTTCCGCAGGAGCCGAGGCGGGAGGCACGTGGTTTTCTACCCAACCTTGAAGGTACGCAGGGCTGGGGGCTGGAGCCAGGGGTCGGGGGGCCAGGGGTGTGGGGGGGAAGGCCGGCTGCCACGGGGCGGGGCTGACACTGCCTTCTGCCTGCAGTCTGTGCAGCTGCGGCTGGAGCTGGCCAGGGAGCTGGGCGTCGGGCTGTCCCTGTGGGAGCTGGGCCAGGGCCTGGACTACTTCTATGACCTGCTCTAGCCGCGGCTGCGGCCGGCGGAATACAGGCTGCTGTCTCTGCATCGTCTGCTGTGTCCTTGGCGGTGGGCAGGCGTGGGTGCTGCTGAGAGCCAGCCCGGGCTGAGCCCAGGGCCAGGTTGGACCCTGTGGGGTGCAGTGCAGCCCTGCTCCCCATGGCCACCTGGGGGCACCGGGGCAGCCTGGCTGCGGGCAGCTCGCTGCTCACTGGGATGCGCAGGAGCTCCACGGCTCCCCTGAATATTTGGGGTCCTGGGGCACGGTCACGGCTCCTCCCCTGTGGGGCAGGGACCACGACAGCCTTGGTTGTGCTCAGGAGAGGGGCCCTGCAGCACTGGCCCTTGGCCAGAAGCCTCAGAGAAGGGCCTGGAGGCACACGCTGGCCTAGCAGGGTGCACCCTTGGGAGCCCTGTCTCTGCCAGCACCTCCCCCACCAGTGAGACCCTCAGCCCCTGCTCCCACACTGTCTGCCTCAGCCCCCAGCTCTGGGGCAGAAGCTCAGAGCCAGGATGGTCTCAGGTTGCACGCATCCGTCTCTCCAGCCAGGCCAGGTGCTGAGGGCCTGAGGCCTCATGGTGTGCGGGCGGGTCATGGCAGTGGGGGGTGGAGAGCGGGTGCCGCCGCAGGGAGAGCTGGGAACTAGAGCAGATGCTCCTCACGAGTGAGAAGCCCCCAGCCCCCTCCGGGCTGGGAGCTGGTTTGATGCAGTGACCGTCTCTCCCTGAGCCCAGACAGCCCAGTTTATTTGCAAAATCCATACACGGGAGGCGGGCAAAGTCCCAGACAAACAGGAATAAAAAGTGTGGGCGACACTGGGGCGAGCTGGCTGGATGGGGGAGCCAGGATGGGGGTAGAGAGGTATGGCGGGGTGTGGTCCTCGGTGGGGCCCCAGCCCGCCTTGAGCACCGGGACCCTGCCTAGCCAGGGCCGGGCGGGTGGGGACGCTGCCGTGGGGATGTGGGTGTGGAAAGTGACAAAGCCTCTGGCCAGAGCACGCGCCCAGCTGAGTCAGGACCCCCACGCTGGTTGGCCAAGTCTGGTGGGCAGGCAGTGGCTTCTGGTGACTGGTCCTGTGCAGCAGAGCCGGCGGGAGGCATCTACCCGCAGGAGGCGTCCGCCTTTGCCACCTGGCAGTACATGGTCATGGCGAAGGCCAGGCCTAGGAGCTGCAGGGACATGCGTCTAGGCGGCTGCCCCAGCACTGCACCCCACCCCGCCCTCAGAGTCTGGCTGCCAGGGCTCGCTCTGCAAGCCACTTTGGGGGCTGTGGGCGCCAGGCTGCCACCACCCCCCAAGAGGAGCGACGGTCCCCGCGCCCTCCCCCCACCACAGCTCTGCCCAGCGCTCCCAATACTCCAACTGTAGAAGCCAACGCTGGCTGGCACCGGGTTCCCGAGACCACGTCTGTGGCTCAACCGCATGGGCCTTCCCCAGAGCCTGAGACGCCAAAGGTCACCACCCGTGGAGGTCATCCAGGCTGCCTGCCCCACGCACCAGGCCCTGCTGTTTTGCCTCACGGGCCCAGGCGGCCTCGGCCAGACAGTGGGGTGGCGTACCTGCACCAGCGCCGTGCACAGCCCAAAGATGCCCACGGCCAGCAGGTTCTCCTGGAGCCACGCCTTCACCGTCGAGTAGCACGGCTGCAGGAAGAGCCAGCCGCCTCAGTCGTGCTGCCGGCGCCCCGCCCTGCCCGGGGACCGCCCGGCGCTCACCGCCTTCCACCAGGTGCCGGGCGCGTGCAGGCCGCAGCTCTCACTGAACTCCAGGCAGCAGGAGTCGGGCACACGCGTGGCGTTGTAGACCTCAAACCAGTCGGTGTAGTTGGAGACCCCGCAGCAGCGGAACTGCAGAGAGGGGCGAGGGTGTGGGCGCGCCCTGGCCCTGCCCCCACCGCCACCCTACCTGCACTCACGTCGGTCTGGATGATGCTCCACGCGTTGGTGAGGCCCACGTTGCCTGGCGTGCCGTACAGGTGCAGCCCCTTCTTCAGGTCTCGCTGGGCGTACCTGTCGATCTGCGGACACGGCCGCTGGACCACCCCCTCCTGTGCCCGGACCCCACCCCGAGGCCCTCTGGGCCCCTCCTGTGGCCCGGCCCACGCGCCCTGCTGGCATCCGCGGCCTAACTTGCAAGTAAACACGTAAACTGGCAGTCTTCCCATCAGAGTCCCGTGAGCTTGCGTTGCGCCTGGACGCCACCGGCCCAGAGCCCCGCAGTGGGCCCCGCCCCTCGCCCAGCCCCGGCCTCACCTGGTCAGTGTAGGCGAAGAAGAGCACAGCGGCCGCGGCCTCCAGCAGGAACACCAGCAGCAGCAGCACAAAGAACTGGGAAGCAGAGGGGTCCAGCCTCAGCTGCCACCCCAGCCGCCCCCAAGGCCACAGCTCCAGACAGGCGCCCGGTGCTGCAGGCCCCCGGGGGCCTGACCCGGAGACATCTGGGCTGCAGGGTCGTGCTCGGCTGTGCTCGTGCCCCCCAGGGGCCCTGGCAGGGCCTATGAGGGACCTGACGGTAGAGATATCCAGACCCTGGGTCTCAGCCCACCGGGGAGACCGGCACCCACTCAGCCAAGTCCCCGCTTCTGCACAAACCTGCCCCCCTGGGGCACCCCAGGCAGCGCTGAGCAGGTGGAGTGGGCAGAGGTGGCCAGGAAGCTCTGGGGGCGCCTCCCTGCCCCTGTGGGGCCTGTGTACAGAGCTGGGTGCCTGGCCGGGCCAGGGCGGCAGGCACTAGCCTCTACTGGGCACTTTCCAGTTTGATCCCCATTACCGTGGGCTCAGGTTGGGTGCTAGGGAAGAGCCACACTGCAGCCCCGGGGTGAGGCCGGGGAGCTGAGGGGTGCTGGGATACCTGGGGAAGCCACAGGGATGGGAGGACGTGGCCCCACCCAGACCCTAGAGAAGGGCCCTCAGCATAGGGGGTCCCTGAGCCGGCCTCAGTGACCCAGTCCCAGCGGGTGGGGGGCGGGGGGCTTCCCTTCTCCACTGATGGGCGGGGCGACCCCCAAAAGGGTCGTGGGGCGGGGCGCACGAGTGCCCCGCCCAGGGCCGCCCACCCAGCTCCGGCAGCCGCAGGGAGCGCCGCAGGCAGGACACCCCGGCCAGGCCCCAGCCCCAGGCCACTCACGGTCAGCAGCAGGCACTGGTTCTCCTTGATGGCCCCGATGCAGCCCACAAAGCCGATGGCCATGACGAAGGCGCCGGTGACCATGAGCAGGTTGGCGGCCGACAGGGACGGGAAGGAGGCGGACAGGGTGGCGAAGTTCCCCTGCGTGGCGGCCAGCCACACGCCCACGCCCAGGATCCCGCAGCCGCCCAGCTGGCCGCGCCGGCGGGAGAGGCACAGTGAGGGTGCAGGCCCCGCCCCCCGGGCCACGCCCACTTCTGTCCCGGCCACGCCCCCTCTGCGCCACCGCCCCGGCCCCGCCCACCACCGCCCGGGCCCCGCCCACCTCTGCCCCACCCGCCCGGGCCACGCCCGCCTCCGGCCCCGCCTGCCTGTGGGCATCTCCTGGCCACGTCCACCCCACGGGCCTCACCCTTCCAGTCTGGCCAGACCCTCAGGGCTGGTCCCTCCTGCACGCCTCAAAACACAGCCACTGGGATGGGGGCCCCACCCCTGCAGCTTGGCCACACAGGGCTAAGGGGGTGCGAGTGGGGGCTGAGGACGCCCCCTCCTCCACCTTGGACGCAGATGGGGCGCAGGCGCCTTCACCACCAGTGACCCGGTAGAGGGAGCCTGGGCTCCAAGGCCTCCCGAGGTCCGCGTCCTCTGGCCGCTGTGCCCACACTGCCCTCAGGCTGCATCCCGTCCCAGCCGGGAGCAGAGCAGCTGGGAGCCCCACAAGGCCCCGCTCCCTAAAACCCACCTCCCAGTGGGTGCCCAAGGACACCACACGCCCAGACCCAGGGGGTGCCCATCTGTTCCTCCAGTGCCTCTGGATAGCTCCATCTGTCCCCTATTAAAGGCAAGCCCAAGCCCCCTCCCCCAGACTGCCCCATGGCACCAGGGCAGGGCCGGCGCCTCCCCCAGCCCCTGCTGGAGCTCACTGTCATGGCCCTCCTGGGGCTCATGACCACCAGCAGCAGCCGGCGAGAGGCTGGAGGGCAGGCAGGTGGCGCCGGCCTGGAGGCAGTGCCCGCGGGCAGGGCTGAAGGGGCGCCGTTCTGGCTTCACAACTCAGGCTGGCCACAAACAGAATGGACCCACACCCAGCAGGGGCCAGCAGAGCCGCAAGCTGACCGCACCTCAGTCCCGCCCCGGGCTTCCTGGTGTGCTGGGGAAGGCGGCAGCCCTGGGGCCTCTGCAACCCCCCAGGGCCATCTGCATCATACAGCCCAGCCCAGGTCAGGCCCGGCCTGGATGCAGGGTCCCGCCGGGAATGCCCAGCCTAGCCCAGGTCAGGCTCACTCCCAGCTCACAGGCTTAAGGCCACCATGAGCCCTACTGGGCTACTGGGCACACTCACACCCCATTTTCCAGACAAACTGAACCCCTGTTAGAAGCAGAGGCAGCAGGGGGCAGAAGGCACCCCCACCTGCTTGCCCCGCAGCCCAGCTGGGCAGGCCCCCACAGCCAGGCACCTCAAGAGCCCGCAGACACCCATCTGCCCAGGAGCCCTGGGGTGCACCATGCAGTGAGCCTGACGGGCGAGGGTGCCATTATTGGGGAGCAACCCGCTCTTGGGTCGTGGGTGGTGCCAGGGGCTCAGCCCGGCCTCCCTTGGGACCTGGGTGGCCAAGAAAGAACCCCAGCTGGAGCACCCGCTACCCGCAAACTGCCCAGTCCCCCACCACCCACGCCTCCGGCTCCAGCACCGCACGGGAGCACCCACCGCAGGGCGCAGGCCACCCCAGACACACCGCCCACAGCCCCGGCACCTCAGAGGGGCCCCTCCAGGCCACGTGCCTGTGGGGCTGCTGGGAGCAGGGGCCTGACCCGGCCAGCCAGACCACACAGCCTGGGCTTCCCGTCCATTGCTGGTCGGAGATGAGACAGACCTGCACACCAAGGCTGCCCCACCCAGCGTGGCTCCTGCCTAGGGCAAATCCGGGAGACTGGCCAGGCTGGATGGGGGCCGGGAGGGTGCACTGGGACCTGGGGGGGTGGGGGGCGGGAAACACCAGCAGCCATGCTGATTGGAGGGCCCTGCTCACAAAGGGGCTGGGGCCCCGGAGCCAGGCAGGTGGCTCTACGAGCTCAGCAATGGTCATGCCCCTGCCTGCAGGCGGGAAGGACCGTCCAGGGCACTGACCTCAGGATGGCCTCGTGGCTGGACACCGGCTTCTGAGCTCTGGGCACCACCTTGTGGAGGGGCCCATCATCAGATAGGGGCACAGAAGGGGCAGGGAAGCCATCCCCACCCACCCCCATGCGACACCCAGCACCTTTGGGGTTGCAGGCCACACAGGGCCCCCACACCTCCCGAGGGTGGGGCTGGAGCCAGACCCTAGGCGCTCAGGGCGCAGGCAGGGAGCACTGTCCCTCATGCCTGCTGCCTGCCCCAGCGCCCCCACTGCACCAGGGCATAGGGAGGGCAGGAGTGGGCACCAGAAGAGGAGGACAGCTGGGCGTAGGGAAGGGGCTGCGGCAGAGGCCCCACCCTGGGGGAGATGCGGGCGGCACCCCCACGTGGGCTCCAGCACAGCCCCACACAGGGCCGTGGGTGCAGCTCTTACTGCAAGTTGACAGGAGAACTACAACCTGGGGTGCAGGAGAGCGCTGGCCTCTCCCACCCACAGCAGCCCAGATGAGGCCAGGAGCAGACCCCAACCCACGACTCCAGGGACAGCTCAGCCTCCAGCAGCCAGCGCAGGCCTGGCACTCAGTGAGCCCATGCCACACCCCCCAGTGCCCCCCTCCCCCTCCCCTTGCTTGAAGAGTGTCAGGCTGGCAAAGGAAGGGGCTGTGGGGCGACATGGCAGGGTGCTGGCCAGGCCTCCTGCTGCCCCCCTGGCCACAGAGCCCAGTTGGCAGATGGCAGGGCAGCTGGACATGTGTCTGGAATGGGGCAAGCGGCCGGTGCCCGCAGGGGCCGAGCCTGTGCCCAGAGCCTCCGCGGGCAGGCAAAGCTGCTGGGGGGACGTGCCCCACCAGCCCAGGACGGCCGCATCCGCATCCTCCAGGGGCCGTGCGTGCCCTGCGCTGAGACGCATCCTGTAGATGCCCAGGGGGCCTGAGGACATGAGGGGCTCAGGACCCTCGGGGCTGACGGAGCGTTCCCCCCTTGACTGGATGCTGTTCTGAAACGGCGAGTCTGCCCGCGGGCTTGGAAGCGATCGATGCTCCTAACCAGGAGCCGTGGGGTCCCACCCCCACCCCGGCTTGCGGCACGAGCGCCCAGGCTCAGACCTGCGGAGGCCGGGCCGGCGCGGAGCCCAGAAGGCAGCCAGGGGGACAGCACCCCCAAGGGCCGCCGGGCTTGGAGGCCTCGCCCTCGCTGCAGAGCCCAATCTTCTCTGCAGAGGCCCAGCAGCCCGCCCCGAACCCCCTCCCAGCCTGGACTCAGAGGCTGGCTCTGGAGCACCAGGGAGCAGCTGACATGCCGCAGACAGCACCCAGGTGCCTGGGCTCCACAGCGGGGCCAGCAGCTGACCGACCATGGACCCTCCAACCATGGGGGCCACCGCTGCCTCCAGAACCGGCCTTGCTGGGAATGTCCCCACAGCAGGACGGGGCCGGGACCTTGAGCTGCCCACAGCAGCTGCATCCCGGACAGCAGGGTACGGCGGACTCAGCCCCACCCCTGAGACCCACGCAGACCTAGCAGAAGCCGGGCCACAGGGAGAGCCACCTTCCCTGCCAGCTTCCCACCTTCCTCCAGGGGCGCTGCCCAGACCGGGGAATGCTGGGGCACCCGCCGGGGGACGCTTTGGCCCGAGCCAGGGAGGCCTGGGCGGCTCCGGGACAGCGGTGCAGGACGCAGGCCAGGCCGGGCAGGGCAAGTGACCAGAGAGCGAAGCCCAGGCAGAGGAAGCCAGAGGCACCAGGGCCCGGCTCCCCCAGTGCCGCCCTCTGCGGGGAGGGCGCAGAGGGCACAGTCCAAACCTCTCCCCCGCACACAGCCGGAGCCACCCCGGCTGCATGAGCACCGCACAGTCCTGAGCCTCCCAGCCCCGGCTCCCAGCAGGGCTGGGCTGCAGGGCGGGGACAGGATAGACCCAGGCAGGGTCTGGAGGCCCTGCCAGCCGGAACGCCCCCTCCACCCATTGCCCAGGCCCCTGCGGTCAGCTCGGGGGAGGCAGAGACCACCGCCCAATGGGAGTGGCAACGGGTGGGGGCGCGATGCTCTGCTGGCGGCCCGGGGTGTGGAAGGAGACCCTGACCACCTCCGGGATCTGACCAGTGCCCACCCCTCCTGCCCCCCGTCAGTCATGTCCAGGCCTGCCAGCCACCACCGTGGGGACGCCACAGCCGCCAGCTCAGCCACCTGCCGCCGTGTCCATCACGCGGCCCACGACACGCTGACCCTGCCAGCTGGCCCCACCCGCGAGTGGAGATGAGCGCCCCCCAGCCACCGGGTCCGGTCACCCTCTCCGCAGCGTCTCCCAGAGAACCAGCCTTGGGCTCACTCCTCTGAAGACGGACATCTGGGGCCCGGGCTGGCCATCCCTGCCCACCACCCCTACACTCCTACCCCCCAGGGGGACAGAGAAGGCAAGGCCAGGAGGGAAGGAATGCCGGAAGGGACGGGGCTTCTGGACCCCTGGCCCGGGCTGGACTATGCAAGTAAGCATGCCCGCGGGGAGCCCGCGGCCACGCCCCCGCGGCACGGGGAGCGATGACCTTGGCAGCCGGGTCCCCAAGCTCCGGTGCAGCCAGCAGCCCGGCCGGCCCGGCCGGCTCCCCCCTGACCAGCCGCGGCAGCCGCCGCCCCCCGCCCTGCAGGTCCCGGCTGGCGGCAGCTCTCGCAGACCCGCCGGTCCCGGGAGGGGGGGGCGGGGCAGGCCCCCCGGGCGCGCCCCGCGGGCAGCGACCCCGGCGCCCGGGGGCGCAGCGCTCCGGCTGCAGCGCCCCGCGGGCGAGACGCCCCCTGGGAGCCCCCGCGGCGGGGCCCGCGCCGCCCTCACTCACCCAGAAGAGCAGGTTGAAGGCGAACATGAGGAACTTGACGGCCCGCAGGCAGCCGCGCGCCATGCCGCCGCGCCGCAGCTCTAGGAGGAGGACGAGGCTCAGGTCCAGGTGGAAGACCACGCACCGGCCGCCGCGCGCCCGGGGCCCGGGGCCCGCGCGCCGCCCGGCCGAGGGGCCGCCGCCGTCCCCGCCGCGCCCGCGCAGGCTGCCGCCGCGCCGGGGCCCGCCGCGCGCGAAGCCCGGGCCCGCGCCCTCCGGCGACGGGCTGCGCCGGCCCCGGGCCTCGTCCGTGCTCGAGCGGCGCATCGCGCGGGCGCCGGGCCCCGGCCGCCGCTCAGCGCCCGCGCCGCCGCCCCCGGGCGCCCCAGGCCGCCGGCGCGCGCTCGGCCGCTCGCGCCCCGGGACCCGGCCGCCGCCCGGGGCCGCCGCAGCCGCCCGCCCGCCGCCCCGCCGCCAATCGGCGCCCCGCCCTCCGCCCCGCCCCGCCGCCAATCGGCGCCCCGCCCCGCCCCGCCCCGCCGCCAATCGGCGCCCCGCCCTCCGCCCCCCCCGCCACCAATCGGCGCCCCGCCCTCCGCCCCGCCCGCCGCCAATCGGCGCCCCGCCCTCCACCCCGCCCCGCCGCCAATCGGGGCCCCGCCCCGCCCCGCCGCCAATCGGCGCCCCGCCCTCCGCCCCGCCCCGCCGCCAATCGGCGCCCCGCCCCGCCCCGCCCCGCCGCCAATCGGCGCCCCGCCCCGCCCCGCCCCGCCGCCAATCGGCGCCCCGCCCCGCCCCGCCCCGCCGCCAATCGGCGCCCCGCCCTCCGCCCCGCCCCGCCGCCAATCGGCGCCCCGCCCTCCGCCCCGCCCCGCCGCCAATCGGCGCCCCGCTCCACCCCCCCCGCCGCCAATCGCCCCGCCCCGCCCCGCCGCCAATCGGCGCCCCGCCCTCCGCCCCGCCCCGCCGCCAATCGGCGCCCCGCCCGCCCCGCCCCGCCGCCAATCGGCGCCCCGCCCCGCCCCGCCGCCAATCGGCGCCCAGCCCCGCCCCGCCGCCGCCAATCGGCGCCCCGCCCTCCGCCCCGCCCCGCCGCCAATCGGCGCCCCGCCCTCCACCCCGCCCCGCCGCCAATCGGGGCCCCGCCCTCCGCCCCGCCCCGCCGCCAATCGGCGCCCCGCCCCGCCCCGCCGCCAATCGGCGCCCCGCCCCGCCCCGCCCCGCCGCCAATCGGCGCCCCGCCCTCCGCCCCGCCCCGCCGCCAATCGGCGCCCCGCCCTCCGCCCCGCCCCGCCGCCAATCGGCGCCCCGCCCACCGCCAATCCACGCCCCGCCGCCAATCCACGCCCCGCCCACCGCCATTCCACGCCCCTCCCCGCCCCCGCCCCGCCGTCAATCCACGCCCCGCCCCCGCCCCACCGCCAATCCACGCCACGCCCCGCCCCGCTGCCAATCCACGCCCCGCCCCCCCGCGCCCGGCCGGCGTGGGGGCGACCCCGGAGCGCACCGGGAACGCAGAGCGCGGCGGCCCGGAGGGGCGGCCCGGTGGCCGTCGCGGCCGCCGGGGAGGCTCGGGCCGGGGTCCCCGGTCCGGCCCCGGCTGCGGACCGAGCGCAGCCGCGCGGGGGGCAGCGAGCTGGGGGCGCGCTCCCGAGCAGCCGCCCCCCGCCGCGAGAGCGCACAGCGCGGGCCCCCGCGACAGCTCGGCGGGGAGCGGCGCCCGCTGGGGCGCGGGGCGGTGCCCGCGGCTGGCCCCAGTGGAGGCGCAAGGAGGGCGCTTTGGGGAGCCCTGGTGTGGGGGTTTCAGACTTCCAGGGAGGGCAGACACGCAGGGGAGCTGAGCCGACCCGGAGCCGGAGCCGCAGGCAGGCGCCCGGAAAGCCGGCCCTGGCTCTGCCCCCGGACCCCCGCCGCGCGGCCCACCCAGCCGTGCCAGCCCAGCAGGCCCGGCCCCACCCCCGCTCGCGCACAAGTGGCCCCGGGGTGGGGGCTCGCACCCCCTGTCCCTGGCCATCCCCAAACGCTCCAGGGCGCCGCGGCCACCCGAGACACAGCCCTCAGCTGTGCCCCTGGCACCCACCCCTGGGGGCAGTGGGCCTCTGGGCCTGGGGGCAGGATGACAGCCGCACCCCCACCCGTCAGGCCCAGGGCCCCAGCCACGGCCCGAGCTGCCCGGTCACCACGGCCCGTGGCAGTGTCAGCCCCGCGGGCCAGTCCCGAAGCTGCAGCCCAGCGTGGACAACTCCCTCCAAGCCCCAGGGAGCTGGGCAGCAGCCAAGGGGGGGCCGGGACGCAGCCAGAGGAGAGGCAGGAGGGGAGGTGAGTGGAGGGGGGAGGAGAGGAGGGCGGGGTAGGGCAGGGGGAGGGGAGGGGCGCCCCAGGGTCCTCTGGCTGTCTGGAACCCAATGGAAGCCCCCAGACCCAGCACAGACCGTCCGCTCCACTGCCTGGGAACAAGGGCGTCTGCTGCCCCTGGAGACCCCCGGGCCCCAGCAGCCTCTGGCCTCCTTGCCCCGCCCAACTCAGCTGCCCCAGGCTCCGAGTCAGGCCTGGCAGGAGACGGCCTGTCCCTGAGGAGCCAGACCTGACCCGCCTGCCCGCAGCCACCACACCCAGGAGAGCTCAGTCCCGGGTGGACGCCAGCCCATCCCCTGCCCCTCTGAGCCCAGGACAGGCACCGGCAGGGAGGGGGCGGAGGGCAGGGAAGGGGTCTCCAGGGCAGCCCCTGAGGGCCCGCAGGGGGCCAGGTTGGGAGGGGGGACAGTGACTGCGTGGGCTGGGCCCTCTACCCCTGACTGCCCTCAGGGTGCTCCCCGCTCCCTGCAGCCCCAGCCGCCAGCCCTGCACCGCCCTCCCCCCGCCCACCCCCGCCCACCCCGCAGCAAGAGCGAGGATGCAGCCCAGCTTGGAGGCTTCCCTGGACAGCCGGACCCCATCCCAGGGACCCCACCCCAGGGCCATGTCTGAGCCCAGCCCCTCCCACACAGGAGTCCTCTGCGTGCCCACACGCCCAGGACGGCCTCTGGAGCAGCCGCACGCAGGGGTCAGACAGGGATGAGCAGGAGGCGCCCTCAGTGGGCTGGGGGGGGGGGTACCTGGGCGTGGCCGGGAGAAGTGGCCTCTCAGCACCCTGGAGGCTAGCCGCCAGGCGGTCAAGGAGCCAGGGCGGGCGGCACTGTGAAGGATGGAGGGGCAGGATGGAGGCCAGGCCAGGCCCTGGCCGGAGCAGGAGGGAAGCAGGGGCTAGACCAGATGGGGGGTGGGGGGGGCCATTGGGGCTCCCGTGCTCACAGACCCACACCCCCCAGGCCATGTGCCTGCCCCCACCCCCCGCCAGCCACCCCCAGGCCAAGGGTACCTCCTCCTCCCTCAGGGATTGCCAGGAGTGGGCCCCAAGGGGGTCCCCCAGTGCTGGGTCCTGCCCCCCACACCTGGCCCTCAGGGCCAGAGCACCTCGCTGGTTGCGTCCTCCAGCCCCAGGAGAGCCTGAGCTCCGCTCCCCACGTTCCTGGAGGGGTGTGGCCCCTCAGGAGGGAGAAGGTGCACCCCAACCCAGGGGCCAGGGGCGCCCTGACCCCTCAACAGCTGCTGTGCCCAGAGACACGGTGTCTGTCGAGGAGGCAAAGAGTCAGGGAGATGCCCCCCACTTTCTATGCTGACCCCCTCCCCAGGGGAGGGAACCATCGTCGCAGAAGGCAACATCATGTGACTCTCGCACCCCACAAGCCCCCGCTGGGTGGGCTCTGCCACCCGGACCTGGCAGCAGAGCACGGCCTCCTGGGCCGGCCCCGCACAGTCCCACCAGCACCCCGAGGCCCACACCCCGTGGCCCAGCACCCCACCGCCACCTGTGGGACATACTTCCAGTCACAGCCCAGGCAGCCAGTCCCTCCGAGGAGCGTCCCAGGGCCCCCACTGGCATCTGGGGCAGCCCCGTGACCTCCAGACTGACCCGAGGCCCCAGCCCCCAGGCTGGGACCCCAGAGAGCGCCCACAGCCGGCAGCAGAGGCCCGTGAGGCCCAGACAAGTCCCACCCGCCAGCCGGGCTCCTGCGCCCTCCAGGCTGGGGGAGGCACGGGGCCACCAGCACTTACCAGGTAGACCAGGGCCCCACTGAGACGGAGCAGCTGGAGCAGCTGCCCCAGAGCCGCAGAGCTCACGGTGGGGGGCGGGGAGGGGGTGCCACCACCTGAGCCCCACAGCAGAGGGGGGCTGGGCCCAGAGGGAGGGCTGGGCAGGGGGCGGAGAGCGGAACCCAGCCTGCCCACCCTGGGCCCCAGGCCTGCGGCTCTGAGGAGCCGGAGGCCCCCCGCCAAGGCAAACAGGCGCTGGTGTCAGCCCTCCCGCGCCTGGCTCCCCAGCGCACACCCCAGCCTGCCGGCCAGCTGGGCCACACCCCCTGCCTCCCACCCAGTCCAGGGGAGCCGTCCCAGTGCAAGGGGCCCCCAGGACCCTCAGGCCTTTGCTGGAAGGGCCAAGGTGGGTGGGAGGGGTCCGAACCAGGCGGGGGAGTGCCTCCCACCCCTGCCGGCCCCAGAGCCAGACCCTCGCCGTGGGTGGGAGACCCCCTCCCGATAGCCAGCCTGCCGCCAGGCCCACAGGGCACCCCCGAAGCCCTACGCTGGGCGCTGGGCTGAGGACAGGGAGATGCCACCCGCCCGCTGGCCCAGGGACGTCAGGCGGGTCAGCATCCGCTGCTGGAGCACCGCCCCCCCAACCCAGGGCTCAGAGCAGCAGGCCGACGCCCCCCAACCCTGCCAGGCCAGGACGGGCCCTTCCCCACGCAGCTCCTGGCTTCACCGCAATTTCCAGATGGGGAAACCGAGGCTGGGACCAACAGCCAGTCTGTGGTCAGCTGACACCCAGGCCAGGCCAACACTGCCGGAGGTGGTTTCCAGGGCAATGCCCAGGGCCCTGGGAGGGTCTTGTGCCCTCCAATCACCAGCCTCCCATCCCCTGTCCGCCCTGAAGTGACCGCTGTGGCAGGAAGTGGCCATCGGGCTCCAACCAGTGAGCACGATCCTCCTCCTTGCACCCCCGCTGTGGGCAGGCACCCCACCCTCCAAAGCCAGCACCCTACTCTCCCTGCTCCCTCTGCAGCCCTCCCTGGTCTGAGCCCGGTTTGTTTGCGCAGACTGTCCCCCCCCACCCCACCCCGGGTGCCCTGGGCTCTTGCCCGCCCCTAGACACACAGGGGCATGCCCTCAGAGCCTGGGCAACGGACTGGGCTGACCTCCGAGCTCTGCAGGGGCTCCAGGTCTAGCTGCTAGGCCAGAGGGCCCCAGCCAGCCGTGAATGGGGGCAGCGCTGGGCTGGCCCCCGCTGCCATGCATTTCCCATGGTCCCTCCTGGGAGTGAGGAGCTGCAGGCAGGGGCGGGGAGAGGCCCTGCTCCGCCCAGAGCCACAGTGCTCTCGGAATCCCAGGAATGTCCACTGGGCTGCAGTGAGGGTGGGAGGCTCTTCCCGCTCTGTGCCAAGTAAACAGGGCCTGCTGGAGCAGGGGTGGGGCCTGGGCCCCTCCTCCAGGCAGCCCTCTGCCCACCCTCAGAAGGCCCACCCGGCTGACCACCCATCCCTCCCGGCTCACCTTCAGGCGGGCTGCAGCCTTGGTGGCTGCGCGTGGGTCTGCCCCAGGCCACAGTGACTCAAGGGCCCCCAGCCTGCCCCCTTGGCCCAGGACAGGATGTGCGTCCAGGCGGCCTGGGGGAGGGGCAGGGAAGGGGAAGTGGCCTCAGCTCGTGGCTCTGCACGTGGCAGGGTGGGGGTGGCAAAGGCCACTAGAAAGGCCTGCCAGAGTCCTGGCAAAATCCAGGCGGGCAGCAACCCTGGACCCCTCGGCCTCCTCTGCCTCCCCAGTCAGGCTGGCGGCGCAGGTAGCCCCCGACGGCGCCCGGAGCAGGCTGGGGATCCGCCTGGCCCGCTGGCCGGGCGTCACAGGTGGCCCTTTGCAGCACACCTGCCCCCGCCCCCGAACGCGCCTCCTCCAGGGAGCCTTCCCTGCTTCCTGCCGCCCCCAGCCGCCCCAGCCCGGCTCCCCGTCCCCGCCGGAGTCGGGCCCATCCTCCCTGCGGGTCACCGCAGCTCAACCGCCGGCTCGGCCTGCAGCTGGGCAGAGGTGCAGCCCGCGCCTCCACCCGTGCCGTCCCAGGCCCTGCCGGCTCCCGCGACGCCCCCTCTCGTCCGGGGCAGCCTGGGGGGGCCGGCGGCTCAGAGGACACCAGTCCCGGCGCCCCGACTGGCTCCGGCCTCCGCGCCCGCCCGCCTAGGAGGCGCGATCGCGGGCCCCAGCACAGCCGGGCCGGGCCGGGCCGGGCCGCGATCCTCGCCCCACTCGGGCCCCCGGGGAGGGGCGGCGCCGGGGAGCGGCCGGGCCCGTCGGGTTGCGGCGCGGGCGAGCGCGCGGGGGCCCGCGGGGGCCCAGGCCGGCCGACCCCTTCCCGGCGGGGCAGGAGGGCGGCGGCGGACGCGCCCGGCCACACCGCCCCGGGGCGACGCGGCTCCGGGCCCCGCGGCTGTCAGCCGGGCGGGCACGAGAAACGCGAAGCGCCGCCGCCGAGCCCCGTGGCCCCGCGCGGACGCCGTAGCGCGGACTGTACCAAGCGGGGGCGGGGGGCGCCTCCGACTCCCGCCGCGCCCCGGGGCCCGCTGCGCTCGGAGGGGCCCGCGGCGGCGGGGGCGGGGGCTGGGGGCGGGCGGGGGCGGGGGTTTGGGGGCGGGCGGGGCGGGGCGGGCGGGCGCCGCGACCCCCGCGGCGTGGGCGCGCCCGGGGCGGGGCGGGGCGGGCGGGGCGGCGCGCGGAGCCGAGCGGCGGGACGGGGACGGGGACGCGGACGGGGCGGGCGGTCGCGGCGCCGCCATGATCATCCCCGTGCGCTGCTTCACCTGCGGCAAGATCGTCGGCAACAAGTGGGAGGCCTACCTGGGGCTGCTGCAGGCCGAGTACACCGAGGGGTGAGCCGCGGGCCCCGCGGCGCCCCGAGCGCTGCGCCCGAGCGGCCGGCTCCGCGGGCGGCGGCGGCCGGGCCTGGACCGGGGCCGCCCCGGGGTCCGCGGCGGGCCCGGCCCCCCCTCCTCTAGCGGCGCGCGGCGCGGGTCTGCCGGGGCCTGCGCGGCCGCCGCGCGCGCCCTCGGCGGGTGGGGGCGGCGCCCTCGGGACGGCGCTTCTCCCCGGGCAGAGCCGCTCGCCGCCTGCGCGGCCCGGGGGCTGCGGGGCCCCCGCGCTCTGCGGACCCAGGCGGGCTCGGGCGGAGGGCGCTGGGCTGCCGGCGGAGTAGCCGGGGCGGGGGAGTGGAGGGGAGGCCCGCGGCCGGGCCCCGGGATTCTGGCTCAGCGTGGCCACATGTGCGCGCCCCGGCCCCACCCCGGGGCCCCGCCCAGTCCTGAGCCGGGAGGTGGGGGTGTCGGTCCACTCCTTGCGGGGAGCCGGCAGCAGGGGGAGTGGGGCTGGAGCCTGCGAGTGCCCTGGTGACCACTGCTCTCTCCTGGCCTGCAGGGACGCCCTGGACGCCCTGGGCCTGAAGCGTTACTGCTGCCGCCGCATGCTGCTGGCCCACGTGGACCTGATTGAGAAGCTGCTCAACTATGCACCCCTGGAGAAGTGATCGCTGACCGCCCTCCCTGTCCAGCCCAGAGCCCATCCCGCGGACCCGGTGTCTGAGCCATGGGGCCTCCTGCAGCCCCGTGGGCACGACCTCCCACTGAGGAGGGAACCTTCCAGTAAAGGCCTGGCACACCCACAAGAGCCTGACTTGCCTGCTTGCGCGGGGCCTCCGCGACCGCCTGGAGGGAATTTCCCGTGGGCCCTGCTCTCCAAGCCAAGGGCACCTGGGTCAGGGCCCCAGCAGGGCTGTGGTACCCTCCCCCCACCCTGGTGGAGCCCTTCTGCAGCCGGCGCAGGTCCTCTGGCAGGATGCAAAGAACCAGGTTTCCAGGGCCCTGAATGGCATTCTTAGGGTGTTCCCCACCCCCCACAGCCAGAACCTTCCTGGTTCTGCCCATTCTGAGTGGGCAGGCGCACCCACCTGTACAGCCAGCCCAGACTCCACAGTCACGGGCACCTCATCAACAGCACCCACCCTGCCTCACCCCTCACTCCAGAGGGCTGACTCCCTTCCCCAGGGACCCTGGCCACCCCTCTCCACTCAGCACACTCAAGGTTCTTTCTGCCTCAAGGCCTTGCTCGGCTGACCCTCCCACTGGCCTCCCTCCTCTCCCTTGAGCCCGTGGGCCCTGAGCTCACAGCCTGGCCGCCCTGCCCACACCTCAGGCACTGGTGGGTGGGCCTGTCCCCCACCCGGACGGAAGACCCAGGCCCAGTGGCTGATGGGGCGAGTCTGCGGCTGTTCACGAGTGTTTATTGAGCAGGGCGGGGCCTTGTGGGCACGGGTGAGACAGCACTGGACAAAACCCCAGCCCGCCTGCAGCCAGCAGCTGGAGGAGGGAAGGGTTGGGCAGGACCATGACTCCTTGCTGCTGCCCAGCACCCCTGAACTCCCCAGGCCCCCCCACTGCCACGTAGAAGTCACCCAAGTTCCCGTGTCTTCAAGATACAGCAGGGGGGGGGGCATCAGAACTCTCCCTGCTGGAGGGGCAGCTGGGGTGGGCCCAGGCTGCAGCCTGGGTACTCAGTAGAAGGCACTTGACGCTCCCCTGGGGTGGGGCCCCAGATGGGGTGGTGGCACACAGCACACAGTGGGGGGCAGGCACAGGCTGGGGCTCCTCAGGCAGGAGGGGCGCGCAGGGCCGGTGGCAGCAGGGGGCGGAGTTCAGTAGTGTTCAAGCTTCAGGCTCTTGTACAGGCAGCAGGTGAAGATCATGCCGAAGACCTGCGTGCAGGCCGGGGCATGAGGGGGTGCGCCCATGGCCCACCCCAACCCCCTAACACGCAGGCAATGCCAAGCGCCACCCCCACCTGCACACAGGCGATGCCCAGGCCCACGGCCCCGATGATCCTCAGGTGCTCCTGGATGAATGTCTCCAGCTTGGTGATGCAGCCGCCCTGATGGGAGGCACGGGGATTGAGCCGGTGGTGGCCGGGGGCCTGGCTGCTCCCCCCACCCCCACCCAGCCTACCTACCTCCACCTTGTAGATGTTGGAGGCGTGGTCCCGCTGCCCACAGTGCGGCACCACCGTCTTGCAGCAGCTGTCAGGGACCACCCGGCCGCCGGCTTCGCCCGAGCGGACCCACTCGCTCTCCCGCCAGTCCTGGGAGTTGTTGCTGCCGCAGCAGCGGAACTACAGGAAGCACAGCCAGCTGAGCGCCCTGCAGCACTGGGGACCCCAGCCCCGTCTGGCCCACACGGCCCTACCTCCTGTTGCAGCTTGTCCACAGCGCTGGTCACACCCTCGTGGCCCCGCAGGTGGTAGCGCTTGGTCATGGTGTCCTTCAGGTTGTCCTTGAGCTCAGCATTCAGCTGGGGGATGCAGAGGCTCAGACCCTCCTTGCGGGGCGGGGAGTGGGGGGCTCGCGGGGCGGGAAGAAGGAGGGTCGGATGCCAGCCTGGGGCAGGGGGCTTGGGCAGGGAGGAGCCACGGCACGGCCCACGGAGCCCCGGGAGACACAGCCTGCATTGGCACCCCCTCCCCACACCGGCACTCACCTGCTGGTAGTACACATAGGCCAGGACGCCAGCAATGATCTCCAGCAGGAAGATGAGCAGCAGCAGGATGAAGTACTGGGGGGGGGACCCAGTGAGGCGGGGGTAGACACCCCACCTGGCAAAGACTCCCAGTGTCCAGGCACGGCCCTCCACGGGCCCTCAGCAGCTGCCCCCGCCAGTGGCTGGCCCAGCTGGGAGGTGCGGTCACTCCCTTGTTGCCCCCTCAGGGCCTTAGCCCCGGCAGCCTGGTGGGGCGCCCCCACCCAGGTCCCCCTGCCCCAAGGGGCCACGCCCCACTGACCAGCCGCAGCAGGTTCCGCCGCTCCTTGAAGGTGGCGCAGCAGCCCAGGACCCCGGTCACCATGACGACAATGCCCGCCACCACCAGCAGGTAGGCCGTGGCCAGGTAGGTGCCCGAGGCCAGCAGGCTGATGTAGTCGCTCTTCAGGGCCAGCGTCCAGATGCCCACTGCCATGACGGCCAGGCCGGCCAGCTGTGGGTACACATCAGTCACCACCCCTGGCCCAGGGCTGGGGGGGCCGCCCCACCCTCCTGCGGCTCACCCAGAAGCAGCAGTTGAAGGTGAAGAGCAGGTACTTGAGGCAGACGGTGCCGCAGGTCCCATTCTTCTCACTGAACTCGCCCATCCTGGGGGTGGCCGGCTGTCAGGGGCAGGCCGCTCACTGCAGATGCCAGTGGGGACAGGCAGGGACCCACGTCCAGGCCGGCGCCTGGGGGCAGGCATGGGTGTGTCCCTGGAGGCGGGGCTCTGCGGGGTGGTGGGGCTGCCCAAGGCCACAGCCAGGGCACAAGCTTGTGGCAGAGCCAGGATAAGGGCAGCGCCGGATGGGCAGAGGCCGGCTTCCTGGACCCCAAGTCCTCACCAGCTGACTCACCCGCCCTGGCAGCCGAGGTGGGGGGGGAGCACCAGCAGGCACCTCGGGTGAGCTCATGTGGCCCCACCCCCCCCCACGATTTTCCCCGGCCGCTCTGGAGGGGCCGTCGCTGGGTGGCCTTAGGCGGCCCCTGGACTCATCCCAGGGGGACCCTCCTGCGTGGGGGGAGGCCACCCCACCGCCCCCCTCGTGGGCTCTTGCCCCCAACCGGGCAGCTGCAGGCCCCCAGGGACACCCGCCAGCCCGGGCGGCTGGACACCAGCGCCTGCGGGGCGGGGCTGGGCTGGGCCTCCCCGCGCCCTCCCCTGGCTGGCAGGACCTGCGCCTGCGTAGGGCGGGAGTCGGAAGCTCTGCCCCGAGGCGCCGCCAGGAGCAGGCGCGGCCGCACGTCTGCCCGGGGCCCTGCCACCCCTCCTTGCGGCCACGCACCCCTCCTCGGCAGGCAGGGTCCACTGCAGAGCAGGCCTGGCCGGGTATACTGGCCCGCACCAGGGTGGGGCAGGACGGGGGACATTTCCGAGCCCTCCGTCCCGGGCCCAGCCTGCCCTCCCAGGGCCCGCCCCGCCCCGCCCCGCCGGGCCAGGCTGCGGTCCCGGCCGCTGGAGGCCGGTCCTGGACAGGGGAGCGGCCCGCGGCCGCCCTGGCCCGGCCCCCTTCCCGGGAGTGCCCGGCGGATGTGACCGGACAGGGCGCCCGAAATAGCTGCCGCGGCCCGGCCTGCGCTGCCCCACCCCAGCCGCGCGCCCCCGGGGGCACCCGGACCCCGCTCCGCCGGCCGGGGGGGAGGGGGGCCGGGCCGGCGCGCGCGGGGCCAGCGCCGCCGCCCCCCGCCCGGCCCGCCCACGAGCCCCGGCGCAGGGCGGGCGCAGGGCGGGGCCGGCGGCGGGACAATGAGCGGGCCCGGGCGGCCCGCGCCCCCGCCCCGCGCCCCCGCCCCGCGGCCGCCCGCGCCCCCCCAGCGCCGGCGAGGGACCGGCCGCGCCCCGGGGCCCGCGCGCTCGGGGCGCGGCCAGGCGCGCACTCACCGGCCACGCGTCGGGTCGGACTCGGAGCTCGGGCGGCCGCGGCTGCGGGGGCGGGCAGTGCGCGGCGGGGGCCTGCGGGCGCGCCTGGCGCCCCGCCCCTCCCCGGCGCCCCAGGGCCCCGCCCCGGCCCGGCGCCCCGCCCCCCGGCCCGGCGCCTCGCCCCCCGGCGCCCCCGGGCCCCGCCCCGCCCCGGGCCCCGCCCGGCCCCGCGAGGGCAGGCCAGGCCTGGGCAGGTGCCCGCCCGGGACGCGCCGGCGGGATGGCAGCGGCGCTGGGGGCGACCAGAGACTGCAGCGGCCAGGAGAGCCGCCGCCGCCCGGGGCGCCCAGCCCAGCCGGGACCCATCCCCTCAGGAACTGGACTGGGGTGCTGGGGAGACCCCAGAGAGGCCCGAACCCTGTCGGAGATCCAGTCCTGCTGCGCGGGCTCATGGGCCTTAATCTCCCCCACATGTAGGGCCACCGGGAGGCCCCGACGGATGCCTGGGGGCAGCAGGCTTGGCAGTGTGGTCAGCGGCGGGGGAGAGGCCGCCCTGGGTGCTTTGCGGAAGCGGGTGCCCTGTCCTTGAAGAGGTGCTCCAGTCTGGAGGGCATAGAGCCTGGGGAGCCCGGCAGGAAGGGCAGCATCTGGGCCCCGTGGGGCAGAGGGGGAGTGAGGACGCCAGGGGCCCTGCTGCCAGGTCCACCCGGTCGCACGCTCCGGTCCCCACGGACATTCCGGAGCCCACTCCGCGTTCCCTGCTCAGGATTTGGGCCTGGCAGCTACCGAGGCTTGGGAGGCGGCCCCAGGAGGCCCCACTGAGGTCCTGCCTGGCAGAGCTGGCCCGCGAGGACTGGCTTGTGAGGGCTTGGCCAGCGTGTCCACTGGTGAGGCCGTGGGCCTCGTTCCCCTCGTCCCTAGAGTGCCTGAGGACTGGGGCATGGCGGGAGTGCGCAGCCCACCACAGGGATATGGCCGGTGCCACACACGCGCCATGGACACCTTGCCAAGTGACACACAAATGCCGTGGCACACACAGGGGTGAGGAGGGTGCAGGGCATCTGGGGGGCTTTATTTGGAGGGCGTTTCCTGCTGGATGGTGTGGGTTTGATGGGATGGGGACGTGTGGGGTGCTGGTGGGGTGCATGTGCCCCTGACCCCCCACTCAGTTCCTTTGTGGCTGCAGGATGGGAGCCTCCTGAGCAGAGGCCCCGCAGGCCAGTGAGGAGCTGCCTTCACGGAGCAGCTTCTCCAGTGTGTCCCGTGGAGCTGGTCAGTGGGCGCTGGGAAAGTGGCCAGAGCCCCGTCTTGGGGGGCAAGCCCAGTTGCAGCAGCAGCAGCAGCAGCAGCAGCGGGGGGGCCCTGGCAGTGGTGCTGTGGTCAGAGCCTTCCTGTGGCCGCTGCCTGACCACCTGGCCTCACAGGTGTCCCTCTCGTCTCGCAGCCGCGTGTTCAGCTCCCTGGGGAAGGGAGAGGGCTCTCAGGACCCCCAGGGGCAGCGTCCTTGGGTGAGGCACGCGGGCCCTGGGTTCACTCAGACCAGAAGACAGGCGTCGGCCGAGCCGCAGCATGAAGGGTGGCGGGCAGACACGAGGAAGGACTTCCTTGACGTGGGGAGCAGGGCCTCACCTGAGTAGCTCCAGTTGCCGCAGGAGGCTGAGCTTCTCTTTCTGCATGTTCCTGGAGACAGCGACCACGTCTCTGCGGGCAGGGGGAGGGTGCGGGGGGCTCTGCAGAAGCACCCCGACCCTCTGGAGGACCCTGCGGCCCACAGACCTAGGGGGCGGCACTGGTGTGCAGATCCGGATGGCAGCGCCCCAGCCTGAACACCCAGCGACCCCAGCCGGCGGCACACCCTACCCTCCGCCTTCCAGGCCTGCCCGGCCGCCCCGCACCTCTGGGCCTGCTCCCGGCGGCCCTGCGCGTCGCCCTCCAGTTGGCGGAGCTGCTCCTGCGCCCCCTCCAGCTGCGTGCGCAGCGCCTCGTTGGCCAGCCACAGCTGGGCGTTCTGCGCCTGCGCCTCCAGCTGCTCGGTGGCCTGGGCCTGCAGCTGCCGCTCCAGCTGGAGAGGTGGGGAGGTCGAGGCTCGAGAGGGCCCCCCACTTCCCCGGGAGGCTGCGTTTGCTCCGGACTCCCAACAACATCTGGACTTCAAACAGGGAGGCCCAGGGGACCGCAAGGTTCTGCCCAGCGCTGGGTGACCGTGGGGGCGACGCCGGCCTGCCCCTCTCTGCTGTCGGGCGCCGCTTACCTCCCGCTGCCGCGCGCCCGCACCTTCCAGCTCCTGCTCCCGCTGGTGCAGCTCCAGCTCCAGCAGGCCCCTCTGCTCCTCCCGCGGGAGGTCCTGGGGTGCAGGGCGGGCACCTGAGACGCCTCGCCCTGGGCGGCCCGCATCGGAGATGGCGGGGCGGGGCGGGGCGCCCACCTGAGTCTGCAGGCGCTGGCGCTGGTCGCGAAGCTGCTGCTCCATCTCCTCGCACAGACTCCGCACCTCCCTCTCGTGCTCGCTCTCCCGCCTTCGCAGAGGGGCAGAGGCCGGTCAGAGCCCCCCGCGGCGCCCCGGCCCCCCAGCTCCACCGCCGCCCCGGCCTCACCGCCGCAGCGCCTGCTCCAGGCGGTCCCGCTCTCGAGCCGCCTCCTCCAGGCAGGCGGACGCGCGCATCAGGACGTCCTCGAAGGAGCCCAGCATCTCGGGCCGCTCGCGCTGCAGCCGGGTCCAGAGCGTCCGCACCGCCCGCTGTCTGAGGAGGTGGGCAGGGCTGCAGCCGCGGAGCCGAGGGGGTGCGGCTCCCCGCCCCCCGGGAGGGCCACCCCCCCCCCCGCCGGCCTGGACGCGCCGCCCACAGCAGCCCCGAGGGCGCCCCCGCGGCGGGGTGCGTGCCGCAGAGGGTGTCGCGCCCCCGTGGGCGGGAGCGCGTGCCCGGCCCCGCGGCCGCGATGCAAATTCTGCGGGAAATCTCGGCCGGCGCCGGGGAGGTCGGGCCGCGCCAGCCGGGGCAGGACTCACTCCGCCAGCGCGCGCGCCACCCCCAGCTGCTCCAGCGCCGCGCGCGGCCGCGCCTCCTCCTCGTCGTCCTCCTCCGGGGCGCCCCCGGGGCCCGGCGCCGGCCAGCCCGACTCAAAGGTTTCCTCTGGCGCCCAGGCGGGTGGCGGGCCCGGGGCCGGCTCCGCTCCCACGCACCTCCCTGGGCGCGGGAGGAGAGAGCGCGTGGGTCAGCGCCCGGCGCGGCCCCTCCTGCCCTTTGTCCGAGCCGGTTTCCTGTTTTTCCTGCACGGGTCCAGCTCCAGGCCGGCCGCGGGAGGCGGGCTCCGGGCCCGACGCAGGCAGGCCTGGCGCGGCCACCTGGCGGGGCCGGGGGCTCCCCGCGGGCCTGCTCTGCCTGCGCGCACGCCCTGGCTCCAGGGGCGGGAGGCCGAGGCCCACGCGGGCGGGCCGGGGCTCACCCAGGCCGAGGCGGAACTCCCGCGCGGTGAGGAAGCCGGCGCCGGCCTGGTCCAGGCTCTCGAACACGGCCCCCAGCTGCTCCGGCGTGAGGGGCAGGTCGCTCTGGAGGCCCTGGCCGCACAAGCACAGCGAGCTCAGGGCTGGGGCTGGGGGGGGGCGGCCGGGCCGCGGCAGGGGAGGGAGCGGGGCTCACCTGCAGGTCCAGCCGGGTGAGGAAGCCCTTGGCCTCCTTGTCGCACAGCAGGAACAGCTCCTGCGCCCGCTCCAGCACCGAGGCCCCGCTGCGCCCGGAGCCCCCCACGTCCTCCCCGTCCTCCTGGGCCCCCGCGGCCCCCGGCCTCCCGGGGCTGGCCATGCGGGAGGGGCCCCGCCGTCCGGCGCTGCGAAGCCAAGGAGAAGGGAAGGTGGGGAGGGGCGAGGAGGCTGCGGATGCGGGGCCCTCCCCCGGGCGGGAGGGGAGCCGCCAGACGGGGTGCCAGGGGAGGCCGCGAGACAGGCCGGGGTGTCCCGTGGGCGGTGTGGGCTGGGCTGGTGGCCGGGAGCGAGCCAGTGCCGGGGAGCCGGGGCTGGGCCGTCGGGGCAGCTGCGGGCACCGCGGGCACGCGTCCTGCAGTTGGGTCCCAGGCGGACTCCCCCGGCCTCCGCCAGGCACAGCCAAGTGCAGCCGGAGCCCGGGCTCTGCCCCTCCTGGCCGGTGGCCGGCGGGCCCGGTGGGCAGCTCTTCCCACGCAGCCCCAGGCCCCTGCAGGTGCGCGGCGGGGGGCGCCCGGGCCCCGCATGGCCTTATCGGGAACCCCGGGCTGGCCCAGCAGCCCCGCGGCCGGACACTCGGCCACCCCCGCCGATCCGAGACCCTGTCGTCCCGCGCCGCCCTCGCGAGCGGGTCCTGCCCTGCGGCGCCCGCCGGTTCTCCCCGCGCCGCTTCCCGGGGGGCGCAGTCCCGCGGGGCAGGCCTGCGGCGGCGCGGGCAGCGCCCCAGGAGCAGAGCCCCGCCCGGGGCCAGAGGTCCTTCCAGCCGGAAGAGGCGCCGGAGCCGAGCCGGGAGGGCCGCCCCGTCCGCCCGCCCCGCGGCGAGCCCGGCGTGGCCGCGACCCTGGCCGCCAGCGCCCGGGCCGGCGAGCGCGGCGCGCGGCTCCTACCTGCCCGCGGCGCCGCCGCACCTGCCCCGCGCCCGCCGCCCGCCGCCCGCTCCTGCCGGAAACGCCACCGGCCCCAGGCCCGGCTCCGCGACCCCGCGGCCGCCGCCCGCCCCGCCGCGTCCCCGCCTCGGGGGCGGCCCGGCGCGCACCACGCCCCGCGCGCCCCGACCCCGGCGCTCGGCCGGCGCCCCGAGAGCGCAGGAAAAGGCGGGAGGGGCCGCTCCCGGGCGGGAGCTGCCGCGGGGGGCCTGGCTCGCCTCCCTGCGCCGCCCCAGTTCGCTTTTCCCGTTTTTAAAGAAAAAACACGCGCGACAGAGAAGATGGATGGTGTGCGCCCTCGGGTGCCCCAACCCTCCTGCTGGGGCACAGCCCAGCTGGGGCTCCTGTGGGGAGGGCTGGGAGGAGGCACTGGGGGTGACCTTCGGGGTCCCATGATCTTCTCTGGCGCGGGCAGCGCGGCCTGGGCCCTCCCCAGAACCCACCTGGAGGAGCAGCCGGGCGGAGGCCTGCGCCGGAGCCTGGGACCTGGTGGAGCTAGAGCAGGCTGGGGGCTGGGCCTAGAGGCCGGGACCTTGAGACCAGAGGGGGCGGCCCCTGGCACCAGCGCGGGGACCTGCCCAGCCGGCTCTCCCGGTCCTCGGGTCCCACTACCTGCCGTTATTGTTGGCTGGGGGCTGCACCCCACGCCCTTCCCCTTGCCAGGAGGGGCAGGTGGCGCTGAACCTGGGTGCGACGCATTCTAGAAGAGCAGCCACGTGCGCGCCTGACCCCGTGGCCCCTCTGTCACCAGCAAGGGTTGTTGGTATTCCCCAGGCTGCCCAGGACAGAGGGTGCCTCCTCCAAGACAAGGCCCAGCTCCCTTCAGGCCAGATCTGACCCCGGGGATGTGGCAGACCTCCTCCCTCCCTGGGTGGGCGGTGCCCAGGCACAGAGAGAGGAGGTGCAGGCAGCTCGCCAGGAGGAGGTGGGAGAGGACCAGCCAGCTGGGGCAGTGCCCGGCCAAACACCAAGGTGGGGCAGCACCCGCACCCTCAGGCCACGGCTCCGGACCTCACCCTCCACAACTGTCACCCTGAAACCAGCCCCACGCCCGCTGTCACCATGGAGCGTGGTGTGCAGGTGCCACCTTTTGTAAACACGCCTTTGTTTTTATTTAGCAAGGATCTTGGTCCGGGAGCTCTCGCTGGCTCTTGGGGTGCTGCGCCCAGGGCCGGCGGCTGGCAGAGGGCGAGGGCACGGGCCCTCGGGAGAGGCCGGTGGCCAGGTGGGCGGCCCCAAGCCCGGCTCCAGGAAGGCGCCCTGCAGCTGTAGAGTCAGACACGGGGAGGAGGCAGGGGCTGAGCTGTGCGTTTATTAAATCTGCTTTGGCAAAAATAAATAATCCTTCAGCAAAACATGAAGTCGCCGCGCTGGGCAGGCGCCCGTCCAGGGGCAATAACACTGCGGGCGCCCAGCGAGGAGCAGCGCAGGCACAGGCGAGGCGGGAGGGGCGCGCCGCCTCCCTCCCTCCCTCCCTCCCCGAGCAGCAGGTGAGCGGCGGGCACACCCCCTCCCCTCCCAGCGCCCGGCATGGGCAGACCGGGATGGGGGTCTGGGCCGGCCCCGGGCCCGCCTCACGGGGCAGGTTAGCTGGGGGCCCGGCCCTCGGCACCAGGCCCCGGGGGCCGGCCGGGTGCTCAGCAAGGGGGCAGGCCCGGGGGGTGCTGCGGGGGCGGCGGGGCTGCGGGGGCCGCAGGGCCGGGGGGCACGCGCACGCGCAGGGCGTCGGGCGGGAAGGCCACGTTGGTGCAGAAGAGGCCGAGCAGCAGCTGGCGCTGGCACTCCTCCCACTTGGCCAGCGCGTCCCCGAGCAGGAGGCTGTTGCGCATCCAGCCGGGCAGCGCCTCGCTGCAGGCGGCGCAGGACAGCGGCACTGAGGGCAGCGACTGGGTGCGACGCAGCTCCACCTGCTCCGACAGCCTGGGCGGGAGGGAGGGCGCGCTTCAGCGGGCGCCCCGGAGGCTCTGCGGGGCGCGGCGGGGAGGGGGGCGGCGTGCTCACCTGGAGGGCAGGTGGCTGCCCAGCTTCCTCTTGGCGCGCATCACCAGGTACTGGCAGATGCTGCCGGTCTGCTCCTTCATCCACCGGATGTCCTCGGGGACGTCAGGCAGCCACTCCAGCAAGCTGGGGGGGCGCAGGCAGGGCAGCCTCAGCCGCCTGTGCCCCCGCCTGGGAGCCCCTACTCAGCCTCTGGGCCGTCCCCGCCATCAGCCGCCTGTTTCTGGGGTGACCGCCACTCAAGGAGGACCCCGGGCCTTCGTGCCCCACCCGCCCGCCCCACGCCGCGCACCGGATGGTGAAGGACACAGCGCTCTCCAGCGGCAGCGTGTAGGGCACCATCATGGCCGTGGCCAGGCGCACGGGCAGCATGTTGGAGAGCGTGGTCAGCAGATCCTTGGGCTCCACGCAGGCTTCTAGCAGGGCTGCGGGGGAAGGGGTGCAGGAGGGAGGTCGCCGCCAGCGGGAAGGGGACCCCGCCCCCCAGCTCTCCAGCGGCCGCCGTCGGGGGTGTGCTCCCCAGAGTCCCCCGCCGCCCTCCCTCCCCCGGCGCACCCTCGTTGAGCCGCGCCGGCAGGTGCTCCAGGATGTGGTCCTCCCCGGCGGGCGGCAGGGGCTCCTCCGCCTCCTCGTCCTCGGCCGCCAGGGGGCGCGCGGGGGGCAGCGCCAGCAGGGGGTTGGGCCGGTTCAGGAGGCCTGGGGGACGGACAGCCGTCAGGGCGGCGGCGGCCGGCAGGGGGCAGCAGAGCCCACCGTCCCCCCGCGGGGCGCCCACGAACCGTTCCGCCGCAGGAAGCGCAGGCCGTCGCGGTAGCCCTGCTTGCACATCTCTCGAAGCACCTGGGCAGGGGGGTGCGTGGGCAGTGGGAGGGGTGCCCCGGCCCCTCCACCTTCAGCAGCCCGCGGCTGCCAAGCCGGCTGGGGTCCGGGGTGCAGTCCAGAGCGGACAGCCCCGGCAGGCCGCCCACCGCGCAGGCCACAGCCCTCCCACGGCGCCCCCCGGCCGCTCCCCCTGGGCAGGGCGGGCCTCGCGGGGCCTCACCATGGGCTCGGGCGGGAACAGCGCCTTGGAGAGGCGGTAGAGGTTGCGCAAGTTGAACTGGATGCTGGTGTTGGTCACGCGGAGCTCGTGGATGTTGGTGGAGCTGTCCTGCGGGCAGATGTCGCTCTCCCCGGAGAAGGGGGACACGGTGATGGTGTTCCTGAGCTCGTAGAGGGGCAGGTTGTCTGAGATGCCGCCGTCCACATAGCGCTGGGCAGGGACACCAGGCAGGTCAGGGCCCCGGGCTGGCCGCGGCCTCCCGCCCGCCACTCCCAGCACTGGCCGCCTCTTGGGTAACTCCAGGGGAAGTGGGGCAACGTGGAAGGGTAGGGCACGGCGGGCCTTCCTCCCCCACCCCATGCCCTGCACGCGCCACCCAGCGGCCTGGGTACTCACCACCCCGTGAAGGGTGGGGGGGATGAGGCCACAGTACACGGGGATGAAAGTGCTGCAGATGTTGGCCTGCGGGCAGGGGCGGAGAAGGAGGTGAGCCTGGTCCTGGGGCCACTCTGCACCCCAGCGGGCCCCGGAGCCCACCTGGATGAGCTCATCCTTGGAGCTGAAGTGAGATATGATGACGTTCTCGCCGTCTGAGACGCGGGTCAGGGAGATGCCTAGGCGCCCGTTGGCACGCTCGTGGCTGTCGGCGGGCAGCGTCTTCAGCAGGCAGCTGCGGACGGTCTTCACCAGGTTGAAGGAGGGGTGCAGCGGGCCCAGGAACCGCTTCCGTGCCTCCTTGGACACCTCAATGATGTTGGCACCGGCCTCACCTGGGCAGGGTCAAGGGTCAGGAGCTGGCTCTCCTAGGCCTGGCAGCCCCAGGACTCCACGCCCAGGGCCCCTTGGCACTGTGATGCCTGGCGCCCTCCCCTTCCCTGGAGGACTCCCAGAGTCCACTCTGGGACCTGGCCTGATGGGGACTTCTGGCAGCTGCCCCAGAGAGAGAGGCAGGGCACCCCTGGGAGGGCAGATGGCTGGGCCTGGCCAGCTGGGTTGGGACCTGCCTCTGCCTGGTGTTTCACAACTGCCTGGTGGGGGTGGCAGTGAGGCAGAGGCTCAACTCTGACCAGCCTCAGCCTTCACCCACTTGGCCAGCCCCGGGTGCAGGAGTCTGTGGCCTGAGGCTAGGAACAGTGGGCCACCGCCCCCCTCCACCCCCCCACCCAGGCACTGGCCTGGGACAGAGCCAGAGTGGGAGCCAGCCCAGGAGTGGCCAGGGAGCCCAGGGTCCTGGCAGACGCTGAAGACCATGCCCAGGGTGGGGTGGGGTCAGGACGCTCAGCACCTGCCACACCTCGGGGGCCTCGGCAGTCCAAGACCACTGGCAGGACCGAGGCCTCTTGGGCGGGGGGCGGGGGCAGTGCTGTGGGGTCAACTGGGCACGAGGTATGTAGTTGGATCCTGAGCCCAGCCTGGGGGACTGGAGGGGCTGGTCTGCGGGCCAAGGGGTTGGGGCAGGGCCACAGAGTTAAACCCCCAAATGGAGAGCTGTGCTCCTTCCTGCCCCCAGGGCCCAGGCCGCCGGAAGGGGCAGGGGTGGGCCCTGGACAGACTGCCGGGAGGGGGCATGCAGAGCTGGTGACCTCCGTCGCCGGCTGCCCTGCTCGCCTGGGGCCTGGCAGCGCTCCCAGAACGCCAGTCCGGGTGCCGTAAACACGCCGGCCGCCCCGCGGGAAATGCCAGCGGCCGCCCGGACCCGGGCGGGCGGGCGGGCGGGCGGGCCCAGGGCACCTGCCCCGCCGGGGGCGCCGGCGGCGGCCGGGGCGCGGAGAGCCTGCCGGCGCCCCCCCCGCCTCGGGGACGCGGCCGCCGGGCCGAGGGCGGCGGGACGGCCCCGCCGGGACGCGGTGACCGCTGGCGCCGGCCGCGGCCGGGCAGGGGAGCCGCGAGCCCCGCCCCGGCCCTGCGGCCGCCCGGCCCGCTGTGCCCCGGGGACGCGCCGCGCCGCCGCCGCCCGCCGCCCGCCGCCCTCGGGCCCGGGGGCCCCGCCCGCCCGCCCGCGGCGCTCACCCAGGCAGGCGCCGGTGACCAGCGCGGTGGCCGTGAGCGCGCCCGCGGACGCGCCGTAGACGTGCGCGGCGTTGGCCACCAGGAAGGGCGCGTGCTCGCGCAGGCAGGACGCCACGCCGACGTGGTAGACGCCCAGGAAGCCGCAGCCGGCGAACGAGATGTTCCAGGTCGCCTCCCGCCGGAACATCGCGGCGCGGGCTCGCGGCGGGCCGGGCGGGCCGGCGGGCCGGGCGGGCCGGGCCGGGCGGCGCTGGCGCAGAGCTCGGGCCCCGCCGGCGACGGCGGAGACGCTGCGGGCGGCGGCGCGGGCGGCGCTTTTAGCGGGGGGCGGGGCCCGGCGGCGGGGCGGGGCCGGCGCGCGCGGCCCAATCGCGGCGCGCGGGGAACGGCCGCGCCCCCGGGCGCGCCCCGAGGCCCCGCCCCGCCCGCCCCAGGCCCCGCCCCGCCCGCCCGCGGCCCCGCCCCCGCCCGCCCGCGGCCCCGCCCCGCCCGCTCCCCTCCGGGCCCAGGAGCCGGCGCAGGGGAACAAGTGCCAGGCGGTGTTCACGGGCATCTGTGGATGACCCCGCGGGGGCAGGGCCGCCCACCCCCACCGCGGCGTCACCCACAGATGCCCCTGAACATCCAGGTCAGTGGGCCACCCGGACACACGCACGCACCCCTCCCGCAGCCGCCCCTGGGCTGCTGCCCAGCCCCGCTGCCTGCCACAAGCCCCTGGGCACTGGGCACTGGCCTGCGGGCTTCACCTGGCGCCGCCGCTCCTTGGGCAGAGGGTCTACCCGGGTAAAACTGGAGCCTGCCACGCCCACGCCGGCAGCCCACGCGGGTGGAAGCCGGTGATGTCACCCTCCCGGCCCCTTCCCGCGTCTTTCTTCTTCTTTTTTTTAATAGAGGCATGTTTTATTTGTTTGTTTGTTTTGTTTATACAAGCAGTGGGTACAGTCAGAAGCGCGGGAGGGTGAGAGAATTCACCAGGGCCAGAGCGGGGAGCAGAGCAGGCAGAAGGACCGAAGGACACTGCTGAGGGGAGCAGCGGGCGGCAGGAGAGGTCTGCGCGCCATGCGGGACCCCTGCCCGGTGGCCGGGGAGCAGCCGGGGATCGAACCGGCGCCGCAGAGGCCGCGGGCAGCTTCGCAACCCCAGCGTTCAACCGCTGCGCCACTGGGGAGGCCCCTTTCTGTGTACTTCTCCTGGACTGTGTGTCAACCCGCCTAGCCCTGCTTGGGTCTGGAGCAGGCCCTGCTGCACCCCACCTCCCAAACAGAACAGGTCTGCCTGGGGTCTGTGGGCAGGTGCACACCCACCACTCTGGGCCCAGCTGGGGACCATGGCACTGGGACTGGTGAGCGTCTGGGGTCAGGCTGCCCAGCAGTCTGCCTGTGCGCCCAGCCTGGGCCGGGCATCGACTGTGCCAGCGCTGGGCAGTGAGGATGACCCTCAGGGGGCTCCATGGGGCAGGAACCCCGCACCTGAGGCCCTGGCCTGGCCAAAGGGGAGCCTTGTTGGTGTGAGATGGAGTTGGGGTGCTGGTGGTATGTGGGTGGTCACCCAGAAAAGCCAGAGAGACCAGGCATGGCGAGGAGGGCGGTAAAACCCCGGTCTGACCGAAGTTCACGTAGACTCATCTTTCTGCCTGCACAAAGGACCCTATCCCCACTTGGGGTGGCACAGTGAGAGGCAGGGTTGGGGGTGTGGAGGTTGCAGCCCCAACCAGATGACTGAATCCCTGGGATGGTGCTGGGGGCTGAGAGTGTGGCCCCTTGTAGGTGGGGCAGACCCATAGAGCTTCACATGGCTGTTCCCTGGGAGAGCACAGCAGGGCTGCCCCAGGGGGCCTTGGGCACATGCCGCCTGGATACACGGAGACCTCTGCTCTCATTTCCACACCAGGAATGGAGCGTTTTGGGTACACAGCCCTCCCTCCCGGGCCCTGAGCTCTGGAGGAGCAGGGCTGTCTGGAAACCCAGGCTGGGGAGGACAAGAAGCCTGGCGTTAGCGGCTGCCAGCCGAGATTACATTATAACCCGTGGCTTGGCTGAAGACCTACACGCTGCCCCTCCCTCACAGCAGTGCCAGGCCCACCAGCCCAGGGACCTCCCTTCCCCACCCCTCTGGGAGTCCAGAGCAGTCTCCGGCCTCCCTGCCCACAGGAGCCCACGGTGGCCGAATTGCAACCACAGGCACTTGAGCAGTTGTCCACCTGGCATCTGGAGGGGGAGCGGTGTCCCCGGGCCAACCCAACTGGGCAGGCAGAGGCCCCAAGGCCCTGCAGACTGCCAGTAACTAGGCCAGAGTGGGCAGTGGGAGGGCCTCTGCCCTACAGCCCAGTGTGAGCCAGCGCCTGGCCAACGTGCCGGCCAACTCCGTACCTCAACTGCCAACCACACCCGCCCAGCAAAGCGAAGGGCCTACCCAGACAGCTCTGGGATGCAGGTCTCAAGAACCACCCTGGGTAGCCGCTGCTCCCTAAAGCAGTGAGGGGCCCCCACGGCCAACCACTCCCCTGACAGTTCACTTGCACCTCGGTGGGTACTTGTGTCCCCTCCTACTCCCGGCTTGCCCACACCAAAGCCACCCAGAGCATCCTCCCACTCCGCGGTGAAACCAATCACCCGTCGCCCCAGGCACTCCACCAGCACTCCAGGTTCAGGCGGATGCCCGAGGGGAAGGGGTGTCCCTCCCTGCAGAGGCGACAGTGAACAAAGTGCTCACAGCACACTCAACAAGTGTGGAAAAAGGTTTTATGTAACAAGGAAGAGAAGACAACGCGGATCCCCGCAGACGGCGCTAATCAAACAAGCCGAAGCCCATGTCGTCATCTGACTCCTCCGACTCCTCTTTCTTCTCGTCTTTCTTTTCCTCTGCTGAGAAAAGAGGTGTGTTTAAGGGGGGTGTGGGCAGCAGCACAGCCAGGCCCCCAGCCCAACCCTTGACACCTGAGCATCCCGTACCTGCAGCGGGAGCAGCACCAGCAGCAGGCGCCGCAGATCCCTGGGCGGCAGAGACGGCCACAGCCCCTCCAGCTGGCACGCTGGCCAGCTTGCCGATGCCTAGGAGACTAAGTGGTGAGCGGCCCCTGCCCGATGTAGCGGCCCCCCACTATCCTCCCGCCTCCGCCAGTCCCATGGGGACACTGACTCCCGAAATTCCTCCCAGACCTGACTCCCGCCTAGGGGGAAACCCAGCAGTGGAGTGCGGGCACAGGGATGCTGTGCCAACGGTACCCCTCGCACGCTGACCCGCTCCACTTTCACAGGTGTCCATGGGGCCACCTGCGGGCCACCTGCCAAGCAATGGGGCCAGGTCCTGAGACTTCCAAGCCTGAAACACGTGGTGGTGAGACCCCTTTGCAAAGGCCTGGCTCAGAAACCACAGGCAGCCAGCCAGGCTGGGCGAGCAAGAGTACCCCCACTCCAGTGTCCAGAAGCGCCCCTGGCAAGAGCCCAATGAGGCGCTGCCTGCTCCTACGGGGAGGCTCCCAGGGTGCTCTGGTCCACAAGCGAAACCTGGAGGCCACAGGCTGGCCAACAGGAATTAGGATGGACCCCGGGACCCGCCCGCCGCCCGCCGCCCCCCACCCCCGCCAAATCTCACCTTGGGCAATGACGTCCTCGATATTTTTCCCGTTCAGCTCACTGATGACCTGGTGCACCAAACACCCCCCGGTTAACAGAGCCCCACGCCGCACCCCGGGCCCAGCCGCCCCTCCCGCGGCGCACCCCGAGGCCCGGGCCGCGCCACGCGGTACACGTGGGCGCCCGCGGGGACGGCCAAGGCCCAGGGCTCCCGCGGCCGGACACCGCGCGTCCGGCTCGACCTCCCGGGCCCCGGCGGACCCCGAGGGGCGCCGGAAGCAACGCGGGGCCCCCCCAGCGCACGTGGGCCGCCCACCTTGTTGAGCCGATCGTCGTCCGCCTCGATGCCCACGCTGTCCAGGATCTTCTTGATATCCTTGGCGCTGGGGGACGCGTTGCCCCCGAGGGCGGCCAACAGGTAGGAGGCGACGTAGCGCATCCTGGCGCGGGCGCAGGGCGGCGGCGTGAGCCGGGACCCCGCACAGGCCGCCCGCCCGCGCGCCCCCGCCGAGGCCCGCCCCCGCTCCGCCCCGCTCCGCCCGCCCCGGCCCCGACCCCGACCCCGGCCCCGGCCCCGGCCCGCGCCCCACTCACTCGGCGGTGGCGGAGCGGCCTGGCGCGTGCGACCTCGGCGGCGTCAGCGACGGAAAGGAAGGCGCCGGCGCGGGGGGCGGGGGTAATCCGCTACCCAGAAGCCTCCGGGCCGCTTGCCGCGCGGGCACCTCCGAGTGACGTAGCGCGCGCTCAGCCAATGAGGGCGCCGGGGCGGCCATCACCCGCTCGTCCCGCAGTGACGCCAGCAAAAAGGAAGAGCAGTTCGGAGCAGCTTCTAGGACAGTGTGAGGCCGGTGCCCCGGGAGTCCCCGCACTGCGGGGCGCAGCGATACGCGAGCGGTGGCGCGTTTCTCCTTCCAAAGCCCACAGCATTCCACGGGACGCCTACGGCTCCCGACATGCAGCGCGCCCGCCACGCCCCGGACGCAGCCCCTAGCGGGAGCGAACTACAACTACCATGATGCACGGCTGCCGGAAGCGCGGCGCGGCGCTGGCTGGCGCGGGCGTGTGCACGTGGGCCCTGGCGCAGCCTGCGTGGTCCGTCGCGGCTTCCGGCCCGCCGCGCTTCGGCTGTCAAGTGGTTCCCCGGTGGCGGGGCCCGGCCTCCCGCCGCCCGCGGGCTGCGCTGCCCCGGCGCGCGTCCTGCCGTCGCGCCTCGCCCAGCGCGGCGCCCTCGGGCCCCACGCGCGGCAGCAGCTCTGCTTTTCTGTCCCTTCAAGGCTGAACGACACCCCCTGGCAGCTTTGGGGGGCCGGGGGGCGGGACTTGGGGCGCGGGGGGCGCCGCCGGCCCGGGCGACGACCTGCTGCGCTCAGGGCCTCGGGGCGCAGGGCTGGGTCTCGCGCTCCGGGGCCCCCGCCGCGGCCTGACCCCCCCGGCCAGGGAGTGACCCCCGGGCGCGCAGACCCCCTGCCTCCGCTGCCCCTCGGCCGCGGCCCCGGTGGGCCGCCCGCCCCGCTCCCGCGGCCCCGGGAGTGCGCCCCCCCGGCCCCGGCCCGGCGCCCGGCCCTGCGCGGCGGTGCACACGTCCCCGAGCAGCGGCCCGCGCGCCTCGGCCCGCTCGAGCCCCGGCAAGAGCGAGCACGCGCCGGCGGGGCCCCGCGCCCCGGCCCCGGCCCGCCCCGGCCGGCTCGGGCGGCCAGGCCGCGGGGGCGCGGTCCCCAGGGCCTCGGGGGCGGTGGCCGGCGCCGGGCCGCGGGGGCTGCCGTGGGGCCGCGGCTGCGCGGCGTGGAAGCCCCCGCGCTGCCCAAGGTCGCGCCAGCCCGGCCGGCCGCGGGTGGGCGGCGCGCCGGGGCGGCCGGGGGCGGGGTCCGCAGCCGTCCCGCCCTGAAGCGCGCGGGCGGGAACCCGGCGCGGGGCGGCGGGAGGCGCCGGTGGGGCGGCCGCGCTCCCTCGCGCAGGGTCCGGCGCCGCGCCCCGCGCCCCGGACCCCGAGGCCGGCCCGTGGCGCAGCCCCAGGTGCCCCCACGTTCAGTTCTCCGACCCCCGCGGGCACAGTCGCCCTGTCCGCGCCGGGTCGCCGCCCCCAAGTGGTAGGTGAGAGCCGCGGGGACCCGTGAGCGGGTGGGCCAGGCCCCAGGCCCGCGCGGGCCTCCCGGGGTGGGGGGCAGGTCGGGTGACCCCGCAGCGCCCGCCGACCCTTCTCGGAAAGGCCAGAATGAGGGGAGGCCCCGCTCCCCACAGCAGGTTCCCCAGGCCCCGGCCGCCCTCCCAGCCCCGGGGGTCCCAGAGGTGCCCCCGCTTCGGCCTCAGCCTGCCCAGCCTACATGCCCAGCTCTGTGGCTCGAGGGCGCCCCCTCTCAGCACCCCTTCCCCGGCCGCCAGGAGGGCCCACCCCCTTCTCCCGGCTCGGCTCTGAGGCAGCCCCACCCTGCCCGGGCCTGCCCGAGCAGGCCTGCCCGGCAGGCTGGAGCATGCCTGGTCCCCGAGGACGGCCGGTGGGCGATGTCTGTGGCGGCGGAGGGGCCGGCGGCGGAGGCTGGGGACGCTGCGGGAGATGCTGCGGGAGATGCTGCCGGAGATGCTGCGACCGTGGCTGTGGCAGCCGGGCCCGGGGCGCCCCTTCTCCTGGCCGGCAACCGGCTGAGCCTGGACCTGCACCCAGGGGGCTGCCAGCGGCTGTTGCGTCTCTGCGCCCAGCAGCCCCTTCAGCTGCTGGAGGTAGAGTTTCTGCGGCTCAGTGGCCACGAGGACCCTCAGCTTCTGGGGGCTGCGCTGGCCCAGGTGCCCCGGAGCCTGCCTCACCTGCGCTCCCTGGTCCTCAAAGGTGAGCCCCACCAGGCCCCAGCCTGCCCTCCCTGCTCCCCACCGGCCACCGCAGCCCACTCCCCGCCAGGCTGGTGGGCCCTGCTCCTGGGCGTGGGCTGCGGGCTGGGGCCTCGCAGCAGACCCTGGGTGGTTGCTTTTCTGAGGGCAGGTTCCTAGGGGCAGCGGTCAGCTAGCATGTCCTTGCCACTCTCATCTGCTGGTGGCTGGCTGGCCAGCCCCGCGCGACCACAGAGGGTGGCGGGGCCTGCCTCCCGCAGCTCCTGCCCGGGTCCGGGCTGGCTCCTGGGACAAGCCGCCTTCCTCCCGTAGGCGGGCACCACCGGGACGCACAGGGCGCCTGCCTCCGTGGCTCCCTGGCCACGCTGCCCGCCAGCCTGAGTGGCCTGAGCAGCTTGGCCCACCTGGATCTGAGCTTCAACCGCCTGGAGACACTGCCGGCCTGCGTCCCGCAGATGCTCGGGCTGCACGCCCTCCTGCTCTCGCATAACCGCCTGTCCTCACTGCCTGAGGCCCTGGGGGCGCTCCGCAGCCTCACCTTCCTCTCGGCCACCCACAACAGCCTGCAGAGGCTGCCCTCCACCCTGGGGTCCCTGCCTGCCCTGCAGCACCTCCATCTCTCTGAGAACCTTCTGGAAACCCTGCCCCCTGAGGTTGGGGCCCTCAGCAGCCTCGTTGAGCTCAATCTGGCCTCCAACCGGCTGCAGCGCCTCCCGGCCTCCTTGGGTGAGTGGCAACAGGAAGTGCCACAGTGGCCTCGGCCAGCGGCCCAGGGTCCCCACCAGGCCTGAGCCCTGAGCGGCGCCTGCCCGCAGCACAGCTCCGGTCCCTGCAGCTGTTGGTCCTGCACAGCAACCTCCTGACGTCAGTGCCCGCCGGCCTGGCCCGCCTCCCCCTGCTCACCCGGCTGGACCTGAGGGACAATCAGCTCCAAGACTTGCCCCCTGAGCTGCTGGATGCCCCCTTTGTCCGCCTGCAGGGCAACCCCCTTGGCAAGCTCCCCGAGAGCCCCACAGGTGCGTTCAGTGCAGGGGCTGCAGGGGTTGCAGGCGCCAGGCGTGAGCTGCATCCTGATCGCTGCCTGTCCCTCCCTAGGGACCCCTGTGGCTCCCGAGATGCCCAGGCTGCTCCTGACCTCAGACTTTGACAGGTGTGCTGCTGGTGGTGGCCGAGGTGGGGTGGGGCTGCGGGGATCCATTCCCCCAGCGCCAGGCTCTGCGCGCTGACGTCCCTTCCTCCCCAGCTTCCCCGTGACGCCCCAGGGCTGCTCCGTGACCCTGTCCTGTGGCGCGCGCCTGCAGTTCCCAGAGGGTGCGACCGCCACCCCTGTCACCATCTGCTACCGCCGGTGGCTGCCGGAGCCACGCCTGGTTCCCCTGGGCCCCCACGACTGCCTGCTCAGCGCTGTCCTGGAGCTGCAGCCCCACGGGGTGTCCTTCCAGCAGGCAGGACGGCAGGGGGGTGGGTGGCGGGCGATGGGCTGGGGCAGGCCGGCAGGCGCTCACCAACCCTGCCCGCAGGACGTGGGCCTGTGGCTGCTCTGCGCGCCCCCGCGGGTCCGGCGCTGGCGCGAGGTGGTGGTCAGGACCCTGAGCGGCGACAGCTGGAGCGACTTAGAGACTCACCTGGAGGAGGAGGCGCCCCAGGTGAGGCCCCTCGGGCCTGGGCCCAGCGACTCTGCCCCACCCTGCTCCCCCACTCCCTGATCCCACTTCCCTCTGACACCCCAGCGGCTCTGGGCTCACTGCCGGGTGCCTCACTTCTCCTGGTTCCTCGTCGTTTCGCGCCCGGTGTCCGACGCCTGCCTGGTGCCACCAGAGGGAGCGCTGCTGTACTCCTCGGGACACCCCGGGGTCAGGGTCACCTTCCCCCCGGGGGCCGCCCGGGAGCCATGCCACGTCCGCATGCAGGTAGGCCGGGAGCGGCGGGGAGGGGGGCCTGGCGCGTGCTGAGCCCGGTGTCTTGCACAGGTGGTGCGTGTGGCGGCCCGGGAGCTGCGCACCCTGCTCCAGGAGCCGGAGGCGGCCGCCAGCCCCCTGCTGTGCCTCTCCCAGCGCGGGGCCCCGGGCTTCCTGCACCCTGTCACTGTGCAGCTGCCTCTGCCCCCCGGCGTCACTGGTGAGAGGCTGCCCCCCGACCCCCACGCGAGGCCCTGGGCTGGGGCCCGGCCAGGCAGCGCTTTCACCAGCTTCCCCATCCCAGGCCTGAGTCTGGACCGCGGCCGCCTGCGCCTGCTGCACTGGGCCCCTCCCGCCCTCGCCTGGGACGACATCACGGCGCAGGTGGCGCTGGAGCTCACCCACCTGTATGCCCGCTTCCAGGTCACGCACTTCTCCTGGTCAGTGCTCCCGATCCTCTTGGGCGCGCCCCCCCCCCCCATCGCAGCGTGCCCCTCACGCCCGCCTTCCAGGTACTGGCTGTGGTACACCACCAAGACTTGCGTGGGCGGGCTGGCACGCAGGGCCTGGGAGCGCCTGCGGCTGCACCGCGTCAACCTCATCGCGCTGCAGAGACGCAGGGACCCCGAGCAGGTGCTGCTGCAGTGCCTGCCCCGCCACAAGGTGCGGCGGGGCACGGGGCGGGCCTGGTGGCCTCCTGGAGAGGTACGGGGGTGCGGCCAGAGGGGTCTTCCGAGGCCAGAGCCCGGTGCGCCCGCAGGTGGACGCCGCCCTGCAGCGGCTGCTGGAGCGGTACCGCGGCCCCGAGCCCTCGGACACCGTGGAGATGTTTGAGGGCGAGAGGTTCTTTGCGGCCTTCGAGCGCGGCATCGCGGTGGACGCAGGTACGTGCGGGCCGGTGGGGGCCCGGGGGCGGCCCTGCACCTGCTGAGCCCCCGGCCCCCACAGAGCGCCCCGACTGCGTGGAGGGCAGGGTCTGCTTCGTCTTCTACTCGCACCTGAAGAACATGAAGGAGGTGTACGTGACGGCCACCCTGGACCGGGAGGCGCAGGCCGTGCGGGGCCAGGTGAGCCGACGGCGGGGCTTCGGGCACCCGTGCTGAGCCTGGCGCGCCGAGCCTCCCGCCTCCCTCCTCCCCCCCAGGTGTCCTTCTACCGGGGGGCGGTGCCCGCGGAGGTGCCCGAGGAGGCCGAGGCCGCCCGGCAGAGGAAGGCTGCCGACGCACTGTGGATGGCCACGCTGCCCATCAAGCTGCCGGTGCGCCGTGGGGCGGGCGGGGCGGGGCGGGGCGGCGTGGGGCAGGCGGGCGGTGGTCACCTCCCCCTTTCCTGCCGCAGAGACTGCCGGGGGCCCGGGCTGGCCCCGCGCTGGCCCCGCTGAACCTGGGCGATGCTGAGACCGGCTTCCTGACCCAGAGCAACCTGCTGGGCGTGGCCGGGCGCCTGGGCTTGGACTGGCCGGCAGTGGCTCTGCGCCTGGGGACGCCCTACAGCGAGGTGCAGCGCATACGACACGCCTTCCGGTGCGTCCCGAGGCCGCGCAGGGCCTGCCTGACACCCCCGCCGCCCTGTCCGCTAGCAGCGGGGATGGGGGACTGGGCAGAGAAGGCGGGGGAGGGCCCCGGCTCCAGTGCAGGGTGGGGGGGCCTGGGCCGGCCCCGTCGTCACCATCCCCGCACCGGCCCCAGGGACGACCTGGACGGGCAGATCCGCCACATGCTCTTCTCCTGGGCTGAGCGCCAGGCCGGGCGGCCGGGGGCCGTGGGGCTCCTGGTCCAGGCCCTGGAGCAGAGCGAGCGGCAGGACGTGGCGGACGAGGTGCGGACTGTCCTGGAGCTGGGTCGCCGCAAGTACCAGGCGGGCATCCGGCGCACCAGCTTGGCCGCCCCCGGCCCTTCAGCACCGTCTGCCCCAGAGCCTGCCCAGGCGTAGGCCTCGGCAGCACCCCCGCCCAGGCCCACGTGTAACACGACGCAGCCTGTCCGTTGTCTCCGTGTGCAGTTCATTGGGTGATGGCGGGGTGGGCACTGAGGGCACCCGGGTGTGGGCGGCCGGCTCCTGCCCCCTCCGCTCTCCCCGCACCTGCCATCCCTTCCTGTGGATGCTGATCACGGGGGGAGGAGAGGAGCCCGGCGGCGGCTCGATGGCCACCAAGTCAGCTCCTGGGGCCGGCCGCCAGCCGGGCAAGTTCAGCCCCACCCGAGCGCCCGCCCTGGGGCCCTGGGTCACTCAGCGCGCCCGGCCGTGACCAGGGAGGTGGGGCGCGGGGCGCAGTGGCCGCGGCGGCCGGGAGGGGGAGCCGGAGGCCCGCGGGCCGGGGGCGGAGCGCGCGCGGCGCCGAGCGGACGCGCCCCCGCGCCAAGGTGCAGGCCGGGCGCAGCGGGCGGCGGAGCGCGGTGAGTGCCCTCGGGCGCCGGGGGGTGGCAGCTGCCGGGGCCGGGGGCGCCGCGGGGCCGGGGCCGGGGCCGGCGCGTGTCCGGCCGTCCGCGGCGCGGGTGGGGAGCCGGGCGCGTCCTGCGCACACGTGGCCGCGGCCGGGGCTCGGGCCCGGAGGACGGGCCGGGCGGTGGGGGCGCGCACGTGGCCCCCGCCCCGGCCGGGGCCGCGCGAGGGCGGGGTCGCCCAGGCCGGGAGGACGGCGTGGCCGCCGGGCAGCCCCGGGGGCAGCGGCCGGCCGGCCTCGGAGCCTCGCCGCGGGGGCGTCCTGCGCCGCCTTTGTCCGGGCTGGGGCCTCCGGGACGCGGCCCCGGGAGGCCGGCGGGAGAGGCCGGCAGTCCCGGGCCGCGGGTGGCCGCAGGGCCCGGCGTGGGGCCGGGGCCGCGCGGTGGCTTCGCAGCGGGGAGCGCAGCCCCGGGGGTCTGGGAGCGGCCCCATGGCGGGGGGACCCCAAGGCCGCCCCGCGGCCCCGGTTCCCCGGCCGTGCGGGAGCCGCGCGGGGCGGGGCGCCGGGGCTGGCCGGGCCGCGGGCTCCATGGCAACGCGGGGCGCTGGGGGAGGGCCCTCCGCCGGCTGCTGTCGGCCCCCCCGCACGTGCCGCCCGCCCAGCGGCTGGCGGGGCCGCGTCTGGAGGCCCCGGGAGCGGCCGGCGGGGCGCGGGGTCCGAGGTTCAGGGCCGGGGCTGCTCCCGGCGGCGGCGCCCGGGGCAGGGCCGGGTCGCGGACGCGCCCGGGCAAGGGGCGGCGCGGCGAGGGCAGAGGCCGGGCGCCCCCTGCGCCCCTTGCGCCCTCTGCGCCCCCTGCGCCCTCTGCGCCCGCGGGGTGAGCCGCTGCCCCGTGGCGCCGCGGCCTCTGCCCCTTCCCGGCGGGCGGGGGCCCCCGCCGCGCCCCGACCCCGCCCCGCCGCGCGGGGGACCCGGAGCCCCGCGCGCCCGCGGCCTCTCGCGGCCCTCCCCGGCCTGGAGAGCCGGCGGCGCGGGGGCCGCTGCCCGCGGCCCCCAGCGCCGCGGGGCCGAGGGGCTCCGCGCCCGGCCTGCGCCCCGGAGCGGCTCGCCGGGGCGCCGGGGCGGGCCCCCAAAGCGAAAGAGAAAGCGGCGCGCCCCGCCCGCCCCGGCGCCCCGCCCGCCCGCCCGCCCGCCCGCGGCCAATCCCGCGCCGCCCCCGCGCCCCGCCCGCCGGCCGCCGCCAGCCGCGCCGCGCCGAGGGCCAGAGCCGGGGCCTGCGCGGGGCGCGGTGAGCGGGGCGCGGGGCGCGGGCGGGGCGGGGCGCCGGCCCGGGGGGCGCACGCGAAGGGCGGCGGGGCCGGCCCGGACACGGGGCTGCGGCACGAGCGGCCGCGGCGGGCTCCGCGGGGCGGGGGCGCGGGGCGGCGGAGGGAGGCAGAGGGGCCCGAGGCCGCCTCGCCCCAGCCCTGCCCTTGGGGAAGGGGCCCCTTCGCCCCAGCCCACGGGGGGCCTGGAAGCTGGCGCCCCCCTCGCGCCCCCACGCCTGCGGCCCCCGGGCCTGGGCCGCCTCCTGGGGGTCCCGGAGGGGCGGCCGGCGCGTCGTCGGCGTGTGCGCGGCTGCTCCCGGGAGGCCGTGGGGGGGGCGCCTGGGGTCCGGGGAGGGCCTGGCGACGAGACACCCCCACGCCGGGGCGGGGGTCCCCACGGCGCGGGGGCGGGGAGCCCGGCTGGCACGCCGGTGCCGCCGACGCTGGCCCTTTAAAGGCCGGTGCCCGCGTGGGCACGTGAGCAGAGCGCGGCCGCCAGCGCCCGCGGGGGAGGCACGGAGCGGGGAGCCCCTGCCCCTCGGGTCTGGCCAAGGCTGCGGCCCAGGGGGACTCGCGGCGAGACCCCACCTGGCGGCCGTCCCCCGTGACTGAGCCCCTGGCCCCAGGACAGCGGGGGTGGCGTGAGTCCCCTGGAAGGCGCAGACGCCCGCTCGGCCTCACCTCCTGCGGCTGCCTGCTGCCATCACCTCCATGGCCGACAAGCAGATCAGGTCAGAGCTCGCCCCGTGCCCGCCCGCCCGCCCGCGACCTCTGCCCACGACCTTTGCCCACGACCTCTGCCCTGACCTCCTCTCCCGCAGCTTGCCAGCCAAGCTCATCAATGGCGGCATCGCCGGGCTGATCGGGGTCACCTGCGTGTTCCCCATCGACCTGGCCAAGACCAGGCTGCAGAACCAGCAGAACGGCCAGCGCATCTACACCAGCATGTGAGCGGGCGGGGGGCGGGGGGCGGGGGTTCCGGAGGCGGGAGGGCTCCCACCTGGCCTCACCCCGCCCCTCGCCCGCAGGTCAGACTGCCTCGTCAAGACCATCCGCGCCGAGGGCTACTTCGGCATGTACCGCGGTGAGGCGCGGCGGGCGGCGGGGCACCCCCACAGCCTCCGGCTGTCCTGGCACCTGGGCAGTGGGGTGGGGACAGCAGGCGGGGCAGGAGGCAGCAGCTGGGTCTGGGGTGGGTGACGAGGGACGGGATCAGGGAGAGGCAGCTCAGCCCCACCTGGGCGTCACCCCCACCAGGAGAGGGGATGGGGACAGGCCCGGCCCTGCACCCACATGGCCGAGCCACCACAGGCCAGGTGTGGCCTCAGGGGTGTCCTGGGGCGGCGCCAGGCGGGGCTGGGCAGAGGCGGGGAAGGGCAGAGGCGGGGAAGGTGCTGGGCGGCACAGTCCCGCCTGCCAGGGACCTGCCCCGCGTGGGCCAGAGCAGGAACAGCGCCGGGAGCGGGTAGGGCCTGGCCGCTGGCCGGGTGCTGGCCCAGAACCCGCCGCCTGGGCCACCCACCTGCCCATCTCCGGGTGCTGCCAGGAGCCGCCGTGAACCTGACCCTCGTCACCCCCGAGAAGGCCATCAAGCTGGCAGCCAATGACTTCTTCCGCCACCAGCTCTCCAAGGACGGGTGAGGGCCGGCCCAGGCGGGCGGGCTCCTTGCGGCAGGGCTCTGCCTCCGCGGCCCTCCCATCTGCAGGGCTTCCCGGGGGGCCACTGCCCGCCACATGGGGGCAGCAGCAGGTGCCCCACCCGGCCCTGGCTCCTCGGCCCCAGGCACCCTTGCTGCTGCCTCCAGGCTGGGTGGGGGCGCGACCCCGAGCCCCCCTCACTGGAGCTGGGGTGCTTCCCGAGGACTTGAGCTACCAAGTCCCCACTGGTCTTCCTGCTACGAGGCTGCGCCATTCTCCTGGCACCTGCCCTCAGGCACCTGTCGGCCCGGGACTGGGGACCTGCAGGACCGCAGAGGCTGGGATGCTTGTCCCCGCACACCCAGGGGCCAGCGACGCTAGGTCACCCCGAGGGCCCTGACTCTCCTTTGCGCCCCTCACTGCAGGCAGAAGCTGACCCTGCTCAGGGAGATGCTGGCGGGCTGTGGGGCCGGCACCTGCCAGGTCATCGTCACCACCCCCATGGAGATGCTGAAGATCCAGCTGCAGGACGCGGGGCGCATCGGTGCGCAAGGGGGTGGGGCGGGGTGGGGGGTGGGCAGGGGCTGCCCCTCCAGGAGGGAGAGCTAGCGGCCTGGTTCCTTTCCCCAGCTGCCCAGAGGAGGATTCTGGCCGCCCAGGCCCAGCTCTCTGCCCAGGGGGGTCCCCAGCCTGCAGCGGAGCCTCCAGCTGCCCCCCGGCCCACGGCCACCCAGCTGGCCCGGGACCTGCTGCGCAGCCATGGCGTGGCCGGCCTCTACAAGGGCCTGGGCGCCACGCTGCTCAGGTGGGGGCGCGCGCGGGGCCTGGCGCGGGTGTGGAGGGGCAGGGCGCCCCCACCCGTGGTCATTGCCGCCCCCCTGCAGGGACGTCCCCTTCTCCATCGTCTACTTCCCCCTCTTCGCCAACCTGAACCAGCTGGGCCAGCCGGCATCTGGGGAGAAGTCGCCCTTCTACGTGTCCTTCCTGGCCGGCTGCGTGGCCGGGAGTGCGGCAGCCGTGGCCGTGAACCCCTGTGACGGTCAGTGTGGGGGCTGGGGTCCCCTGGCGGGGCAGTGGGCTCCCGCCTGACACCCCTGTCCCTGCAGTGGTGAAGACCAGGCTCCAGTCACTTCAGCGGGGCGCCCATGAGGACACCTACTCGGGGTTTCTGGACTGTGCCAGGTGGGTGCGCGGGCGGGAGGGGGGACGGGGGGGCGGGGCAGGAGGATGGCCGGGGGCCACGCTGCTGACCCCGGTCCCCACAGGAAGATCCTCCGCCACGAGGGCCCCTCGGCCTTCCTGAAGGGCGCCTACTGCCGCGCGCTGGTCATCGCCCCGCTGTTCGGCATCGCTCAGGTGGTCTACTTCCTGGGCATCGCCGAGACCCTGCTGGGGCTGCTGCAGAACCCCCAGCCCTGAGCCAGCCGGCCCCCACACTCCCAGCCCCGCAGGACCAGGGCACGGCCGGCGTCTTTCCACACCCTTCCCCGCTGTGGACAGGGAGGCCGGGGAAGGGACACGGGCCCCAGGGGACTTCCCGACTCCATGCCCACTGGGGCCCATGTACTATGAAGTAGGAAATGCAGAACCTTCACATTCCTGGAGCCAGCACCCCCAGCTCTGCCTGGGCCGAGCACCCCAGGACAGAGCTGGTCTCTGGGCGGGGCGCCCCAGGCCCAGGCTGGGTGAGGTGGACCCTACTTCCCCGTCCACCGGTTCTTGTCCCTGAGCCGTGGCCCCTCACCCACAGAGGGGGCCTGTCCATACCTATTTATTAACCCACCAGGCACAGTGGCTCTCCGTGTCCACCTCCCCCGTCCTCCCAGCCCCCCTCTGCTTCCCCAGCCTGCCTTGTGGGGCATCAGGGGCTACCCCTCATGTTGAGCCAGGAATCCAGGCAGGGGTCCCACTGAGCTCTGCCTTCCAGGCAGAGCCCTCCCTTGTGAACCTCCACCCCTGCCGGACCCCAGGCTGGGGGCCCAGTGGAGAGGGTGTGTGCGTATGCGTGGCTGTGGGGCGCGCCCTTCCCGCACCCTGGCCCTGGGCTCTCGGATGACTGAATTTAATTATCCTGTCAGGCCCCTCTTGCCGCACCTTCCGCAGCCCCCTCTCCTGAGACCCCCACCCCAGGTCTGGGATCGGGCAGAGGCATGGGTGGTGGGAAGACCTGTATGGAGCTGGGGGCCTGATCTGCCTGGGGGCCGCCTGCCTGCCCAGCTCCCTCCCTTGGGGACTCTGCACAAGGCCCCCTGCACACTCCGAGAGCCCCCCAGCCCCTTCCCCTGCATCCCCGTGATGGCCCAGGCCCCGTGCCCACCTGCATCCCCGTGATGGCCGGGCCCCGTGCCCACCTGCATCCCCGTGATGGCCGGGCCCCATGCCCACCTGCGTCCCCGTGATGGCCCGGGCCCCGTGCCCACCTGTGCCCCCTTGATGGACGGGCCCTGTGCCCCCCTGCATCCCCGTGTTGACCCGGGCCCCGTGCCCACCTGTGCCCCCTTGATGGACGGGCCCTGTGCCCCCCTGCATCCCCGTGTTGACCCGGGCCCCGTGCCCACCTGTGCCCCCTTGATGGACGGGCCCTGTGCCCCCCTGCATCCCCGTGTTGACCCGGGCCCCGTGCCCACCTGTGACCCCGCGCCCCTGTGGTGGCTGCCCCTGCGTGCTGGTGCTGTGCCCGGGCCGCCCGCTCAGCGACACTCCCTGGGCCTGGGCCCTTCCCACCTCTGTACCTTGGAAGCTGCTGCTGCTGCTTACAGAAGTATATTTTTTTCTTTTGGAGAGTTTTAAGAAGTTGTAACTTTTGTGTCTCGTCATGTAAGAAAATTAATAAATATTCTAAGTAGACGCCGCCTCTGGGAGTCTGTTTGCCGCGCGGCTCCCCCTCCGCTCCCCTGCCCTGCCCCTCCCCTCCGCTCCCCCCCTCCCCTCCGCTCCCCCCCTCCCGCGGGCCTAGCGTGCGCCCCCCCAGCCAGCGCCCGCGCCCGCGCCCCCGCCGCCCAGCCCGGAGCGGAGGCGGGGCGCCCGCAGGCCCCGCCCCCGCAGGCCCCGCCCGCGAGCGCAGTGCACTGTGGGAAACTCCCGGTGCGCTCCATCCGCAGCCGCAGCCGCGCCCGCGCCGCCGTCGCCGCCGCCGGGCCCCGCGGAGAGCGCGCAGCGCCGAGGGGAGCGCGGGAGCAAGCGTAAGGCGGCGGCGCTGGGGGCCGCGAGCGGGCGGGGCGGGCGGCGGGCCTGGGTCCCCGGGGCGAGGCGGTGGCTCCCGGCCCTGAAGGTCACCGGCGGCGCTCCGGCCCCGGGCTCGCCGGGCCGCGGCAGCCCCGGAGGGGGCAGGGGAGCCCGGTGACGTCAGTGCGAGGCAGAAATAACCCGGGGTCTGGCGGGGCGCGGGTGTGGCCGATCACCTGCCCCTCACGAGCCCCGGGGCCTGCAGCGGGGACCCCTCCAGCAGAGGCGGCGTGAGGGGCTGCTGGGGTCCCTGGGAAGTGGGGCGCACCTTCACACTGTGACCTTCAGGCGACCTTCAGTGTGGTTAGTGTGCCGGCACGGGGCGGGGGGAGCCTGGGGAGCCCCCGCTCACTGGCGCCCCTCCCTGTGGGTGGGGGCCGGGTTCCCCGGGGTGCAGGGTGCCTGGGCCTCCACCCTCTCTAGCGCGGCAGCTTGGGCACGGGGTCTGATGGGGCAAAGCCTTCCCTGCAGCCCACAGCCACCCCCCTCAGGTGCGGAGCCCAAAGGCCGACGGCCCGGCCGGCTCGGACAGCAGGCTCCTGCCGGAACTGCCTTGGCCTCTGGAGCAGGAAGGACTCCGGAAGGACTCCCTGCCCTTGAGCTGGAGCAGGCCGGGCCGGTCTTGGGGGGGCAGAAGTTAGGGAGTGGCACATGACCTGCTGGGAGCCACAGAGCCCCTGCTGCCCGCCTGGCCCCTCCAGCCTCCTGGAGACCCCATCTTTGTCACACCAGGTCCTAGTGGTCTGGGCCCTCTCCCACCCTGCAGACCCCGAGAACCTGGACTCAGGTCCCATCCTGTCCGCCTGCCCTGGGGCCCAACCCCTCTGTGAGGCTGGAGTTCCTCCGGGTCCGGAGTCTGCAATGTGTGTTGCCGGGGGCCAGCCCGGCTGCTGTCTACCCCAGGGGCTGGACCCCCCAGGGCAGAACGCTTGGAGGGGAGGGCTCGGAGCCCCTGGCCTGCGGCCCCTGTGTGGCCGGAGAGCGTTGGGCACACCAGACCAGGCCCTGGAGAAGGGGCTGCCCGGACACGGGCCTCCTGTCCCAGCCTCATGGTGTCTCCCTGCAGGCCCATGTAATGCCCAGGTCTGGGCTGTCCTGAGCTGCCGTGGGCTGCCCGCCACACGCACCTGCCTGCCTGCCGCCATGGAGTCCAGAGGGAAGTCGGCTGGCAGCCCCAAGCCGGATGCCAAGGCGCCCCAGGCCACTGCCGAGGCCAAAACCCCCGCAGCTGTGGATGGGAAAGCCCCCTTGGCCAAGCCGGGGAAGAAGGAGGCCCCGGTGGAGAAGCAGGAGCAGCCAGCGACCCCAACCCCGCCTGCCAAGAAGGCCCCCGCCAAGGCTGACCCCGCCCTTCTCAACAACCACAGCAACCTGAAGCCGGCCCCCGCGGCCCCCAGCAGCCCCGGCGCCGCCCCGGAGCCCAAGGGCCCTGGGGACGGGGCTGAGGAGGACGGGGGCACCGGCGGGGCCCTGGTGGCCGCGGTCCCTGCCCCTTTGAGAACTTGACACCCCTGCTGGTGGCTGGGGGGGTCGCCGTGGCGGCGGCTGCCCTGATTCTCGGTGTGGTCTTCCTGGCCCGGAAGAAATAATGCCCGGCGTCCGGGGGCAGCCACCCCGCGCGCAGGGAAACTAGTGCATGCCGAGTCACATAGCCGTCCCTTCCGCACCCGCACGCCCCGCGAGCACAGGCGCCCCGTAGTCAGAGGAGAGCGGGCCGCCCCGCCCCGCCCCGGGCAGGGTCCCCAGGCTCACCCGCCAGCCTGCACCGGGGCCCCGGCGGCCCAGGGCTTCCCGCGGTCCCGGTGGGCAGGGGCTGGGCTGGACATTAAAGGGTGCGGCTGTCCCACTCACCCCGTTTCTGCTCTTTGCCTGCAGCTAGGGGTGGGGGGCCCAGCGGGCTGACCGGAGGGGTGCCATCGCCCCACGCCCGGCTGGTGGACACAACCCAGAGGCAGCTCGGGTTTCCTCGCCAGCGCCAGGAGCCCGAGCTGGGGCCGCCGTGCTTCCTGCCCCCCCACCCCAGTCCCGCCCTGTCTGGGGCTCTGCCCGCACGTGCAGGAGGAGGGCTGCAGCCGCGGGACCCCTCACTGCCCTCCCCGTCGGGCCCTGCGTGGCAGCTGCGGCGGCTCTGAGGGTGGCGAGCGCGTGGGCACCTCCTGGCCAGCCGGCGCGGGAAACCTGAGTGGGAGTGGCCCGAGTCTGAAATAAACTGTCCGAGGCTGGTCTGGGCCCTTGTCTGCTGGGGGGTCCCTGCACACCTGGGTCCCCAGGGCACCTGCCCCGTCCCAGACAGCCACAACCAGGCCTCCCCCCCAGCCCTCCTCCCGCCTCCCTGCCCTGGCACTGGGGGGGGGGTGCTGTGGGGCCACACTGCCTGGGCTGCCCACCGGAGGGCAGAGCTGGCCATGCCGTCCAGGCCCTGCGGTGGTGGGGGGCCTGGCCTCCAGACGGACCCTCTAGCCACAGGAGCCTCTCCCACCAAGGCCCCAGCGTCTCCCCCCCTTGGAGGGGTGAGGAAGAGCCCCCCCCCCATTGCCCTCCGAGCCCGCTCTGGGCACGTCCAGGGGCAGGGCCTGCCGGGGAACGTCCCACTTGTGGGCTGGGGTCCCCCGGCCCTGAAGGGGTTCCCCAAGGGGACGTTTTGCAAGCAGAGAGCCCGGGGGCGCGGGGGGTGCGGTGCGCTTCACGTTGCCTTTAGTCACGTTGCCTTTAGCTCGCTCGGAACAAACCCAGGCGAGAGGAGCCCCGGGCCAGGGTCTGGTGGGGGTGGGGCTCGTGGGCCACAGGGAAGCGGAGGTTGGGGGGCCCATTTCCCTTGCCCTCACGCCTCTTGGGGACCGTGTGGTGCACCAGGTGACCAGGGGGCTGGCCAATGCCTCCCCCTTGCTGCCTCCAGAGGGCCGGAGGCCAGAGAAAGAGGGGGCGGGACTCGCTGGACGCCCCGCCTGTGGGTCAGGGCGCTGAGTATGGGCCTCTGACACCCTGGCCCCGCGCTCGCTGCCCCAGTGACTGGACGGGGCGCGCCCAGGTGGAGTCAGCCAGGGGCCCGCTGCTCCCAGGCGCTGGGGTCAAAGGCCACCTTGCCTTGGCCAGAGGAGCCCCTGGAGCCAGGGCGCTGCAGGAACTGGGAGAAACTGGGTGGGGCACGGGCTGAGGCATCCCTGCCCTCGGGGCTGCCCGTGGTGACCTGGTGCTGTGGTGACCTGGCGGCGTCACCTGTGGAGGGGACGCCCTGGCAGGGGCTGGTCAGAGGGCTGACGGGCAGAGAGCAGCAGGGGCCGCTGCGGGCCAGGCTGGCTGTGCCCGAGGAGGAAGTCCCCGAAGGAAGCCGGTGGCCGGCGGGCTGGTCCCAGGGCTGCCCGGCCCAGAGCCCGCCGTCAGGGACGCCGCCCGCTGTGTGGGAGGACACTTGCCGTGGGTTGTCCCCAGGGGAAAACTCCCCGGCCACGGTCGACAGGGGACCCTGTGGCACGGCAGGGGCCCCCGACGAGGCAGCTGCCTGCCTGGGCGTCCCCACCGGGGCCGGAGAGGGTCCCCCGCCCTGCGGGTGCCGGCACACAGCTGGCGTGACGGGTGGGCCTGCGGGGCTGGGGCTGCTGCCCAGCAGTTGGGGAGTAGCAGGCCATACCCTGGGAGCACCCAGGGTGCTCATCTGTCCCGTCCTCCCTACTGGACAGGGGCAGATGGGCTGACGGGGGTGCGGCGCATTGTCGGGTGGGGCGAGGTGCCGCCAGGCTGGTCCGGGCCCCCAGCCTCTGGCCAGAGCACATGGCAGCGGGTCTGGAGGGGCCCGAGGGAGGCTGGCCTGAGGAGCGCCCCCACCTGCTGACCCTCCACCCGCCCGGACGCCCCCCTTCCCAGCTGGCCCTGCGGCTCATCTAAGGGCGCCCTTGACCCTCTACACTCAGCCACCGCAGTGCCCCACGCAGGACGTGACGCCCCGGTCTCCCAGGGACTCAGCTGAACCCCAGACCTGGGACCCTCAAGGAGCCCACCAGGGTGGCCTTTGGCCCCGCGGGCCGTGGCAGGGGCCTGCACTTGCCCGCAGGTCTGGGCCGGGCACGGGAGCAGGAGCCCCGTGAGCGCGGCTGGTCATTCTCGCCGGCGGAGACTCACGGCCCAGCCCCGCCTGGGCCGCCGGCGACCCGGGTATGGGGTCCTCGCGCCGCAGCCGGTGACCCTGGTCCCCCCACCCCAGGCGCTGCCGGGTCGGCGGCGGGAGGGGACCTGGGCCGAGTCAGGGAGGGACGGGAGCACAGCGGGGGCGGGGGGGGGGGGAGGTCGCGTGGGCGCCCCGTCCTTGGGACGCCCAGAGCCGGGAGGGGACGCAGCCGTGGGGGCCGCAGCGAGGTGCGCCTGCCTGCGGGGGGGGCGCACCTGCCTGCTGGGGGGGGTCGCACCTGCCGGCGGGGGGGCGCACCTGCCTGCGGGGTCGCACCTGGCCGCGGGGCGGGCGCACCTGCCGGCGGGGGGGCGCACCTGCCTGCGGGGTCGCACCTGCCGGCGGGGGGGCGCACCTGCCTGCGGGGGGGCGCATCTGCCTGCGGGGTCGCACCTGCGGGCGGGGCGGGCGGCGCGCGCCGGGTCCCGCGAGGCCCCGCCCCGGCCGCCGCGCACGTGACCCGCCGCTGCGCGCGCAGCCGCCCCGCGCCCGCCCCGCCCGCCCCGCGCGCCCGCCCGCCGGGCCCCATGGCCTCCGAGCGGCTCCCGAGCCGGCCCGCCTGCCTGCTGGTGGCCAGCGGCGCGGCCGAAGGTGAGCCGCGCGGGGTCCGGCCGCCGCAGAGCGAGGGGCGCCGCGGGCAGGGGCGGGGCGGGAGGGCGCCGGGGCCCCGGGGCGGCGGCGGGAGGGGGCGGGGCGGGAGGGCGCCGGGGCCCCGGGGCAGCGGGGGGGGCGGAGGGGGCGGGCGGGGCGGGAGGGCGCCGGGGCCCCGGGGCGGCGGGGTGGGCGGGGGGGGGCGGGGCGGGAGGGCGCCGGGGCCCCGGGCGGCGGCGGCGGGGGCGCGGGGCGGGAGGGCGCCGGGGCCCGGGGCGGCGGCGGGGGGGGGGCGGAGGCCTCGGGCCGGGCCGGGCCGGGCCGGGCGGGCGCTGGACGGGCCGCTCTCGCGCAGGCGTGTCCGCGCCGTCCTTCCTGCACTGCTTCTCGCTGGCCGGCGCCGCCTTCAACCTGCAGGTGGCCACGCCCGGGGTAAGCTGCCCACGGGCGGGCGCGGGGCGGGCCGGGGCGCGGGGCCGCGGGCGGGGCGCCGTGCGGGACCCTCACGGGCCCGGGGCCCGCAGGGGCGCGCCGTGGACTTCGCGGACGTGAGCGAGGGCACCGCGCGCGGGGTGCAGGACTTCCGCCTCAAGGCCTACGCCAGCCCGGCCAAGCTGGAGTCCATCGACGGTGAGCGGGCCGAGGCCGAGGCCGGGGCGTGGGGGGCCGTGGGGGGCTGTGGGCCTGCAGCCCTGCTGGGCTCCACCTCGGGCTGACCTGCGTGTGGTCTCCCAGGCGCCCGGTACCACGCGCTCCTGATCCCCAGCTGCCCTGGGGCGCTGGCTGACCTGGCCAGCAGCGGCTCCCTGGCCCGTGTCCTGCAGCACTTCCGCTCCGAGAGCAGTAGGTGGCCCGGGCCTGGGTGCAGGGTGGGGGGTGCCGGGCAGCAGCCTGAGGGACCCAAGCCTGGAGCTGGGTGGGGTCGCTGTGGGGGCAGTAAGGAGCTGGGTCTGCCTGGGACTGGGCGGGGCTCGCTACTGGACATGTCCAAGGGGACCGTGACATCCCGTTCCTGGCTCAGGGTCTGCGGCCCCAGGGAGCCTGCCCGGGGCAGGACTATGGTTTGGGGGGCAGGCTCCCGCGAGGGTGGTGTCGGGGTGGCTGGGCGGGGAGCGGCCTGTCTGCGGGGCCTCACCGCGCCCTCGCCCACCAGAGCCCATCTGTGCCATCGGCCACGGTGTGGCCGCGCTCTGCTGCGCCACCAACGAGGACGGGTCCTGGGTGTTCCGAGGCTACAGCCTGACGGGGGTAAGCTGGGGCTGGCGTCCACCCTGTTGGCAGGTGACCGCTGCGGGTGGTCCTGGCACCGAGCAGCAGCTCTGCCCCCCCATGCTCCAGGATGGCCGGGCTGTAGGCGAGGCTGCAGTGGCTCAACCGGCAGTGGATATCACGGTGGGAGGGACCTCAGGGTGGGTCTGGCCTCTAATGAGGGCCAGGGGTGCAGGGACCCAGGGCTGAGCCTGGAGCCAGGGAGGACCCAGAGCGAGGCTGGGCAGGGTGGGGTCCTGGGTTGGTGCCCACCCCCTGGGGTCACCCAGCAGCTGCTGGGGCAGGGTGGAGCATCCTCCGGCCCTGCAGCCTTGCAGCCCTGGGGTGCCCGCCCGCCCACAGCCCTCTGTGTATGAGCTGGTCCGGGCTCCGGGCTTCGCGCACCTGTCCCTGGTGGTGGAGGACTTTGTGAAGGACGCAGGTGCCAGCTTCAGTGGTAAGTGGCCGACGGCAGGGGCTGCCGAGGGTGCAGGCGGGCGGGGTGGGCAGCAGTGCCCTGAGCCTGTGCCTGGCCTCCCGCAGCCAGTGAGCCAGACGCCCTGCATGTGGTGCTGGACCGCCACCTGGTCACTGGGCAGAACGCCGCCTCCACCGTCCAGGCTGTGCAGAACCTGCTCTTCCTCTGCGGCAGCCGGTGAGGGCCAGGGCAAGGGGGGGCGGGCACCCACGGTCCCCAGCCTGACAGCAGTCTGTTCTACAGGAAGTGACCTGGCCCTGGACAGCTCAGCTGTCCCCTGAAGGAGCCAGACACCCGCCTGCCGCCTCAGCCCTCCAGTGAACCGGCCTCTGGCACTGAGTGACCACCAGCCCCTCCCGTCCAGGGGGCTCACTCCATGTGGGGTCCCATGCTGGGCCCCAGCCTGCAAAGAAGGGGCTTCATGACACACCCTGGGTGAGGCTGGGCACTCTCCTGACTTGAGAGCGACAGCTGTGCTTGGACCCCAACTTGGCGCCCATAGGCTTGCTGTGGACATGGGCTGTCGTCCACCTAGCTCCCCAGGGTGCCTGGCCTGGGGCTCCGGACACTGCTCTGGCTCTGCAGCCCCCCAACCCCTTCAGGCGCCCCTGGCAGGAGCCCAGGCATTGCAGCCAGGTGCCCTGGCACCCACATGGCCCCAGCCATGCCCATAGCAGTGCTGATGGCGCCGGGGGCAGCCCTGGCCTGGTGACCTGCCTGCTATCCTCAGGCCCGGGGCGGCCCCTCGCCTGGAGGGCTCCAGGAGGACCCAGTATCTTGCGAAATAAACGCCTGCCCTGTCAGCCCGTGTCTGCCTGGTGGCGGCGCCCTGTGCTGTCTGCTGGGCGGGGGCCTCCCACGGCAGGTTGGGATCGCGTTCCCTTGGGGGTGTCCGGAGGCGCAACTCACAGGGGTGGGGCAGGGCTGGACACGGATCTCCTTTCTGGGTGAAAGGAGTCGGGGGACAGCACCTGCTGCCCTGACCTGATGGCCCCAGCCTGCCTCTTGTGGCCTCTAAGGTGGCAGCTGTGGTTTTGGCGGAGGCAGAGACCAGGGTTAGAGGGTCAGGCTGAGGTGACGACCCCGCACTAAGGGGACCTGGGGCCCCACACATCCTGCCTGGGCCAGACCCGCCCGCCCTGTAGGGGAGGCAGCCCCACCCTTTGGGAGACGGGGGTGCAGGGGAGGGCTTGGGGCCCATGTGGGGCCCTTTGCTCCACCAGCCCCTCCCGGCCAGGACCAAGGGGGTCTCAGCTGAGGGGGCCAGGGGCTCCCCTGGAGGCCCCACAGGGCAAGCCTCTCCCTGCACGCCAGAGCTGCCCGCAGGACGCGTGGTCGGGGGTGGGGGGCAGCCCAGCCCGGGGCGGCCCGTGGGCGCGCGGCACAGGAAGCGACTGCTGGTGCGTCAGGCAGGACTTTACGTCAAATCGGAACCCGCGCCTGCCCGCCCACCCGCCCGCCGTCCAGGCGCAGGACTGGTCACCCGCGCGATGGGCCGCTGCGGCTCCGGCGTTACTTCCCGTTCTCGGCGCTGAACATCCGCTCCTGGGGGTCGGCAAGAAGGGGTGCCTCAGCCCCGGTCCCCGCCCCCCTCCCCGCCCGCCCTGGGGTGCCCACCCGGCCGCGCCCGCCCTCACCGTCAGCATCCGCTCCAGCTTCAGGGCGTCGGCCGCGAACTTGCGGATCCCGTCCGAGAGCTTCTCCACGGCCATCTGGTCCTCGTTGTGCAGCCAGCGGAAGGCCGCCTCGTCCAGGTGCAGCTGCTCCAGGTCACTGGCCTGGGCTGGGGGACAGAGAGGGTCCGCGCGCGCCCGCCCACCCCTCCGGACAGCCCCGCCCGCCCGCCCGCCACGCACCCGCCTTGGCCGAGAGCGCGGGCGTCAGCTTGGACGTGTCCTTGAGCAGCTCGCCCAGCAGCTTGGGCGAGATGGTGAGGAAGTCGCAGCCCGCGAGCGCCTTGATCTCGCCCGTGTTCCGAAAGGAGGCGCCCATGACGATGGTCTTGTAGCCGAACTTCTTGTAGTAGTTGTAGATCTTGGTGACGCTCCGCACGCCTGCAGACACACCGTGTCCAGGACAGCCGGGCAGGCGCCCGCTGCCCGCGCCGCCCACGCCTGGGGCCCACCCCCCAGGGCTGGGGCCACACTCAGGCTCCGAGGGGCGACGCACCGGGATCCTCCAGGGGCTCATACGATTTCTTGCCCGTGTTGGCCACATGCCAGTCGAGGATGCGCCCCACGAATGGGGAGATGAGCGTCACCCCCGCCTCGGCACAGGCCACGGCCTGGGCGAAGGAGAAGAGCAGCGTCATGTTGCAGTGGATGCCGTGCTGCTCCTCCAGCTCCCTGCGGGCGGCAAGCAGGCAGGCATCAGGGGCCGGCAGCGCATGCGGGAATCTTGCTGCCCAGACACCCAGGACAAGTGCCCGCCCCTCCCCCAGGTCGGCAGCCGCTCCCTGGACAGGCCAGTGGCCACCGGCACAGCTGCTGCTCCCGGGCCCTGCTCCCCAGTCCCACGGGGCTGCCGCAGGCCAGGCTGTGGAGCCCACAGCCAGCCTGGACATGACACCGGCCACCCCGCTCCTGGGCAGGTGCCCAGCAGCGGTCATGGGGGCGGGGGGGGGGGGCGCTGGCCTGCGGCCCCCAGCCAGATACTCACTTCCCAGCCTGGATGCCCTCCCAGGTGGACGAGAGCTTGATGAGGATCCGGTCCTTGCTGACCCCCACCTCCTGGTACAGCTCGATGAGGCGCCGGGCCCGGGCCACCATGGCCGCCTTGTCGAAGGAGAGCCTGGGGGAGGTGGATGTGACGGGGTTGCTGAGGCCCCGCCGGCCCGGGTGCAGGCAGGGCAGCCGCTGGACCGCCCCCCCGGCCCCCGCCCACCCCCTGGCCGCACCTTGCGTCTACTTCCGTGGACACGCGGCCCGGAATCTTCTTCAGTATCTCTGCTCCAAACACCACGAAGAGCTTATCCATCGCGTTTTTAATCTGCTCCTCTTGGGACCTGGAACCGGGGAACAGCCGCTGAGCAGCCAGCCAGGCGGACGTCCCCGCCAGGCCCGGGGAAGCAGCTGGACATCAGCACCTCGGCTGAGCCAGGCGCCCCTGCAGCCGCTGCCCACACCTCCTCGCTCTACACTGGCCCCGTCCCCAGCACTGGACAGGGCCCTTGCCAACCTCGCCCATGTCCTGGGCAGCCTGGCGCCAGCGGGGTCTGGGGCACCCTCACCTGCCACCGCTGTGGGAACACCGGGGTGGCTGGTGCTGCGGGGAAGGAAGCGCCGCTGCCAAGATGGGGTGTGGTGGCCAGGGCAGGGTGCACCCCCCCAGGCAGGACCTGACCCTCAGGGCATGGAGGGACCGGCTGGCCCCACTCAGTTGCGGGTCACTCTGGTGAAAACAAAGTCCGGGGCCTCTCTGGGGGCACAGGGGTTAAGTCTCAGGCTGTCGCCACTGGCCTGAGTCCATCCCCAGCCAGGGAGCAGCCCATAGGGCGCAGCAGACTCTCCTGTCTCCCCGCGGCTCCCCTCAGCAGTGGATTCCAGTGGCTCCGCCTGCTCTGCTTCCCACTCTGTCTCTGGGGAGTCCTCTCCCCCCCGCACCCTGGTTCTTGTAGCATAAATAAAATGAATTTGAAAAAGGAAACGGAAGGTCTAACGAAGGCCACGCTCCAGGCTGGGAGCCGCGGCGGCGGGAGCGGGAGACTCGGAGGTGGGTGCACATGGGCGCACTGGGCCAGGGCCGGTGGTGCCCAGATCCCCCAAAACCCGGGACCACGCGTGGGGTTTGGCTCCAGCAGAGCTGCCGTGGCGAGGGGCCAGCAGCGGCGGGCGGGCACTCACCCGCCCAGTTTCCTGCCATAGGCCATGGCCTCCTCCACCAGGTCCTGGTAGGCGGGCATCTGGGCGGCGGCCAGGATCAGGGATGGATTGGTGGTGGCGTCCTGGGGCTTGTATTCCTCGATGGCTGGGGAGTCGGGGAGAGCGGGAGGTTAGCGGGGGCTCTGCGCCAGGACCAGGGATGCGCTGGCCTCGCACGCACCTCCTAGCCCTGACGGCCGGTGAGGGCAGCGTCTGCTCTGACAGACCCACCGCCACGGCGCCGCCGGACATGAGCCGCCCACTGTGGGCAACGGCAGGGGGGCCAGCAGCCAGGGCGGCACCGGCATGGGGGGGGGGCAGCAGCGGAAGGCAGACACGCCCACCGCCTTCTCCATGTTGGGTCTTTCTGTGGGAGCCGCGTCCCCAAGAAACAACACTTGGCTGGGGTCTCGCCGGCTCACAACAGGCTCACTCCCTGGCACGCTGGCCACACGCCTGGCCACCGGGCTACCCTGGAACACTCCTAGTTTTCAAAGTGACCTTTGATGGCACAGACCAGGGGAGACCAGGAAGGGGGGCAGGAGGACCCGGGCACCACCGTGGGCTCCCGCCATGGCCCTCACGGCGCGGGGCCTGGGAGGACCACCACGGGGCTCCCAGGGCCACCTGCAGCCGCGATCATCCCCAAGCGACGGCGGGCGGGGTGCGACGGGCACCCCTGCCTCCACCGTGCGGGTGGGGGCACAGGAGCCCGAGTCTGCGGAGGGCCAGTGCACCCGCGCTGGAGAGCAAGCCCCTCGGTGGACTGGGCAGGATGCAGGACAAGCCGCTCCAGCCGCGCGAGGCGGCCGGGGCAGGAAGCACGTCCTCACAGGGTGGCGAGGGCCATCACCCCAGCACGCCGCCCGGCCGCGCTACTTCAGAAGGGGCGCGAGTGCGGCCCCCCACCCGGTGGGGGTCAGAAATGCGCGGCCAGGGCCAGGGCCAGGGCCAGGGCCAGGGCAGGCGCCTCGGGCGGCGCGGCCGCCGCAAGGAGGGGCCGGGAGGGCAAAGTCCGCTGGAGGAAGCCCCGAAAGTGCTTATTCACCCCGCGCCTGGGTAAACAAGCCCTTGCCCAAGAGCGTCGAGCCAGTTTCTCAAGCAGCAGGAGGAAGCGCGGAGGGAAGTGGCCGCGGCGGCCAGCCCGCCCCCGCCCCCGCCCCCGCCCCTCCCCGTCTCCGCGGGCCTGTCCCCCTCAGCCCGGCCCCCGCCCCTGCCCGGCTCCGGCCCCCACCCGGGCAGCGAGCGGGCGCGCAGGAGGGCCGCGAGCGCCACGGGTTTTCGGCAGCGGGTGTCCCCACGCCCTGGGCTGGGGGCGGGGCGGGCACCCCAAGCCCCGGGGCGCACTCCGCTCCCGCCGGAGCCGGCTCTCCCCACCGCGGGCCCGGCGGCCACCCCTGACCCACTGACCGGCCGGGCCGGGCTTGGGGCGCCGCCAGCAGCTCGGGGCGCGGGGGCGGCGCGCCCGGGCGGGGGTTCCAGGGCGGCTCGCGCGGGCAGCTTCGGGAGCGAACCGGAGCCCAGCGCCGCGCCTCGGCCCCCGAGCCCCACCTTCCTCCCCGGAGCCCCGAGGGGCAGATTCCGGAGGCCGGGGCGGGGCTCAGTGGGGCGCGGGGGCGCGGGGTGCGCGGCGGGGCGCGGGGTGCGCGACGGGGCGGGGGGCGCGGGGTGCGCGGCGGGGCGCGGGGTGCGCGACGGGGCGGGGGCGCGGGGTGCGCGGCGGGCGCGGGGCGCGGGGGCGCGGCGGTGCGCGGGGGGCGCGACGGGGCGGGGGCGCGGGGTGCGCGGCGGGCGCGGGGCCGCGGGGGGCGCGGCGGTGCGCGGGGGGCGCGACGGGGCGGGGGGCGCGACGGGGGGGGCGCGCGGGCGGGGGGCGCGGCGGGCGCGGGGGCCGCGGGGGCGCGCGGGCGGGGCGCGCGGGGCGGGGGGCGCGGGCGCGGGGGCGCGCGGCGGGGGCGCGGCGGGCGCGACGGGGCGGGGGGCGCGGGGGGCGCGACGGGCGCGGGGGCGCGGGGGGCGCGCGGGCGCGGGGCCGCGGGGGGCGCGGGGCGCGGGGGCGCGGGGGCGCGGGCGCGGCGGGGCCGGCCGCGGGCAGGCGAGCGGCGGGCGGGCCCGGAGCGCCCCGCAGGCCCCCGGCCGGGCGCCGCGCTCACCGTGGAAGTCGCCGGTGTCGGCCACCACGGTGGTGAGCTGCCGCAGCTGCTCCAGGACGCTGTCCATCCTCGCGCGCTTCACCGGGGAGCCCGACATGGCGCGGCGGCGGCGGCGCGGCGGCGAGTAGCGCGCGGCCCACAATGCCTCGCGGCCGCCCCGGCGCCAGCCAATCGGAGCGCGGCGGGGCGGGACCAGGCCCCGCCCGCCCGCCCGCAGGCCCCGCCCGCCCGCAGGCCCGCCCCGCCCGCAGGCCCCGCCCCCGCCCTGGTCCGGACACCCGCGGGGCGAGGCGGGGACCCCCGCGGGCGCCGGCGCTGCAGCCCCTCGAGCGCTTGCTGCCCGCGCTCGGGCTCGGCCTCGGGCACGCAGGAAGGCCCCTGCGGCCCCCGCGAGCCGAGGCGCGGAGTGGCCGTCGCGCTTGGGGCCGCCTCTGGGCCGCCGTCTGGCCCGCCCCGGGGCGCGGGGAGCGGCGGGCGGCGGCGCCGGCTCCCTCCCGGGCTGAGGCCCCGCGCGCGGCCAGGGCCGGGCAGGGGCCGGGAGTCCAGCGCAGACCGGCCAGCACCGCGCCCGCCCCGTCCACCTGGCTTGGAAGCGGGGCTCCGGCTCCGGCTCCGGCTCCGCGCGCCCTCAGCCCCCACCCGCCGCCGCCGCCGGCCGGGCCGGGCCGGGCTTGCCCCGGTCTCCGCGGGGATCGCGCCTCCGCGGGCCTGCGCTGCCGCCGCCACCCTTCGGTTTCTGAAGCGGCGTCGGGGCGGAGGGGCCTTCTGCAGGGAGGTGGCCTGCCTGGCTCTGCCCTGTGGCCACAGTCCCGAGAATCCTCCAGGGTTGCAGGCGGGGCCTTTGGGGTCCGGGCTGAGCCCTCCTCCTTACTCCGCCCCTCCCCCCTGTGAGGGGCAGCCCCCTGCAGGAGAGAGGGGCTGGGGGTGGGGGCAGCCTCATGCAGATGCAGGTGTTTGCTGCCGCCCAGGTAGACCCCGGCCCTCCCCCAGCCAGAGTGGGGGTGCAGCCCCCACACCCACCCACCCTCCACCACCACCTCCCAGCGCCCAGGGCCCCGAGGCTTCTCCAGAGGTGGGTGGGGCACCGGCCACAGCCAGGGGAGAGCCTCTGGCCACCTGGGTCTCAGCGGGGCTGTGCCCACCCCAGCCTCTCTCTGGGCCTTTGTTTCAGTGGCCCCCAAGCGCCTGTAGCAGCTGCCCTGCCCCCATGCAGCCCCCGCCGCCGCCACACCACCCACTGAAGGTGCTGGCGCACAGGCCGCAGAGCCCATGGTCCTGAGCGCCAGGGCAGGTGTCCACTCACACAGCCATCTCAGCTCCCCGCCGGACACCAGCTGCATCACCTCCAGTGACAGAGATCAAAGCGGCGGCCACCCTCGGGTGGCGAGGGGCGCGGGGGTGCTGCCACCGGCTGGGGCTGTCAGGGCGAAGCTGAGCGAGTCCTAGGAACTGGCGCTTCCACTGCCCAGGCGCTGGCCCCGCAGAAGCTGGCTGGTTCCTCAGCGTCTCCCTCTGCCATCCGCGGCCTGGCCCAGCTGCAGGGCCTGTGGGCTGAGAGCACAAGCGGTGCAGAGCAAGGGCCAGGATGGCCTCCCTGGAGGGTCCTGCAGCGCCCAGGCCTGGCTGCTGCCCCATGTGCCCACCGCGTACCCTGACAGAGCTGGTCCTCAGGCCCAGCCACCTCAGCGGTGCGGCCCAAAGCCAGGCCCTTGGGGGCCACTGAACCCCAGCTCTTCTACACACAAATAAATAAATCTTTAAAAAAAAAAAAAAAGAGGGCCTCCCTGGTGGTGCAAGGGGTTAAGCACCACACTGGGAAGCTGTCTGTAGCCTCTGCAGCAGAGTTCAATCCCCAGCCGGCCAAGGAGTGACCCACAGGGCGCAGCAGACCTCTCCCGTCTCCCCGCCGCTCCCCTCAGCAGTGTATTTCATCAGTCTGCCTGTTCTGCTCCCCACTCTGTCTCTGGTGAGTCCTCTCACCCAGCACCTCTGGCCTGCACCCCAGCTCTCGTGTGCATAAATAAATAAATCTTAAAAAAGAAAAAAAAAGACCAGGTTCATCAATTTCACATTTTTTCCCTACAATGGGAAAGTGGAGGTGGCGGGAGCCCCGCGGGGCGCTGACCCCGCACTGTGGGGTCCAGCCGGCTGCCTGTGGCCCGAAGAGCATGTCCCCTGTGACCCGCCCCTGGCTGGCTGGCAGCCTTGGGTGGGGGCAGGTGACCTCTCAACTTCTCTCCTCTCTTAAGCTTCCTGTTTAGAAACCTGCTTTCAGCGGGGAAGTGGCCCTGGGGCGGGTACTGCCAGGAGGGTGGGGAGGGGCGGGCAGGCGTCTTTGATCCCCCAGGTCAGTGGCCACAGGGGCAGAGGTGGGGAGGGGTCCAATCTGGGCCAGGTGGGGGCCAGAGCTCCGCTGCACTCAGTAACCATGACCTTTTTATCTGTTTCCTCCCTTTTCAGACCCATGCTGGCCTCTACACACCTCGTGGGCCTCAGGTGTGCCCCCATGGGGTTTGCGCTTCTCGCCAGCCAACATCACCCCGCTTGGAGCTGGGCTATCCACGGCCCTGGGTCTCAGGCTGCGCCCCTGCAGCCCTGGCGCCACGGGGCCGCTTGGCTCCGCCTGTCCCTCCGCAACATCCGGCTCTCTGCTCCGAGAGCCAGGGCGTCCTCCAACGTCTCTGGCACCCTGGGGTGCTGGGGCTGTCCCCACACAGGCATCCCGTGGCAGGTGGAGAGTGGCTGTCCCTGCCCCGGGCCCCGCGGCATGCCCCTGTGGCTCTGCCTGGAGTCTGCACACACTGAACCAGGGTGCAGGCTCCTGGGGGTGGCCTCTCCAGATGTTGACCACGTCAGGAAACACAGTGGACGTTTTCAGACTCGCTCTGATCCTTTCCCTTCTGGAAAGCCACAAGGCCGGCCTCGGGAGAGAGGCCAGCGGGCCATGCAGAGCTGGACAGAAGCTGTCTGGGCAGGGGCACTCCAAGGGCCCATCCGAAGACCCTGGCTGGCCCCACTAGCCTCGGCTCTCCGGAAGCTGTGGTCAGAAGCCTCTGGACCAGCACCCAAGGGCTCCCAGACGGGGTGAGGACCAGGGCCACCGCCTCTCTGGAGGTTTCCTCCCGCTGGTCTCCTCCCGTGGGGCTTGGCTGCCTGCTGACCACTGCCAGGAAAGGGACAGGGCCTGTGCTGCCTGCAGGCAGAGGAGGGAGAAGAACCGGCTGGGAGACTCTGGCCCAACAGGATGCAGCCTTGCCGGAGGGGAGCTCCCGTGCCTGCCAGGGGCCGCCCGAGCCTCCCCTGCCCCCATGACCCCAGGCGCGTCCGGGTCACCCACAGCAGCTGGGAGCACCGAGGTCCCTCCTTGGGCGGTGCCGGGCATCCCTGGGCAGCAGACAGGACACCCCACGGAAGCGGGAGTGGAGCTGGGAGCCGGACAGGCCAGGCCTGGGCGAGCGCGGTGGCCGCCCAATCTCGACTTGTAGGGATTTTATCCACCATTCACCAAAAGGTTTGCTTTTGCTTTTTTTATTTTTAAATAGTAGGATTTACATCTTCTTGCAGTTAATTCTGTAAAATAGTCTTTAAAAATGTGCCATGCGGGAAACAGCCCCCACGCGCGGCTGGGCTGCCCTGGTGGGGGGGGCACCCAGGCCCGGCCCTGCCCACCGCCCTCACCCAGCTGTGTCCCAAGCAGCCCAACTCCACCAAGTCTCCAAAGACTTGCCCGAAACCAGACCCAAGCACCTTCCATGTGCCCCCTAAACCTCACGTGTACCCCATCGCTGCCAGCCCCCTAGATGCTTGAGGCAGGTGGGCATGGAGCGTCAATGGTCCTGTCTGGGGCGCTAGGGAAGCTGGGGGGGCTGGGGGCTGGGGGCGCTGAGGCTGGGAAGCTGGGGGCGCTTAGAGGCTGAGTGCACTGGCGAGGATGGGGGCTTGAGGGGCGGCTGGGAGGCTGAGGGCGCTAGTGGCCCTCAAGGGCACTGGAGGTGCTGGGGGGCGCACAGGGGCTGGGGGTACTGGGGGTCCTAGCGCAACGCTGGAGAGCAGACTCCTGTGAAACTGGGCAGCGTGGGCGCGGGAGCCGCGGCCCGGCGGCGGCCAGTAGGCGGAGTCTCGTCTTTGGGCCGAGTTGCTGGGGAGCCACCGCCCAGCAGGGCTCCCGGGAATACAGAACCCTCTGCCTCTGGGACCCGCGGACCTCTGGGGGGGCCGCCCCAGGTGGGGTGCGGCAGGCGACGTTCACCTGCCCAAGCCCGCGGCACCACGTCCACAGCCGCTCGCCGGGGGGCTCTGGCTCCCCTCCACCGTGGGTGGTGTCTCGCGGGCACCCCGAGACCTCGGGTGGAGAGCATCTCGCGGGTGGCGCCTCCAACACTCTCATTTCTGGGTGAAAGCGCGGATGCGGCGCGCCGTGCTCCTGGAAGGACACGGGTCAGCTCGGGGGGCCGGTCGGCGCGGGCCCCAGCGGGGGCGGTGGGCTCCAGAGGCGGCCCAGGCGCCGCGCTGGCCGGGCACCTGCCGCCAGCCCCGGCGCCTGCCCCCTGCTGGGGCCGCCCGGCACCAGCGCAAACAGCCCAGGGCAGGGGCCGGGAGAGTGCCCCGCGAGTTGGGCCTGGGCGGGGTGGCCGTGCTGAGCCCCGCTGGGCACCATCACCCGCCCCCACAGCGGCTGCCACCCCCCCAGGCCAACAGGTGCTGCAGCGTGGTGGGGGCGCTCCCCCCCCCCATTAAGGTGTTTTGTAAAGGTTAACCAGAACAGAACAATTTAGAGAAAGGCCTGTCCTGGGCGGGGCGGCCCCTCTCGCTTCCTGGCCCAGCCGGCCGGGAGAAGGGGCAGCAGCCTGGCCCCCCTGCGGGCACAAAGACAGCCTGTCCCGAAGACAGGGCCGCCTTGTTCTGGATGCCGGCTGGTGGCACCGCTGGGCACAGGGCCTCCCGCTGCCCCGGGAAGCTCTGGCCCCAGGTCAGGTGCCCACCTCCTCCCGGCAGCCCCCGTGGGAGGGGCCGGCTCCGCGAGGTCCAGCCGGCTGCCCTGACAGTGGCTCCCGCAGCCACACCTGTGCACATGGGCTCTGTCCTGCTCAGGGGCAGGCCCGGGCAGGCGGGGTCCGTCCGGGGCCCTGAGGTCTGAGCAGACGGGGGCCAGACACCTGGGAGCGGCAGCCCCTGAGCCCCTGGGCTGGGGGGGACACAGTGGGAGGCTGTGGATGGGAGGCGCCAGGGGCCCCCGGAGATAAGGCCATGCTGCGAGGCAGAGCGTGTGAGGGGGTGAGGGGTGGGGGCACCCACTGAGGGCAGGGTAAGTTGAACATCCCCATGCAGCACCTTCAAAGGGGGCTCAGCCGAGCGGGGCGCCCTCTCATCCTGGTGGTTCCAGACTAGTGGGGTCTGTCAGCATGCCCCTTTTCCTCTTGGGTCCCACCTGCCCGCCTGCAGGGCCCTGTCCGGGCCTCAGGTACCCCCTCCTGGCTTCCTCTTCTGGGAGAGCAGCAAAGGCCCCCGGTGGCCGTAGGACACCAGACACCCCGGCTCCCCGGGCCCTGGTCCTGGACAGCCTTGGAGGCCTGAGGGCTGGACCCGGCTGGGGTCCCACCCACATCTGGCCTCCTCTGCCCACCAGGTGGAGCACCCAGGACTGGGCTCCAGGCAGTGCTCCCCGGACTGCTGGGAGACTCACAGGTGGAGAGCATGGGGAGGTGCCCCAGCCACCACACTGCAGCAGGAGGAGCCCTGGCAGAGGGCGCCAGCAGCCCCAGGATAGGCAGGTCGGCTCAGGTGGGTGCTGGCCAGGTGGTGGGGGCGCCCTGCACACTCAGAAACCCCAGTTTGTGCTGGCCTCAGCCCCACCCCCAAGCCTCCCCTCAAGTGCGAGCCCCAGCCTGGCTGCCAGGATGCCCAACGCTTCCCAACCTGGAGCAGCTGGCCTGGGACCACACAAGCAGGGACCAGGACCCCCAGGAAGGCCCCAGCCCCTCGGAGAGAGGGGCCTCAGGGTGCCCTCCGGTCAGGGCGACGCCCAAGGCCTGCCCCTGCCTGACCGCGTCCACAGTGTCAGCGACACACCCTCCCCAGGTAGACACGGTGCGGGAGACTGGACCTTTAATGACGCGGCCTTCGAGCCTGGATCCCGTCACTCTGGGTGTGGCCACCTACCCAGGGCACCAGGACTGTCCGCCACCCACCACCCCATACCACACAGGGGCACTGGCCTACGACCTGGGCCAGAAAGTGCCTCTCTTGGGCTGGGCTGGCGAGACCAACACCTGGGCGTGGGCACCCTGTCGGGGGCTGGAGTGGCGGGCGCCGGCCTCGGCTGCCTGGGAGCACTGTTCTGGGTGTGGAGGCCAGCGTCACCTCCCCGGCTGACTCAGAGTCCAGCACAACCCGCCAGCTGAGGCTTGGGGCACAGGTGGGGGTGACAGAGGTGGGGGAGGCCAGCGGAGGCCTTGCTGCGGGGGTGGGGGGCTCAGGGCCAGGGTGGGAGAGTTGGAAGGGGCTGCGCTGGGCGGGCCACAGCTCTGGCCGGGCATGCTGGTCACCAGGCGACGGGCTTGGCCGAGCTGGCCCGGGCGGCGAGCGGGTGTGGGCCGGGCGCTGCGGAGGCGCGGGGAGCCCCGGCCCGCGGCGCCCCCGCCGGCACCGTTGCCTCGTGCCCGCGCCCAAGTCCACACCGGGGGCCGACGCTGCGGGCGGGGCAGGCGCGGCGGCCGCGGCCTAGCTGTCCTCCTCCCTCTGGGTCTTGCAGTGGAACTTGTTCATGAGCTCCTCCAGCTCCGAGCCGCCGTGGGGCTTCTGCGGAGAGGGGCCACCGTCAGGGGCTGGGCGCCCCCCACGGCACCCGCGGGGCGGGGCGCGCGCTCACCTCCAGCATGGCCTTCTGCACGGTGAGCTGGCTGTACACGCGGACGCCCTCCTCGCCGCACACCTTCCTCAGCTCGTCCTTGTTCAGCGAGAAGAGCTGGGGCCCCGTGAGGATGCCCAGGTGCTCCACGATCCTGGGGCGGGACCCGCCGAGTCGGGCGCGGGCGAGGCGCCCCGCCCCGCCCCGCCCGTCAGGCACGCCCCGCCCGTCAGGCACGCCCCGCCCCGCCCGTCAGGCACGCCCCGCCCTGCCCGTCCCCGCCCGTCAGGCACGCCCCGCCCCGCCCGTCAGGCACGCCCCGCCCCGCCCGTCAGGCACGCCCCGCCCTGCCCGTCCCCGCCCGTCAGGCACGCCCCGCCCTGCCCGGCCCCGCCCGTCAGGCACGGCACGCCTCGCCCCGTCCGGCCCCGCCCGTCAGGCACGGCACGCCCCGCCCGTCAGGCACGCCCCGCCCCGCCCGTCAGGCACGCCCCGCCCTGCCCGTCCCGCCCGTCAGGCACGCCCCGCCCTGCCCGTCCCCGCCCGTCAGGCACGCCCCGCCCCGCCCGTCAGGCACGCCCCGCCCGCCCGTCAGGCACGCCCCGCCCCGCCCGTCAGGCACGCCCCGCCCTGCCCGTCCCCGCCCGTCAGGCACGCCCCGCCCTGCCCGTCCCCGCCCGTCAGGCACGGCACGCCTCGCCCCGTCCGGCCCCGCCCGTCAGGCACGGCACGCCCCGCCCCGCCCCCCCCCGCAGGCAGCCCCCGGGGCCCCGCCCCCGCCGGCTCACCCCGCGCTGAAGGCCTTGGCTTCCAGCCAGGCGCGGACCTCGTCGGGGCCCGACTCGTAGCCGAGCGGCAGGCGCACGGGCTGGCTGCGCTCCACGCGGAAGTGGCGCTGCGGCTGCGCCTTGAAGTGGCTGATCTTGCGGAGCAGCTCGTCGTTGACTTCGTCCATGTGGTGCATCAGCTCTGCGGGCGGGGTGCGCTCGCTGCCGCCCGACGCCGCCGCGGGAACCCCCGGCCCCCGCCCCGCCCGGAGCCCCGCCCCGGAGCCCGCGCCTCACCATCTTTGTTCCCAGAGAAGCTCGCGGGCAGCTTGTGGGTTGGACTGGCCGGACCCCAGTATTTCACACCGGCCTGGGGGGGTGCGGGAGGGGGCGCCATCAGGCTCCTAGTTCGGCTTCCCTGCAGGAGAGCCGAGGCCCCGGGGCCCCACCCGTCCCGGCGGCGACCCGGCCCCCACGTGGGCGTGCGGGGCACTCGCCTGCTGGAGCGGGGCGCCCACGTCCTCAGGCCGGGCCTCGTGGAGGATGTTGCTGGGCACGTAGCCGGCCTGGCCACTGCGGCTGCGCAGCTTGCACCACTGGTGTCCGTCCTCCAGCACCTGGGGGCGCCGGCGTCAACGAGGGCCAGGGCCTAGCTGACCCCACTCTGGGCACTGCCCCCCCCCAGTGTCCTGAGGCTGCTGGCCCCACATCCAGATTTACAGGCCCCTGACCCCCACCCCCGCCCCCCAGCACAGGACGCTGCAGTGGACAGGCTCCCGCTGGGCTGCGGGGACCCTGCTCCCACAGAAAGGCCACCCCAGTCCAGCACAGGGGCCCTGCACCAAAGCCCCCCAAGACAGAGGGGCCTTTGGCCCGGCCGCGCAGCCACTGTGGCTCCAGCCTGGGCGAGGGCCGGGGTGGAAGGCCAAGCCCTCACCTCCAGGACCTCGTCCTTGAGTACCGACAGCTCGTTCGCGTTGTGGGCTGTGAAGTCGTAGAGGACCTTCGTGTACCTGGCCGCAGCCGGTTCGTAGCCCCTGAGTGGACAGGGCAGCGCAAAGGTCAGGGCGGCGCTAAGGTCAGGGTTGGGGGGGGAGCCGGGGTGGTAGTTGGGGGGGTGCTGCCTCCTGGGAGCTCTCAGGATGGCGCCAGAGGCTGGGGCGGCCCTTAGCCGGGTGTGGAGACCTCAACAGCCCCGGCCCTGCTGGGGGTCTGGGGAAGGGAGCAGCCAGTGCTTCCCGGCTGGAGCTGGGCGTGGAGCACTGAGGGGGCGCCGGTAGCCCCTTGGCCCCGGCTGTCCAGCCTCCCCAGCAGCAGACCCTGCATCCAAGTACAAGCTGGTGGGCCAGGGTGGACAGACGGGGGCCTGGAGGTCAGAGGCTGCCTGCTCCCTCAAGCAAGGCAGGGGGGACACGGCGCAGGCTGTGTGCGGCCATGGAACCTGTTCATGGGGACGGACCAGCTGCTGCTCTTGCACAGGCACCCTGGGGTCTCAGGGCAGCCCGCCCCCCCAGGCAGGTCAGGAGCCAGAGTGAGAACAGAGAGGAGGGGAGGCCCTGGGAGGTGGGGGGCCTGTGCTAGCCAGACCCCAACAGGGTTTGGGGGAGCCCTTTAAGGTCTGCCGAGGTCTAGCTCACCTGTGAGTGCTTGGGGAGCTGGCCGGGGGCAGGGCCTCTCCTGGGGGTGTGGGCTGGGTGAGGAGGCTGGGCTTCGGGGAGTTGCGGAAGGACGGTCGGCTGGCCGGGGCGGGCTGTGGGGGGAGGGCTGCGTGGGCTCCTGTGGAGGGCCAGCCTGCAGGCGGGGCGGGCAGCGGTGGGTGTGCTGACCTGGTCCTTGTCGGGGGCGGCCAGGCCCTCCACTTCCCAGGGAGCCTCCTGCAGCACGTCCAGGGGAGGCTGCCAGCCGCTGTGGAACCGGGGCACGTAGAGGGGCACCTGGGGCTCCCTCGGCCACTCGGAGCTGGGGGTTGGAGGCGCGGGGTGAGCCGTGCTCACCTGCCAGAACTGGGCCGTCTAAGACACCCAGCCACCAGTCCACGTGCCCCTGTACCCACAGGACCCTGCCAGACCCTACCGGGGGCGTGTCCACGTCTCCCCCAGTTGCTCCCACAGTGCCATCTCCTTGGGGACTAAGTGGCCACGCAGGAAGGCCACCGCGTCGTGGGAGAGCAGGGGGCTGGACACGGAGGCCGCAAGGTCTGAGTTTCCGCAGGTGCTGACGATCTGGGGGCACGGTGGGGTTGGGGGGTCAAGGGAGCACACCTGCAGGCCCCCGACCCATGTCCCTGCCCACCGCATTCCCCTGCCATCCTGTCCCTGGTCCCATGACACTGCCTGCCCCAGCCCATCCTGCCCTGGCCCTGCCCTGCCCTAGCCCCGGTCCTGTCCCCAGTCCCCATCCTACCCTGCTCAGCCCCGTCCTGCCCCGGCCCCATCCTGCCCGGCCCCGTCCTGCCCCTGCCCTGTCCTGCCCGGCCCCGTCCTGCCCAGCCCTGGCCTGCCCTGCCCATCCTGCCCTGGCCCTGCCCTGCCCTGGCCCCCGTCCTGTCCCCAGTCCCCATCCTGCCCCTGCCCGGCCCCGTCCTGCCCCGGCCCCGGCCCCTTCCCACCCGCCCCGGTCACCAGGTCCAGAGGCCCGAACAGGAAGTGCACCAGCTCCGCGGCGCTGGGGTTCTGGATGTGCTTCTGCAGCTTGGCCTGGGGCGCAGGACAGAGACAGATGCGGGGGCGCTCTGCACAGGTGGGGGACAAGGACCCCAACCCTCCCGGTCAGCGTCCTGTGGGGAGCAGGCGAGCCCCTCACCAGCAGGTTGATGGCCAGCTTGGTCTTCTGGAAACAGTCGACAAACTCGGCCTCGGAGGGGGGCCGGGCCCGCAGCGTGAGGACGCCCTCTGGACGGCAGCGTGTGAGGCGCCAGGCGGCGGCCGGGCCCAGGCCCCCGCCCGCCCCCCGCCCGCGCCCCGCCCGCCGGCCCGCGCGCGCACCTGCCGGCCCCCGCTTCCCCTTCTTCTTGCCCTTCTTGCGCTGGTTCAGCTGCTTGAAGGCCTCCGCCGCCTTCTGCAGCCGCGCCACGAACCACTCGATGTCGTCCAGCGCGGAGTTGAGGATTTGCTGCGGGCGGAGCAGGGGTCAGCGCGGGGGGGCGGGGCCTCTGGGCGGCGGGGGCGGGGCCTCTGGGCGGCGGGGCGGGGCCTCTGGGCGGCGGGGCGGGGCCTCTGGGCGGGGGCGGGGCCTCTGGGCGGCGGGGGCGGGGCCTCTGGGTGGGGCGTGGCCTCTGGGCGGGGGCGGGGCCTCTGGGCGGCGGGGGCGGGGCCTCTGGGCGGCGGGGCGGGGCCTCTGGGCGTGGGCGGGCCTCTGGGCGGCGTGGGCGGGGCCTCTGGGCGGCGGGGCGGGGCCTCTGGGTGGGGGCGTGGCCTCTGGGCGCAGCCGGGGTGGGCGGGACCCAAGGGGCCGGGGGCGGGGGCGGGGGCGGGCGCGGGCGGGGCGCCCCTGGGGCGTGAGGGGAAGGCCGGGGCGCCTCCGCCGGACCCACCGTCTCCTTCTCTATCTTCTGTGCCAGCAGCGCCCGCGGCTCCTCCTCCAGCGATTCCCGACGGCGGGAGCCTAGGGGACAAGCTGCTGCCCGCCACGGCCACCCCGCGCCCCGCCTGGCGCCCCCAGGCAGCCCCCCCACCTACCTGGCTCGCCGAGCGGCACCGGGGGGCCCACGCGGTTCTTGGGGGCACCTCCCCGCCCCGGCGCTGGAAGGGGATGGGGGCCGGGCCCTGGGGTGGGGGCAGGACTGACTGGCGCTGCCGGATCTTCTCCCGGTGGCCCCTGGAGTGGGAGGGCGTCCTGCTCAGCCGCCCGCGCCCCCTGCCAGCCCCCGCCCGCCCCGCGCCCTACTTTAGGGTCAGCGGCCGCATCCTCTTCCCCAGCCGGCAGTCGGACAGCGCGCTCTCGATGTCCTCGTGCACCAGCTCCGCCTGGGGGCAGGGGGCAGGGGGCAGGGTGGGTGGGCTGGCAGGGGGCAGGGCGGGCGGGCTGCCCCTCGCGCCCCGGCCTCACCTCCACCTCGTCGCAGTGGAAGAAGTGGATGTCGGGCTTGCTCTGCTCGGAGTCCTGGCACACCAGCAGCAGCACCGACGGGTAGCGCAGCTGGTTCAGCACCGTCTGGCTGTGCCGCACGGTGGGCAGTGGGAAGTCCTCCAACTCCTCCTGGGGGGCACAGGGGGTCGCACATGCCCTGGACACTGACCTGGCTGCACGGCCAGGTCGTCGGGTGGACCAGGAAAGGGACACGGCAGCATGGGCCCGCCTGTGGCATCTATACCCTGGCCAGCACACATGCAGCTCACGGGCACGGCCGGCGCACAGACCCCTGGACACAGTTGTGGGCGGCTCTCGCAGAGGTGGCCTGGCTCCCTGGACTTGGCCATGTTGGGTCCTCCCTCCCCGGTGGCCCTAGGCCCGGCCCCCACCCCACCCCACCCCGTGGGTTCTGCACCTGGGACTCCACGTCCAGCAGCCGCAGGGACTGGTCGTTGACCTGCAGCAGCATCTCCTGTGTCCAGATCTTCTCCTTGGAGCTCAGCTGCACCAGCTTCCGGATGGCGTCCTCCACAGACACGATGGCCTCACTCTTGTCCATGATGAACGTGGCCAAGTGCTGGGGAGGGCGGGCAGTCACCCTGGGCACAGCTCTCCTTGGGGAGCCAGGCCCCAGGGCTGCCCTGGGGCTGAGAAGGAACACCCTGCCTGGGGTTCTGAAGAAAGGACCCCTTGGGGGGCTCTGCCTTGTCTGCATGGAAAGGCCACTGTGGGGCCGGCGCTGGCCCAGGCCTCCGCCCCCACTGGGCTCCTCCCGTCCCTCAGCCCTGCTCAGGCGACGCCCTCCGACCGCGCTGGGCAGCACCAGCAGCACCCCTGCCTGCTGAGCCGCGTGGTCTCCCTGCTCTAGCCTGGGGATTCGCACGGTCTGCTGCTGTCCAGCACGGCGCCGGACACACAGGACCCCTGCATGAACCTACCGGGCCAGTGGCCCGCGGGTGCCCCTGGGATGCCCGGACAGCCCTGCTGCTGCCGAGGCACCTGCCTTCCCCCCACAGGCCAGTCCCCTCCCGCAGGCCCCTGCCCTCTTGAATTGGCCAGCAAGCCCACAGCCGGCGATGCTGACCTGCACCCAGCCTCAAATGTGGGGCCACAAAAGCACTAGAAGAAAGTACTGGATGGCCCCTGGTCAGCCCAGAAAGGCCTCTCTCTGGGGGCATTCCTGAGCGAGGTGGGAGCCCAGATGCCCCAGGGAGGCCCTGCCCTCGATCTTGCTCGCTGTGACCACGAAGGGCGCAAGGGTGAGCGGGCAGGGAAAGAAACAGTGACTCAGCGGGCGACGGATTGACCCACGACAGACAAGTCAGAAAGACAGACCCGTGTCCACAGGACAGACAGGACACAACGGCTTTTCAACGCAGAAAGCGGTGTGCGATCTCGCTGAATAACAAGGTGCCCGGAAGCACAGAGGCCGGCCTGGGGTGCAGCGGCCTGCACGACTGGCCAGCGCTGGCCATCCCTAGGGGTTAGGGTGTGGCGGGCAGTTCGCACACAGCGGCCCAGGAGGCCTCTCACAGCCGGCCCACCGCCGCCAGCCGCCCGGCTGGCCCGCACAGGGAGGCGGTGGGCCGGGGTGCCGGGCCCTCGCGGGGAGGTGGTGGGCCACGGTGCTGGGTGTGCGCTGTGGCGCTGGGCGCACCAGCCCCCAAGAGGCGGTGACCAGCCGCCGGGCCTCGTCCCGGCCAACCTCTGACAAAAGGAAACAATCGCCGGGGTAGGCAAGCAAGAAACACCCGCTGCAGGGCCTGATTCTGGAAAGTAAACACTTGAAGTGCCAGCGGGTGAGAAGACACCACGAGGGAGGGAGGAAGGTGCTCAGAGATGCAGGATGAGAGCGACCGGCCACAGGGGGATGGGCTGTGAATGCCGTGGCCAGCGGGGCGCCCTGGACGGGCTGCCGGCTCAGGAGGGAACCACAGGTCTAGGCAGTGCTGAGCCAAGGGGGCCCTGGGGTGGCGGCCCCGTCAGCCCTCAGACCCGAAGTGCCAGGAGGGAGCGGCCAGCGCCTGTGGACTCCGCGGGAAGCAGACCCCGAAGCCGCTCCTTTGGTGAGGAGTAAAGTCGACGGCCGCCAGCAAGACTGACGTGCTAGGCACAGGCAGAACTGGGGCTCCTGCCAGAAGGGAGCCCGGCACCGTGCCCTCCCCACCGTCCGCACCCACTGGGTGAGCGCCGGCCCCCCCAGCAGCCCTCAGCGTCCCACCCAGTGGCACGGGGGTCCGGGCAGGTGGATGCGCGGCACAGCCATGCCGGGCCAGGACAGAAGCCCCAGCCGGCGACGGGGCAGTGGCTGCAGGGGAAGCCGGGCGCGGCCAGTCCTCGGTGTACGGCCGCGGGAAAGGTCAGGCTGGCCGGGTGGGTGCCCACGCATACAGGGGACCCACCCTGCCTGGTGGGACGCGCATACAGCGTCTGTCTGCGCCCGAGGGAAATGCCGTCGACCCGCCTGAGCCCTTGACTTGGCCACCCGTGGGGGGCCGGGGCATCTGGGGCCAGAGGAGCTGCGTGGGAGCCGCCTGATGGCCCCTAAACTCAGCCCCAGACTTGAGTGGCCGCCGATCACAATGGGTGGCGGGGGGCGCAGCCTGACGCTAAAATGCTAACCCGAGACCCCAGACATCAGGAGAGCGCGGAGGAAAGGGGCGGGCGGGGGTCGTGGCAGCCAGAGCGGGGTGGGGACCTCTGAGGCAGCTGCACCCCCAGCGCCAGTGAGTGAACACGGGGCCCAGGCCAGGTCAGGCCCTCCCGCGGCGGACGGGGCCTACGGGCTGGCCCCTCACTGTGTCCTCTGGGCAGGCCCCCTCACTGGCCTGGCCTTGCTGGCCGCTGGGGATTCCCTGCGCAGGCCGGCCTGGGCCAAGGTCCAGCAGAGCCGCTGCGGCCGGGGCAGAGGTGTCTCCTCACCCGGAGGGCAAAGTCCCACCCGGCCGAGGCAGCGCGGTGGGCGGGGAAGGGGCAGTCACCGTCCCCAGCCCAGCTGCCCGCAGATGGACAGCAGCGACGCCCAGGGGCTCCGCAGCCCCTGACAAGCTGCCCGAGGAGCTCGCCTCAGGCCCGGCCCCAGCCACGGGCCCCTCTCCCGTCCCCTCCCGGCCCTGCTGCCCGCAGGCCTGGGCACACGCCAAGCTCCGGGCCTCACCCTCGCTGGGAGAGGGGCGGCCCCGGCGGCCCCGGCCCGAGCTCTCCACGTTGGCCCGTGCGCCCCAGCCAGCAAGCAGCACCCGTGTCCAGCTCCCGACGGGCCCCAGGAGCCCTCCCCGCCCGGGCCAACAGAGCTCCTTTGTCCCTCTCCTGTCTAGTTCCTTGTTTTGAAGCCTCGATAGCAATTTCCTTCCCACCGGCTGCCCACGCGGGGCGCAGCCTCAGCTGGCCGGTGCCCTGGCCTCACGGTGAGCGTCCGTGGGAGCCGGGCCGGGGCCAGCGAGGGAGGCTGGCTCTGCTGTAGCCGGCGGAGGGGACCGCTCCCGGGCGTGGGCCCTGGGGAGGCCGTGGAGTGGGGGCTCACCTGCACGTGGTACTGGGAGGTCTCGTGCATGATGGCGCTGGAGTTGGAGTACTTCTTTCTCTGCTCTGAAAGCGGAGGCCCGTCAGCGGCCTAGCGGGCCCCGGGCCCCCATGACTGGCCGGCCCGGGGCGCTGCTCGGAGCCCCTCGGCGGAGGGCGGCCTCCCTCTGTCCCGGGCCCGGGGAGGGCCAGCGGGTGGCGGTGGGCCAGGCCTCTCTCCAGACGGGAGGCAGCGTCCAAGGAGCCCACGAGGGCCTGGGGTGGGCTGGGGTGGGGGTGGGGGGCGGGTGCCGCGTGCCCCAGGGCGCGCCTGGCTCCATGCCGGGCACCTTGCAGGCGGAGGCCGGCTGATCAATATTGATGCTCCCTGAATTATTAGTGGGGCCTCTCTCCTTACGTGCGGGCAGCAGCCCGGAGCTGCGGGGCCTGGCCAGCTGCGTTGACAAGGGTCCAGGGCCCCCCTCTGGGCCCTGGGATGGAGAGCGCAGGCCCCCCGCTGCAGAGGTTTCCCTCCCAGAGACCCCACTCACCGAACAGGTCCTTGGCGCTCATCTTGGCCCCATGGTCGGCCTGGCCCAGGCTGCCCCTGCAGGGGAGGGGCTGGTGAGGGGGGGCCGTGCCGCACCCCCCGGGGCTGTGTGGTGGGGGATCCCTGGGCACCCCCGGGCAGCAGCTCACGGACCCTGACTGGCTCATGGCGTCCCTGTGGTGGCTGCGTCCGGGTCCAGGTCCGGCCCGCGCCTGAGTGGACAGAAGGGCTGAGCTGAGGTCGAGAGGCCCGGTAGGGACCTTGGCGCCCCTAGGGCCGGGCCTGGGTCTCTGCACCCCGCCCAAAGCAGGGCTGGAGGCTGACGGCCTGGCTGGGCAGAGGCTGGGGCGTGGGGGCGGAGCCTGCCGTGGGCGCACCAGGGCCACCGTCCCGAGCCAGCTGGTGTCACCCCCAGAATCTCAGTCCACTGCCGCACCGGGGTGGGCGGGGGGTCCCCCCAGTTCTCTGAGCAGAGCCGGCGGGTCTGTGCCCGGCCAGGCCTGTCACGGGCGGGCCTAGTGCCGCTCTCCTGCGGCGTCAGCTTTCAGGGTCACAAACAGGTGCTGGTCTCCAGGGCAGGGAGTGCCAGGCCTTTCTGGTTCGACTTAGTTCTTCCTCCGGGTGGGGCTCCCAGGGTGAGGCCTGGCCCCTTCCCGCTGCCACCGAGGGTCTGGGCTCTGGGGCGGGCGGGCCCGGCCAGCGCCGTCACTGTCTGTGGAGAATGCCCGGAATGCACATGACCTCAGTGGGTGAGCCCGAGTGTTTGCTTAATGGGATTCCTGGCGGCCCAGCCAAGGGCACGGGCACGTGTGTCCAGTACACGCACCTGGCCGGACACACCTGGCCGGACACACCCCGCGCCCAGGCGCACTCAGGCGGGGGCTGTGCCCGGGGCCCGGGCAGGACGGGCTGCCAGGAGGGTCCAGGCCTGCTCTGGGTGGGGAGCCCTGAGGGCGGGGCTGAAACAGGTCAGTGGGGGCAGGGGTGTCCTCGCTGGCTGGGGGTCACGGAGGGCAGCAGGGCCCAGGCTGCACTTTGTTTTACTGCGGCCATTTTCCGGTTGCCCAAGTGGAAGGGAGAGGCCCCGGCAGGGCAGGAGGGCAGAGGCACCAGCTCCAAGTTCAAACTCCAGCTGGCAGTGGGTGACCTTGGGAGGAGTCCGCTGCAGGCCCGGGAGGGGTGGGGCCAGGAACCCGGGACCCCTTGGGCCTTCTGGGGCAGAGTCCTCGGAGACTCCGGGCTGGGCAGGAGATGGACGGGAAGCCCGGGGTGGGAGGGGCGGTGCTGGGAACAGGAGGGCAGAGGGCAGAGCCCACTGGTGGCAGGCCTGGCCCGGGCAGGAGGTGGAGCCCCAGGGGAGGCCCCACCAGCACGCGGGCACCCAGGGTGGGGCAATCCCCACCGCCCAGGGCCGGCCTCCAGACTCTGGCCACAGGCAGACCCTGAGCAGTGCAGGCTGGTCCCACCCTGGATCTGCCCAGAACAGGCCCCGCAGCCGGGCCCAGCCTCCGCCCCCTGAAACTCCCACACCCAACCTTCACCCCCGCGACCCGGCCGCCTCCCTGGCTCAGGGTTTCCTCCTGGAGGACACCCAGGAAGCGCCTCCTGACAGCTGACCCTCCCGGGTGCTTCGCCCCCTCTGCCCCAGGGGGCCCCATCTCCAGGGAGAGGAGCATGTGGCGCCCTCAGGAGCCAGGGGAGAACCCCCTGACGGCCCTCCCCTGGGAGGAGGGGTGGCCGGCCCGGGCAGGGGACTCACGTGCGCCGTCCGAGGAACAGCCCCTTCGGCGGCGCCAGCCCAGGCCCCGGCGGGGCAGGCCGGGCGCCCGCGCGGGCGGGGATCTGGCCGCCGGGGAGGGCCGGGGCCCCGCGGCCCCGCGCCCCGACGACGCGCGCCCGCCGGGCCCGCCCCGGCCGGCCCCCTGCCCACCTGGGAGCCCGCGGCGGGTCGGGCTGCGCCCCCGCCCGGCGCCCGGCGCGCTCACCTGCCGCTGGGCCGCCCCCGCCGCCCGCCCGAGCTCGTCGACGCGTCCGCCCGTCCGTCCGCGCGCCTCGGCCTCGCCGCCCGCTGCGGCGGCGGGAGGGACCCGGCGGGGCGGGGCGGGGCGGCCGGGCGGGCGGGCGGAGGAACCTGAGCGGCAGGTCGGAGTCACCGCGCGGGGCGGGGGCGGCCGGGGCGCCCCGCCCTGCCCCGCCGTCTGGGCCCGCCCGCCGGGGTCCCGCGCTCGCCGGGCCGACCCCACCCCCGAGCGGGCGCGCGCTCCGGCCGGCTGGGGGCGCCCGTCCCGGCGGGGCGCGCCCCCTCGGCAGGCACGAGGTGTCTCGGAGCGGCCAGGGGCCCAGAGACTGGGCAGGAGGCGGCTTCCTCTCTGGCCGCGCCCAGCTGCCCCACAGGCGCCCCTCCCCCCCGCTGGTGGGCACCCCCGGGGCCCCCTATGGTTTCTGGGGTGCGGGAGCAGCCAAGGGGCTGGGAGGCAGCGCTGGCGATGGCCGAGGCCTGGCACTTCCGGGGAGCAGAGCACAGCAGGCCCGCCCGGCGGGGCGGCAGCAGGCACTCCCCTTCCTGGGTTGCCAGGGCCCCGGGGTGGGTCCCCACCTGTTCTCTGGGGCGCACAGGTGGGCCCCCAGGAGGGCGTGGGAAGCAGCTTGGGCTAGGCCCTGCCCCTGCCCGGGCCAGGCCTTCTGGCCCCCCCATCCCCCAGCCATGCTGCTGGGGACACAGCCCCCTCACCCTTCCTGGAAGCTGAGCTGGGGGCAGGGCATACATGGGGGCGCACAGTGAGGGAGGCCCTGAGGTGGGCTGTCTGCTTTCAGAGTAGGCTTGTCCTCAGCGGGCCAGGACCCTGTGGGCCTGCCCTATGGGGGTGTCCTGGCCGCCTCCTGGCCTGAGAGCAAGCCTGTTGGCATCAGGGCCCGGTGCCTGGTTAGGGCCACAGGGGAGACAGGTGGGGGGGGGGGTGTGGGCCCAGCTGGCAGCCCGGGGGACCCCAGGGCTGGGGTGAGGCCGGGTAGAAGGCGGTGCTGGGCTGCTGGGGCCTGAGCAGTCAGGCTGAATTAAGAGACACTCGGGGCCTCCCTGGTGGTGCAGGCAGTTGAGCGCCACCCTGTGAAGCTGTCCGCAGCCTCTGCAGCGTGGTTTCGATCCCGGCCGGCCAGTGAGAATGCCACATGGTGTGGTAGACCTCTGCTGTCGCGCCCACTGCTCCCCTCAGCAGTGTATTTCTGTCGTCTGCCTGTTCTGCTCCCTGCTCTGTCTCTGGGGAGTCCTCTCACCCGCCGCACCTCTGGCCTGTACCCCAGCTCTTGTAGAAATGAAAAATAAATATTTTTAAAAAGAAAAGAGAGAGAGGGCCTCCCCTGGTGGCGCGGTGGTTGAGCGCTGGGTTGCGAAGCTGCCCGCAGCCTCTGCAGCGCCAGTTAGATCCCCCGCCGCCGGCGAGGGTCCCGCATGGCGAGCAGACCTCTCCTGCCGCCCGCTGCTCCCCTCAGCAGTGTACTTCGTCAGTCTGCCTGTTCTGCTCCCCGCTCTGGCTCTGGTGAATCCTCTCACCCTCCCGGGCTTCTGACTGTACCCAGTGCTTGTATAAACAAACAAACAAACAAATAAACAAACAAATAAAAAGAAAAAAGATACTCAGGGAAGTAGGAACATGTCTTTATTTTCCACGCAGGGTGAAGAGAAGCCGCCCCACACTTCCTGATTTCCCGAGCGCGCAGAAGGGCCACCTGCAGGGTCCTGAAGCTGTGGCAGGACCGCACAGGCGCCCACCCAGCCTGGCTTCCGGAGCCCCCGCCTGCCCTTGGGAAGCGGCCCTCGCCCAGGACAGGCCAGAGCCGTGGCTCGCGGGGCGATGCTGGAGCTGACCGACGGCCCGGCCACTTCTGGGGTAGGCGTCTCACCAGCCCAAGCCAGGGGCCGAGGAGACGCCCACCACCTGGGCCCCCCAATCCTGCCCAGAAATTCGCACACAGGAGAGGCCAGCAGGGGAGGAGGCGGCAGTGGCCAGCGCAGGGTGACCTCCAAGCTGGCAGAGCCAGGGCCCGGCGTCCGCAGGGTCTGCCGGCTCGGAAGCAGCCAAGGGCTGTGGCTGCAGCCCCTCTGACCCTCCGTGGCGCCTGCAGGGAGCTGGGGCTCGGGGGCCAGCAGGGCTGCGCGGCCCCATGGGCGAGGGGTGCTTCCCCAAGGCCCCAGTCCTTCCTGACCTTCTCCTACGTCGTGGGTCCAGGGCTTGTCTGCGAGCCAGCAGGACCCCAGGCTCAGGGCGCAGGCGGGGCCCGGGGGAGGGGCATGCCCTTTCACAGACACAGCAGCCACCATGGCCCATGCGGTTGCCCCACTTGGCCCGCGTGTAAGCGGCTGCTCGGCCGGAGAGGCAGGGCCGCCCAGACAGTGGGGGGCAAGGGGGGAATGCTCCTGGAGCAGAGCCCCTGAGGGGTAGGGGCTGGTGCCTTAGCGTTAAGGGGCGCCTGCAAAGGTGGGCACAAAACCGGACCCTGGAGTGGGACTGGGGAGCCCCAGCCCTTGGTGGGGACATCACCAATGCCCCAGGCTGCTGAGGCCAGCAAGGGGGTCCCGGAGCCCCCAGGGTTGGGCTACGCCTGGGAGGCTCTGCCGGGAGCACAGTGTGGGGCCTCCTGGACAGGTGCGTGGCTCTCCCGGGGATGCCCAGGGGGCTCCACTTCCACCGCTGTGAAGGAGGCTCCGGGGCTGCTGGTGGAGACGGCAGTTCATGCCCTCATGCGTGGGTCGTTCCCCCGCCGCGGCCGAGCCCCAGGGCAGGCAGCGGTGCCAGGTCCTAAGCAGGTGGTCGCCAGGGCACGGAGCACCTGACGGGCCAGCACAGGCGTGGGGGCGCCCACCCCACGTACTCTCAGAGGCCAGCACCAGGTGAGCCGAGGCCCAGCGGGGCTTGCAGCGGACGGAGGACCAGGAGTGGCCAGAGCCTCGCCGCCTTGGGCCCTCCCCGGCCGCCTGGCCTGGTGCTGACCATGCAGGGGGGGTGATGAGGGCTTCCCTTCAAGGCAAATCTGATTCTCTCTTGGGGGCAAATATTCACTTCCCTACCTGAGCTCTAGGGCCGCTGCTGGAAGCTGGGGACCTTGTGCTCAGGCCCCCGGGCCGGCCCGGCCATCCCGTCACCCCCGGGTGTTCTGCGCAGAACTTGAGGAGCAGGGGTCAGGGGCTTCAGGGAGCAACCGCAGGAGCGAGGGGACGCCCGGGCCACAGGGCAGGCTTCCACCCAAGCGGAAAGACAGGCCTCAACAGGCCTCGCCGGGCACACAGCTGCCGCCTGCTCTGCTCCGAGCGCTGCCGCCTGGGCGTGCAGTCCTGAGTCAGCAGGCCGGTGTCTGTGCAGAGACACATCAGCAGGGGACGGTGTGGGCAGCGGCCGGGTGGCCCGTGACCCGGAGGAAGGTGGGCAGCAGCGTGGGGTGACCCGTTACAGCAGCACGCTCGAAACCCTATCTGCCTGCCAGGCCCCGCTAAGCTGGCGGCAGGCCTGCCATTATTCAGGGACTTTGTCTTAATCTACTCTCTGATCCTTCTCCGAACCGTTTGCTGCAGACACTTGACACCTGCCGGGTGTGCAGGACAGGCGGGAACTATGGCCGCAGGGGATGGAGCCTCTCGGAGGAGCAGGGCTGGGGTAATGCGTATCCGCCCGTCCCACCGCGGTGAACCGGCAGCCCCAGAGAGCTGGGCACAGCGCTGCCTGGGAAGGGCTCTCGTCAGCAGTCTGCCGTGGAAACAGGCGGCTGTGGGGTGACAAGAGGTGGTCTGTGGAAGGCACAGAACACATGCTCTCGCTGCGCTGGGCACGGGTGAGGAGAGACACAGATAAAGACACGCAGGAGCCTCCCAAGGGGGCAAGGTGGGGATGGGGTGGGGGCTGAGGGAGATGGAGGCTGGCCTCAGGCTGAGGAGTGCACCTGAACCAGACACCAGCAACACCCAGGCTGGGTCACAGGCCTGCCCTCTCCCCATGAGTGTCCCTTTGGCTATAAAAGCTGTGCCCAGGACCTCCCTGATGGCACAAGGGTTAATGGCAGCGCTATGAAGCTATCACCAGCCCCTGCTGCACGAATTCTCGATCCTGGCTGGCCAGGGAGCGACCCACAGGGTGCGGCAAACCTCTTCTGTGTCCCTGCTGCTCCCCTCAGCAGTGGATTTTAGTGCATTAGTAGATCTGCCTGTTCTGCTTCCCACTCTCTCTGGTGAATCCTCTCATCCTCACCCCCCCACCTGGGCTTATACCCCAGCTCTTGGGAGCATAAATAAATAAATCTTAAAAAAAAAAAAAGAATTAAAATTAGTGCCTCCCCTGGTGGCACAGCGGTTGAGCGCTGGGCTGTGAGGCTGCCTGCAGCCTCTGCAGCGCTGGTTCGTTCCCCGGCCGCAGGCCAGGGTACCACAAAACAAAACCTAAAAAAAATGTGGCAGAAAAACCGTCTGCAGGGCCTCCCGTGTGGCGCAGTGGGTTGAGTGCGGTGCTGTGAAGCTGTCCGCGGCCTCTGCAACGCTAGTTTGATCCATGCTGACTAGTGAGATACCCACATGGTGCGGCAGACCTGTCCTGACTAGCTGCTCCCCTCAGCAGTGTATTTCGGGTCAGTCTGCCTGTTCCGTTCCCTGCTCTGTCTCTGGTGAATCCTCTCACCTTCCCGCGCCTCTGGCCTGTGCCCGCATTCTTGCATGCATGAATAAATAAATCTTAAAAAAAAAACCCTGCAGACAAGCTGGCCGGGGCCACCCTGGGGACCCCTCTGTGCGCCCCCAGAGTGCTGGTCCAGAGCCCGGCCAACTCTTCTCTAGGCGCCCTGGGCCCAGGTGGGAGGGCAGACCTGCGGGCCATCCTGCGGGTGTGGGGGCACACGGGGCAGGGGAGCCACAAACGGGACAGAAGGGGCCACATAGGGGGCCACGCACGGGGGCGGGGGCGCGCCGGGGCGCACGGGGCTGCGCACGGGCTGGGGGTGCGCCCGACGGCCGCCTAGGGAGGGAAGACGAGGGGTTCGTGCCTCCTGGGTGGGCCAGGAACCCCAGGACTGGCCTCACCACCACCGTCTGCAAACAGCGGCCCCTCCCGGGACCGGCGGCGCGCCCGCCGCCCCGCTCCGTCCCCGCCCGCAGCGCGGCGGCCCGGCAGCCCCTCTCCGCGCCGCCGGCCGCCATCTTGCCCGCGGCCCCGCCCGCCGAGTCCGCCGCGATCCCGGCAGCCTCCGGGCCGGCGCCGTTCGCGTGCCTTCGGCCATCTTCGCTCCTGCGGCCGAAGGGCCCGGCCGAGCCGCGTTCCGGGCTCGCCTCCGAACCGCGGCCGAAGCCCGCCAGCCGGTCGGGCGCGCTCGGGAACCTTCGGACGCGGGGGCGGGGAGCCGCGGCTCGGGGGCGTTCGGCGGCTGCGCTCGGCTCCGCCTCGGGCGGGCTCGGCGCTCGCTCGCGGCGGGGGCGGAGCCTCCGGCGCCCGGTTCTCTCGGCCCGGCCGCGCCGCGCCGGGGCCCGCGGAGTCGGCCCGTCGGTCGGGAAGGCCAGCGGCCCGGCGCCCCGGCGGCGGGAGGCGCTCGCCGCGGCGGCCGGGACCCTCGGCGGCCTCGGGCCTCTTCGGCCCTCTTCGGCTCGGGCCGCCGCGCGGCCGGGCCGCCTCGGGCGGGCTCGGCGCGGCTCGGGCGGGCTCGGCGCGCGCCGGCTCCCGTCGGCGCCGCTCGGACGCGCCTCGGGCCCCCCCGCTTCGGGCCCGGCCCGGCCTTCGGGCGCGCTCGGCGCGGTCCGGATGGAGGACTCGGACGCGGCCGCGAAGCAGCTGGGCCTGGCCGAGGCGGCGGCGGTGGCGGCCGCGGCCGCGGTGGCGGCGGCGGCCGCGGCCGCGGCAGGAGACGAGGCGGAGGAGCCTGTGCTCAGGCGGGACGAGGACTCGGAGGAGGACGGGGACTCGGAGGCGGAGCGCGAGACGCGGCGGGTGACGGCCGTGGCGGTGATGGCCGCCGAGCCCGGGCACATGGACATGGGCGCCGAGGCCCTGCCGGGACCCGACGAGGCCGCCGCGGCCGCCGCCTTCGCAGGCAAGTGCGGCCCGTCCCCCCGCACCTGCCCCTGCACGCCCTGCCCCGCACACGGTCTGCACCTGCCCCTGCACGCGCTGAGCCCTGCCCCGCACGCATCCTGCACCTGCCTGCACGCCCCGCACCTCCCTGCACGCCCAGCACCTCCCTGCACCTCCCTGCACGCCCTGCACCTCCCTGCACCTCCCTGCACCTCCCTGCACGCCCTGCACCTCCCTGCACACCGAGCACCTCCCTGCACGCCCTGCATCTCCCTGCACCTCCCTGCACGCCCTGCACCTCCCTGCACACCCAGCACCTCCCTGCACCCTTTGCACACCTTGCACTTTCCTGCACGCCCAGCACCTGCCTGCACACCTTGCACTTCCCTGCACGCCCTGCACCTCCCTGCACCCTTTGCACACCTTGCACTTCCCTGCACGCCCAGCACCTCTCTGCACGTCCTGCACCTCCCTGCACACCCAGCACCTCCCTGCACGCCCTGCACCTTCCTGCACCTCCCTGCACACCCAGCACCTCCCTGCACCCTTTGCACACCTTGCACTTCCCTGCACGCCCTGCACCTCCCTGTACGCCCTGCACCTTCCTGCACCTCCCTGCACCCTTTGCACACCTTGCACTTCCCTGCACACCCAGCACCTCCCTGCATGCCTTACACTTTCCTGCATGCCCTGCACGCCCAGCACCTCCTTGCACACCCTGCACCTTCCTGCACCCTTTGCACACCTTGCACTTCCCTGCATGCCTTGCATGCCTAGCACTTCTATGCACACATACAACCTCCTTGCAACCCTGGCACCTCCTTGCACAGCTGTTACCTGCTCTTTCATGCCAGTTTACTTTCCATACCCATCCACCCACCTGTTGTACACTTGGCTTGTTGACATCAGTTTGCATCTGTCTTAGGCATTTATCTCCCACATGTGCCCCCAAGTCCAGCCTGCAAGTCTTTCTCAAGCATCTGTTTCCCACCCACAGCGTGTGCCCTGTCTCTTCTGCACATCTGCCTCAAGTGACCAACATGGCAGTGGGCTGCACACACACCTACTCCAGAGTCCTTTCTCCTTGTGCCAGTTCCACCCCTGCTCCCCTTCTGGAACCTTTTAGCACCTGCTTCTTGCTCCTGCTGGCCCTTTCCTGAGTCCTGGGTACCAACCGCAGGCTTTGTCTGCAGGAGCCTGGGGCTAGGGGGCTTTCAGGGGTGAGGGGAGCACCGGGCTGGCCCTTTGTGCACCCACTCCTCTGGCCGTCCGCAGGCCCCTTCCTGGGGCAAGGCCCACCGGCTGGCCCTGCTACCTGAGCATCTCACCTGCAGAACATTCTGGTCGAGTTCATGACCAGAAAGCCTCACGCTGCTCAAAAGCGCTCGTGAGTGGCAGTGCCTCCCTCGTGCGGCTGCTGGGTGGGGCCAAGAGGGTTTTCTTTAGGTCCTTAGTCTCCACGGACCTGTCTCCTTTAACACAGGAGGGTCGTGGTGTCCCTGCCACGGAGCGGTGTGCCCATGGTGCCCACAGCAGCCTTCGCAGCTCTGCGTGTGTGAGCACAGGTGCTCGCTTGTGTGGTCTCCGGGCCGTGGGCGGTGTAGGTGTGAGTTGCAGAGCAGCACGGCCCTGGGAGGTGCAGCCCCACTTTTGCACAAGCCTTGTTTGTTTGGGGTTGCTGGTCACGGCTAGAGCAGGAGTGGTCAGACGCTGTTCCTGAGCACCCCCTGTTGGCAGAGCACCCCAGGCAGGGGATGCGGGGGGTGGGGGGACCCAAAGGGGCCTTGTGGTGACGAGGAGGGAGGGGCTGTGGGGCAGGTGGGACCCTCTGCCAGCCATGTCCTGCGAGTTTTGGGGGTGGCGGCTGGCACACTGGCGGGTTACTGGATCCTGGCCTGGTGGGGCCGGTAGGGAGGGCCGTGGGGTTGGGAATCCGGGGGCAGCTTTGGAGCCAGGCCTGAGGGTCTGGGAATGGGGCAAGCAGCCCGGGGTTGGGGGTTGTGCGCGTGGACAGCGCCTCCCTCTCTCTGGCTTGGTGGTATCGCGTGGGCTGTCCACGGCTGGCTGCCGACCCTGGGCTGGAGGTGCAGCCTTGCTGGGTGGTGTGGGCTGAGGCAGCTCCGTGTTGCAGAGGTGACCACTGTGACGGTGGCCAACGTGGGCGCCTCCGCGGACAATGTCTTCACCACGTCGGTGGCCAACGCGGCCTCACTCTCGGGACATGTGCTGGTGAGCCCTCTGGCGGGGGCGTGCGGAGTGGGGGTGGGGTGCCCTCAGCGCTGCAGGTCACTCCTCGGGGTCCCCAGTGGAAGCCACGTTTGACGGCACAGGAAGCAAACCTGCTTCGCCTCCGTTGGTCTCCGAGGAGGGACGGGCCGGAGCCGCCGGCCTCTGGGCGGCCAGCGGGAGGGGCCCCTGCCCTCGGCTCCCCCGGGCCCTGACGGCACACGGGCGCAAGGCCGCTGGGGGGCCGGTGGTTGCTGTCGGGTTGCGCCGCCCAGGGAGATGCCTGAGGGAGTCCCTCTGCAGTCTGGCAGGACCGCCCTGCAGCTCGGGGACAGCCTGAACACCGAGAAGGCCACGCTGATCGTCGTCCACACCGACGGGAGCATCGTGGAGACCACCGGCCTCAAGGGCGCCGCGGCCCCGCTCACCCCGGGTAGCGCCCTCCCCGCCCGCGGAGCCAGCCCGGGGAGGCGGGGCTGCCGGAGGGCCACGCTGGGGGCGCGCGGGCAGTGGCGGGGCAGGCCTGGGGCCGCCTGACGCTTCCCTCCCCCCAGGCCCGCAGTCCCCGCCCACCCCACTCGCCCCGGGCCAGGAGAAGGGGGGCACCAAGTACAACTGGGACCCCTCGGTGCACGACAGCGAGCTGCCCGTGCGCTGCCGCAACATCAGCGGCGTCCTGTACAAGCGCCGACTGGGCTCAGGTGAGGGCGGGGGCCGGGGGGGGGTCCAGGCGGGGCGGGGGGGGGGGTCCAGGCGGGGACGGGGCAGCCGGCTGGCCCTCACTCCCTAACCCGGGTCCGCCTGGTGGCCTCGGCCGCCGCTTGCAAGGGGATGGGGCCTGGGCCGGTGGCCTCTGGGGGCCGCGGAGTATGGACCCTGCCGGCCGCTCCGGTGTCTGCGGGCGTGGGGCGGGCGGGTGGGGCCGGGCGGCGGCGGGAGACCCCCAGGGTGAGCCGGCCGTGGCCGTGGTGCCCGCAGGCGGCCGGGGCCGGTGCATCAAGCAGGGCGAGAACTGGTACAGCCCCACGGAGTTCGAGGCCATGGCCGGGCGGGCCAGCAGCAAGGACTGGAAGAGGAGCATACGCTACGCAGGCCGCCCGCTGCAGTGCCTCATCCAGGTGCCGCCCGCGGGCAGCAGGGCTCGTCCGCCCGGCGTGCGCTCCCTCGGGGCGGGCGGCCTGCGGGGCGGCGGGAGCCCAGGGGCCGCGCGCCAGGGCTGGTGGGAGGCTGGTGTGGCGGGGTGGTCAGCGTCCGCTCGCCTTTCAGGACGGCATCCTGAACCCTCACGCGGCCTCCTGCACCTGCGCGGCCTGCTGTGACGACATGACCCTGGTGAGTGCCCACCTGCGCCCCCCACCCCCGCCAGGCAGCCCCTCCCAGCCGCCCGCACCCGCTTCCCACACGTTTCTGCCCTGACGTGAGTCGGCCCGAGCTGAGCCACAAGGAGAGTCTTCCTGAGCTGGGCAGTGGCCTCCACCCAGGCCAAGGTCAGGCCCTGCTCCGGGAGCACCTGGCCCTCTCCCCGGTGGAGCGGCCATGTGAGGGGGAGTGTGGAGGCTCTGAAGGCCTTGGGAGCGATCCCCTGACAGCCAGGCCTTGGACAGGATAGCCTCTGGGGGCCCCGGGACCGGTCCCCTCACTCCTGGCCACGGGGAGCCCAGGCCAGCAGGGAGTGTGGCGCCCCCCCCCGCCCCGAGGCCTGGGCCTGGGAGGGGTGGGCAGGAGCCCTGTGGGAGGGTCGCTGTCAGCTGGGCACTCTGCACCACAGGAAGGGGCTTTCAGGACAGAGGTCTGGGACCGGAGGCCAAGGCCAAGGCCAGGGAGCTGGTGGGGCTCTGGGGTGCCCGACCGAGTCCCCTGCCAGCGGGGAGAGTGTCCTCAAGTCCTCGGGCCCCACCCCAGCAGGCCAGCCCCCCCCCACGCCCATCTCCCTCCTCCCAAGGCATAGCCTTGGGTCATCTGCCCCCGCCAGGGTCACAGTTCAGGGGTCAGCCCGAAGGGTCGGAGGGCCGGTGCTGGAGGCCACCCGTGCCTGGCCCCTGTCCTGGCGCGTCGCCGCTGTGTCCACGGAAGTGCCTTTGTCCAGGCCCTGCTGTCACATTAGGAGACACGGGCGGGCGAGCCTCGCCCCTTACTCTGCTGCCCTCCCTAGAGCGGCCCGGTGCGGCTCTTCGTCCCCTACAAGAGGCGCAAGAAGGAGAACGAGCTGCCTGCACCCCCCGTGAAGAAGGAGCCCCCCAAGAACATCACGCTGCTCCCCGCTACAGCCGCCACCGCCTGTGAGTGGGGCAGGCGCGGTCTGCCCAGGCCGGGGCGGGGCCGGAGGGTTGGACTGGGTCCCCACCCTCATGCCCATCCATGGCCAGTTCTTGTGACCCCAACCAGCCCGTGTCAGAGCCACGCGCAGACCCGGCTGCTGGGCATCGGGGGCACCTGGGTGGCGGGCGGGGCCGGCCCCTGAGACTGCTGGCCTCTGCCTTTCCAGTCACCGTCACCCCCTCAGGACAGATCACTACCTCGGGCGCCCTGACCTTTGACCGGGCGTCCACCGTGGAGGCCACCGCAGTCATCTCTGAGAGTCCGGCCCAGGGCGATGTCTTCGCAGGAGCCACAGGCGAGTACGGTCCGAGGGCCCGGCCCCCTGGCCGGTGGGGTGCGGGCGGCAGGCGCCACCTCTGGGCCGAGGACCTGGCTGTGTCCACATGGTGACCCCGTGGTGGCTGGTCTGTGTCCACAGTGCAGGAGGCAGGTGTGCAGCCCCCGTGCCGGGCCAGCGCCCCTGAGCCCCACTACCCCGGCTACCAGGACAGCTGCCCACTGGCTCCCTTCCCAGAGGCTGCGCTGCCCACCTCTCATCCCAAGATAGGTCAGTGCGGGCCTGCGGGGCCCGGCCGTGTCCTCAGCAGGTGGGAGGCCTCTAGGCCGCGGGTGTGTCTGTGCGGCACATGCTCTGGGCAGGCACCGGGCACGCTGGGCGAGGTGGGGCCGGGCCTGCCTCCTGCAGCCCCGCAGAGGGCGGCCAGCCCAGGTTGCGGGGGCCCTCATGCGGCTCCTCGCTGGCCTTGCAGTGCTGACGTCCCTGCCGGCTCTGGCCATCCCGCCCTCCACCCCCACCAAGGCCGTGCCCCCCGCGGTGGTCAGCGGGCTGGAGCTGTCGGAGCAGCGCAGCTGGCTGTACCTGGAGGAGATGGTCAACTCCCTGCTGAGCACGGCGCAGCAGCTGAAGACGCTGCTCGAGCAGGCCAAGCAGGCCAGCTCCTACCGGGAGGCCGCCGCAGCCCAGGCCCGGGCGCAGGCCGACTCGGAGCGCAAGGAGGTGAGGCCCGGCTCGGGGTGGGGCTGGGGGAGGGGCTCCAGAGGGGCTGGGGTGTCCCTGCAGCGCCCCTCCTGCCCGCGCAGCCCCCTGGGCTGGGCCCAGACCCTGCGCGTCCGCCTCCTGGCTGCGGGGATACTCGCGGGGCTGTGCCCAGGGCCCTCGCCGGGGTGGCCCCGTGGCTCTCTGGGCGGGTGCAGGCCGGGCCACAGCGGACAGAGGGTGGTGGCTGTGGGAGGGTCGCGGCCTGCGGTCCTCAGCTGCCCCCACTTGCAGGGCCGCTCAGGCCCAGGGAAGCAGGGATCTCAGGGCGCAGGTGCAGGCGTCACCCCGACCGTGTCCAGCATCCACTGTCCTGAACAAAAGCCCACATGTCCGAGATGGCACCGTCCTGCCCACGAGGCTGGGAGCGCACGTCAGCTTCCCCGCCGTGGGGTGTGTGTGTGGGGGTGTCTGGTGTCTGTTTGGGGGGGGTGTGTGTGGGGTGTCGGGTACGTGAGGCCGCCGTCCTACGGGGCTGGTCTCCGCGCGGGGAGGACGATCTGCAGCTGGGTGGGCGCCGGGTGTGCGCCAGGCCGGGTGGGAGCTGGGTGGCCCCAGCGTGGCCACAGGGTCTCCGGTCTCCCAGGGACCAGCCCGGGCCTCCAGGGACTGCCGGGGCTGCTGCCCAGGCTAGCGTGGACCCCCGTGAGAGCCCCTCACATGTACGGGAGGCGCGGGCGCCCCTGGGGAGTAGGTGGCGGGGCCGACCCAGCGCCGCCGGTACTTTGGGGCAAGAAACGACTCTGGGGCAAGAAACGACTCTGGGCCACGGTGCTGGCAGGACGGACGTGGGGCACCCCAGGGCGGGACAGCAGTGGGACGGGGCGTCCGTGCCAGCCCCCACCGTGCCCCCGCCCACCCATGTCCCCCGGCTGTGCCCCACAGCAGTCTTGTGTCAACTGCGGCCGCGAGGCCCTGAGCGAGTGCACCGGCTGCCACAAGGTCAACTACTGCTCCACCTTCTGCCAGCGCAAGGTAGCGCCCGCCCCTCCGGCCCCCGAGCCCGTGTCCCGCACCCCCCAGCTCCCCCCAGCCTGCCCCCCGCCCCCCATCCAGTCCCCCGCCCCCCTGGCGCCGGCCGCCCTCGGCCCCAGCGCAGCGAGCAACCGCAGCGAGCAGGCAGGGCTGCGGGTGGGCGGGCCTGTTGGTCCTGACCCGAGGCGCGGGGACCTGCGGCCACTGATGCAGTGATGTTTGACCTGGTCGGGAGACGCCCAGCTACCCGCAGTGAGGTCGCTGCCAGCTGTCACCCGCTGACCCCAATGGCCCGTTGTGGCCGCCGGCCGGGGCAGCGGGCGCCTGCGGGCGGGTCCCTTGGGGCGTATCCCCAGGCTCCCGCGCTGACCGGCTGTTCTGGCCAGGTGTGTGCTGAGCTCCCAGGGCGGCCCCGGCACAGCCGGCCTGCAGGCGTCTCCCCCAGCCCGGGGCGTTGGTGGCGTCTTTCCTGCGGGACTGCTGTCCCGGGGCCACCTGGCTGGACGGGGTCAGTCCATCCTGTGCTCAGGGGCGGCCAGTGTGGCCACCGTCGCTCAGTTTCTGCCTAACCCCGGTTGGGGGTGCTGCTCGTGGCCGGGTTGCTGTGGCTGGACCCTTCCGCTGGGGCCGTCCCCCCACCAGGCGCCCAGGGATGCTGGCCGAGCTTCCATGGACGGCGCCAGGGTCACTGCTGGCTGGGCCCCTGCCCTGACCATCGCCGCCAGGCCTCATGGCCTTGCGCCCGGAGCTCGCCCGCTGCTTTGCTCCTTCCGGAGTGTCCGGCTGCTCCATCGGCCTCAGGGAAGCCTCGCTGGGCAGAAGGGCCTGCCTGCGCCCCTGCGCCCCGCCTGGGCCCTCCGCACGGCCTCCGCTGTCCCCTCCCTCCTCCGAGGCGCCCCGTCCCCGGTGCTGCTCCCAGGCGCGTCCCCGACCCCTCTCCCCCGCTGGCTGCCTGGATCTCCGCGTCCAGGGGAAACCCGCACGGGGCCTGCGGGCCAGGCGCCCTCTGTCCCCTTCGCTGGGCCGGCTGGGCAGCCGTTGGGGGGTCCTTCCCTTTCTGCTCGCCGGGGCTCCCCTGTTTGCTCGCAGGGCGGCTTTGCGAGGGAGGGTTCTGGCTCGGGCCGGGCCCCCTGGGGCCACGCAGTCCTGGAGACGGGGCCTGAGTCCTTGGCGCCCGCTGGGGCCGGGTCCCCTGGTCGCCCCTGCCCGTCCCTGCCCCGCTGTCCCGCCCCGGGTCCACCTCTCAGGCTCCCGCCGCTCCCTCCTCGGGTCGCGTTTCCCGCGGCCTCCCCTCGGGCCTCTTGTTCCCGGAGGCCTGTGGTGGGCGTGCCCGGGCAGGCAGGGCGCAGGGGCCACGGGTCCGGCCGGTGCCCCCCTGTGAGGAGACCTGGCTCAGCAGGGCCCGCCCCGCCCCCTCGCGCCTCCCCCACCGCGAACGCGCCGCCTTCCTGGGAGCGCCACACACGCTCGTGCCTCATGCTAGCGGCTGGTCGCGTTACCAAGGTGGACAGTCCCCGCGCCCCTCCGTGGAGGTAAGGTGGAGGCGGGCGCTCGTCCCTCCCGCAGCTCAGCGCTGGACGCCGCAGGACCTGACGCGGGCGGCCGGCGCTCGGGTCACTGGGCGCCTCCTGGCGGCCACCCCCGGGGCCTGCCGGCCGCTGGCCTTCGAGCCGTCCCTGCAGCGCCGGGGTGGGCGCGGGGCGCGGCCGTGGACCCCGCGGCGGCCGGTAACGCGCGCCCCCCGCAGGACTGGAAGGACCACCAGCACGTGTGTGGCCACGCGGCAGCCGTCACCGTCCAGGCCGACGAAGTCCACGTCGCCGAGAGTGTGATCGAGAAGGTCACCGTGTGAGCCGCCGGCGCCACACGGGCTGCCAGTGGGCAGCGGAGGACCCACGAGGCCCGAGGACGTGGGGACCCCGCAGGAAGAAACTTGCTGGCCAAGTCGTCCACAGACTCCTAGAGACCTGGTCCCTGGGGCCCGGGCGCGGCCCCGACGGGCGCCCGTGCCGGCCTGTGCGCGCCGCGGCGTCCTGGGCGTCTGTCAATAAAGTGCACCAGCCCCTCCGGCGGCCGCGCTCCTCCCTGGCAGGACCCAGCTGCCCCTCCTGCGGCCCTTGTGGGGAGGCCGTCACCCCTAGCCTCAGGCGGCGAGTCCTCAGGCTGGCCCACCGGTGACCCGGGAGGCCCTTCTCCAGGCTGCAGCTCCCCATCCAGCCGGCCCGGCAGGCGGGCTTCTGGCTGGGAGCCTCTGGGTCTGGTGTGACCTGTGCGGTCACCCATGTTGTGGAAGCGTCCACAGCTCCCAGAAGTGCCCTCCAGGCGCAGCCCTGGGCTCAGGGCCACTTCCCCTCTGGCCTAAGGCCACGCCTGGGGACAACGGAGCTGCTCAGTGGTGACTCTGCCCTCAAGCCTGCTGCAGGCCAGCGCCCTCCCCGGGCTCCTGCTTCCGGAAGGTTCTTCCACATTGTAGCACCAGCCTTGCTGTTTGGGATACTTGCTTGGGGAGGCGAGGAGTTTCTGGGGCGGTCTGACTGCTGCCCCGCCCTGGCGCCCACCCGCGGCTCGTGGGCACAGGTGTTCCTGGAAAGTCCTGGGTCTCCAGGGAGGGTGGGCAGGGCTGGGGGTCAGGGAGGGCCGCTGGCACTTGAGCAGGGGGCCTCCGTGTAACATTGTCATACGCTCGGGGGTTCCTGATGCCCCGGGCCCCGCATCCTGGCCTGAGAGCCAGGTGACCGGGCCTTGCCGTGGGCAGGGGGCCAGGCACCTTGAGCCTGTGGCGGGGCCAGGGTGTGGGGCTGGCTGGGCGCCTGCAGCCTGTGGGGCAGCCCGCGCAGGTGAACCAGGACTCGTCAGGGAGCCAGGCCCTGCCTCATGCACCTGCCAGGGTGTCCACAGTGGGAAGGTGCCTAGGGGCAGGGCGCGGCCCCCTCGGGTACGCACCCACCACCAGCGGCAGGACCCTCATGGCCTTGAGCTCCAGGCCAGGGGTCTTGGCGCGCCGGTTGCTGTGTGGCTGGGGCTCGGGGTGGGGGGAACCGGGGCGGCGCGCCTGGCTGTGCAGCGTGGTGCCCTTGGCCTCCCGGCGCCCCAGGCCCGGGAAGGCGGCCCAGGGAGCAGCAGCGTGAGCGGGCGGGGCAGGAAGGAGGAACGAGGTTGCAGCCCTTCAGGTGGCACGTGGGTGCCGTGGGGGCCACGCAGCCACGTGGCGCTGATGAGCAGCCGCTGGGGCGGCCCCGCGAACCTACAGTGCGGGGTGGGGCGGGGAGGCCCGCCTGTCCACGCTGATGGGGCAGAGGCTGAAGGTGGAGGCCGTGCGCAGCAGAACATCCCTTGCCAGGAGGGCGAGGCAGGCGGGACTCAGTGGCCAGACGCCGCCCTGCGCCTGGGGAGGTGGGGTCCGGTCGCCACGCCCGCCACGCCCACCCTCGCACTGTTTCTCGGTCCCTCCAGCTCGCGGTGGCCGGAGGGGTCCCCGGTGCCCAGTCTGCGCCCGGACGGTGGGCTGGGTGGCCAAAGTCGCTTGTTGCGGGGCCCTTGGCTTGAAGGTTAGCGGCTTCGCTTGGGTGGTAGATGCCAAGGCCGAGGCCACACCGGCCCCGCCCGGGCGTCCCTCCCCCGACACCCCCGCCTGAGGGCGAGGCGGGCGCTTCCGAGGGCGCGCGAGCCCCGACCCGCCCTTCGGCGCCCGCGGCGTCTTCGCGCTCGACCAGCCGCGCGCTGGGGATCGGAGCCGCCGTTCGGGCCCCCAACCCCTGCAGCCGCCCCGCAAACTCCCAGGCTGCAAGCCCCGTTGGTGGCTGCACGCCCCGCCGGGCCCCACACCCCGCGCCCCTCGCAGGCTCCTCGGCGCCGCGGCCCTGGGGAGCTGCGACCCGCGGCCACCGCCCGCCCCACCTCGCGGGCCGGCCGAGCGGTCGGGGCGCAGCGGAGCCCCCGCAGTTAAGTGCGCCGGGCAGAAGGGGGGCGCGGGCGGAGGGCCCAGCCCGGGGGCTCCCCGGTACCCCCCAAGAAAAGCCCCAAGAGCGCCCTGCCCCCCGCCCCCACCTGGAAGCCCGGCGCGCTGGGCTGCGCTCCCGCCCCGGCCGCGGGGGCCCCGGGACACTGGCGGGCGAGGCCGCGGCGCCCAGGAGGGGGTTCAGGCAGCGCCGGGCCAGGGGGGCGCCCCGCCTCGGGCCTCGCGAGACGGCCGGGCGAGGGGTCGCCGGGGGGGAGCAGGCGCGGGGGGGGGGGGTCGGCCCCGCCTTCGCGGAGGCGCTTCCCCGCTCAGGAGCGCGCGGGCGGGCGGGCGGGCGCGGGCTGTCTCGGCCGCGCCCGCGCCCGGCAGGGGCCCCCGGGCTGCGCCCCTGGGGTCGGCCGGTGCCCCCGACCCGGGCGCCCCTGCGGGCGGCGCGCCCGGCCCAGGACGTCCCTGGCGCGGTCACGGCCCCGGGCACAGGCAGCGCCGCGGCCCGAAGGCCCCAAGACGCGGCGGAGGCCCGCGGGGCGCAGACAGACAGACAGACAGGCAGACAGACAGACAGGCAGACGGCCCGGGCGCCCGGGAAGGCAGGTCTCCGCAGCTTCGCCTGTTGCCAGTTTGCTTTGCTTTCGGGAAGCTCGGGTGTCCCGCGGACACGGGCGCGAGGGCGCGTGGTCCGGAGGGTGCGAAGCTCGCGGTCCGCGGAGGCGGCGTTTCGCGTTTCCTCGGCGCGTCCGCAGGGCCGGGCGGCGCGGCCTCTAGGACTGTGTTTAGTGATTCATGCCTGCGTGAGTCCAGTCCCGGGCAGGGCCGCCCACAGGGCCGCAGACCCCGCCCGTCTCCCCCTGCTCCCCTCAGCGGCGGATCTCAGCGGGTGCCCCTGTTCCGCTCCCGCTGTCCGGGGCGTCCTCCACCGCGCCCCTCGGCCTGCGCCGGCCCCGGCCTCCACGAGCACGTCTTTAAGAAACTGCCAGAGGAACGGGAACCACGCGCAGTGCATTTTCTGCCCGTAAAGGAATTACAACCCAGTAACAGAAAGCAGGAACATCTTCAACATTGTGGAAATGACACGACTCCAGTCAATTCTAAGTGATCTGTGGCTTGAAGACGAGATCGCAAGAGAGATCAGAACACCCGCTGCACGGAAGCGAAATGAAAATACACCCCAGCCTGCGGGGCGAGGCCAGAGCAGCGCGTCAGGAAATTCACAGCAAAAGAAAGAAGAGAAAAAGTGAGCGTCCGCTCATTTCCCAAAGACGGAACCCTTGAAGCCACCATGATATTCACTGGCTCAGGAAAAAACTGGAAAAAATCACATTCATGAAAAAAAATGTCCAACCTTCCACATGTACCTACTTTTCATTTTTATTTCATTAGCTTGATGTCTCTTCTTTTTTCTTGTAAAGATTTATTTGTTTAGGGCCTTCCTGGTGGCGCAAGGGGTTGAGCACCACACTCTGAAGCCATCCGCAGCCTCTGCAGCACGAGTTTGATCCCCGGCCAGGGAGAAACCCACAGGGCGCAGCAGACCCCTCCCGACTCGCCCGCTGCTCCCCTCAGCCGTGTATTTCGCTTGGTCTGCCTGTTCTGCTCCCCGCTCTGTCTCTGGTGGATCCTCTCACCACCCACCCCCCACGCATCTCTGGCCTGTACCCCAGCTCTTGTATGCATAAATCTTTAAAAAAAAAAGGATTTATTTATTTATACAAGCACTGGGTACAGTCAGAAGCGCGGGAGGATGAGAGAATTCAGCAGAGCCAAAGCGGGGAGCAGAACAGGCAGGTACACTGCTGAGGGGAGCAGCAGGTGGCAGGAGAGGTCTGCGCACCATGTGGGACCTTCGCCGGCAGCCGGGGATCAAACCAGCGCTGCAGAGGCTGCGGGCAGCTTCACAGCCCAGCGCTCCACCGCTGCACCACGGGGGAGGCCCTCTCTTCTTTTTAAAATAATTTAAAAAAGATTTATTTATTTATGCATACAAGAACTGGGGTGCAGGCCAGAGGTGCGGGGATGGGAGTGTTAGGGGGCACAGGATGTCCTAAAGCTGATCCCATACAGGCTTTGTGGACTCCACCCCCACCCCAGGCCACAGCCAAAGACCCTGGGGACTCCACATCGAGTCCCCACCCAAGGGAAGGTGGCTGGGACCTGAGGGTGGGGTTCAGCAGCCAGGTGGGGATAAAGCCAGACCCGTGGGCTTTTGGGGGGGGGTCCCCCTTTTTGGCTCTCCGCCAGCTCGCAGCGTCCGGCCAGCTCGGAGAGGGCCTTTGGGTTTCCAGGTCGGCGGATCGGGTGGGACGCATGAAAGACTTGATTTCCCTGTTTTCTCCCTGAGTTGTCCATTTCCTCAATTCCTTTTCCCTTGCCAATAAACCATTTATGAACCTGTTGTGTGTGCCTGCCGTGGAGTGTTCATAAGTCCCTTGTAAGCGCGCGGGTGAGGCCCCACAGCCAGGAACCCGTTTTATTTTATATCGAGGTTGCCCTATAACAGGAGGAGTCCCCAGTGGCAGAGCGGGGAGCAGAGCAGGTAGACCGACTGAAGCACCCTGCTGAGGGGCGTGGTGGGGAGACAGGTCTGCTGCGCCTGTGGGTCGCTCCCTGGCCGGGGATGGAACTGGTCCTGCAGGGGCTGGGGACGGCCTCATAGGTTGCGTCTTCATCCCTTGCGCCACCAGGGAGGCCCTGATTTCTCTTCTTCCCTCGTTGTTCATTTTGGGGCAGTGTCTGCTTCTCCCCGATGTCACACCCCCCGCCCTAGGGGGAGTCCCGGCTCCCCCAGGCCTCGGTCTGCGGTCAGCACCGGGCAGCCCTTCACCTGACCCTGCCGTCAGCGTCTCAGCCAGGCGGCAGCAACCCACCAGCGACCGAGGCCGCTTAGGAGGACCAGAAGCGCCCCCTAAAATCAGAAAGGAGGGGCGTCCTCGCTCACCTCCTGCGCAGCCCTGGGAGCGCGGGTTTCCTCGGGACGCGGCTCCCTGGTCAGACGCTGCCGGCCGCGGCTGGTCCGCTCCGGGCGGCTTAGCTGCTGGGCGCGGGCGCCCGGGAAGGCCGGGAATCGCCGTCCGGCGCTGTAGGGTTTAAAGTCTAAGCCGGGGCCGCCGCGTATTTTTGAGGGCTTCGCGGCGCCGACCTTAAAGCCTCATTCTACTAAATCCCCGCGGGCGGGCGAGGCCCCGCGGCGGCGCCAGGTCCCCCCTCCCGCCCCGCCAGGCCCAGGCCCGCGCCCGCCCCCCCAGGCCGCCCCGCGCCCGCCCCCCGCGGCGCCCGCTCCCACTCGGGGGGCGCCCCCGTCCCGGCCTCGACCCGCGGGCGCCCCCGCCGCCTGCCCCGCGGGCGCGTGGTCGGGGGGGCCTGGCGCGCGCCGGTCCCCGCGGGGCGCCCGGCCGGCCCCCCCAGCCCGCCGAGGGGCGCCGCCAGGACGCTGGGGGCGGGCGCGGGTCGGGGCGACAGCTGGGGGGGCGGCCCTGACCTTCTGCGCGATCGATGGGGCGCGGCCGCCGGGGTCCGGCCGCGCGCTATAAAGGGGCTGCGGGGCTCGAGCGGGGCAGCACCCCCGGCGCGCCCCACCATGGCCACCCCGCCCCGGATGCTGCTGCTGCTGCTGCTGCTGCTGCTCTTCCTCGGGGGCTCCGTCGCGCACCCCGCGCTGCCCAGGTGAGCCGCGTCCCGGGGCCGCGCCAGCCCGCGCCGAGCCCCCCGCCCTGACCGCCCCCCGCCCTGACACCCCCCCCCGCCCTGACCCCCCCCCCCCCGCCCCAGGGCGCCGCGGCACTCGGACGGGGCCTTCACCAGCGAGCTCAGCCGCCTCCGGGAGCGCGCGCGGCTGCAGCGGCTGCTCCAGGGCCTGGTGGGGAAGCGCAGGTGAGGCCGGCGGGGCGCGCGGGGGCGCGGGCTGGGCCGCGGGGCTCCTCGCGGGGACTGACTGTGCCGGGCGGGGCAGCGAGCCGGACGCCGAGGCCGGGACCGGGACCGCCTGGACCAGCTCAGCCCGTGGCCACTTCTGCGTGCCGTGGCCAGACTGGCCGGCCCCGCGCGCCTGGTGAGGACCCCGCGCTCCCTGCCTCCCGCCCCCCACCCCGCTGGGGACCCCGGGCCCCTGGGGGGAGGGAGGAGGCCCGGGAGGGGTCTCAGCGCGGCCCCCCGCGTGTCTCCCTGCAGGGCGCCGCGGAGGGATCCCCCGGGCCCGGCCTGGTCTGCTCTGCTGCCGCCGGGTCCGAGGTCGAGGTCGGAGGTCCTGGTTTCAGAGCCAGCAGCCCCCCGGCTGAGGGGCCCCCGCTGAGGCCCTGCTGAGGAGGCGCCTCCCCACCATGGGAGGGGGGTGTGGGGAAGGGGGCGCCCCCAATAAAAGAGGAAATGAGACCCTGGCCCTCTGTGCGCCCCACCGCCCCAGGCCCCTCTTGACACCAGGAAGGGCGCTGCCCCGCCCTCTCGGCACCCCTATCTGGGCATCAGCTGACCCCCTGGCCCCCCACAGCCTACTCTGCAAACAGGCAGAGATCTGGGGGCTCAGGGCTCCCAGCACCTGCCCCAGGGGCTGGGGCCAGGGGCCGTGGCCCTGGAGCCAGGGGACCTGGGAGGGCCTGCACCTGCCAGGCAGGAGGCTGGGTGGGCAGGGAGGCCTGGAAGGGAGGGCGCCCCATCAGAGCCCCTTCCCTCCCCTGACACCCCAGAGCCTCTCCCCAGTGGTGGGGGCACGACAGGGGCAGATGGGTCAGAAGAGGGCATCAGAGCCCCTGGGGACCCAGCAGTCCAGAGCGCCCGTTCCCAAGGCCATGCCCTGCCCCGCCCAGAGGAGGCCAGAGGTTTCCGGGACAGCAGGACACCCCCAGGTCACGGCCATTTCCTTCCAGACAGAGGGAGAGGGAGTGGGCACGCAGGGGACACCAGGTCTGGGCTTCGGGGGCAGCTGCAGGGGCTCGATGAGTCCAGTAGGTCATGGGGGGGTGCGGTGGGGTGCACGGGGCGAACACCCAGAGCCAGGCCCTCCCCCTCCCCTGCCCTAGGCCTCTCCTCAAGCCCAGCCCTGGCCCCCACCCCAGCCCCCACCCCCTCCCTCAGCCCTAACCCCTGCCCCCTCGCCCCAACACCCCCGCCCCCACTCTAGCCCCACCCCTCCCCGGGGCCTAACCCTCTCCCCAGGTCCCTGCCCCTAACCCCAGCCCGCCCCGCCCCCCTCCCGGTTCCCCCCCAGCCCCACCCTCTCCCCTCAGCCTGTGGGCTGAGCCTCCAGCTGGCAGGGGGCTGGCTGGGAGCGACCAGGTCTCCTCTGGGGGAGCCAGGCCGCCGGCCCGCGGGAGCCCCCTAGGTGGAGGCCGTTGCCGTAAAGGATCATAAAGTGGGGTGGTGCCCAGCAGGGCGAAGGTCGCTGGAGAGAGCCGGCTCTGGAGGCGGCACTGCGGGTCGGAGGGTCCTGGAGGCCAGACGGCTGGACCCTCCAGGGCTGAGCGTTACCCGGACGCCCAGATGGGGGCTTGGGCCGTGCTGTTGTTGCTGCTCGCAGCCGCCGCCCAGGGCAATGGTACCTGTGGGCAGCAGCGGGCGGCGGGCAGAGGCGGGCGGCGGGCAGGCAGCAGGCGGGCGGTGGTGGGCAGCAGGTGGGCAGTGGCGGGAGGGCAGCAGGTGGGCAGTGGCGGGAGGGCGTGGGCGAACGCACGACCCCTGCCCCGCCCCCAGCCTGCTCCATCAAGCAGAACGTGCTCGTGGTGGAGGAGAACACACAGCTCTCTGAGCCAGTGGGGACCATCGAGGTCCCCAAAGACCAGGAGGTGGTTCTGGGGCCCGAGTCCACCCCCGATGCATTTCGGATCCAGAACCAGGAGGACCAGACCCAGCTCTTCCTCGACCTGAGTCCCGACTACGAGGTGCTCAGGGCCGTGGGGCCGGTGGGGGCAGCCTGGCGCCTTCTCCACAGACAGGCTTTCTGGGTGCTGGTTTTTCTGGGGGGGTTCCCGGGCAGCGAGTGACCCTGAGGGCTGGAGGGGCGTGGGGACCTGAGGGAGGACACCCCCTGGCAGTGCCTGGCGCAGCCCCGGCCCCCCAGTGAGGCAGGAGGTCGCCGAGGCCAGCTGGGCAGTGGCCCCCTCACCCCTGCCCGCAGAGGAACGACGTCCTGCTGGCCCACCTGCTCTGCAGAAGGGGGGACACCCTGGTGAGTGCGCCTGGCCCTCCTCCAGAGGCCCACCTCCTTCCGACCCTCCGGGGCCACGCTCCCCCCCCACACCCCCATCCTGCCAGCCCCGCGGGCGTCTCTTCCCACTGCCCCGCTGGCCCCTCTGCCGCCCACCCCATCCACGCCCAGGGCCCCGCCGCCCCGCTCCCGCCCCTTCCAGGCCCGCGGGGCACCCCGAGGCTGAGCGCTCCGCCCCCAGGTGACGCAGCTGAGGGTGTTCCTGACTGTGCTGGACGTCAACGACAACGCGCCCACCTTCCCCTTCGGGGACACCCCCCTGAACGCTTTGGTGCCCGAAGTGAGGCGGGAGCCTGGGGGAGGCGGGGGTGGGGGTGGGGCGGGCCCAGGAGCTTGGCCAAACCCACCCCCACCCCCCACCCCGCCCCCAGGATGAGAGGGTGAACGCCACGGTCATCCCCGAGGCGGACCTGCAGGCCACGGACCTGGACAAGAGCGACACCCTGTTCTACCATCTCGAGGAAGTGACCAAGGTCAGTGCCCGTCCCCTGGCGCCCGCCCCCCGCCCCTGTGCTGCCCCCACCCCCGGGTCTCAGCCTCTCGCCCCCCCCAGAATGCCAGCCTCTACTTCCAACTGGCGGGCGTCAACCAGCCGGCCCTGAAGCTGAGGAGGTCGCTGGCCTTCATCGACCTCGACCGCTGGCCCAACATGACCTTCCAGCTGCTGGTGCAGGTGAGCGGCCCCGCCCCCGCCGGGCAGCCCCCCCATCACCCCCTCCATGCCCCCTGCCGCCCCCCGCACCGGGCTGACCCTGCTCTGTGCAGGACACTCAGGACTCTCAGGATTCCACCCACACGGCCACAGCCACCCTGGTGCTGCGGGTGCAGCCGGCGGACCTGCGGCCGCCCTGGTTCCTGCCCTGCGCCTTCGAGGACCTCCAGAACTGCGTCCAGGCCCAGTACCAGGGGGTGGTCCCCACGGGCATCCTGCCGGTACTGGGGCCTGGGCTGGGCTAGGGAGCGGGAGCGGGGTTCCCTGACAGTGGGGCCCCAGACTCCCGAGCGCAGCGGGGCTCCGTGAGCGTCCCTTGCGTGCCCACCCGGTCCCAAGACAAGCTGTGACTGGACCGGCCAGTGGACACCTTAGCAAAGGACCCCCGGGGGCCGGTGGCTGCGTGCCTGGACACTATGGCACCGCCGCTGCTTCGGGCTGAGCCGGGTGCCCACAGCAGCCCTACAGCGCCCCCCTCCCCGCAGCTGGGCGCCCTTCCCCTGCACCCCGGGCCCCTCTACGCGGTGGACGGTGACAGGGCCATCGACCAGCCCATCGTCTACAGCATCCTGCAGGGTGAGTGCGGCCGGCCAGCGGGGTGCGGGTGGTGTGCGCAGAGCTGGGCCCCTCAGGGCCGGCACCAGGGGCCTCTGCTCCCCCAGGCAACGATGACCTCACCTTCGACATCAGCGCGGCCTCGGGCAACCTCACCATGGCCAGGAGCGTCCCCAGCCCCCGGACCTTCGTTCTGCTGGTCAAGGTGGGTGCCACGTGCGCCCCGCCCCACCGCCCAGCACCCCCAGGCCTGCTGGTCACCGCGCTGTCCCTGCAGGCCGAGCAGGAGGACGGGGCGCGGTACTCGGTGACCCGGGTCACCATCACGGTGGAGGACCGCGACGCCAACGGCAGCGTGCCCACCTTCCCCCTGCGGCTGTACCACGGCTTCCTGGTGCTGGGCGGGGCCCCGGGCGTGGCCGTCAAGGACAGCTCGGACCCCTCGCAGCCCCTGACGGTCCGGGCCCGCGACTCCGTGTTCCCTGTAGGCACCCCGGCCGCCCGCCCCGCGCCGCCGCCCCGCGCCCCCGCCCCGCGCCCCCGCCCCGCGCCCGGGCCTGCGGGTGGCGGTCGCCTGACTGCGCCCCGTCTAGGGCTTCGACCCGGCCTTCGCCTACCGGATCACCAACAACTCGAAGTTCCGGATGGACGGGGAGGCCGTGCTGACCACCCCCGAGCTGGTGGCCCCCGGGGTCTACGCCGCGGAGGTGAGGGCGGGGCGGCCGGGCGGGCGGGGGCGGCGAGGCGGCCAGCAGGACGAGCCCCTGCCCCGCAGGTGGAGGCCACCAACGCGGTGACGCAGCGCCAGGCGCGCACGGAGCTGCAGGTCCGCGTGCTCCCCGAGCCCACGCCCCCCCAGGTGAGCCGCGGCGTCGCGCCACAGGAGGGGCGGCCGGGGGTGCGGGACCCCAGCTCCCCGGGGCCCCTTGGGGCCTCCTCCTGGCTCGGGGCACTGACGGGCACTCCTCCGGGCCTTCTCCCCCCGCGCCGCGCCTCAGGGGTCTCCAGCACGCCCGCGCGGGAGACGCTGCCCACCTCAGGTACCCGCTGCCGGCGCAGGGGGCGGAGGGGCGGCGAGGCTGGGGGAGGCGGGAAAGGGCAGAGGGCACGTGGCAACCAGGTCGGGCCGCTCAGCCCCGCCTTGGGGGGGACCCCTGCCCCATCGCCGTCAGCCCGAGGCCGGGGCCCCGCAGGCTGGTGTGCGGCCGGGCGCCGGCGGTAAGTGAGCTTGGTATTGCCCGCAGGGACGCCCGGGACCGGGGCAGTGACGGGGACCGTGACGGTGACGGGGGCAGTGACGGGGACCGGAGCCGGGACCGGGGCAGTGACGGGGACTGGGGCAGTGACCGGAGCCGTGACGGGGACCGGGGCAGTGACCGGGGCAGTGACGGGGACCGGGGCAGTGACGGGGACCGGAACCGTGACCGGGGCAGTGACCGGGGCAGTGACGGGGACTGGGGCAGTGACCGGGGCAGTGACGGGGACCGGAGCCGGGACCGGGGCAGTGACGGGGACCGGAACCGTGACCGGGGCAGTGACCGGGGCCGTGACCGGGACCGGAACCGTGACCGGGGCAGGGACGGGGACGGTGACCCGGCCCGGGACCGGCGGCGGCGGCGCGGAGGACGGCGCGGCGGGCGGCGGCCACGCTGAGGACGGCCGCTTCTCCACAGCGCAGATGGCCGCCCTGGGCGGGGTGCTGGGCGGGCTGCTGCTGCTGGCCCTGCTGGCCCTCGCCGTCCTGGTGCGCAGGCACTACGGCCACAGGCTCCGGTGCTGCTCCCGCAAGACCCTGGTGAGGCCGGGGCGGCCGGACTCGGGGGGCCGCCGGGGACCGCGGGGGGCGCGAGAAGGGGGGGGCCGGGCCAGGGGCGCCCCGCGGAGCCGGGCGGGCGGGCGGGCGGGCGGGGGAGGCGCCCGCGTCCCGCTGAGCCCCCCGCCTCCCCAGGAGCCCCCGCCGGGCGGCCGGGCTGGAGGCCACGAGAACCCGGCCTTCCTCGGCCCCGACCAGGCCAACTGGGCGCCGGCCCTCGACGCCGCCCCCCGCGCCGCCCCCGCCGACCAGCCGCCGGCGACCCCCGAGCCGGAGCCGGAGCCGGCGCCGCAGCCGCAGCCGGAGCCCGCGCGCCCCGCCGGCGCCCCCGAGGCCCCCGCGGCGGCCCGGGACGAGGACGGCCCCGCGGCCGTGAGGTCCATCCTGACCAAGGAGCGGCGGCCCGAGGGCGGCTACAAGGCCGTGTGGTTCGGCGAGGACGTCGGCGCCGAGGCCGACGTGGTGGTGCTCAACGCGCCCTCCGCGGACGCGCCCGGCGCGGGCGACTCGGCCAGCGACTCGGCCGAGGACGCGGACGCGGACGCCGCGGGGCAGCCGGACGGCGACTCCACCTACATCTAGGGCGGCCGGCCCGCGCCCCCCCGCGCCCCCCGGCCCCCCCCGCCCCCCCGCGCCCCGCGCGCCCCCCCGCGCCCCGTGCCCCGCCCCCCCGTGCCCCCCGCGCCCCGCGCGCCCCCCCGTGCCCCCCCCCCCGCGCCCCCCGCGCCCCGCGCGCAGAATAAAGCGACTCTGGGAATCGGGCTGCGCGTGGTGGCGCCGCGGGGCGCCGAGGCGGGGTGGGGGGTGGGGGGGCGGGGTCCTGGGGGTGCGAGCGCCGCTGGGGTAAACCACCTGCCGCGCGGGGGCGCGCCCCGCGCTGGGCGCCAGCTGCGCCTCCAAGTTCCTCTCGGGGTGACCGCGGGAGCCGCCCGAGCCGCAGAGCTGCGGGGGAGGGGCGTCGTGTCGGGGGGCCACCTCGCCCCCCGCCCCCCTCAGGGCCCCCTGGGGGCTCGCCGGCGGGTGCCCGGGGTCGAGGCCAGGCCCGGCGCGGTGCCCCCCGCGGGGGCCGGCGCCCGGCTGAGGCGAGGGGCGCTGGCCGGCCGGGAAGGGGCGGGTCAGCTGTGGGGACCGGGGCCTCGGGGCGGGGGGCGGCCTCCTCCGGGGCGATGTCGCGGGGCGTCCTCCAGGGCCCCTGCCCGCGCGTCCGTGCGCCCCCGGCGCGCGCCCTTCCAGGGGCAACCCGAGCTCTGGTTTCCGTTCCTGCCGGGCCGGCCCGAATCCGCGGAGCCCGGCGCCCGCCCGCCCGCGCCCCGCCCCGCCCGGCCCGCGGGGCGCAGAGCCCGGCACGTGGGGCGCGCGCCGCCCACGGCCCGCCCGCCCGCCCCTTCCGCGGCCCTAGAGGCGCCCGCCGCGGGCCTCCGGGAGACGGCGCGGTCCGCTCCAGGTACCGGGCCGCCCCTCGCCGGGCCACGGGCTGCGGGGCCGCGCAGCCGAGGGCCGGGCGGCGACTTGCGGGCGGGGCGCGGGCGGCGGGGGCCGGGGGCCGGGGGCGCCGCGGGAGGGTTGGGGCCGCAGCTTTAGGTTTCAGTTTCCCGGAGGCGGTTTCGCTTCCCGGCGCCCGGCCCGCCCGCCCGCTCGCGCCGCCCGCGCCGCCCCGCAGGCTCCGCCCGCGCCGCCCGGCCTGGACGCCGCCGCCGCCGGTGACCCGCGCCAGGAGCCCGCGCCGCGCAGCCGGGCCGCGAGCCGCACCCGGCGTCCCCGCAGCGCCCGGGCCGGACCCCGCGACGGCCGCGCCGACGTCTGAGCGGCGCCCCTCGCCCGCGCCCGCCGACGGCCGCCCCCCAGGGCGCCATGGCCCAGGACCCCGAGACGTGAGCGCGGCCCCGGCGCCCCCCGCCCCCCGCGCGGCCCCCTCCGCCCCCGCCCCCGCCCCCCGCGCGGCCCCGGCGCCCCCCGCCCGCCCCCGCCCCTGACGGCCGCGTCCCCGCAGGGCGGCCCCGCGCGTGCTGTTCGGCGACTGGCTGCTGCGCCAGGTGGGCAGCGGCCGCTACGAGGGGCTGCGCTGGCTGGACGCGGCCCGCACGCGCTTCCGCGTGCCCTGGAAGCACTTCGCGCGCAGGGACCTGGGCGAGCGGGACGCGCGCATCTTCAAGGTGGGCCCCGGGCTCGCGGGGGCGGGGCGCCCCCCCCCCGCCCGCAGCCGCCCACAGCGCCCCTTGCCTCCCCTTGCCGTCCGCAGGCCTGGGCCGAGGCGCGGGGCCGCTGGCCGCGCGGCGACCCGCCCGCCCCGGAGAGCGCGCTTCGGGCCGGCTGGAAAACCAACTTCCGCTGCGCGCTGCGGAGCACGCAGCGCTTCGTGATGCTGCAGGACAACTCAGGGGACCCCACCGACCCCCACAAGGTGTTCGGGCTGCGCCCAGAGCCGGGGTGCGGAGGTGAGGCACGCCGGGGAGTCAGTTGGTTGAGGGCAGGGAAGGTGCCGGGAGAGGCCGGGTTGGGGGGAGAACCATCAGGCCCCCCCCGTGAAGGGGTGCAGCTCAGCCACAGCAGACACCCCCCTTCTCTGCCAGAGAGCCTCAGTGTTGACGGCAAGGGGGCAGAGGCGCCCGTTGCAGCAGCTGCACCCTCTGGGGTAAGTCACTGCCCTCCTGGCTCGTGGGCGGAGCCTGGCTCCCGCGGGGGCTCATGCTGTCCTGTCTCCCCCGCAGGGCGGGCTCCCCCCAGGGCTGTGCCTGTGCCCATGCCCAGGGGGAGGAGCTGGTGAGGTGCCCGCGCCGAGCCGTGAGCCTGGCGCTGGGGGTCCCTGCCCCGGCCCAGCCGGCCTCCCAGAGGATCTTCTGCTCCAGGCTCTGCAGCAGAGTTGTCTGGGGGACCACCTGCTGGAAGCGGCATGGGGGGTGCACCCCATGCCCCTGGAGGCTCCTGGAGAGGGCCTGTGTCGTAAGTAGGGCATCTGCGAGGGCCAGGCAGGACGGCAGAGTCCCCAGAACAGGGCTGGCAGCTGCCGTGGACATGGGGGCCAACTGGGAGGGTGCGTGGGCCCCTGGGCCGGGAGGGAGGTCTGCGGCCAGGCCCAGAGCCCCCTACACAGGAGCCGTACCTGCTGTGAGGAGGCGAGGCCCGGGTGCCCACTGCGGTCCTCTCTTCTGCAGCCCCCACCCAGGAGCCCAGGCAGCCCCCGCCCCACGAGGCACCCGGACCCGCACCACCCCTTGCAGCCCACAGCCCCGCGGCTGCTGAGTGGGCCCCGGGCTGGCCGGGCAGCACCCAGCTCCAGCTCCAGGCAGAGCCCAGCCTGGGGCCCCTGGAAGTGACCATCATGTACAAGGGCCGGACGGTGCTGCGGGAGGTGGTGCGGCACCTGGGCTGCGTGCTCCTGTACGGCCCCCCGGGGCTGGCCGCCGACACCGAGCCCCAGTGCGTGGCCTTCCCCAGCCCGGCTGAGCTGGCCGACCAGAAGCAGCTGCGCTACACGGAGGAGGTGCTGCGGCACGTGGCCCCCGGGCTGCAGCTGCGCCAGCGGGGGCTGCAGCTGCGAGCCCTGCGCCTGGGCAAGTGCAAGGTCTACTGGGAGGTGGGGGGCCCCCTGGGCTCTGCCAGCCCCTCCACACCCCCCCAGCTTCTGGAGAGGAACTCGGACACCCTCATCTTCGACTTCAGCACCTTCTTCCAAGGTCAGTGTGTGGCCTGGCCCCTCCCCGCCCCCGCCTACCCCCACCCCCACCCACAAGCCCGCCCCTCCCCGCAGAGCTGCTGCAGTTCCAGGCCCAGCCACGCAGGGGCTCCCCGCACTATACCATCTACCTGGGCTTCGGGCAGGACCTGTCGGCCAGGAGGCCTAAGGAGAAGCACCTGGTCCTGGTGAAGGTGAGGCTGGTCCAGGCGCGGGGCCCCAGGGGCACAGACCCCTTGCTAAGCCCCCCCGCCCCCGCAGGTGGAGCCATGGCTGTGCCGAGCGTACCTGGAGGCTGCGCAGAGGGACGGCGCGTCCTCCCTGGACAGCAGCAGCCTCAGACTCTGCCTGTCGGGCTTCAGCAGCCTCTACGACGACCTCGAGGCCCTGCTCATGGACCTGGGGCAGTCGGCCTAGGGCCGCCTGGCCAGGCGCCACTCTTGCCCAGCCAGCCAGACCCCCCGCCCCACCGTGTCCACAAGGACCGAGTCAACTCAGAAACTTCTAAAGATAATCTTTTTGATAAATTAGAACAAGCTGCGTGTGCGTCTGGTATACGCGTAAACGGGCCCAGCTCCACGCGGACGGGTGCCCCTCAGCCCTCGGCACCCGGCCCCTCGCCCGCCTCCACCCGCCGGTGCCGCCTCATGTGCCGGTACTTGTCCACGTAGGCCTTGACCAGGTTGCCCACCTTCACGGGGTTGATCTCCCCACTCTTGCTGTGGCAGATCTGGGGGAGAGGGGGTGCAGCTGCATGACTGGACGCCAGGCTGGCCGACCCCCCTGGACCCCCCGGAGGCCGCGGCCCGGCGCCCACCTTCTGCACGGCCTTGCGCAGAATGTCCTTGTACTCGTCCTTGCTGACCTCCCTGCGCTGGTAGAAGGGCTTGATGGCCAGCTTCACCTCCTCCACCGCCCGCTCCTGCACGTGCAGCTTCTTCATGTACTGCGGAGCACGCGCGTCAGCCTGGGCCGGGGGGCCTCGGGGCGGGCGGGGGCTCACGGGCACCGCACTCACCTCCTCGTTCTTGGTCTTCTCGGCAGCTGGCCGGGGAGCAGCCTGCCTGTCCTCAGAGTTGGCGGTGGCATGGCCAGCTGGCTCCGAGGCTGTGGCCAGGATGGTGGGCGCAGGGGCCGGGCTTGGGGCCACCCCGCAGCCCGCCAGGGGCAGGCTGGCCTGCAGGAGAAGCTGGACGGGGGGCTGGCCGGCCGGCGTGCAGGGCGGGACACTCGAGTGCAGAGCTGGGGCGGGGGGCAGGCCGAGGCTGTGAACCTGGGTGGGGTGAGCCAGAGCATGACCCTCTGCCCGGCCCTGCCAGGGGCCCGCCCTGCCCCGGGCGCCCCCACCGGACCCACCTGAGAAGGGTCGGCACGGGGGAAGCTGGGCTCTGGGAGCAGGTGACCGGAGGGCGGGGGCTCTGGGAAGGGAGCGCGCTGGGCCACCAGGGGGCCTGCCTCGTCCATCTCCCAGACCTCTTCCCGGGGCTTCTGGGGCCTGGGAAGTGGCGCCCCTGAAGGCCGACAGAGGGAGAGGGTGTCATGGGTGCCCCCTGGGGGACATTCTGGGAAAGCACCTCATTCTTCCCCAAGCTCAGCCCAGGAAAAGGGGGCGCCGCAGTGCCGGCCCTGACCCCCGCCTCTGACCCAGGGAGAGCCCTACTCACGCAGGCCACTGTCCCCCGCCGCCTGCAGGTTCCACGTGACCCTCTTCACCAGGGCCTTGGCTCGCAGCAGGGGGGTCTGCGAGCAGCCTTCCTCCTTCTCCAGAGGGGCCAGGGCCCGGGCCCCCAGGGTACTGGGCACCACAGTGGCCTCAGCCACCTCTGGCGGCAGCCAGGGCTTCTGCTGGGGGCCCTCGGCCAGGGGGAGCTGCTGCGCGGTGCCCTCTGCGAGGGCCAACAACGCCTCCTTGGGGGGCAGAGCCAGGGGCACGGCAGGGTTTGGGGGGAGGGCACGCTCCGGGGAGGAGTCGGTGCTCTCAGGGGAGGGCGGGGAGCTCATGTCATCCAGCTGCACCAGGAGCGCCTCGCTGGCCAAGTCCTCAAAGACGCGGCCGGCCTCGACGGAGTCGGCGTAGTCCAGGTCCTCAGGCGGACACTCGGCCGGTGCCGCTGGGTCCAGGGCCGCCTCCGGGAGGGCCCTGGCGGCTTCCTGCTGGGCCGGCGAGGCACCCGCTCCCGCCAAAGCGGCAGGCTGGGCCGGGGGCTCCCGGGGCGCTGGTTCGTCCTGGGTGGGGGGCACTGCAGGCGCCGCCCTCCCCGGCTTCCTCTCGGAGGAGGCGCGCAGCCGCGGCCTCTTCTCCCGGGACCGGGGCCGCCGGGCCCTGTGCTCTGTACTGGGCGACCGGGACCGGCGCTTCCTCCTTTCGCGGGGCCGCTCCCGGCTCCTCTCCCTGGGGTGCCGGTGCCTCCGGAGCCGGTCCAGGCTGCTGGGGGGCAGGCACTCCCGGCCCCGCGGCCGCTTCTTCTTGCTCCGGCTCTCGCGGGCGGGGCTCCCAGGGCTGACCGAGCGTGAGCGCCGCCGGCCAGGGCCGTGGCCCCAGGAGCCGCGCCGCCCCTCCCTGCTCCTGTCCCTGGCCCGCCTGCGCTTGGCCTGCTCACGGCTGCTGGACCGGTCGCTGGAAGACCTGCGGCTCCGGGCCCTGGGCCGCTGCCTGCCAGGGTAGTCCCCGCCCGGGGGCGGCGAGGCCGAGCGCGAGGCCCGGTCCCGGGAGCGGGACCGCCGGTGCCCCCTGGCAGCTGTCCGCTTCCGCTTGGCTTTCCTGCGGCCGTGCGAGCTGGACGTGGAGCCCGAGCTGGAGCGGGAGCGGGAGCGGAGCTCCACGAGCCTGTGGGGGGCGCTCCGCAAGGGCCCGGGCTCCGGGCCGGCCACACAGGTCACTGTCCGCTCCTCAGAGCCGAAGAAGGTGCTGTGGTGGGGGCCGTCGTCATCCTCCCAGGGCCCCGGCGGGCACGGGCTCGGCCCCGGGGCAGCTGACCCTGGGCTCCCGGCCAGCCCCTCCTCTGCCGCTGGCACATCCCGCGCCACGCCGGCCACGTCCTGGTCACGGGGCTGCAGCGCCCCGGAGGGCTCGGGCTCGGCCCCGAAAACAGCCTCCACCGTGTAGGAGGTGACGCAGCGCACGGCCGGGGCCGCGGGGGCCTCGGGGCTGTCGACGGAGATGGTCCTGGTGATCTCGGTGGGCAGGAGCCCGGGGCCCAGGCGCTCAGGGCTGCCGGCGGGCGAGCTGGAGTCGGAGCCCGTGGGGTCGAAGGGGTCGTACATCTCGCTCTTGAGCTGCCGCGCCTTCCGGATGGAGAAGAGGGGCGAGGGCGCCTCCTTGCGTGGGGCCTTGCTGTCCACCGGCCGGAAGGTGTTGCAGAAGCCGGGGTGGGAGGGCCGGCCGGCCTGGGCCGCGTTCCCCGGGATGTTGATCCTGAAGCTCTCGAAGGTGGAGCCGATGCCCTTCCCCCTGCAGGGCGCCCTTGGGGCTGGAGTGGGGGCGCCCCCCGCCTGTGAGCTGGGTTCCTGCGGGCCCCTGCCACTGGGCTCGCCCTCGGTCCGGGCGCTGTGGCTTGGCTGTGTGGGGCCCTCCCTGCCAGTCAACCGGCTGATGCAGGCGCTGGGGAGCTCAACGTGCTGCCCTGGGGCGGGGGCCCCGTCAGCCTGCCCACCCGGGCCAATCTTTGGTATCTGAGGAAGCTGGGGAACATCAGTCCTCCCGGACGTCGTTCTCGGGGCCTGCCCCAGCCCTGTGCTCCTGGAGGGTGAGACCGGGCTGCCCTCGGAGACCTGAGACATGGCAGGACCCAGAGACGGGGAGCGCGGGCCACTGCCCATCAGGCAGGGGGTGCCGCCACGCGGGAAGCCAAGCCTGCTCCCGGCAGACAAATTCTGGGTCTGGCCTGGCCTCGGGGGTCCTGCAGAGGGGCCTGGTCTCACCGTCGCCCCCGTGGCCACGGCGGGTGCACAGGAAGGACTGGGCCCCGCGCCCTGCTGGCTGCGGCCATTCCCTGAGCGTGGCCCGCCTGGCTGCAGGCCATCCCCGACCCCGGGGCCTCGTCCCCGATTGGGCAGACCCGGCAAGTCCCGCTGACAAGAAACGGGTGCTGAAAGACAAAGGCGAGAGGTGTCAGCCCTGTCTGCAAGGAGCTCTGGCCACTATTGGGGTCACCAGGAGCTGGAGGACACCTAAGACCCGCTGGGACCTGGATGAGGAGGAACTAGACCAGCAGACCAAGGGCCTGACTGCAGGGCTGAGGCACTGGAGGGGAGGGGTGCGGTGCAGAGCGTGGCCGGCTGGGCCTGGTGGCAGGTGTGGGGGCTGTGCCCCCCACCTACACTTCGCCCCAGTTTAAATAAACAATAAAGCTTTCTGAGCTGGATACCCAGTCCAGGCCCCGCGGGGAGGCTGTGGGCCCGGGAGGCTGGGGCTTTCATTGCACATCCCAGAAACTGCGGTGCAGATCTCTGGGCCCCCCACGCCCATTGCTGAGCACCCCCACAGCCACCCACCTCTCCCGGGGAGCCGCTCCATCCCTGAAGCCCTCCCATGCGCGACTCTCGGGGACTCCCCAAGCCGACGGGCGGCTCAGAAGGGGGCACCAGCAGAAGAGCCGCGCCCCGTCCCGGCGCAAAGGGCCCCGGCTGCTCACCCGCCCGCTTGGCACTAAGGGAGCCGTCCCGGTGGATGGTCACGTCGGCGCCGTTCATCATCAGGAGGCTCTGGCTGGACAGGATGCTGCCCAGCAGGTCGGGCTCGGGGGCCTCGTCCACCTCGGGCTCCGACCCAGCAGCAGGGAGGCTCCGCCTACAGCGAACATGGCGGCGGGAGGAGCGTCGGTGCTTCTGCCCAGCTGGGCCCGACCGAGGGGCTGGCCCTGAGGCCTGGTCCGCTCCCTGAGGACACCCAGCCCAGCGTGGGGCTCCTCCCATGGCCCCTAGTGGTGGCCTCATGGCCTGCACGAGTCACCCCGGGAGCAGCCTGGGGCGTGGCGAGGCCCACCAGTCCCTGCCGCCTGCCCGGGACCCACCTGGAGAGCCCCACGGAGACCGGCCGGGCCACCGGCTGGTGGGACCGCAGAGCCGACTGGGACAGGGCCCGCCTCTTGTCGTGCAGCAGGGAGCCGGGGCTGGCAGGCAGGGCCTCACCGCTGCAGAGTGGGTTAGAGACAGCAGGTGAGGCCCAGGGCACCCACAGGCCAGGGTAGGCCCATCACAGGTGAGATGGGGCCGCCCTGCGTGCTAGGAGAGTTACACAGCCCTACGCCTGCTCACCTGTCGAAGGGATCCAGCTCGTAAGGATCCCCAAACAGAGACAGGGAGGCGGCCCCAATGTCGGCACGCAGCAGCCCCAGGGAGGGCTCTGCTGGCCTGTACAGAGAGGGGGTGCAGGCCCCCCGGGCTGGCCTCCGCAGGCCCAGGGTCTGTGCCAGGCGGGAGCGGGCCGTAGCTTCATTCTGACCAAGAAACAGGACTGTGAGCAGGACCCACCTGGGGCCCTGACTTGCGATCCCGGAGCTGGGTGGTCCCGCAACCCCACCCCCACCCCCCACGGCCCTAGCCGGGACCAGCGCCTGTGTCCAGGATGAGGCTGGCAGGAACAGCAACCACACGGGACAGCAGCGGGCGGGGCCACTGCCGCCTCCGAGCAGGGGATGGTGGGATGGGCAGGCAGACCAGACTCGGCCTGGGACTCGGGCCGCCTGCACGTGGGCACACCCTGGGGCCAGCACAGAGCCAGCGCTCGGGACTGCAGCTGAGAGCGGGATCCCCCTGACCCCCGGCCCAGGCTACCTGCGTCCTGCTGCCCCTCCTCTTCCTCACGCGGCCCTGGCGTCTCTTCAGCCGTGCCCCAGAGCCCCGGCTCTTCCTGGGTGACTTAGACGGGCCTTTCCTCCTCCCCGGCGCCTTCCGCCGTCTCCCTACGAGGACGAGAGAGATCTGTGCCAGGCCACAGGCGGACCCTCTAGAGGGGACAGCCACACGCCGCCAGAGCCAGGCACGAGCCAGCGCCAAACACTGTTTAGAGCAGACGCTCAAGGAGCCCGGGCAGCCTGGCGCCTGCCTCGAGGCCTCAGGGCTGCTCCCGATGCTCACACCCGGGGACGGGGCCGAGTCGGAGGAGATGGGACACGGCGGTGGGGGCGGGCCTCCCAGGCCCTGCAGGGTGCCAACCTGGTCAGGGCAGGGACCGGGGCAGCCCGCAGGGCACAGGAACGCAGGCTGCCAGGCCTGAGGCGGCCGCTTCCAAAGCCATGCGAGAGGTGGCCAGCCGCCGCATACCCCAGTGGGCCCCAGCCCGGCTGCAGCTGGCGGTGCCCAACCTGGGGCACCTGTGGGACGAGGTAGTGCCCCTGCGGGTCTCAGGCCAGAGCTGCCCGAGATCCTGTCGCGTCTGTGATACCACTGCAACTTGCAACTCGTGCTGGCTGCCACAGAGCCCCCAGGACACGGCAGGACTGAGCGCGGGGCCAGCCGCCCCTCCACACCCACCTGCGGCCTCGCAGCCTCCGCAAGGCCCGGCCAGCACGAGGCCCGGGCCGACGAGATGGGGGTCCAGGGGCCGGTGCGGCAGGGACAGGGGAAGGCAGGGGATGCGGCACCCGCTGTGACTCCACTGCAGGCGTCACAGTCCCGGCCATCACAGCTCTGCCCCCAGGCTGGGCAGGGGCCGCAGAGGCCTCTACTCACCGTGCCCTGGGACGGCTCCTGCTGGGCGAGGGACGAAATGCCCGAGCAGAGCCCGCAGGATCCTTGTAAGTAAACTCCCCCCAGGGAGACACCGATACCCCCCCGAGAGAGCAGGCGGGGGCACCTCCTCACTCGGCCATCGCCCCAAACAGCGCCAGGCCCTGTTGCACTGCCAGGCACTGTGCCCGGAGCCCGCCCAGGCCTCCCGCAGCCCCGCCCACCAGGCCCACCTGCTTTCCTCCGCTTGGCAGAAGCGCGGGGGCCCAGGGGGCGCTGGTACACAGCAGTGCTCAGACCGGATGCCACAGCTTCGATAGTCTCGTCCAGCAGCGACGACGTGAGGTACCTCGGGATGTGCTGACCACAGGGAGAGGACAGTCAGGTGGCTGCCCTCAGCCTGCCAGCAGGTCCTCCCACAGAGCCCCAGGGGGCGGGGAGGGGCAGGGGGCCCAGAGCCGCCGTGCAGGGGACGTGGCAGGACGTGCAGCTGGGGGCCACTGATGGTGCCTGGCCGCGTCGTCCCAACACCCCCTCAAGCTCAGTGTTTCGGTGGCACCCACCTGCGCACTCCTGGCGGTGGAGATCCGGTTCCGGTTCACGGTGGCACGGACCCGCTCACTCTGCCGTGTCCTGGCAATGGCCCGGGTCCGCCCGGCGCGTGGCCGGAGCCTGCTACTGGTGGGCACCACGTCGGCCAGGAGCTCCTCCTCGCTTGGGGTGCCCGGGTCTGGGAGGAAGGAAGCCAGGCTGGGACACACAGGCGGCCCCCCAGAGCCCAGATGGGAGGTCCCTGCCCCAGGTATCACTCCTGCACGCCCCCCTGCCTCCCCCCCACCTCCCTGGCCAAACCTGCTGGGAAAGAGCCCTGCACCTCACCAGCAACGGCAGCCCCTTCGGGGGCAGCGCACTCCGGGCAGAACCACTCGTCCACGGGCACCTCCTGGAGAGGGGGGCGCAAGCACTCCATGTGGTACCTGCGGGAAGCCAGCCGTGGTGAGCCAACACCGGGCCACCACCAGGCTGGGATGGGGCTCTGGGGTGAGGGACGGGCAAGGCCCGGAAAGGGGGCCTGGCCACGCGGCAGCTCCTCACAGGCTGAGGCCAACCTGGACACTGTGCTCAGGCAGGGCCCACTCAGGCCCAGGGGACACACCCGGGTGCCCAGGGCTCCGCCTCAAGGGTAGGAGGCTGAGCCTTGAGGAAGAGCGGGGACCGAGGCCTGCTCACCCAGCGTCACAGCCATCACACAGCAGCAGGCGGTCTTCGCGGTCACTCCGGCCACACGTCCCGCAGAAAGTCGGGTCCTCCTCCTGGCCCTCCGGGGTCCCGGTACGCTCCACTGGGACCTGCAGACGGATAGCACTGTCACCCGCTGGACAGCAGAGGCCAGCCCTGGGCGCACGCCTCCCGGGCACCATCGGAAACCAGGCCCCAGGTGAGGGCCCGTGGGTCTGGCCCCCCCACTGCCCCACTCACTGTCCTCAGGGTAGGGCCGCCTGGCCGCGCACGGATGCAAACGCACTTGAAGATGGCGCGGTCCACCGGGCAGGAGGTGGCATTCTGCAAGAGCAATGTGTCCATGACCCCCCACGCCTGCGGGCGGCCTGGGCACGCGCGGGTCACAGCCAGGCCAGGGGGCAGGGCCCACCTTGGCCCACTCCAGGATGCAGTCCAGGCAGAAGTGGTGGGCGCAGGTCTCGGGGGTCCCCACGGCCTGGCCCCGGAAGGCGTTGAGGCAGATCGGGCAGCTCTCAGCGTCATCGTCAGAGCTGAAAGCACCGTCGGAGTCCAGCCCACCCGGAGCTTCCGCCGCTTCGTCCTCCTCGTCCTCCTCATCTCCCTCGTCCTCGGAACCTCGGAGAAGAGCCAGGCTGACCTCGCACGCGGGGAGCCAGCGCTCGGAAGCCCCAGCAGGGCCAGACTCCGGCACCTCTGACACACCCAGGAAGTCCCAGCCCAAGCAGCAGGAAGCTCTGGAGCCCCTGGGGCCCTGGGGCCACTCCCTCCCAAACCGCCCCTCCAGGATGCAGGCAGGGCCCCCACAGGCCCCAGCCTGGCCCAGCCCTGCCAAGCGCTCATGGTGGGCAGGACCCTGCTCTCATGACTAAGGGTGTCGCCCTGGCCCGGCCTGTCTGGTGGGCTCTGGCCGCAGGTATTTGAGGGCCGCAGTTGGACCACGATGTGCAGGAGGGCACCGGGCAGGCCTACAGCAGGGCCGGCGAGGCCCCGCCGCCATCCTGGGGCACACACCAGGGTGGGTCGAAGCTGCCGTTGCCCATGAGACTCGGGACAGGACAAACAGAGATGGGGTGACGCTGACTTCTGCCCCTGAGGCCCTGGGAGCAGGAGCAGGTGCCAGTCACATGATCAGTCCTTCCCGGGAATTCAAGAGGCGCAGGCACGGAAAGAAAGGCGGAGAACGGGCTACCTAACTCGATTCAGCGGCCATTGGTAGCCAAAGCCACCCCCACCCTTCCTCAGAGCTCTGGAGTAAAAATGCCACAAGATGAGGACCCCGCCCCCGCCCCCGGCCAGGCCAAGGTGGGAGGAGCAGGGCCATCTGGTCAGCTCCCTGGGTCCTCAGGCCTTCCCCCTCCCTGCAGACCGCAACCAAAGCCCCGACCTCCAGGCCCCTCCCGCATCTGTCTCGGCAGCTTCTCCAGGCCCACGGAGCACCCCCACCACACACCCCGCACAGCCACAGGGTGGCCACGCCTGCCCTGGCACTGCTCTGCCCACACCCGTAGGCCTCTGCTGGGACGAGTGGCAGGACCAGGCCCACTGCCAACCAGCGCCAAGCCCCACCCAGAGCTCCTGACTTGGGGAAACCAGAGGGGCTGCCCTGGCAAGCGCCTCCGGGGTGGGTGCCCTGCAGGGAGGCAGTGCGCCGTGTGGAGCCCGCCCTGGACAGCGAGGGCTGCTCTGGACACCCCGAGGCCGATCCCCACAGCCTGGAAAAGCGGGGATGCCGGCACCTCCCACAGTGGCCAGGTGGGCTCCCCGCAGCCAGCCAGATAGAGTGGCCCAGCGGGCCCTGAGGACATGCTTCAGACAGAGACCAAGAGAGAGGAAAAGCGCAGGAGGCGGTGTGGGGCTGTGTGCCCAATGGGCAGCTCACGGGTGGCGGGCAGCTTTGGGCGTCCCGGTCAGAAGAGCAAGGAGCTGCAGGGCGCCACGGCAAAGCAGGAGTGGTGCTGAGGGCCCCGCACCCGAGACACACGGCCCGCTGGGCAGCGGGGGAGGGGCCGCCCTGTCTGGCCAGAGGGCCTGGGGGCACGCGCCCGGCACAACCCAGCTCCGCTGCCCCCACTCTCAGCTGTCCGAACTTCCTGGTCACCCGAGTCACCGCACTGGACTCCAAGCCAAGCGCGACCCACCAGAAAGGGGCTCATGGGTGTGCATCTCCCCGCCGTCCGCACCCCACCGGCCAGGAGGCAGAGGACGCTTCCTGACAGGCGCCTGAAGCCCCACCGGAGGCCTCTCACCAGATCTGCCGTCCAGGGAGCCCTCCTCCTCCTCCTCGCCGGCGCTGCAGTCGCTGCCCGAGTCGTCCTCTGAGTCGTCCTCAGAGCCGCCGCCTGGAGGACAGGGGGGCAGGCCAGTGACCACGGGCGGGGCAAGGCTGCCGCGGGGTGAGGCGGCTGGGCTGGGGACCGCAGGGCTCCCTCCCGTCCTCCCACCGCTCGTGTACAGTGAAGACGGGAAGGGGTCGCCGCTGCCGCCGGGAGGCAGAAATCCCTCTCCAGACACCCGCGAGTGAGCACGAGGCGTAAGGCGGACGCGCCAGCAGCCCTGCGCGCTCACCGGCATCTCCAGCCAGGGCAGCTGGGCTGGGTGGCGGGGGCCCACCCGGCCCTGGGCTTCGGTCAAGCTCATCCAGACTGTCGTCATCCATGGCTAGACATGGAAGCTCGGCTCTGAAAGAAACCAAGGCCCCAGATGTCAGGCTGCGGAGCCACTCACTGCAGGCGCCAGCCCCCACCCAGCACAGCCTGGCGGCGTCACCTGCAGGCCGGCCAGGCCGTCAGAGGCCCCCAGGGCAGTTGCAGCCGGAGCCTAGCCGAGCCCACGGACGACACCCCCAGGGCCATGACGCTGTGCCAGGCCTTGCCTGCAAACAGCCTACTGAACCGCAGCCAGCGTCACCAGCACCCGGCACTGGCATGAGCACCAGCGCTCAACCCCCCAAGGGCTCCAGGTGCCAGGGACACAGCGGCTCCTGTGTAGGGGCGGCCACAGAAGACCTGGTGACAGGCAGGGCCCCTGCTCTCGGGGGTCCCGGAGCCAAGCTGCAGGATGCTGGGGCAGCCAGGTCGCAGGGGCCTCTCACTGCCAAGTGCCACTCTGTGCTCCACCCTGTCTGGGGGCACATCCTACCCGCTCTACAGAGATGACGAGTGACCTTGCACACAACCACGGCCCCCCATGTCAGGCCCTTGAGCTTTGGTCCCCAAATGAGAAGTTCTCTTTTGCCCACACCACTCACCTCCAGTCCCAGGGTGCAACAGAGGAAGCACCTGGCTCAGAGATACCAGAGGGAAGAGGGCCGCACAGGACAAGGGCAAAGCAAGAACTGGGGCTCAGGGGCTGGACCTGGCTCACAAACTTGGGCCTCATCCCTGGACCTGCACAGGCCGCTCTCCTGGGGCACACGAGGCCAGTCTCGTAGGCACCCTGGGAGGTGGGGGCCAGACCCTCACCACACCCTGACGACCTGGCCCGCGAGGCCCACACTAAACAGGCGGTTTTGGGGGACCACCAATCCTCGTGAAACTGAGGAGGGTTCATCTCTGAGCCTGTACCCCCACCTCAAGGTGAGCAGCAGCCAGCAGGGTTCCTCAGGAGAGGTTACCTGTGGGGGTGCCTAGCAGCCCAGACAGCACCGCCCAGAGCAACCGCACCACTCAGGTGGGGGCACCGAGGGGGCAGCTGGTGTTGCTCCCACTGCTGCACCCCAGGTGGCCCCTGCAGGGGTGGTGAACCCGCCTCCAGGGACACCGCAGCCAGCGGGAGACCCCAACCCTGGAGGCTGCCCAGGAGACACAGCCCGACAGGCGCAACTGCGCCCAAAGGGGTCTCTCCCTCCCATGCAGCCGGCCCTGGGCTCCTCCCCCGGCACAGAGATCGCAGCCACTGCAACGGGCTGGGCCATGGAGGTCAGTGAGGCCAGGCAAGGCCTGGCTGCCTAGAAGTGCCAGCAGGGAAGAGAGACTGACCCTCTGGGGTCCCTGCGTCAGGTCCCAGTGGCCTCCCCGCCCCTCTCAGAAATGTGGGGCTGAGCAGCCCCTTCCCGGGCCATCACCTCACGAGGTGCCCACGGGCAGCAGCCGGGCAAGGGCCCGGGCTCGCTCACCGCACCTGTGCAAGGCCGGAAAGAGGCCTCTGTGAGGGGTGTCCAGCACCCTCTTTCCTGCCAAGAGCGCCCAGCTGCCGGGAGCCACAGCTGAGCGCAGCTGCACGTGGACAGGCCTGCCCTGACCGCCCATGCCCACCGCTGCCCACGGCCCCGCAGGAAGCCGTCCCCGCAGGGCGCCGGGCCACGTCAGAGCGGGTCAGAGCGGCTTCGCGGCGCTCGAGCCGCAGGACCGCAGCACCTGCTCCCGCCGCCGGGCCGGGAGGGGCGTCGCGGGGTCACTGGCGACCGCGCCCGGCCAGAAGAGGCGCGTCCAGCGCCGGCCGGGCAAGCGGGCCAGGCCCGGCCTCCCGCCAGACTCCAAGGCCCCGAAGAGCCAACGGCAGCCGGCGTCGGAGGCGCGGGCCAGGGTGGCCTCCGCGGCCGCGCCCGGAGCCAAGGCGGCCGGCAGGTGCCACCCTGGCCTCGGCCCCACGGCCGCCCGCGGGCCGGGGAGCCGCGCTCGCCCCCTCGTCGGCCCGGGCCGCCCGGCCCCAGCGCGGGCCCCGCCGCCGTCGCAGGCCAGCGGCCGGACACGGGCCACGCGGGCGGGCGGGCGGGCGGGGGGCGGCCCCCGCCTCCGGGAGAGCGGCCGGCGGGGCCCGCCCGGAAGCGCGCAGGCCGCGGACGCGCGGCCGCACACAAAGCGCGCGGCGCCCGGGCGGCCCCGCCGCAGGGACCCCGCGGCCGCCGCGGCCCCGCACGTACCCGGGAAGCTCGCGCGCCGCCGGCCGCGCCCCGCCCCGCCGCGCCGCGCCGCCGCCGGCCGAGCGCCCGCTCCGCCGGGCCCGCCGCCGCCGCCTCGGCCGCGCGCTCGCGACCCGGAAGGGCTCGGGCGGCTTCCGGCGCCCGCGGCCCGCCCCTCGCGGGCGAGACCACCGGCACGGGGGGGCCGGCGCGCCGCGGACGAGGCCGCCGCCGCCCGCGGCCCGGGCCGCGAGCTCTGGAGACGCCGCTGCGCGCAGCCCCCCGCCAGCCAGGCCGGCGCCCCGGGAGGAGGCGCGGCGCCTGGGGCCCCGCCAGTGGGCCGCTCCGGGCCGCGCTCCCCCTCCGGGCGCTTGGTAGCGCCCGGCCCAGGGCCCGAGGCGAGGGGAGCGGCTGCGCACACCTGGGCCCCGCCCGCGCCGGCCCCGCCCCGGAGGCCCCGCCCCGCCCCGCCCCGCCCGCGGAGGGGCCCCGCCTCGCGCCTCCCGGGCCCGGCGCTCTCGGGGTTCCGCGCTCCCCGCGCTGCGGCCGCTGGGGTCCGGGCGCGGACGGCCTTGCGCGCCTGGGGACCGGCCGCTCTGCGCCCCCGCTCGCTACGGGCCGGCTGCGATGGAGCCCGCCCCCCCGCGTCCCGCGCGTCGGGGCAGAGCCCGCGGGGCGCGCGGCAGGGACGGGGCGGGCGCGGCACGGGCCGGCTCGCGCCGCGCTGAACACGGCCCGCGGGGCAGGGGCTCGCGCGGGCCGCCCCCTGGACACCCGCGGGGCCGCGAGCCGCGGGGCGGGCCCGGGCACAGGCGCCTGCGGACGGCGCGGGACGGTGGTCGCCGGCGGGCGGGCCGGGGCGCCGGGGCAGGGAGGACGCGCGGCCGCGGGGACGGATCAGCGCCTGGAGATTTCGGGGACTAGGGGTCGCCGAGGTTGAAAGTGAAGTGCGGGGTGAAAAGGAGGAAGGTGGAACCGGAAGGTGGGCGCCCTGCCCAGGGAGGAGCCGGGAGGCTGGGCTTGGGCATCCCGGGGGAGCCGCGCCGGGGCTGCTGGAGGCCGGCGTCCGGCAGAGGCCAAGTGGACGTGCCACAGCCGGCTCTCGCGCAGGGGCTGGGGGACAGCAGAGGACCAAGGCCACCAGGCCCAGGAGGGGCTCCGGAGCCTGGGAGGGCGCCCTTCAGGCCAGGCTGGGCAGTGAGGGGCCCTGCGGGCGGGAGGACAGTGCTAAGAGCCCGGGGAAGACTTGCAAGAAAGGAACTTGGGCGCAGCCGGAGAGACAGGGCTTCTGGCGCCCTCCCTGCATGGAGGGCCTGGGCGGGGGGCGCGTGCTTCCAGCTCCCCTGGGGCAGTACCACGCCTGGTGCTTGGGCTCCCAGCCTCCGGGCCTTGGTAAAAACACTGGGAGCTCATGGGCCACCCGGGGGACAGCCTGGGGGTCCAGTGTGGGCAGGAGCTGCTGCCGCCCAGCAGAGGGTCCCAAAGGAACCCTCCTGGGGTAGAGTGGACAAACAGCTCAGGGCCACCTCGGAGCCTCTGTGGAGCGGGCCCGGCCCTCCCTTTCTCCCGAGGCTGCTCTGAGGAAAGTGTTGCGTCAATGAGCTGCAAAGAACACCTCCCTGCAGGCATCCTGGGCAGTGTACAGCCTGCCCAGCCAGGCCGGCCTGGGTCAGCTGCAAGACACATCCCCAGGGAGGCGTCCAGAGTCTCTGGACGGGGTGCAGACAGCACAGATGGTCCTTGCCCTCACTGTCAACCCCCCTGCAGGCAAGGGGCGCCCCCAGCCTGTCCCCTCCCCTGCACACCTGCTGGCCACCTAGCTGCCACCTCCCCAGTGCTAGCGCCACACAGGACACACATGTGGCCTGCCCACATGGATCAGAGCTGCACCCATGTCCTGGTGGGGATCCCAGGGTGGGCTGGCCTGGGAGCTCCCTGGGTCCTGCTCCCCCTCCCCCCCCAGAGTGGGGGGGACAGACAGGGGCAAGTGGCACTCCCCCAGCTTGGAAAGTGGGTGCAGGAGCTTCTTGAGGCTGCCAGAATAAGCGGCCGCAAATGGGGAGACTGAAAACTGGACACCCCCCACAGCCCAGCAGGCCTCAGCTCACCACTGCTGCCACACTGCTGAGGGTGGAGCCTGGCACCCGCATTCCCAGGCCAGTGGCCACCCTCCCCAGTCCCCACCTATGCTAAAGAGGCCTCCTCGCTGCGTCTGTCTCGCATGAGGACACTCCTCTTGGGGTCACAGTCCCCAGGCATCTGGGATGACCTCAGCTCCATGTCCTTCACTCAGCCACACCTACGAAGACCCTGTGCCAGGCTGCAGCCACGGGCTAGCCGTTAGGACAGGACATGCTTTTGGAGGGGCCACCATTCAACTCACCACACAGGGCCATAGGGGAGCGTCTAGAACCTCAGGATTGGGGCACCAGGGGGGCTGTAGCGCCTGGCGGAGTGGCCCTGAGATCCAGTCGCTCCCTGTCCCCTCACCCCAGACTTCTTGGCCAAACTGCCCACCTCCACGTGTGTCCCGTCCCGAAGGGGTGGCCGCCCCAGGGTCTCAGACTCCCAGGGCTGAGGCCCCCCAGGGCCCAGGCCTCGCTGCCCGCCCCCCCCCCCCCCCCGCGTGACTCCCGGGAGAGGGAGCCAGCCCCCGGCCGGCCCCCCGCAGGTCACAGCCCGCCTCCCCGCTCCCGAGCCGAGGGCGGAGGTGACCAGGCTGGGAAGGGCTGGAGGGGTGAAGGGCCGCGGGAGCTGGGGGTCCCCCCGCCCCGGAGGCGCCCACGGGTGGGGACCACCCACGACCGAGCGCGCCGCGGGGGGCGGGGCGAAGGGGCGGAGCCCAGCCCCCCCCCCCCGCGTCTGAAAACTCCGCCCGGCGCTCCGCCGCGCGGCCGCCTCCTCCGAGCCGGGCCGGCGCTCGCCCGGTCCCCGAAGGGCCTCGGCGCCGGCGGCTCCACGGCGCCCGGGCCGCTCCCCGCCAGCCCCGGGGACCCGGGCCGTTCCACCGCGCGGGCCGGGGAGCGCCGCGGGCCGTACCACGCGCCGCGGCCCGCGGGGGACGCCGCCCGCCGCCCGCCGCCCCCCGGCCCGCGCCCGCCCCCCGGCCCGCCCCGCCCGGCCCGCCCGCCCGCGCGGCAGGTGGCGGCCCCGCCCCGAGGCCGACGTGCGGAAAGGAACGCGCCGGCCGCGCCCGCCCGGGCCCGCGCGGCGGGGGGCGGGGCCTCGGCGCTCCCCTCGCGCCCACTGGCTGCGGCGCGGCGGGGCGGGCCCGGGCCGGCCCGTCATTGGCTGCCGGGCCCCGCGATTTGCATACGGGCCGGCGGGGCCCGGCGGGGCCGCGGTGCGGGGCTCGGCCGCCGCCGAAGTTGGGCGGAGCGCGGGCGCGGCCGCAGGTGACGCGCGGGGGGTCGCGGCCGGCGGGCGGGGGCGCGCCCCGCCCTCCCCCCCGGCGGCGGGGTGCGGGCCGGGCCGGGGCGGCGGGGCGCGGGCGCGCCGGCGGGAGCCGAGGGAGGGGGCCGGGCCGGGGACGACCCTCCGCCCGCCCGCCGGGCCCTCCGGGCGCAGGGCAGCCCCTGCCCACCGCACACTGCGCTGCTCCGGACCCACTGTGCGTGTGACAGCGGCTGACCTGTCCCTGGGCAGCGCGACGCCCCGGCCCCTCCGTGACCCCGCCGTGCCGGGCCCGCGCCGCCGGGTGGGGGAAGGAGGCCGGGGGCTCGGCTTGGGCCCGAGGTCCTCCCGGAGCGCGCTTTCCTGGGCGGGGGCGCCGGGCGTGCAGTGCTCCTGGGACGGCCTTCTGGACGTGTCGGGCGGAGGACAGCCGGGGCGTGGTGGGCAGTGCCCACCACCAGGACTGGACCAGCCCTGGAGCCGCCCCCGGGACCCTGCAGGAGGACAGCGCCGGCTCTTCTGTGTCCCTGTGTCCAGCATGGCCACTGAAAGAGTCAGGGTGCCTTCGGCCCATTTGTGGGCCCAGTGACATGGCCCTGCCAGAAGAGGGGGCACATACTGGCGCCCCAGCATGATGGCTACCACCCCACCTTCTCTGCTGCGTGTCCTCAAGTCCAAGGTGAAGACTGCTGGTCCCGAAGCCACCCAGAGGGGCCACCAGCCTGCAGGCCGCTGGGCCAGGGGTGGTCTGCAGCCTGCGGTACAGGCAGGCTCCCTGGCGACCATGAGCCTGGACCGGTGTCTGGGCTGCCGCAGCAGAGCTATTCCTGTGGCCCAGCAGGTTCGGGTCTGAACCAGGTGGCCAGGTCACTGCTGGCAGGCAGCGGCGGCCCAGGGACAGGAACAGGCCCCCCAGCACGGCCTGGCCTGCGGAGTGGGACCTTCTGGTCTGCGCCCTCCTCACGGCTTCTGTTGCTGACTTAAAGTACAGCTTAGAACTCAAAAGTAACCCTTCAGCCACTCAAGGATTTGCAAAGTGACCGCAGCACCGCTGGCTACTTTTCGGGGTGGGGGGGGTTGTCTGCCTGGAACAATCACACGCAGGTCCTGATCCTCGGGGGTGGGGGGTGGCGCCGCGGGTCCCTTCGGCTGGAGAAGCTGTTCTTCTTTAGCTTCTTCAGGGCCCGAGGCCAACTGAGCCCGAATCCCTCTGCCGGTTTCAGGAGGGACACGGGCCTGGGAGCTGCCTGGGAGCTACCAGCACACGCAGGCGTCCGCTGGGGATGGGGAACTGGTCAGGGGGAGCAGATGACCCCAGGTGGTGGGGCAGCCTGATGCGCTGGCCTTGCCTGCTGGTCTGCATGCTTAGCTTGGGAGATGACCCGTGGTGAGGCTCCACCCTCCCCAGCTAGGGAGGTCACCGCCCAGGGGACAGCCCGAGCTCCCAGCCTCCCACCTGGCGCAGCCCCCAGCCTGTGCCTGCCAGCTGTGGCCCTCGGGCTCCCAGAAGCAGGCGCTGAGGGGTGGGGGTGGGCAGCCAGCCCCTCCTCTCCCCACCTGAAGCGCCCAGTCCTGCTCACCCCACTGCCCCTGGGGCGGCTCTGTCCTCGAATCTCAGGCCGCTTCCTGCCTGCTCCGAGGAAAGCAAGGAAACCACCGGTGGCTGGATGCCACCCCAAAGCTGCCCACCCTCAAAGTCGGCACCAAGACGGCCACAACCTAGGGCATCCCAGAGTCCCAAAGACTGCTCCGAGCGCGGACCCCAGTGTGGCCAGGGTGCCTGAGGCCACACCGAGGCCCAAACTGACTGGAAACCACCCTGCCCCATTTCAGCCAGAGAGCGGAGAGGGGATGTGGGGAGCATGGCGGCCACACCCTCCGAGAGTGACCCGGCATGCGGGCCGCCCCCGCGGCGGCTCTCTCACAGTGAACTTGCCAGGCGGGTCTAGGCCTCCTGGAGGCTCCACGTCCAGGAGCCACCCCAGGGGCAGCAGCTCCTGCTGTTGGTGAGAAGCAGGTCAGAGCTGCTTGGGCCCCCAGGCCAACACCCCCAGTTTGGCTGCAGAGAACCCCAGAAACCTGCAGCCCTGGGAGCCTGAGTCACTGGCCCCCAGAACCCCTTCCCAGGAGCCCTGGCTGTGGCCACCCTGGCAACTCAGGAGCTCTGGCCCTGCAGACCCTGTCCAGGGCAGCCTCAGGACACACGCGAGTCCTGCTGGCCAGTTTATTGAGGTTTCAGTGTCAGGCGAGGGGCCGCTGTGCGGGCACGTGCCCCGTCTCCCGTGCCCAGCAGCGCGCTGTGTCCTGCGGGCCTGGCCTGTTCCAAGCTGGCCATGCTTCTCGGGGGCTGCACAGGCTCGGCAAGTCCTGGGGAACCTCCCCGTCCCCAAGGCTGAAACCCCGGGCTCAGGGGTGGCACCTCAGCCCCAGGACAGGCTTCCCGCTTGGCCGCGACTCTCCCGCCATCCAGGCCGGGCTGCAGTGGACAGCTACATTAGGCGGGTGCTGCTACCTCCAGGTGTCCTGCTTCATGGGGGCCACTGTGGGGAAGACACAGCTGAGGAGGCTAAGCGGGCCACAGCAGGACCTCATCCCACCCAAAGCGGGGGGTGGGGGTGGGAGTGGGCAGACGTACCCTCCGGGCTCAGAGTGGGCGTGAGGGCAGGACTTGGGGCTTCTGAGAGGGATTCTTCCCTGGCTGGAGGCAGAAGCTCCTGTGGTGGAAGCAGATTCAGAAGATTCAGTTTGCGGCTGGCTGGGCCCCCCGCCCCCCCATAACGTCGCTGACCTGTGTGCCTGGGGTGGCCCTGTTCGGCCGTGGTGGGGGCAGGGCAGCCCCCGCCTGCTGGATGAACTGCTGCAGGTTGCACTGGCGGAGCTCCCGGTTCAGCTCCTCAAGCTCCTGGGCCTGGGCCTGGGGCGGGTGGGACCCTCAAGGGCACAGCCACGGGGCTCCCACACCTCCGGCTCTTCCTGGCCCAACCCGACCCCCAAGCTGGGAGAAACCGGGGCTCACCTGCAGGGCGCGCTCCGCTGCCTCCAGTGCGCGGCTCACCAAGGCCAGGCTGCCCTGCACCTCCTCGCTCTGGCGCTCCTGGGCCGCCAGGTCCTGCCTCAGCCGCTCTGTGGCTGATGTCGCGGGTGAGGGAGGCCCAGGGGCCTCTGTGGCCAGATGGAGCGCGGCCTCCAGGGCGCGGGCCTGGGCGTCCAGGGCCTGCAGCCGGGCGGCGTGCTCGGCGGTGGCCGCGCTCAGAGCCTGCAGGCGCGCCTGCCCCTCCCGCTCCCGCGCCTGCTCCCGCCGCAACTCCTGCTCCCAGAAGGCCTCCTGGCCCAGCTCGGCCGCGTTGCTCTGCACCCTCCGCTCCAGACCCTGCAGGTCTGTGCAGCCGCCTGGTGTGGGTGCTCCGGGGGCCACAGGCTCAGGGGGCGCCAGGCTGGGGGCCAGCCTGGGGCCCCCCAGGCTGAAGGTCAGTGTTTTGCGAGGTTCACGGCCCAGCGCTGGTCGAGGCTTCGGAGGGAGGCTGGCGCGGACTGGGCAACGCTCAGGGGGTGGGCAGCTGTCGGAGGAGGGCCGCCCGGCTAGGCTGGGCCCTGTCCTCCTCAGGACAAACTGGACATCACTGGCAAACTGCCCACAGGTGGCCTGGGCGCCCACTGGACACTCCTGGGGCAGCAGCTGCCGCTCCTTCTCCCTGAGACGCTGCACCAGCACAAAGCGGCCTGTCTGACCTGGGGTGGGGGCAGGGGTCAGTCTCTAGCCGCCTGACCCGCTGCCCACCTAGCCTGAGGAATTGGGGGAGGGCAAGCGGGTCAGCAGCCACCCCCACCCTCCCTGGGGGTGGACGGGCCCCTCCGCGGCGGCGGGCCTGCCCCTGAAGGACTCACCGATGGCTTGGGCTAGGGCAATGACCACTTCCTGGCAGGTGGTCTGCTCCGAGACCCCGCAGACCACGCGCTGGATGCCGTCCACCCACACCTTTAGCTCCATGGCCGCCAGCCCCGGGAGCATCCCTGTCCCGCGGGGGTGAAGGCCAGGGTCAGGCCTGCCCCGGGCCGCCGCCCGCCCCCGCCCGGAACTGGCTCCGGGCCGCCAGCCTCGGCCGCAGTCCTGCTCGCCGCCCCGCCGGCGGGGCGCGCGTTCCTGGGGTGACGGCGGTCAAGCCCGGGTCCCCCGACCGGCCCGGCCCCGGGGCACTCGAGGCCCCCTCCGCCTCCCCGGCGCGCCCGCTCCCGGAACCCGGGAATCATTAACCAGCCCCGGAGCTTCCTGCCTCTCCGGTCACCTGGCGCAGAGGGCGCCGCCCCTCCGCGGGCGGCCGCCGGCTCCCGGACGCCGCTGGCCCACCCGCCCCCCGCGCGCCCCCGCGGGCGGTGTGCGGGGCCCGGCCGGCCGCCGGACGTCGGCCCCCGGCCCCGGCGGGCCCCGTTCCCGCTCGGCCGCGGGCGGCGGCAGGTGCGGCTCGCGTCCCTCCGTCGGCGTCGCGGCCTGGCCGGCCGGGGCCGCGCCCGGCGCTCGGGGACCGGGGGCCCGGCGCGGCGCACCCGGGCGCTCGGGGCTCGGGCACCGGCGGCGACCCGCTCCCCGCGGCCGGCGTCGCCGCAACCTGCCGCCGCCGGCGCCCCGGCCCCGACCCCATTGGCCTGCGGCCGGCGCGCCCCGCCCCGCCCCGCCCCGATTGGCGGCCGGCGCGCCCCGCCCGCCCCCCGCCCGCGCCCATTGGCCGCCGCCGCGGCGCCCCGCCCGCGCCCCATTGGCCGCCCTCCCGCCCGGCCCCGCCCCCGGCGGCGCCCAGGTGTGGGCGGGCGGGGCCGCGGGCCCGGCGCTACGCGGAAGCGCGTCTGCGGGCGCGGGCGCGGGCGGCGCGTCGGGGCGGGCGGCGGCCTCGCGCCCCGCGGCGTCCCCCGAGGCCCCCGCGGCACGCGGCCCCGGCCCGGGGAGGGGCGCCGGCGGGCCCCCCGCGCCGCCCTCGGCCGAGCACCCGCGCCCTCGGGGGCACGCGCGGGCAGGGCTGCCGTGGGCGCGGCGCGGGCCCGGCGGGCGCCGGCGGGGTCGGGGGGCCCGTCGGAGGCGCCCGCCCTGGGGCCGCGCTGCCGCCCTTCTGCCGCCCGGCGGTGCGCGCCGCGCTCGGAACCTGCCCTGCCCGGCCGCCGGCCCGGCGCGTCTCCCGCCGTCGGGTGACAGGCCGGTGGGCCCGCGGCGCGGAGTGGGGCGCGGAAGGCCGGCGCTGGGAGGGCGAGGAGGCCGCTGGAGAGGCCCTGCGGGGCAGCGCTCAGCCGGAGCCTGCGGCCGGGCCCGGGTCAGCCGCAGGGCTTGCTCGCAGGCAGGGCGTCCCCAGTACCCCAGAGCCCAGGTCAGGCTTGGGAATCACCGTGGAACTTCCTGCGGGGTCTGGGGCTGAGTGGGTGACCCGGACACCCTGCAGGCTGCCCTGCCGCCCCCCCCAGCAGCAGCCGGGACTCCGCAGCTGGGGGTTGGATCAGGAGCCCCCCCCTCCCCCCCCCCCCCCCCGGGTCTCCTGGGAGAGTCCTGGTAACAAAGAGCCCCTCCCCTCTGGCGCTGGTGTCCATGGCGACCCTATGGAGCCTTTCTCTCCCTGGGTCCTCTTGGCCCTCAGACCACACGTGAGTGCCAGGGGCTGGGCCTCTGTGTCTGGAGGACTCTGGCCTTGGGGGCAGACCCAGTACTCTGGGGACCCTTGCTCGAGGCTGAGGTCCCGGAGGGCAAGGGTGACAGATAGGAGCCACCAGGGGAGGAGTGACCCCAGGGGACATGGGTTGGCCTGCTGCTCTGGCCTAGTCAGAAACAGGTGTGGACAGCAGTGCGGTGCCACGGTGTCCTGTGGGACGCAGTCTCCCCTCCTGAGCAGCCCCCTGCACCAGGCATGTTTGCGAGGCTCCACGCATGTGCATGTGGGGAAGCCCCACGCGGGTTCCCAGGCATGGAGTGCAGCACAGCAGCCCCCACCCTCTCAGCTCCTCCGAGAACTTGAGGGATGGCCCCCGAGTCGTACCAGGAGGCTGGAGCAGTCAAGGAGGAGGATTTCTCCTCCACGGTGATTGAAGAGCCGGGCGGCAGCCACATGGAGCCTGCAGCTGGCACACCTGCAGACCTGCCCTCACCCACCTGCCCGCAGGACGCCAAGTCCAGCTACATCAATCGGTAGTGAGGAGGTGGGCGACCAGCCCCTGGCCAGGCCAGCCGACAGCAGGGCCTGACCAAGCAGCTGGCATTGCAGGTTGGCACCCGAGGGCCTGGACCCCAGCACCCTGCGGCTGCTGTGGGGGCAGCGTGACCTGGAGGTCCAGGCGCTGCGGTGGGCCATCTGGAACCGCCAGGAGGCCCGGCACTGCCACATCCTGCAGGAGGTGCTGGGGCTTCCGCCGGAGAGGTCAGCCTCGGGGCCCCCGCGCGCAGCCTGGTCTGCTTGCGTGTTCAGCTGTGGGTCAGGCGAGGGGCCAGCCCGCCTCAGTGCAGACCCCAGCCCTGGCCTTCCCCCCGCTTGCACCTTCCCTGCCCCGCCCCACCCTGCCCCTAAGAATGTTAATGCTGGGTCAGCTGCCCGGCCCGGGATGCAGTCCAGGGCACCGCACCACAGCTGCCCCTCATGGCAGCGGAAGGGGCCCGGCTGCAGCCTGATGCTGAGATGGGCCCTGAGCCCGTCCCCCCAGGAGCGGGCTGGGCCAGGAAAAGCTGCTGCAGAACCAGGTCCAGAAGCTGACTGTGGAGCTGAAGGAGGAGAAGGAGCGGGCAGAACAGGTGACGCAGCGTGGGCCAGACGGGCGGAGCGGATGAGACGGTGTGGGCCAGGCAGGTCTGGACCGGGTGGATCTGGAGCTGGCCTCCCTACCTGTGCCCCCGAGCAGGTGAAGGCGCACCTGGAGCAGCAGCTGCAGCACGCGCTCAGCACCCTGCAGCAGCTGGAGGCCCAGCTCCATGTCTTCCAGAAGTCCTGCCTCCTGCAGCTGGCCCGCGCCTCCTGGCTGGGCTGCATGCTGCGTTCCTCCACTGGCAGCGTGGAGGTGCGCCTCCCCAGCCTGGCTGTCCCTCACCTGGGTGCCTGACTGGGCCCCGGGCCCACCTGGTGGTCTCCAGCTCTGCAGGACCTAGTGCCAGAGAGGCCAACGGGGAGACTCCTGGGGGCAGATGCTCTTCGCGAGGCCCTGCCTCTGGTCCCCTCCTGTAGGTGGTGACTGCAGAGACCCTGATGGACCCCACTGAGCTCTCTGACAATGACCAGGTCCCCACTGCTGGGGAGGTGAGCAGCCCCCTGCCCGTCGGCGCCTTTATGGGGGCTGGCCTGCAGCAGCAGGGGGGGCTCACCTGCCCGTGGCTTCCCCAGCAGCACTTCCGGCTGGAGGACGTGGACTGGAACAGCATTGCTCACCGGTACCCCAACCTCTTCAGCAACATCGAGTCCAACTTGGAGCACAAGTAACTCCCCAGGGCCAGGGAGAAGAGGGCTTGCCTGGGCACTGAGGGCTGGGGTGCAAGTCAAGAGCCACCCCCAATGTCCCCCTGGGAAACTCCCTTAACCCCCCCAGAGTCAGTTCTCTGACCTATTGTCCAGGCTGGGTCTGGGGGTCCCCTCCGGGCCTCCTCTGTCCCTGCTCAAGCTGGGCCCCAGGCCTGTGAGGAGGACATGTAGGGCAGGGTGGGGCCTGGAGTCGAAGCCCACGGACCACCAGCAGATGGTGGCCCCAGGTCTCTCAGGCCCATGTCTCTCAGGCTGCCGCCGCCAGGTGAGCTCCCACCGGCCGCCCCCGAGGAGGACCAGAGCTGGACACCGCACAAGCACAAGGAGCGGCGTCTCAAGAGTGTCGAGTGGTGCTCCCTGCCCTTCGTGGGCGGCAGCAGCTCGGGCAGCGCCGACTCTGACTCCAGCAGCAACCAGCAGGATGCCCACCATCCTGCTCAGAAGGGCCCGAGGCACTGGCCGGGCCATGAGGCAACCGAGGCCAAGGAGGCGCAGGCACAGCCCAAAGGTGGCGTGGGCGGTCTCTCTGGCCCCTCCCCGCCAGCCCTGAAGGGCCGAGGGGCTTCCAAAGGGCTCCAGGACACCCCCAGGGCTGGGAGGTCTTCGAGCTGCCCCGCCAACCCGTGGCTCGCAGGACGCAGCCATCCTCCTTGCCCGCTCATCTTCCTGGACTGCAGGCGGGCCTCTTGGGAGACGTCCTGAGTGGATGCTCCACACGGGGTCCCCTTCCTGGACAGGCCTCTCTCTGGGGCTCCAGAAAACCCACTCGGACCTGCTGGGCAAGACAGTCTCAGCTCCAAGCCTCGAACCCCAGGACGCAGAGCACCAGCCAAGGTGAGGGGCTGACTGGCCCGACGTGGGGACAGAGGAGGGGTGAGGTGGAGCATCCTGCCCGGGCTGAGGGGCTGGCGGCGCTGCACAGTGCCCGGCGCCCTCTGCCAGCCCCAGTCAGGCCGCCTCCTGCCTGAGGATCATGGCTGTGAGCCGCCAGGAGAGGTTTGTCCGCATCCTCAACCAGTCGCTGGAGGAGACGGCTGACCTGGGCGGCCTGGTGCTCCAGCAGCGCGTGGGCGCCGCCCCGGTGTGCAGCTACCGCTTCCCTCCCCGCACACAGCTGGCGCCCAGGCACATCATCACGGTGGGTCCCGCGGTGCCCCCACCCCCTGACCCTCCCCCTGTGCCTGCCCACTGCCCTGACCCACCGCCCACGATGTCGCCAGGTGTGGGGCGAGGGCACCGCCAGCCCCAAGAAGCAGCTGCTCCCCTCACTGGGCCGGGAGCCCGTGCACTTCCACAGCGGCCCCGGCTGCGTGACCCTCCTCCTGAGCCCCAAGGGCGAGGTGAGCGAGGGGGGAGGGGCCCCTGCAGGCCTGGGGGCCGTGACAGCGCTGCTCGGCCCGCAGGTCCTCAGCGAGCACCGGGCCCCGCACTGCGTGACCGCAGCCTCCAGGATCTTCGCAGACAACACGGACTTGTCCATCGACCGCTTCCCGGTCCTGGAGGCCCCGCCCGGCCCCCTCGCGGGCGCGCAGCCCCGCCAGCCCCGCCAGCCTGGACCCCCGCCCAAAGGCCGGGCGCTGCGGCGGACACGGGGGTGCGGGCCGCGGGTCCCTCGAGCTCGCCTTCCTCCCCGGGCCAGGAGACCCTGCAAGGGCCACCCCGGGTCCCGCCAGAGGCACCACCCACCTCCCGGGCCCTGCCCGCGCCGGGCCCACCCCGGGGCCCCCTGCAGACCCCCACCCCGGGCTGGCCCCCCAGGGCCGCTCCCTCCCGCGGGCGCCCCGACCTCAGGACACCCCTCGCCCTCCAGGACGCGGGTCCTCCTGCCGCGCCTGGGCGCCTGCAAGCCCCGCCGCCCGCGGGAGGCCGCGCGGCCCAAAGGCGCCGAGGCGCGCACGCCCGAGCAACTGCCGCGCGTGGCCGGTGAGCCCGGGGGGGGGGGGGGGAGGGGGCAGGGGGGGCGGCAGGGGGGGCGGCGGGCGGGGAGGGGCGGCGCGGCCGCACGCAGTCTTGTCCCACGCAGAGGCCGGGCCGGGCCTCGAGGACGGCGGGGCCGGGAAGGAGCGCAGGACCCGGGTGAGCGACCGCGGCCGAGGGGCCGGCAGCGGCCCCCGCGCCCCCGCCCCGCCCCGCCCCGCCCCGCCCCGCCCCGGCCCCGGCCCCGGCCCCGGCCCCGGCCCCGGCCCACCGCCCACGCCCCGCCCCCTCCTGCCCACGCCCACGGACCCGCCCACCGACCCGACCCCGCCCCTCCCTAAGCGCGCCCCGCCCCCTGGCCCCGCCCCGCGGTCCCGGCCCCGCCCCGCTGCCCGCCCCCTCCCTGAACTCGCCCCGACCTTGGCCCCGCCCCTCCCTAAGCGCGCCCCGCCCCCCGCCTTTGGCCCCGCCCCGCCCTAAGCGCGCGTCCCGCCCCCTCCTGCCCCCGCCCCGCCCCCGCCCTTGGCCCCGCCCCTTCCTAAGCGCGCGCCCCCGCAGGTGGGCGGCAGCAGCGCGGGCCTCGGCGGCGCGGGCCGCAGCAGCGTGGGCGGCGGGGCGCGGGCCCCGCGGAGCACCGCCGAGAGCCGGCCCGGCGTCCTCAGCCGCCCGCCCTTCGCCACGGACATGTGCGGGCGGGTGCGGGGCCGCTGCGGGCCCGCGTAGGGCGCGGGCGCCCCGCAACACAGCGCTGCGCCCCGCAATACAGCGCTGCGCCCGGCCGGCCGGCGTGTGGTGGTGGCGGCGGCGCGGCGAGCCGAGGCGGCTGCGGAGCGAGCTGAGCCGTTTATTGGGCCGGGGCCGGGGCCGGGGCGGGGGGGGGGGGGCGCGCCGGGGTCACCCACCCTTGCAGGCCCCCCTCCCCGCAGGGCGCCCGCCCCGGGAGGCCGCCGGCACGGGCGCTGGGGGGGCGGCCTGGCCTCCGCGGGGTCCGCCTCGCGGCTCTGGGCTCCGACACCGGGGCCCACCCCGGGGCGCGCGGCCGTGGGGGGTCCGCACGGGCGGGGCCGGGCCGGCGTGAGCGGTTCAGCTGCGGCAGGCGCCGGAGGCCGCTGCTGGCTTCGGGACCCCCCGGCTGCCCAAGGCTCTGAGCCGGCGGCCCCGGAGCGGCAGCTCTGTGGCCCCCGCGGAGCCGCTGCCGGCACCAGGCGGCCGCGGGAGCCTGGGCGGGCAGGGGCTCAGGGTGCGCCCCGGGGTCCTGGGCAGCTCTGGAAAACAAGGGAAGAGCCTGCAAGGGCCCCACGACGGCCTCCAGGAGCCCCCAGGCAGGGCTGGGGTCCACCACGGCCGCGCTGCGCCCCCTCCCCGAGGACCCGCCTCTCCCCGGGCGCTGCGGCCACTGGGCCAAACCCAGCTCTGGGAGGCCGAGGCCAAGGGCCTGGGGCAGCCTGGGTCCTCTTATGGCCCCCCGGCCCGCACACTCTGCCCGGCTCTCCCTCCTGGCTGGCTGCTGGCTCCCCCGGGCTCCCCGGCCTCAGCACCCCCAGCCGCCCCAGCCCAAGTCCCGCCAGAGAGCACAGGTGGAACCCGCTGACAGTGCCCCCCAGCCTCCTCCGGGGAGCCCCCACCTGCTCATCAGCCCTGGCCTCTCAAGCCGGTGTCCCTGAGTCCAAGGGCCCTGACCCTCCTGCCCTGGCCTCGGTTCCTGCTCCCCTGAGGACCCCCCAGGGGCTGGTCCATCTCCTGGCCCCTTGCTGCCCACAGCCCCAGGGGACCCCTCGGCCTGCGCTCTGGAGTGCTCTCTGTGCAGCCCCGCGGCCACATGGCCTGCGGGCTGGGGGCTCCCAGCGGCTGGGCTGGTGCAGTCAGTACCTGGGGCCGGAGCTGGGTGGCCAGGGGTGTTCCTGGGCCCAGCCCGGGCCTCTTGCTCTTCAAGGCTCCTCCGAGGGCCCGGGGGGACGGTGGCCCTTTCCTGCTGGGACCCCAGGCACCTACAGGGCAGGGGCGTGTGGGGGCAGGTTGCAGATCGGCCCCCCCCAGAGCCCGCCTGGGAAAAGTGTGACGCTGGCAGGGCCACGGGGTCCTCCAGCCACACCAGCGACCACTCTGGCCAGCGACCAGTCGGCCGGCAAGGTGGCGCCTGGCACCCCTCCCGGGCAGCAGGGCGGGCGCACGTACACGCGCACACTCGCGCACACGGTGCTGGGGGGAGCACCCACCACAGGTGAGCTTCCCGCCAGGCCCGAAGCCCCGCCGTGGACAGGAGGCCGCAGCCGTCCGCAGGGTCAGGTGCTGGGGTGGCGGCTCCGGTGGCCGGGTCCTTGGGCCGGTGTGGGGGCTGCCCCAGAGGTGCCTGCGCCTGTGAGGGAGTGGGTTGGCTTGGGGGCCGCGGCTGGAGGAGCGGGGTGGGCAGCAGCCCGGGGGATGGAGGCCTCTCCCTGGGGCGGGGGAGGGAGAGCCGCCCCGGGCCTGCTGTGGGAGCAGAGCCAGCACGCTGGCTGGAACTGGGGCCCCGTGCGGGGTCCTGGCCCCCCTGCTGGAAGGCATACCTGGCCCCGGCGCCTGCGCTCCCACAGGCCCTTGGTGGGGTTCCCGCAGAGGACTCTGCTGGCGCCTGCAGAAGAGGGTGTGCCAGGGTCTGGCTGGCCCGAGGGGCTGCAGGCCCCTCCTCCTGCCAAGGGGGCCGGTTACCGTGGGTGAGCGCGCTGGTGTCATCCTCTGGGGCCGCATCCGTGGGCAGCAGGCCTTCGGGCAGGGGCCCTCCGGGGGCCAGAAGGGAGAAGGGCCAGGGCCTGGGGGCCGGGGGCCGGGGCTCGGGCAGGGGCGGCTCAGGGTCATGGCTCCGGACGGGGGCTTCACGGGGACGACCTGCCCCAGGTCAGAACCCGTCACCAGAGACTGCCGGTCTGGGGCCAGCCCAGAGCCCACCCGGTCACGTCCACGGGCTCAGGCCCTTCCCCCAGCACCCGTCTCCCACGGCGCCGGCCCTGGGCAGCGAGCAGGGCCTGGGGTGGGGTCAGCGCGATCGGGGCTCGGTGGGCCAGGGCCGCGGGCCTGGCGGGTGCTGCCGTACCTGGCTGGGGAAGCCGGCCTTCCAGGACACCGCCCCCCTTGATGGCCTCCGTCACCGTGAGCCAGTCCTGGTCCAGCTTTGGGGAGGCGGGCGGGCCCGTGTGTGAGACCGGCACGTCGTCCAGGACCCGCAGCTGGGGGATGAGGCGCCTGACCTCGGCCCGGTAGTTGTAGTCGGGGGTCACCTGCGGGGACGGGCGTGGGGCCTGGCCCAGGGCCCTTCAGGCCAGCCGCGCGGGGACGCGCCTGGACGCCAGAGACTGCGCCCACCCATGACCTCACTTCTCGGGCTCCCCGCCAGGGTCCCCCCAGGCAGGCGGGGGGGGCTCAGCACAGGCCTGCGGGGTGACCTCCGAGCCAGGGACGGGCGGGCCCGGGCAGGTGTGTGCATGAGCGTGGGTGTGTGCACGCGAGTGTGCTCCTGTCTGTGGAGACTCCCGGGTGGCACCTGCGTGGGGGTGGGGACAGGCCTGGGGGTCCCGGGCTGGCCCCTGGACGCACTGCAGCTTCCCGCGGCCACAGGCCAGGTGGGCGCCCCATGGCGGGGAGGCGGGACCCGGGGACTCCACCGCCAGCCTGCGGGCCACCCCAGTGGGCTCAGGACCAGGGTCCTGCGGGCGCGTGGGCGCAGTACCTCGTGGTGGGGGACGGGGCCGGGCCGCAGGCACACCAGGTTGCCCTGGAGGGTGAGCGTGGCCAGCCGCGGGCAGAGCTGCAGGTAGCGCACCTGCCCCAGGTCCTCCACGCCGTTGCCCTCCAGGTCCAGCACCTCCAGCTGGTCCAGCAGGCACAGCGGGCTCAGGTCCGAGACGTCGTTGAAGGAGGCGTACAGCTCCTGCACAGCGCGGGGTCAGCCGTGCCCGGCGCCCCGCCCCAGCCCGCCCCCCCGCACTCACCCTCAGCGCCGGGAAGGAGCCGACACCGTCCAGGTCGGCCAGGCCGCAGCGGGCCAGCCACAGCACCCGCAGGTGGCCCAGGGAGGTGCCCAGGTCTCTGCGGAGGGTGGGGCAGGGTGGTCAGTGCCTCTTGAGTGGGGCGCAGGCCGGGCCGTGGAGGCAGTCGGGGGAGGGTGCTGTGAGGGGGGCTCTGGCACTGCAGTTCCTGGCCTTCCCCCCTTGCTGCGCCCACCTGGTCTGGGGCACAGGCGGGAGCCCCGCCCTCCCCAGGCTCCCCAGGGCCTGGCCGCGGGACCTGCCCTGTGCTGGAGGCCCAGCCAGACGCTGCGGTAGAGGTGAGCCGGGGACCCCAGCGGGGCGGCCCGGGGCGCTCCCCCTACTCCCGCTGGTCTGTCTGCAGGCTTCCCCAAGTCCCAGCCTCCCCAGCCCCGCTTTCAGACCAGGCCCTCCGCCTCCCGCCTCTCTGGCCCCCCCGCCACCGAGCAGCAACGCCGTCCCCGTGGGGTGAGGTGGCTGGTTTGGGGGGCCCCACCGTGGTGGCCCCGAGCCGGATCCTGCGGGCCTGGCTGCCCCCCCAGCTGCGTGGGTTCCTCCTCGGGCGGTTGCTGCGGGGGCGTCTCCTGTACCCTGAGGTTGCGCCCCCTCCCCCCGCATGGTGAACCCCTCGTCCCTCATCTCCAGCTCCCTGTCCACGCGGGTCCAAGCCCCCTCCCGCGTCTCCACGGACTCTCGTCCTATGTCTCAGCTGCGCGCCACCCCCCCGCCGTGGGCCCCACGTGGGGACACCCAGGCCCCCCATGGGCGCATCCCTCAGGAGGGGCTCGGGCCTCCGCTCCTGGCAGCTGGTGCCGTGTCGCGCTGCCCTCCCCCTGCGGGGTGTCCTCGCCCGTCCCCTGGCCTCGGGTGTTTCTGGGGAGAAGTCTGAGGAGGCTGCCCCTCGCCAGTCTCCTTGCTCCCGCGGCGCTGCTACGAGGAGAGACTCGAGTCCCTCTGCCTGCCCCCCGCGTTCCACTCTGCCGGCCCCCCGCCCCCAGGCTGTCCCGGGCACCCTTCGGCCTCTCCCGCCTGTCATTCCCCTGCCACATCTTCCCACCTTGGCCAGGACACCCGCGCCCCACTGTGGGGAGACCAGGACCCCATGTGTCTTCCGGGTGACCCCCTCCCCATCCAGAAACAGGGCACCCTGGTGCCACAGGAGACTGGACACCAGGGAGTGACAAATACTTTGAATCAGAGCCCCAAAGGGCGCCCCCAGCTCTGTGGGGCCTGGGCGGGGCGGGGGGCGGCGAGGAGAGGCTCGCTCGGCAGGGGAGGAACTAGCGGGACGCGGAGCTGCCGGGCGCCGGAGTCCAGGGCGGACTGTGTCCAGAGCGGTCCTGGGGCGAGACTGGCCGAGACCGGGGAGGCGACGGGGTGACAGCACGTGGCGGAGGCGGCGTCCCAGCCGCGGCAGCCCCCGACAGCCTGGGCGAGGCTATGCGACCCCGAGGGGTGCTGGTGAGGACGGGGGCCCGGGGGAAACGTGCACATGGTGGGGGGCGACTCTGAGAAGAGATCCAAGGGCCGCCAGAAGCACTCCCGGGGTTCAGCATTTTCAGATCTTCGGCGATTCCGGGGTCCGCCAGCCCCGCCCCCACCGCTCGGGCCTCCCGGCGGGCCGGGGCGGGCTCTGAAGGCCGTGGAGAGGCGCCAGCTGCCCACCTCAGAGGGAACGTCCGGAGGCTTTGCCGGCCGAGAGACAGAAGCCGCTCCCAGCCCCGCTGCTGCCGCGGCCGGAGGGGCCGGCGGGGCCCAGGGCGGGCCTCGCCGAGCCGTGAGCGCACGCGGGCCGGGTGGCTCGGCCGCTGCAGCTGCTGGTCGCAGTGTCGGTTGCCTGGTGCTGCGCGGGGGCGTCTCGGGGGCTCCAGGAGCCTCTCCTCTTGCAGCTCCTGCTGTCTCGCAAGCTGGATCCCGGCCCGTGGTCCGGCTGCCGCGTGCTCCGGGCCTCCGTGGCAGAGACACCATCTTGGGAGCATCTGGGTTTAGGACTTTAAAAACGGGGCACAGCTTCGGGAGAGGTAAACAGCCCTTTTTGGCCTCAGCGACTTTTTTCCCTGGCTGTAAAATAAATCCCATTATTGTTCTCTGAGCCTGCGTGGTCTTGCAGTTGTGCACACGGGTGAAGAACTCAGCTGGTGACGGCTGGACTAGTTGGGCACGTCCTTGGCCAGCGTTAGCGACCCTTGCTTCCTGGTGTCAGTTGGCGAGCCAGCCAGGAGCCAAGAGCCCGGAGACACAAAGGCCCCAGGCGCCCCCCCACCGCCTCCCCTGCCCCAGGCGCCCCCCCACCTCCAGGTCAGTGCTAAAAATAGCTTCTGAGTCGCCATCACGGAACAGACATCTCCCGCTTCCACAGTCAGTTCTGCAGGAAGCCTCAAAGTTGAGTGGTGGAAACGAACCATTCGATGGAGCCAAACCCTAGTTCCAGAGCGGCGCGGTGTGGGCCGCTCTTGGGCCATGCAGCCCTGCAGTGCGAGGGAGGCCGTCGGTGGCCAGGGGTCAAGGAGGCAAGCCCCTTGACAGACGGACGGCCACCCGCCGGAGGGCACGCCCGCTGGCCACAGCACCGCCACCCGCAGGTGTTGGAGGGTGCAATTCGGTGAGTACGGGATAAAGACGTTCCCAGGCGCTACGGGCCTGTTTATAAAGATCAGGCGTTTCCATGGACTTAAGAAACCATTCCACGTCGGCGGTGGTCCAGCACCTTGCCCTAGCCAGCCAGGAGGCACGGCACAACCAGCACCTCACTGGCCGCCGTGAACCCCAGGTAAGCGGTGGGATTAATTCCACTCCAGATTCAGGGGCCCTGGCTTCGGGGGGAGGTGGGTATCCTTCCCCATGCGGGGCAGCAGCTAGGGAGGCCGCCCTCTTGCTGCCTCTGGCTGGCAAGGAGACTGGGGTGTGGGTGGGGACCTGCCCCGCCTGTCCTTGCAGAGGGACACATTCCCTGTCATGGGGTGTGAGCCACCCCCAGATTCATGGAGTGACCTTCTAACGTAGACCCAAACTTATTTGGAAGTGGGGTCCACAGAGCACCGGGCTAAGGTCGGCCATACTGGCTGGCACAGCCAGGCGCCAGGGGCGGGCGGGGCGGGGCGCATGTGGGCCTAGCACCCGGGGGTGGCGCCGCATCACCAGGGGAGGCCCACCTTGGGGAAAAAGCCTACTCAGTATATGTGGCAGAAAATAAAGCTGGTCCCAGGCTTGTGCCGTCATCAGAGGTGATTTGAAAGTAAACAGTGAGACCGGAAAGCAAATGGGGTCGCCTGCTCGGAGTGGGGGAGCCTTGCGGAGCCAAGCACAAGGGAACCTGTAGTGAGCCTCAGGGAGACGAGAAGGGCCCGTGGCCAAGGTGAGGCGGAGAGCGCCTCGTTGTCTTGATAGTTTCCACACGGCCGCTGGGTGTCTGCGGGGGCCCGCATGCTCGCCCTCAGGAAAGGGGCGCAGAGCCATGGAGGTGGCTGCTGTGAGCTGCGGCCAGGGCAGGCGCCGGCCTCAGCTTCTGAGCAACAGGCAGAACTTTGAGGGGGACCCCCTGGCCTGGCGGCCGCCCCCACAAGCCCTCAGCAGACGGGCTCCAGCCTGGGGTCCGCAGGCGCCTGCTGTCAGGCCTGAGCCCGACAGGGCCAGGGAGGCCAGTTCCACGCGTTTTCACCGGCGTCCCCGGAGAGCAGGCGCCTTTCCACGCGGCGGGGCCCGGTCCTATTTCCTGGGAACCATCTCCTGTCGCAAGTGGAGATTTGACAACGAGCGCCTCCCCCTGCTGCGTCCCGCGGGCCTTTGACGTCCTCCGGGCCCGGTTGTCTTTGCTCCTGTCCCAGAGCTCTGGCTCACCGACTCCACGGGAGGGTTGTGTCCCTGCGGCGGCCGCGCGGGGGGCAGCGGGCCCAGCCGCTCGTCGGGGGAGCGCCTGCCTTCCACGAAAGCCTTCAGAGCTCCCTGAACCAGGTGAGCTGCCCGCCCCGCGGCTGCCCTTAGGCCCCTGCCCGACAGGTGAGTGGGTTGCCGGACACCTGCAGTCCGTCCGGCTAAGGGACCGTCAGGGACGTGAAGCAGCTGCGTGCAACCGGAGCAGGTAAACGCGGAAACCAGGCAGACGTTTGCCGCGAGGTTGCGCTAACAAATGTCATGGCATCGCCTCATCCAGAAATAACAGGGCGTGGTGTTGAGAGCCCCGCTTAGGGCGACGTCTGGGGAAGTTTCCAGAAGTTTGGCTCATCTCCCTACCGGCCCCTGGCCCTGGCTGCACGAGGCCAGCAGCACTTCATAAAAACCGTTTTGTTCAAACGCCAGAAATAAACCAAACGTCTTTTCTGATCCGTTCTCTCTGGCGGCGGCACCAGCCCCGTTCGGCTGTCCTTGGATGTGAACTTGGCTTTGAGGGCGTCACAGGGCCCTGCGGGCCATGGAGACCCTCGCTGGATGGTGACCCTTTGCCGAAGGTCAGTGGCTGCTGTTCAGCGACCCCAGTGTGGTCCTTGGGGACCTTGTTAGCCACACGACCGACGTGACCAGACCACAGGCTCTGGGTGACACATGTCTCCCTCAGCAGGTGGCTCTGACCGATGGGGGTGGGGTGGGGGGCAGGAGCTGCTGGGGCCAGGCAGGCTGGTGGGCGGCCCAGGGGGAGCTGCAAGTGCGGGAGGCTCTCCAGGAGGGAAGCCCAGGAGCGCCCCTGGCCCTGGGTCAACCCACCCAGAGGGACCCCGGCACAGGGAGACTCCACTGCCCGGGATGGGCCCCACCCCAGGTCAGTGGGCCGGGCGTGGCCAGTGCCTCAGGGGCTCCAGCCACAGATGCTGACCCTTCCTTGAGCCCCGCCCCTGGAGGGTGCTCACCTCACTGAGCCCAGGCGGCTGCCGTTCAGCTTCAGCTGGCTGAGCTTGGGCAAGTGCACCCCTGTGGGGCACAGGAAGGAGACTGGGTGGCGGCCCTTTAGTCGCCGGCCTTGCCCCGGCTCCAGGCCTCGGCTGGGACGCAGGCGCACAGGGAGGGCGGGGCACAGGGCTGCCCGGGAGCTGCTGCACCCCCAGACCACGCCGTCCCTCAGCACACAGCATGGGGTGCCAGGCCATGGGGACCCTCCAGCTCACATCCCTGTGTAACCCAAGGATCCTGGGGAAGGGGTACAGGGAGGGCTTAGGGGCTGCAGGGCAGGCTGGTGGGCACAGGGAAGGCCTGTAGGGTGCAGGGCATACGAGTGGGCGGGGCCTGGGTGCCTGTGGCCTCAGAGCAGCCTGGCCTAGGGTGCAGGCGCCCGGGGCGGGGGTCGAGCTCTCACCGAAGCTCCCCAGGCTGTGCTCGCGGGTGTCCACGCGCAGCTCCAGCACAGTCACTTGCCGGAGGTCACTCACCTGGGCCAGGGCCTGCTGCAGAAACAACGGGACAGCCCGGAGTAGGCGGGGTGTGGCATTGGCCCCGAGCTGCCTCTGATGGCCATGGGGGCTTCGGCAGGTGATGGCAAGGACATGAGTGGAGGCTGATGGGCCCTTGCCGAGGGCTGGACCCTGCCGAGGGCTGAGGGCTGCCAGGGGCCCTGGGACAGGCCAAAGTGGCCTGGAGCCGCCATGCACAACAGGACGTTCACACCACAAGCCTCTGTGTCTGGGGCTGCTTCGCACGCAGCAAGTAGGGTCTCCACGCTGGCCGGATGGCAGCCATGACAAGGGCCCTGAAGGACCTGAGTCTGGGGTTAGGGAGAGGGCTGCAGGGGCGGAAAGAGGGGGACCAGTGTCGCGGCCTTGGAGCATTCATAAGACCCCGACAGAAACCTGGACGGTGTCGAGGGCAAGGATGACCTCGTGACCTCGGGCAGCGCCCCAAGCTGGTGCCAGGGATCTGCCCCAGAGGATGCTCAGGGCAGGACGGTAAGGAGCGCTGGAGGCTCCGGGCTTCAGAGCCAGAGGGTCCTCTCGCCTCCCTTTGTCTCAGGAAAGCCCGGGAATGGCTTGGCGGAGACAGCCCCGGCCAGAGCCTCGGGGAGAAGTGGGTGGCCTGGTCCGCACAGGGGCTGCGGGGCTGCAGCGAGGCCGCCAGGAAGCCAGTCACCCCAGCTTCCAGTGGGCGGTGGCGTCACATGGTGGCCTAAAAATAACGGGCCTGTGGGGCGTGTCCCCAGACAAGGGCCGGGCAGACGCTCCCCACTGGATGCTGGTGTCACTGTGGCCCCAGGAGGCCGGACGCAGACCCCCCCACCCCGCAGAGCTCCCAGGGCACCTCGCCCGCTGTGAATCCAGACCTGGCATGTGAGGGCGCGGAGCCCTGCTGAGGACCTGCCTCCAGTCCTGCACGTGTGGGTGCCGTGAGGAGCTGCGGGTGGACCGGGGCCCTGAGGTGACCCTCCACCCTGCACCAGGGCAGAGCGGGCGCTGGCTGCAGGGCGCAGAGGCCCCACCAGGGCGGGCGTGGGAAGGGGCTGGTGGTGCACACGGCGCAGGAGCCGGCCACCCGCCCGAGGCTCTAGAGAAGTTACCCCAAAGGCCCCAAAGGCCAAAGCCCAAAAGCCAAAGCCCAGGGCTACACAACACAACACCCACGGCAGGGGCCTGTGGCTAGAGCCCATCCAGGGACAGGCCCCGACGGGGGAAAGGTCAGTCTGTGGGTCTCCCTGGCGCGCAACTGCTCAGGCCTCGGGCTCAGGGACAGACAGGGAGACGGGGCTCACTGTGGCCGCATGGGCGGCCGCCTCCCCCAGGAGGCCTCAGGGATGGTCACACCGGTCACCGGGAGTCTGGACCACACTGGCCAGTAGTGACGGTCACTGCTGATCCCCTGAGGTGCTGTCAGAGACAGCACAGTGCGCGCAGGGGCTGCGCGCAGCTCTGTGAGAAGTTGGGTGACACCAACAACAGCTCTTTGAGACACCAGGACTGGCCTTGGGGCTCCTTTTCCTGCCCCCCCAGACCAGCAAGGCCCCCCTTCCTCCAGAGGCAGCACAGCCCCCAGCCCCCTGCCGCTGCCTTACGTCCTCTCTCAGGGAGCCCCACCCACAGGTGTGATTGGACCGTTTCAATCCTTGGCTGACTGGACCATTCGGCACCAGTCAGCTCGGAGCTCGCACCTGATCCATCCCTTCCACAGTGCAGGAGGGGCACATAGAGGGCGGTTGCTGGGCTGCGAGCCACGGCCCTCTCTGCCTGCCCTTGCTGGGGTCTCGGCCCTCCAGCTGACAATGGCCAGCGAGGGGGGGGGTCTGGGGGGCCCTGCTTGGGTGTGGGGCGCAGGGCTGCCCAATAGGGCACATATGGGAACCTGCTGGGCCTTAGGGCGAGCACAACCCCGCACCCCAGACTCAGGAGAAAGTCTCTTGCCCCAGAGGTGGTCGGGGCGCCCCAAGCCCACCTGGCCGGCCCAGATACCTGGTTCCTTCCTCTGGCCCACATCTCCGCTCCCCAGCGCCCTTCGCACTGAGTGCTGTGCCCTTGGCGGGGGCATCCTGCCCCCGTCCCTGCTGGGAGGCACAGCCTCCTTCCTGGCTCACGCGGCCCCGGAGCACAGGGCTGGCACTCCGCCCGCGCCCAACACTCACCAGCCGTGCAGGCGACAGGTAGTCCTCCACCAGCTGCTCCCCAAGGCCGCGCCCCGGGCCCCCTGGGGCCTTGCTCTGCGGGCTGGGGTTGTGCAGCCCCCGCCAGCTCAGCTCTCGCACCTGCACACGGGCCGTGCTGGGCCGGGACGCGTGGCTCAGTCCTGGCCTGGGTCCATCCGCCTCCGCCCTGCGGCCAGGCAGAGGGCAGAGCCACTGAGTGGTCTCCTGCTCACCCGGCCCACTTGAGACGCCCTACGGCCCTTGACACCTCCCGATACCCAACAAGTGCCTGGGCCTCCCAGAGCAGGCTCCTGGCCTGGCCCGGGGTGCCCTCGCCTGCTTGAGGGGAGTCCTGCCCACAGCCTGGGTTCACACCCTAGCCAGGTGGGGGCCCTCAGGGTCCACAGCACCTGCTGATTCCAGCCCCCCACCTGCGGCCCCAAGTCTGCTCTGGGCGGGGAGGGGCAGGGGACAGGGGCTGAGGCGGTGTGCCCAGCTGCCCAGTGCCACTGCTGCCTCAGGTCCTGGCCTTAAGTCCTCCACCAGGTGGGCCCTGAGCCCGAGCCCAGCACCAGGTCCCACCTGTGCTGGGAGCCCCTTACCTGGCGGCAGCTGCCTCTTCCCACCGTGGGTCAAACATCCGGGCAGGGGGGTGGCATGTGGCCCTGGGGGCACCTTCAAGAGACTGTGGGTTGGACCTTGGGCAGGTCAGTGTGGCCAGGGTCACATGGACAGGCTGGGCCAAGGCCACAGGGCCCACAGGCCAGCAGCATGGAGGCAGCAGGGGCTGTCGGCCTGGGCCTGGCCCTCAGTCCCCTTTGACCGTCCTGACAGGGAGCCTGGCCTGACAGGGAGACAGGGCCAGGCGGGTGCCTGCCTGGGTCCCTCCAGTGCAAGTGCCCGGTCACCATTCAAATTCCTACACCTCTCGACTCGCCCGCCTCCAAAGGGGCCCTCGAGCTGCCCGGCCCCATGGCGAGGGCAGAGCCACACCTGCTCGCTGGTGTTGCTCCATCAGGGCCTGGGCGCCGTGTCCCCAGGGTGGAGGGGCCGGCTCCCTCCGGCCAGGTCCCGGCCCTACGCCCCCCGCTGCTCTCTCCCGCCCTTCCAGGCCTGCTTTCCCAGCAGACTGACCTTCACAGCCTCTGCCGCAGCTCTGGCCGCCTGCGGGCCTCCCCGGGGTCTGGTGGGCTGCGCCGGCGGTGGTCTGCGTGGCCACGCCCGCTCACATTGCCCTCCAACTGTGGATGTGCTGCAGCTTGCTGGCCTGCCTCCTGCTCATTGGCCTCCGTGGACGTCCGGGTTTCCCCCTGCCCATCACACCAGAGACCCCCCCACCTGGGCCGGGAGAGTGCTCAGCTGGGCTTTGGCAGACGTGCTGGGCCCTGGACAAGTTGCCCAGCTCCTGGGCCTCGGTGGCCTCGTCTGGAAAGTGACCTGGACACCAAGGGTCAGGGGAGGCGGGAACGTTCAGGGAGGCCCAGTGCTCCGCCTCATGCCGTTTCGGCCGGGATATCTTTGCAGAGGAGCCCTCCGCAGTCTGCCTTTCTGCAGCTGGAGAAGGGCCGGGTGCCAGGAAGGAGACCCTCCTGCCGGGGCCTGCCCATGACTAGGCCCCGGGGTCTGAGCCCAGGGGGTCCGAGGGCCAGACGGGGCTGGATCTGGGGCTCCCGTCCTCACGCTGGCCCTGGCCCTCACGCACTGGCCGCGCCTGCCCACGCTGCCAGCGGCCCTGCTGGGACCAGGCCCTGCCCCTGGGTGGGCCCCCAGCCCCGCCTGTAAGCCAGCGAGGGGGGCGCCGGCCTGGCCCGGCTCCTCGGGCGAGCCCCCATACCCGCACCTCTTCACCAGAGGGGAGGGGCGCTGAGGACCCACCTCCCCAGCAAGGAGGTCTGGGTTCCCCGCCTCTGCCTCCCCCACAAGCCGGCTTGGGGCCTCTCTACGCCGGTGACCCACGGTCCCCCGGGGCGGCCGGGGTGTGGGCAGGGTCCTGGGGGGGCCGATTTGATATGTGGGGTGCCGCTTCACCCCCTCCGCGCCACAAAGTGTGGAGGCGCCGGACCCCAAGGCGCGCCGGGCTCTCACCGGAGGCGTCGGCCGCGGGGCTGGGCTGGGCCCCGGCGCCCTCCGCGGCCCTGGGGCGCTCCTCGGACGGCGGGGCTCTTCCGGCCCGGGGTGGCAGCCTGGCGCCATGGCAACGGGGGCGGGGTCTCATTTGAATATTCAAATACCCCGGAACCCCCGGGCCGGGCTGGGGGGTGGGCCACGCCCCCAACAGCGGAGGCCGGGCCGGGCCGGGCGGGTCAGCCCGAGCGGCCCCCGCGGGCGCGCCTGGGGCGGGGCGTGGGGGGCGTGGGGGGTGGGGGGGCGGGGCGGGGGCCGTGGGGGGGCGGGGCGCGGGGGCCGTGGGGGGGCGGGGGCCCCACCCGGGCGCCCGCGCGGACGGCAGGTGTCGGGCCCCGCCCGAGGCTCCCCAGGGCGCCGTCCCCGGGCGCGGGGCTCCGCGTGCGGCGCGGCGGGTGCCCGGCGGAGGCCGCGGGCAGCGGCCCTCGCGCCCCCGCCCTACGCGGGCCCCGCCGGCGCAGACGCCGCGGCCCGGGGCGCCCGGACGCGCGTGTCCCCGGGGCCGGCGGGCGGGTCGCCGCGAGCTCGCGGGCCGGGCGGCGCCTCCGCGGCGGGGGCGGCGGGGCCTCGGCGGGCGGGCAGCGCCCCGGGGGGTCGCGAGGCCGAGCCGGCTCGCAGGGTCCGGTCGTCCCCGCGCGCGCCGAGACCCCGCGGAGCGGCGGCTGCGGGGGGAGGGGGCGCCCGGCCCGCGCCTCGAGGGCGGGAGCGGAGGACGCGGGGCCCGCAGCCTCCCGCGCCCCCTGTCCGCAGGGCCCCGCCCGGCCCAGCCCCGAGCCGGCGCCCCCCCGCCCCGCCCCGCCCCCCGAGCCCGCGCCCGCGCCCGGGCCCCGCCGACCCGGGCTCCGGCCCGACCCCGCGCCCCGCCCGCCCGCCCGCCCGCCCGGAAGCCCCGCCCGCGCGGCGCCTGAGCGGCGGGCCCGTCGGCCAACCGCAGCGGGCCGGGCGGGCGGCCGCGGCCAATGGCCGGCCACGCCCGGCTGACGGACGGGCGCGGGGCGGGGCGTGCGCGGGCCCGGCCGAGTGTCCGCCGCCCGCGCCCCGCCGCCGGCAGCCGAGCCGCACCCGCCGCGGACAAGCCCATGCGCGGGGCGAGCCGCGCGCCCCGGCCCCGGCCCCCGTCCCCGCGCCGCTCCCGGCCCCGGCCCCGGCCCCGGCCCCGGCCCCGGCCCCGGGGGCAGTCGCGCCAGTGAGCGGTGAGTGCGGCCGGGGCCGGGGTCGGGCCGGGCCGGGCCGGGCCGGGCCGCCGCGCCCAGCGGTCCTCGCCCGGGGCGCGCGCGCGGGGGCGCAGGTGAGCGCGCCGGCCCGCCGGGCGGGGCGCTGCGGCGGGGTCGCGCCGGGCCCGGCCCTCGGGGGACCGGCCTCCGCGGGCCCCGCGTGGGCCCCGCCGCCCGAGACCGCGCCGCGCGCGGGCGCCGGCCCCGGGAGAGCCTGGGCTCCGGCGGCGCCGCGCGCTGCCCCCCGGGGCCCCCGCCGACCCCACTTTGGGGATCGCCCCGCGGGGAGCCCCGGCCCCGGCCCTCCCCGCCCCACCTGCCGTCGCCTCCTTCGGGTCCTCGTGCCCTGCGCCCCGCTGGCCGCGACCCTGGCCCCGGCGGGCGCGTCGCCTCCCCTTGCTCCGGGCCGGGGCCCGCCCTCCTGCCGGCTCCTCCTGGCGCCCCGGAGGCCGGGGCTTCTCCTGTCCCCGGCCTGAGCCGCGCAGGCGACAGCGGCTCCGGGAAACGCTGGGAAGGCGCCATGCGGGTCGCCCGGCTGCCCCGCGGCTGGCACTGGCCTGCCTGGGCACGCTGCTGGGGCCCGGCCGCCAGACCTGTTCTCCCAGGGAGGGGCCCTGGTAACCTCAGCCCGCGGGCCCCGGCTCAGGGTTTCTGCCGACCCGGCAGCTTCTAATTTGGGTGCGTGGCTGGGAGAGCGCAGCGGTCAGCTGGCCTCTGGCACAGACACCAAGCGCAGGGGGCGGGGGTGCGGGCCCCTCCCCGCCCCGGGTCGGGGGCCCGCAGGTGGGCAGCTGGACCCCGGCGACCTGGTTGTTGGGGTCCAGAGTCCGGGGCGGCCGGCCGCAGGGTCTGGGTGTGGCTGAGCGTGGCCTCCCTGCAGGTGGCCCGAGACCACCGTGGTGCCTGCAGCGCCCCCGCCCTTGAGGCGCGATGACGGAGTATAAGCTGGTGGTGGTGGGGGCCGGGGGCGTGGGCAAGAGCGCCCTGACCATCCAGCTCATCCAGAACCACTTCGTGGACGAATACGACCCTACCATCGAGGTGAGTGGACTCCACCGCCCAGCGAGGAGGGCCCCAGGGCGGCTCCTGTGGGCGCCGGTGCGGGCCAGGCCCCTGAGCGTGTCCTCCCCCAGGACTCGTACCGGAAGCAGGTGGTGATCGACGGGGAGACGTGCCTGTTGGACATCCTGGACACGGCGGGCCAGGAGGAGTACAGCGCCATGCGGGACCAGTACATGCGCACGGGCGAGGGCTTCCTCTGCGTGTTTGCCATCAACAACACCAAGTCCTTCGAGGACATCCACCAGTACAGGTGCGAGCCGGCCGGGGCTCCCCGTGCACCCCCATGGCACCGCAGCTCACACCACCTCCCCGCAGGGAGCAGATCAAGCGGGTGAAGGACGCGGACGACGTGCCCATGGTGCTGGTGGGGAACAAGAGCGACCTGGCCGCGCGCACCGTGGAGGCCCAGCAGGCGCAGGACCTGGCCCGCAGCTACGGCATCCCCTACGTCGAGACCTCGGCCAAGACGCGCCAGGTGAGACCCCCCCCAGCCAGCCAGGGACCCCTGCCGGCCAGGGAGCAGCGCTCATCACCCCCTCCCTCGACACAGGGCAGCCGCTCTGGCTCTGGCTCCAGCTCCGGGACCCCCTGGGACCCTCCAGGACCCCCATGACCCAGCAGCCCCCCGCGCTGTAAGTCTTCCCGGACGGCAGGGCAGCGAGGGAGGCCAGGGCCGGGGTCTGGACTGACACAGCCGCAGGGGAGGTGGAGGTCCCTGGAGAGAGCTGCCCTGAGCCAGGCCGGAGCGGTGACCCTGGGGCCCCAGCCCCCCGCCCCCAGAGTGCCCCACGGCCCAGCCCCGACCCCTTAGTGTGCTTTGGGGACAAGGGCACCAGCGCAGGGGGACTGGGCGCAAGGTGGTCCAGCGGGGCACCAGCCGGGCCCTCCCGCCCCACCACACCACCTGACGGGGGCCCGGGGCTGTTGGCAGTGCAGGGTGGGGGGGCGGGCCTGTGCCTGCGGGGTCCCGTCTCCTGCCCACAGCCCCAGGCCCTCTGAGCTGCCCCTTCCCCGCAGGGTGTGGAGGACGCCTTCTACACGTTGGTGCGGGAGATCCGCCAGCACAAGGCGCGCAAGCTGAGCCCGCCGGATGAGGGTGGTCCGGGCTGTGGCAGCTGCAAGTGCCTGCTGTCCTGATGGCATCCACGTCGCGTCCACGCTGCCGCCTCCGGCCCCCAGCTGCCCGCCTGGCCCTGGATGGCGGGACGGAGAGAGGAGGGAAGGGCTGGCGGGGCCCAGTGGGGCCAGAGGACAGAGGCGACCACGCCCCCTGCGGACGCTTTGCACAGACTGGCGTGGACTGACCGGTGGCCCACCCTGCCCCTGCCCGCCCTGCCCGCCGGGCACTGGCTGAGCCGCAGTAAATTATTAGATGGCCTCGTCATGGCGCCGGCCAGGCCGGGAGGCTGTGGTGTGTGCAGCGCCGGTGCCGCCGCGGGTCCGCGTGCGCGCCGACCAGAACTGACCGGCAGGGGTGGCGCTGAGGGCTAGCCCTGCCCTCTGGTGGGAGGCCCTTCTGGGTTTGGGGGCTGTCCAGCCCAGCGGGCAGTGGGCCTGGTTCCCACTCGGGTGGGGGGCCTGGGCCCCAGGTGGGCAGGGGCCGCTGGTCTTCTCAGGCCCACGGGGGGTGGGGAGTGTCCCAGACCTTGGGCCCATGTTGGGGGACTCCCGGGGCCCCTTCTCTCAGAGGCCTTGAGCGTTTAGCTTCCACGGGCATCTTAGGCGGGAGGCCTCGGCCAGTCAATGCAGAGGGGACCCTGTCCGGGCAGCCCCTCGCCCTGCCCTCAGGCCCCCAAGCTCGCCCCAGCACGCACGCCCCACAGGCCCCAGCACACGCGTGCCCCCCGGCGCCAACAGGCCATCCTGTGTGCCCGCTCCACCCAGCAGGAAGGGGGCCTTTGGGGCCAGTGCTGCCAAGGGGCACAGGGCGCAGCAGAACCCCCGTGTCAGGTCCTTGCGGCTCATCAGGGGGATTCACCCTGGGGGATGGGGCTCCTGGATGAGGGGTCCTGGCAGCTAAGGGGCGTGACGGCCAACCTGGGGCCGGCAGGGACCCCCTGCGGATGCTGCAGAGGAGCATGGTGGCCGAGGGCTTTTCTGCTCCCTGGCTGACCGTGGCCAGAGGCTCTGGGCTTCCCCCTCATGCCCTGGCCAGCAGCTCCATGTCCTGGTGCGAGGGCAGAGCTGCTTGGGGGCCCGTATTGGGAGGTGCCAGGGCAAGGGGCGCTGCCCTCAGGCTTCGGCTGGGGCCCCGGCGTGCTGGCTGCTTGTCGGGTGAGGCACCGGGACCCGCAGAGCCGTGAGGACGGTTTGGATCAGGACCAGCCAGGCCTAGGGACCCAGAGGGCGCTGTGGGAGTGAGGCTGCCCTCCCCTGACCTGAGTGCTGTCAGCAGTTGGTCTGCTCGGGGCACAGGGTGCCCTGTCTGGCTCAGCTGCTGGCTCACCTGCAGCAGCCCAGCCCGCGGCCGCGCTTCTCAGCCTCCAGGCGCCCGAGACGGGCCTGGGCCGGAGAGCGCCAGGGAGCCCCCTGGGGTCTCTAGAGGTACTGGTGCGATGGTCTTGCCTGAGAGTGGGCGGGGTGGGGTGGCTTGCCCCACGGGCTCCAGGAGGGCACTTGGGGTGGTCTGGGAGAGGCTGGGTCCCTTGAGGGAATGTTCCGGAAGAGCGGGGAGCAGTAGCTGCTTAGTGGGGCGGGTGGGAACCTTCAGCCCTGCTTGGTTTCTGATGATGGGCGTGTGTTTTGAGGTGCAGGTGGCGCCCTGGGCGGCCAAGCCCCTGGGTGTGGGGCATCCTTTCCAGGTTGGAAAGGGGTGCTCAGGTGCCGGGAGCCCTTCCTCAGGTGCATCTCCACTGTGGGCCTGGCTGGGTGGGCCGGGAGGCCCTGCAGGAGTGGCGAGCAGGGGCTCACTGCTTGCACGGGGGTCATTGGCACATGGGCGCATGGAGGGCCTAGCTGCCAGGAGGGCGCCCCAAGACCTGGCTGCAGAGCTGAGCGGTCAGCCAGGCACAGCACTGCCCGGGCGCGTGGGGGAGGATGCCCGACGAGAGCCTGTCGCTGGGCTCGAGTTCACTGTCCTTGGTGTCCCGGCTCCTGGACGACAGCTCCTGGGCTCTTCCCCAAGGAGAAGGGCGCCCCCTCCCCAACTCCAGCCCATCCCCCAAGCCCCCCCCCCCAGACGGCTCAACCCCTCCCCTGGGGCCCTGAGACCCCCCACCCGGTGCCCTGGGACTTCCGGCTTCCCCTCCTGAGTTCTCTGGGACCCTCACATTCCCTCCCAGTCACTGCGGAGACCCCCATTCCTCTGGGACCCTCAAACACCCCTGGGGCTCCCAGTCTAGCCCCCAGGCCATCTGGGAGACCCTCTGAGACCCCAAAGGCCTCCCAGAACTGAGTCCCACCGTCTTCCCCTCCCCTGCCCTCCTGCCGGGCAGCCTCACTTGAGGCGGCTGTTCCCTGAAGGTCAGTCAGGTGTGTCCTGCAGGTGGGGCCCACGCGCAGGTCAGCTGGCTGCCTGGGAAGACCCTGCCCAGCTCCCTGGGCCTGCTGGGGTGGGGGTCGGTCCAGAGAGGCCCCAGGAGGTCCAGGAGGTCCGGCTGCCTGCATCCTCAGGAGGGCAGGGAGGTTTCCCACAGAAACAGGCCTGGCCCTTGGTGAGGGCGCAGGGCCCCCGTCTGTGTGTCCACTGGGCCGCGGCGACGGCCCTCGGGCTCCTCCGGGCCCCGGGCCCCCCTGCGCACAGCCCTCCCGTGCCCGTGGGGCCCCGGCCGCCTCCGCGCCCAACGCTTCGCCCCTGCACGGGGCCGCCCCGCCTCAGGGCGCAGATGCCTGGCCCCGGGGCACCTCGCTGTCCACTTCCCCGCGGCCCCTCGCTCCTCCGCGCGCGAGCCGGTCACGTGCTGCCCCCCTCGGGGCGGGAAGGGGGGGCGGCCCCCACCGGCTCCTTCCCCCGTCCCAGCCCAGGGACGCGCCTGACACCCCGAGTGGGCCCCGGGCTCCACAGAGGTGCCGCCACCGAGCGCTGCTGCTGTGCGCGGGCGAGCGCCCCGCCGCTGCCGTGAGCGCCGCGGGTCAGCGGCCTCGCGCGGCCGGCGCGCCCGCACCTGTCCGTGGGCGGCGCTCGCTCCCGGCCTCACCGCGCGGGCGAACCTGCCAGGCCGCTCTGGCAACAGATGACGGGGCCGCCCGGCCCCGCCCCGCGCGTCACCCCTGCGCGACGCCCAGCCCTGGCCCCGCCCCCTGCGCCGTGGCCCTTCTCCCTGTCGTTCACGGGCCGTGGCCGTCCCTGGTCGTCTGGAGGTCAGTCGCTCCCCGCCGCCGCTGAGCGAGTAAAGCGGCCTGCGGGGCGGGCTGTGGGCGGGCGCCGCGCCCCGAAGCCCACGCTGAGCCCGCGAGAGGCGCGCCCCGGGCCCGGGCCGGCGGGGCGTCTGCGCGTGCGCGCCCGCGCGGGGCTCGCCGGGAGTCCCGGCCGCGCGGTGTGCGCCTGCGCCCGGGCCGGCCCCGGCCGTGGGGTCCGCGCGAGGCCGCCGGGGCTGCGCGCCCCGCCCCCCCCCGCCGCCGCTCGGGGGACGGGCCGCCCTGGGAGCCGCGCCCGGCGCCCTCTTCCCGCCCGCCCCAGGGGGCGGCATCCCGGGGGGCCTCGGCCCCCGCGTGGCGCGCGCCTCGCTGTTCGGAGCCCGGGGCCAGGACTCCGCGGAGGCTCTGCTCGGGGCCGGGGCGCCGCCTCGTCGCCTCTCGGATGAGCCAGCCGTGCGGCTCCGCGCGCCGGACAGCGGCCCGAGCCCGGCCGCGGCGGGGGCTGCAGAGACCTTTGCCGCGCGAGCGGCGGCGTCGGGGCGGTGGTGCTGCCCGCTTTCCCGCGAGGAAACGTGGCCGGGTGGGCGCCGCGGAAGGCCCGGCCTCCGCCCCTGGACAGCGGCCGATTTTCTTGAGACTTTTCTTTAAAAAGCAAAAGTTTATTTTGTTTATTGATGCACACAAGAACTGGGGTACAGGCCAGAGGTGCGGGGGTGAGAGGACTCACCAGAGACGGGGGGGGGGGGGCGGGCAGAGAAGGCGGATCCACTGAAATCCACTCCTGAGGGGAGCAGCCGGGAGACAGGAGAGGTCTGCCGCGCCCTGGCCGGGGATCGAACTCAGGCCACAGCATTCACAATCTGAGACTATCCCCTATACCCCAGGGGGGGCCCCAAATTTGAGGGTTTTATTGGGAAACTTACTAGGAATATACACCTTTCTCTTCTCTCTGCATGTTTGTTCTAGAAAAGATCTATCACAGCAGAACTCTTCTTCCCTAGCCTCTGTGGGGCACAGGACAGAATCCCTTTTACAGTGTGACCCCCCTTAATAGTTTGGGGTCCCCGGGCATCCCTTGGTCACATGCTGACACAGTCAAACTCCAGTCTCACCCTTCATGGGCAAATGCCCAACGGGCTAGGCCATAGCAGGGCCACTAAGGCCTGAGAGTCAAACTGCCAGCAGAAGTCAAGGCCGCAGGGACAGGAACGGCGAAGGGGGGCAAGCCCGGGGAGCAGGACACAGGAGGCAAGATGTCCTGCAAGCTGGCTCCATGGGAGGACCAGGGTGACAGTGCCCTTGTGGCCCAGAGCCCCCCAAGCACTGAGCCGCCAAGAGCAGTGGCCAGGAGCAGCCTCCCGGCCTCCTCTGCCCGCCCCTCCCACCGTGTGCCCACCTTCCTGTGCCCCCGTCGGCAGCCTGGCCCTGGCCTGCCGGGAGCTGGAATCCCAGGTCAGCGTTGTGGGCGGGCGGGGCCGCCACACCTGAGCGGAGCCCCGGGAGCGCTGTGACTCCCATCACGGCGAGTGCCTGCTCCTCGCAGGAAAGTCAGAAACGGGGTCTCCCTGGTGGCACAGGGGTTAAGCCTCAGTGCTGTGAAGCTGTCAGCGGTGGATCCTCCCACCTTCCCCTGCACCTCTGGCCTGCACCCCAGTTCCTCTACTTTGCCCCCAAATCCCCAAACCCTTAAATTGCCCATCTCCTGGTGGGAAAATGCCCAACCTTGGTCGGTCAGAAAAACTGCTGAGGCCTGAGGTGCGCTCTGGCGGGGCCGCAGGAGGCAGGCCTCAGAGAGCTGGGGAGAGACGCCTCATCAGGGTAACGGCTGCTGAGGGCGAGGACATGGCCCCCGTACCCACGGGTCCCCCTGAGTCTCTTTCCCAGCAGCACCGCGGAGGCTTGGGCAGAGAAGCATGAGCCGCGCTGCCCCTGTGTTCTAGGGCCTCCCTGGGCTGCTCAGCCTGCCCGGGGCACTTGGGAGCTCGTCGGGTGGGGCGGGGGGCGGGGGGAACGGCACCCCCTTCAGAAGGTGCATCTGTGACAATGAGGGGTCTGTGTTTCTCTCCCCTCTTCCTTTTCTGCCTGTGAACGACTCCCTGAGCACGGTACTGGGGTTGGAGGGCTTTGCCTTTCTGCACACACAGGTGGCATGAGCCCCTAGAACAGACAACCTGGGTGTCCCCTTGGCAGTGTGGGGTTCCTGGCACCCCTTGGTTCTGTGCAGAATCACTTCCTCAGGCTGCAGGCGTCTCAGGAACTCAGCACCCTCTTCTTTGCCTGCCGTTGAGGAGAACTTCCTGGGCGCCTTTTGTGGTTGTGGGCATCTCTGCACCTGCTCTGGGGCGATGGCAGGAGTTTGCCCGCCCCTCGGAGATCTGCCTGTAATCACTGAGCCTACATTAGTGCCCCCCCCAGCCCCTGCCCCCGGAGCCCAGCAGGGGCTGGCCCAGCCACACCTTTCCCCACGGAGGAGCCCTGTGCGCCAGTCCTCCGAGAGCCGCCCCCAGCCCCACCCTGGCCGGGCCTGCCACGTCCGCGCCACTGGGCCCTGGTCAGAGGGGCCCTGCCCCTGAGCACGCCGGTTCCCTTGTCTGGTTTGGCTGGCCTGGTTGTTAGGGATCTTTGAAGAAAAAAGCAAAAGCAAAAATACCACCGTCCCTTCGAGCCTGTCACGCTGGCGGCCTCGGCTTGGTCAGCAGAGGCCTCCATGTGGGCAGCCACCCACGTGCCTGGCTGGCCGCTGCCTCGCCCTGCTGAGCCTGCAGGACCCCACGTCTGGCGGGTGCTGGGCCTCCCCCACACCCCCCCGGGCGCGGAGGCTGCACGGCACCCTGACTCCATTTTTCTTGTGCCCTGTTTTCTCACCTTGCACGTCCCACATTCTGAGCAGCATGCATCACCGGCCTCCTGACGTCTCGTGTCCCGGAGGGCCTGCGCTGTGGGCTTGAGGCCTGTGCGCTCCTCAGGCGCAGGAACTGCGGGATGGGCCCTGAGGCCAGCGGGGTGACCTGAGAGTGCCACGGCGGGTGCTTGTGTGGGTGCATTCCAGAGGGCAGCGGGTGACGGGTGTGAGGGTTGGGGAGGCTGCGCCTGACAGCCGGGTGGGGGCGAGGTGCTGTTCTCCCTGGCTGCGCCCCAGAACGCCGTCCGTTTCCGCAGGGGGGGGTGGCCCGAGCAGACGCGGCCTCTTCTTGGACTGGGGGGGCCTTGGGCGGGGCGGCTCTGCCCCGGCCCATCGCCGGCGGCCTCAGGTCACCGCGCCCGGGGCCCTCTCGCTCCCGCGCCTCGGCCGGGGGGGGGGCCGCTCTGGGCTCTGACGGCTCGCGGAGGCCCGCGGGGGGGCGGGGGGCCGGGGGGCCGGGGGGCCGGGGCGGGCCGGGGCGGGGCGGGGCGGGGGGCGGGCGGCCGCCCCGCCGCTCTGCCCCCGCGCCTGGCGACGAGCCCGAGCGCGCTCAGGCCGGACGCGCAGGCCGTGCGGTTGGCGGAGTCGCCGAGCGCCACGACGGGCGGGCCTCTCCGCAGGCGGGGGACGCTGGCCCGGCCGGCGGCGACACCCCCGTGGCACCGCCGCGCCCCGGCCCGGGCGGCCCCGGCAGCGCGTCGCGCGGCCCGAGCGGGGCCGAGGCGGGGGAGGCCGTCCGCGGGGCGGCAGCTCCGGGCCCACGAGCCGCGCCCGAGGAGCCGGGGCGCGGGGCGTCCCCGCCGCAGGCCCCGCCCCGGCCCCGCCCCGGCCCGCCCCCGGCCCCGCCCCCGGGCCCGCCCCCGCCGGCGTCCGCCTCGGGCCGGGCATTTGCGGGCGGCGGCGGCGCGGACCCCAGCCAGGTGAGCGTCCCGGGCGGGCCGGGCGGGCCGGGCGGGCCGGGCGGGCCGGGCGGGCCGGGCCTCCGCGCGCTCCCCAGGCCGGGCCGGACCGCGGGCGCGGGTGCTCAGGCCCGCGGGCTCCCGGGCCCCGCCGCCCGGCCTCGGCCCCCCCCCCCCGGCCCGGGCCCGCACGGCGGGCGGGTCTGAGCGCGGCTGGTTCCTCCCCAGAGCGGCGCTGGCGGCCCGGCCCGGCCCGGACACGCGGAGCCTCGGCTGGGCGCGGCGGGCGGCGGCGGCCCTGGGCGGCCCCGCGCGCCCCGCGCCGCGCCCCGCGCCCCGCAGAGGTAACCGCGGCCCGCGGCCCGGCGCCGGGGCTGGATCCGGGGGCGGCGCGGACGAGCCCCGCGGCCCGCAGAGGACCCGGCCGGGAGCCCCGCGGCCCGCTCGGGCGGCACTCCGGGCGGCGACCGCGCAGGGCCCGCGCACCCCACCCTTGGCCGCGGCCCGGCGAGGCTCGTGACGCCCTGCGGCCCCCCCGCCGGCGCCCCCCTCCCGGCCGGCTGGGTCAGGCCCGGGGCCGCGCCCCGCCCCGCCGCTGTCGCCTCCGCCCGGCCGCCTGGGGCTGCTGGGGTCCCCGCGGTGGGCTGGGCGGTGCCGGCGCCGGCGGGAGCTGCCTCCAAGCCCGGTCCAGGGAGCGCGGCTCTCCGGGAACCAGGAACCTCCCCGGGGCTGAGTCACCCCGCCCGGCGGCCCCTCCAGGGGCAGCGGCGGGAAAGCCTCTTTCAGCCTGACTCCTCCCTGGGCTCCCTGCCCCAGGCGGCCCCCACCCCCAGGGCGGGGCTGTGGGGAGCAGCTGCCCGCCGCGGCCGCCCAGGACACGGTGCGGGAGGTTGGCGCTTCTGTGGACACACCCGTGAGGGCCAGCCTCTGGGCCTGTCTCCCCACCTTCTGCTGGCCCCTGGGCAGTGGTCCCACCCCCTGCGGTGCTCTGGGGCCTCCTGGGGCCTCCTGGGGCGTGGGCCTGCGGCCTTCCTGTCCTGGGGTGAGTGCAGGGCCCGCAGAGGGGAAGCCGGGTATGGAGGCCGACAGGTGAGTGGCCTCTGCCCCAGGGCCTCAGGCGTCCCTAGTGCTGCAGCCAGTGGAGGCCTTTGCTGGGGCCGCCGCCTGCTGCCTCCCCCCTCTCTAATCCTGGAGGCCAGGGTGGAAGAAGGGGTCGAGCTTCTCCCCAGACCTTAGCCTCCCCGGGGTCCTGCTTGGGACGCTCCGCGCGCTGGCCGCTGGCCTGTCGGCGTGGCCCGGCTCAGCGCCTCCCCCCGCCCCCGCAGAGCGTGCCTCCTCACCCGCCATGAGTCTGGACGTGCACTGCCAGCAGCTGAGTGCCGCGCAGTGGGCAGAGCTGGTCCCTCAGCTCCAGCAGCACCAGGCGGTCAGGTAGGTGGGTGCGGGCCGGGGGGGCGCCCCAGGTGGGGGGGTGTGCGCTCCAAAGCCCTTGACCTGCGGGTGCACGGAGTGAATTTTGTCATTTTCCCGGAACCCGAGACGTGGCTCTTGTGCTTTATTCCTGCTCTTGCTCCTGGCGTGGCCTGGTGGGGTCTGGGGGTCCTGCCTGCCCCACGCTGGGCGCCGGTCAAGGTGAAGCACCCGTGGAGTGGCCCCCCCCCCAGCTTTCCGTGTCCTTTGCTGTCCTGGCCCCGGGGCCCCAGCGGGCACCATCACCCTGGCCGGCGGCTGGGGTGTGAGTGGCGCCTGCCCCGCCATGTCCCGGGCGGCCTCCGCACTGCCCGGGCCCGAGGTGGCCCCTTGAGAGGCTGGAGCTGCCGCTCCTCCCTGCTGAGCACCCCGGGGGCCGGCGGGTGGCCCTTCTCCCCTCCGGCTGTCACGGGGGATCCCCGCGCCCGCCAGCGAGCCGTGCTGCACAGTCATGGCGGCGGCCTCCAGCCCGGCCGGGAATTTCAGCTCTTGCTTCCTTCCTGCTTGCCACGGCCATCCTGCCCGCAGGCCTGGCCCTCCCTTGGCCCTGCGTCACCGTGGTCAGGATGAAGGTGGCGTCAGCGCCGGGTCGCCGAGCCCCGCCCTCGCCCTGCTCGTGGCCCTGGTGGCCCCGCGGCTGCGGGGGCCCAGCCCGGCACTCTGCATGCTGGCTCCTCGCACGCTTGGCTTTCTCCCCGGAGTCGGGACCCTCCTGCTGGGGCGGCGCCCGCAGCATCCAGCGTCCTAGTCCCACCCGGCCGCCGGCTGGCCCTGACTGTCCTGGTGTGAGCCCGTGAGGCGTCTCGACCCACCGCCCCGCGTCCTGTCCACAGGCTGGAAGACTGTGGCCTCACCGAGGCCCACTGCCAGGACATCAGTGCCGCCCTTCGGGCCAACCCCTCCCTGGCTGAGCTCAGCCTTCGCTACAATGAGCTGGGGGACGCCGGCGTGCGCCAGCTGCTCCTGGCACTGCAGAGTCCCACCTGCATGGTCCAGAAGCTCAAGTGAGTCTGATCTGGGGCGGCTCCCAGCCGGGGCGGGGCCTGCAGGCGGCTGGAGTGCGACCGTCCGCGAGGCGGGAGCCACAGACCCTGGGCTGGGTGCTGCTGGGGGCGGGCTGGCTCCCGCCCGAGCCTGCCTGTTCCTGGTCTGCGGCTTCCTCGCCCTGACGGCCGCTGCACTCCAGCCTGCAGAGCTGCTCCCTGACGGAGGCCAGCTGCAGGGTCCTGCCCGCGGCCCTGCGCTCCATGCCCAGCCTGCGGAAGTTGGACCTCAGCGACAACAAGCTGGGGGACGCGGGCCTGCAGCTGCTCTGCGAGGGGTTCCTGGACCCTCAGTGCCGCCTGGAGAAGCTGCAGTGCGTACGCCCCGCCCGTCCTGTGCACCCCGGCCCACACCCACCTAGGCTGGCACCTGCCGTGGGGCCGGCCAGGGCGGGCCCTTTGGAAGCACCTGGGCGTGGGGTGGGCAGGCCCCGTTGGGGTGATGTCTGGCTCCCGGTCCGGAACCACGGGGAGGGGCCCGTGACCTGCGCGGGTCCCCAGAGGGCTCCGGGTGGACGCCTCTGCCGGCCCTGATGCAGGCCTGTCCCCAGCTTGCAGTGCTGTGACCTGACGGCCGCCAGCTGCGAGCGCCTGGTCTCGGCGATGGGGACCAAGCCTGGCTTCCGGGAGCTGGTGCTGACCCACAACCAGATCGGCGAGGCAGGGGCCCGGGCGCTGTGCCGTGGCCTGGCCGCCGCCCCCTGCCAGCTCGAGTTGCTCAAGTGAGTTGGGGGAGGAGAACAGGGGCGGGGGGGCGTGATCAGGGCCCCACGGCTCCCTGTCCTCCTGTCCCCCAGTCTGGAGAGCTGTGGCCTGACCTCAAGCAACTGTGAGGACGTGGGTGCCCTTGTGGACTCCAAAGCCTCCTTGTGCCACCTGGACCTGAGCAACAACCCGCTGGGCGACGCGGGCATCGCGCAGCTGTGCTCGGCGCTGCTGGGCCCCAGCTCCCAGATCAAGACCTTGTGGTGAGGGGCCTCTGCTGGGTGGCCGTGGGGCTCTGCCTAGCCAGGCTCCCTCTGGGAGGGCAGAGGCACTGACCGCCCCGCTGCCCCCAGGCTCTGGGAGTGCGACCTCACGGCCGAGGGCTGCAGGGAGGTCTGCCGTGTGCTCAGGGCCAAGAAGAGCCTGAAGGAGCTCAGCCTGGCGGACAATGCGCTGGGGGATGAGGGTGTGCGGCTGCTGTGTGAGAGCCTGCTGGACCCCGGCTGCCAGCTCGAGTCCCTGTGGTGAGCACGGTGGGGGGAGGGGGGGCCCAGGCGGCAGGTGGGCCGGGCAGGGGCCCGGTGCCAGTCTCGTTCATCCCGCAGGGTAAAGACCTGTGGCCTCACGGCCGCCTCCTGCCAGCACCTGAGCTCGATGCTGACCAAGAACCAGCACCTCCGGGAGCTGCAGCTGAGCCGAAACCCGCTGGGCAACGCCGGCGTCCAGCTGCTCTGCCAGGGCCTGAGCCAGCCGGACACCAAGCTGCAGACCCTCTGGTGAGCCCGCGTCCCGTCCCTCCCCACCAGGCCCCGGACCGGGGCCTCCACCCTGGCCCCGGCCTGCCTGCCCTGGACGGCTGGGTCCTGGTCTTCCGAGGCTTAGCGCTTGGCTGCCCTGTGGGCAGGGGACCCCAGTTCCTGAGCCCTCGCCTCAAAGGCTGGGATGGTCCCGCGAGACCCTGTGGGAGCGGGGCTCGGCTTGGGGCCCACCGCAGCCCTGACCGCCGCCTCCCCTGCCAGGCTGTCGGACTGCGAGGTGACGGACAGCAGCTGCGGCAGCTTTGCCTCCCTCCTGCTGGCCAACCGCAGCCTGCGTGAGCTGGACCTCAGCAACAACGGCCTGGGGGACCCGGGCGTCCTGCAGCTGCTGGGCAGCCTGGAGCAGCCCGAGTGCAGCCTGACCCAGATGGTGTAAGTGGGCTGGGGGTGTGCGGTGTGGGGGCTGAGCAGGGCGCGTGGACACTGGCTCACCCCTGCCTCTCTGCCCAGCCTGTACGACATCTACTGGACGGAGGCCGTAGAGGACCGCCTGCAAGCCCTGGAGGAGAGCAAGCCAGGCCTGAAGATCATCTACTGACGCGCGCCCTGCCCCACCCCCCACGCATTCTCTGGGTGTCCTGGTTCTGAAGGGAAACACTCACAGCCCAACTGCGGAAATTCACTTTTATATCATTAAAGCACTTTCTGACAGGAAGGGCCCCTCCTTCATCTGAGGTACCAGCTTGGAAGGGCACCCCAAGAGCTGCTGGGAACCCACAGCTGCAGGCCCCACCTGCAGAGGCTGGCTCCCTCGGGGTGGGAGTGGGGTCCACCTGGCTCTGCAGCCCAGGGCCACCATGTGACACTGCCGGGGGCAGCACCCAGAGCCCTCTGGGCAGAGACCAGGGCGCACCCAAGGGCGACGGCGCCACCTCTCAGCAGGGCACCATCTCCCCACTCAGGGTGGAGGGTAGTTGAGAGTGATCGGGACCTTCAAAGGGCCTGGGCAGAGCCCCAGTCTGTGCCATGAGCCCTCGTGTCCCTGCTGTGCTTCCTAATGCAGCTCCTGGACGCAGGAAGGAAGGTGCCAGAGCACGTGTGTGCGCAGGAGGAATGTGGGGCAGGGGCGAGTATGTGTCAGGGGGCATGTGGCGGTGTTGGGTGCTCTGGTCTTTTCTGGAAACCTCTTCAAAGGAGGAGGCAACAAGGGAAACAAGGCTCTTCTGAGGCCAGGAGCCCCGGCTGTGGGGGCAGGGACCTCAGCCGGGTGGCGGGGTCTGGAAATCCGGGCACTTGTGTGTCTGGAGCTGGTCCTGGGCAGGATGGGCATCTCCCCCAGCCTGTCCCCTCCGTAGGCAGGCCCCCAAGTGGCTGCCTGCCTGTGGCTGCCCCTGGGGTGGGGGAGGCGAGGGAGCCTCAAAGTGGGGGTGTGCCTTCTCCTGGCTGTACTCGTTCCTCTGGCTCCTGGAGGAGACCCCCACACGGGCTGGAGACCCCCAAAGCCCTCCTGACCTCAGGCACTGGCAGCGGCCTCTCAACCTGCGTGGGCTGCTCTGGGGTGGTAGGGTGACTGGTAGCCCAAGGAGTGGAGAAGGGGGTGCCTTTGAGGGGTGCTCAGCGTGGACCTGGTCTTGGGGAAGCCGACCCTGCTAGTGGGCAGCTCAGATGCATGTGCCGGGTGCCCCTGACGGAGGTGGCCGGTCGCTGGGGACAACACCCTGTGGCCCAGCTGGAGTCGCGAAGGGTGGAGGTGACACGGCCCGGGGTTCCTGGCGGGCCGCTGGCTGAAGGTCACAGGTCACTTGGGTGCTGGCGACCCCTCCCTCGCCGGCGCTGGCCCCGGGGTGTCGTGGGGGCCGGCCTGGTGTCCGTCCCCGCTGCTGACAGCCCTGCCGGGGGGCGGCCTGCCCTGCTGCTTCTGCCGCCGGGTCTCCTTGTAGCGCAGGGTGATGTCCCTGGGGGCCGAGGGCGCGTCACGGGGTGCCCGCGGGAGGGCGGGCGCGCGCGCAGGACCCAGCCCGGCTCACCGCAGGAAGAAGCGCCACACGGTCCAGGTGAGCACAAGCACCGAGCCGAGCGTCCAGCACTGGGAGATGTAGAAGGGCAGGGACAGCGTGAGCGTGTGCGGGTCGTACTTGACCACGATGAGCAGCTCGGTGGCAGTGATGGCCGCGACGAGCCAGGCCTGCTGGCCCAGCTTCTTGTGCAGCTTCCTGCGGAGCAGGAGCGCGGGGCGGGCGGTCAGCAGCGAAGAGACCGGCCCGGGCAGGCACCGCGGCCGCTGCCCCCCGCCCGGGCGTGTCCCCCCAGCCCCGCCCGCGCGCTCACGGGTCGTCCAGGAAGTCGTAGATCTCCCGCATGGCCACGCCGCCCACGTTCACGAAGAAGACCAGGCGCAGCAGGACCAGGCAGTGCTCGGGCGGCATCCACAGCACGAACTTCAGGTAGAAGGTGTTGAGCTCTGCCAAGAGAAACTGGGGCGGGGCGGCGGTGGGCGGGGGCCGCGCGCGCGGGGCGGGGGGGGGCGGGGGCGGGCCTCACCACCAGGATGATGCCGCACACGGCCAGCCAGCGCCGCAGCGAGGACGCGGGCTTCCACTCGAAGCGCACCCAGCTGTAGGGCGTGAACTGGAAGGCGATCCTCTTCATCTTGCCCCTGCGACACGCGTGTCAGGCGGCCCGCGGCGCCCGCGGGGGGCCCCGGGGAGCCGGGCCGGCGGCGCGGCCGACCTACTTGTAGGTGGGGATGTTCCAGAGGCCCTGCCACTTGTACGTCTTCAGGGACAGCCACTCCAGGGTCTTCATGCCGCAGTAGATGCCCAGCCCGTTGCAGACCAGCACGTCCATGATCCACTGCGGGCGGCGGGGGGTGCTGAGACGCGCCCGCAGCCCCCGCCGCGGGCGCCCCGCCCGGCCCGCACACCTACGTGGTCCCACCAGCACTCGCTGAAGTTGGGCAGCTGGTGCTCGAGGCTGTACTCCAGGAACTCGAACATCACGCTCACGATGGTGCACATCCACCAGTCCCGGATCATCAGTGTCTGCGGCCAGGCGCCCGCCACTCAGAGGCCGTCCCCAGCCCGCAGGCCGGGTCTCCAGGGTTCTAACCGGCCGGCACCGCGCTGACCCAAACCCGAGCTCCCAGGCAGGTTCCAGGGCCCTCAGGGGGAACTCTGGACAGCTGGGCCATCCCGCGCCTCGGCCGTGAGGCCTCACCCCCACCCAGGGTCAACAGGGACACTCAGGGCAGGCCCGAAACCAGGGGTCGCGCCTGGCAGCCGGGCCACCTCACCTTCAGGTACCAGCCGATGAAGTGTGCGGGCACGAAGCCGTCCAGCTTGTCCTGTGGGCGACACAGTGCAGGCCTCGTGCAAGCCCCGGCCCCTCGGGCCCCTCACCCCCGCCAGCACCCAGGACCAGAGCAGGGGCGCCGAGCTGTCCCACACCAGACATGCCTTGAGCTGCCTCTGGACTAGGGCAGGGCACCCCACACCCAGCACCAAGGAGGGCGCAGGTTAGGCAGGACGCTGGCCCAGCTGGGGTGCTGAGCTTCGTCAGTGTGAGGGGTGGGGTCCCGCCGAAAGCAGCACCCAGAGGCCGGTGCTCAAGGCACACTGGGGCTGGGCCTCACCCAGACGTTGTGGAAGGGGTCAGTCTTGTTGTCGGGGTCGTAGATGAGGCAGTTGCCCCCATAATCCCTCTCGGGTAGTGGGACCCCCAGTCTGGGGTCAACGTACTTCAGAAACTGACGGCCATCCTGGACGGTCTGCAAAGCCAGCACCCTGGTCAGTGGGCTGGACCTGTCCTGACCCCTTGATGGGCCAGGGCCCTGCCCCTTGCCAGGATGAAATCAGGCAAACGGCTCCACGTACAACAACCTCAGAGTCCGCTACTATGGGGGTGGGGGGGGGGCGGAGGAGCTGGTGCTCTGGGCCCCAAAAACCATGTCCTGGCCACAGCCTCACTCAGACCCTGTGCGCACCCAGCGGGGGCCTGGCCAGCACTCCAAGAGGACAGGGCAGCCGAAGGTGAGGTCCCACCACCTGAGGGCCTAGACACTAAATCCCGGCCGTCCACTCTGCTGGACGGGTCAGAGGGCCCGAGGAGATGTGAGCACTGACCGACCCACGGGCAGCAAGTGGGCACCAGGGAGCGACTGGCCGGGATGGGTTAGGGGCATTGCTAAGGGCTAGTCTGGCCTTGGCTCATTTATCAAATGCACCAACTTCACGTGTGACTCAGCAGGGAAGCTGGGTACACGGTTAATGGGAACTTGATGCCATTCTGTGGATCTGCTTCAACATAGAAAATGTAAATTAGTACAAAATAAAATACTGACCCTAGCAAAATAAATCAAGTTCGTCTCCCAAGTGGACATGCACAGGCCCGTGAGGCCGTGAACGCCACCACCGGTCCCCGACCGTCAGTCGGGTCAGAGGAGGGCCCATACTGGCAGGGGCGAGGGGTGCGGGTGAATCCGCTAAACACAGACAGGCCATGAGGCCACGAAGCCCACCCGTGGGCCTGTCTCTGGAAGAGCCATGGCGGCGCTGCTCAGGATTGGCCGCCCAAGTGTCCACCAGCAGTTGAAGAAGTGAGACGTGTCCACACACCAGATGCTGCTTGGCTTTGCAAAGGGCGCGCGGACGCCTGCAGGACCCAAGGGGCCGGGGCACGAGGTGACACAGAGCAGCACAGGGTGGCCCCCAGAGCACCCAGGGGCGTCAGATCCAGAGTAGCGGGGCCAGGTGGGGAGAGTGTCAGGACAGCGTTTCCACTGGGAAGATGGAAGGTTCTGGAGCTAGTGTGGGGGGACAGCACAGACTTGCGAAGGTGCCCAAGACCCCTCAGTTGCTCACCAAAAGTGGCTAAAATGATAAATGTTGTGAATCTTTACTATAATTAAAATTTAAAAAGGCCTTGTAATAAAACAAAAAAAAAAAAACACACTCGTGTTCGTGTGTGTGCACATAAAACTGGTGTGAGGTGCAGGCTCCACGGGCTGTGCCAGGCCAGCTGGTTCTGCTTGCACAGAGGTCTCCATGGGGACCTGGTACCCCGAGTCCCTGTGTGGTTCTTCGCAACTTCTTGTGAGTCTGTGATTGCTTTTATTATTATTATTATTATTTTATTATTTATTTATACAAGCACTGGGTACAGTCAGAGACACGGGAGGGTGAGAGAATTCACCAGAGCCAGAGCGGGGAGCAGAACAGGCAGAAGGACCGAAGGACACTGCTGAGGGGAGCAGCGGGCGGCAGGAGAGGTCTGCGCGCCATGCGGGACCCTCGCTGGTGGCCGGGGATCGAACCAGCGCTGCAGAGGCTGTGGGCAGCTTCACAGCCCAGTGTTCAACCGCTGCACCACCAGGGGAGGCCCTGTGATTGCTTTTAGATGTAAAAAACCTCAACATTGGACCTCCCCAGTGGCGCAGCATTTGAGCGCTGGGTTGCGAAGCTGCCCGCAGCCTCTGCAGCGCCGGTTCGATCCCAGCCGCCGGGCGAGGGTCCCACATGGCGCGCAGACCTCTCCTGCCGCCCGCTGCTCCCCTCAGCAGTGTCCTTCGGTCCTTCTGCCTGCTCTGCTCCCCGCTCTGGCTCTGGTGAATCCTCTCACCCTCCTGCGCTTCTGACTGTACCCAGTGCTGATATAAATAAATAAATAAATAAAATCTTAAAAAAAAAAAAAAACAAACAAAAAAAACAAACAAAAAAAAAAAACCTCAACATCAATGAGGGACCTAAACAAAAAACAAAACTAAAATGTCGAAGAAAATCTCAGCCTGGCATTAGACAAAAACCACTGAGTCGTGCTATCCCCACTGCCATTACCACAGAACAGCGGCCAGCGCTGCTGGTGAAGAGGGGTGGCACAGCCCTGGTGGGGCACCTGACATCGTGGCCCAGCTGAGGCTCTAGAAAGCTGCCCCAATGCAGCACTACAGACAAGCCAGTGGCCATAGAAGGTCAAAACAAGCCTCCCTGGGGGCTGCGGGGTTAGTCTCAGGCTGTCACTGTTAGTCTCAGGCCTGTGTGCATCCCCCACACACCTCTGGCCTGTACCCCAGTTCTTCTATGCATAAATAAATCTTTAAAAAATAATTAAAAATAAATAAATGAAAGGCTGAAACACTGGAACAACTCAGCAAAGCGGGCATCCACCTGTGCTTGCTGGCGCTAGGGGATGCCACCCAGACGCAGCGGGCACCTGCTAGAGAGGCCAAAACAGAGCACCCAGGCCGAACCCAGGCTGCAGGGGATGGGGCATGGGAGTCCCAGAAGGGGCAGCACAACACAGTCCCCACCCCCGCGGGGTGCGCCTCCTGCTACGCCCTCTTGCTACCTGGTCCACAGGGATGTCCAGACAGCTGTGTTCCTAATGGTCCCAAACCAGATGCAACTGAATGTTCCTCAACACCTGGTGGGTGCACAAACCAGAAGATGCGCATGGTGGATACCACTATCTGATAAAAGGGAGCCATGGGCTCCAGTGCCCCTGGTGACACCAGGAGCTGCCTCAGCCAAAGCCCTTTTATGTGCACTGCCTGGGTTGTGGAGTGGGCCCATCAGGTGTGAGCTCTGAGCTACTGGTGCTAAATGGCCCAATCAGCCACAGGACTGAAAAATGGTCCAATCAGACTTGTGGGTGGGGCTCCCTGAGAGAGGATATAGGCCAGGGTCTCTGGCCTACTTACATAGAGGGGGTTGCCAGACACTGTTCCAGCCTCTGAACAGAGGAGGACCAGATGCTGAGAGAAGGACGAAGAAAAGCCACATCCGGCCACTGACCTCAGGCGAGGGAAGAGGAGCTGAAGACCTTTCAGGGACGGGGCCTCCGTCCAGTCTCTCCACCCATGAAAGGAGCCCCAAGGCCCCGTCCTGGCGGCTCAAAGAACTGTTGTTGGTGTCACCCAACCTCTCTCAGAGCTGTGACGCTGGGGCTCTCTGCCAGCACCTCTAGGGACCCACAGTGACTATCCCTACTAGCCAGTGCTGTCCAGACTCCTGGTGACCGGTGGTGACCATCACTGAGGCCACCTGGGGGAGGCGGCCACCCCGTGTGGCCACAATGAGCCTGTCTCCCTGTTTGCGGGGTAAATCAATCTGCACGGTTGTTCCCTGAGCCCGAGGCCTGAGCAGTTACATGTGGGAGAGACCCACACTGACCTGTCCCCTACTGGGGCCTGTCCCTTGATTGGCTCCAGGCCCCTCTTGTGTAGGAGGAGCCCAACAGCACCTGATTTGGTTTTGGGCATTAACCTCTTGGCTGCTGCCTCGAGCCCGGGCCTCCCACCATCTCACTGGCGCTCACGCCCATCCAGGGTTAGGACGGAAGAAACTCCACTAAATTCTTTGTAACCGGAACAAGGAACATCCGTGAGAGGAAGGTGTAGAGGTGCGTCCCGGCCCCAGTTCTCTGACCGTGGTGTGGGGGAGCAGCCGGGACGTGAGCACGGGGGCAAGACCATCACGGGCCATAGGAAGACCGAGCCCAGCACCCACTGGCTGGGACAAGCTGGGCAGCGCCCCAGGCTTGGCCCTCAGGCAGGCCCGAGCCACGCCGGCCGCCGGCATCCCCCAAGCTGAGTCTCCAGGCGGAGCCTCAGGTGCGAAGTGCTGGTCACCGCCTGCCCGTAATGGCCCTTCTGGACACCCCTGCCCACTGGCGTGGGGGCTCAGCCTGGCTTCCTCCCCACTCACCTTTCACCCGCCAAGGCCATGTCCTCACTGCAGTCCCCAGTTTATGAAGCCAAGAAAACCACTTACCTGGAAGAGGATGAAGATGAGGAACAGCTCGTAGACCACGCTGACGCAGAGCCAGAAGCGCCAGTAGGCTGCGGGACAGGGGCACGGCGTCAGGCTGGCCGCGCCGCCCACTCGGCTAGGCAGCCCGCGCAGGGCTGGGCGGGGCGGGGTCCAGCTCAGACTCAAACTCGGCTTCTCCCTGGGCCGCTGCTGCTGCTCCGCATCCCTCCACACCACCCAAGTCCTGCTTCTCCCTCCCGTCTGGCGCAGAGGCCCAGGCAGGCGCCGGTGGAGCCCAGCCTCTCCCACCACGGGACGCGGCGTCTCCTCTGAGCGCGCGAGGAGGCCCCCGCTGCGGCCGCTGCCTCTTGATCGCGGTAGCATTTTCAGTTTTCTACGTTTCAGCACTGACTCTGCTCTTGACGTGGCCAGGCCCAGCCTGTCTCTTCGCGCTAAACCCACCCTGAGCCCCAGGACAAGCCCGGCCTGGTGACGGCGGCCCTTGAGTCCAGTGGACGCGCCCAACAGCGCTCACCGCAGAGGCGGCCGCCGGAAGGGCCTTGTCCCTCCAAGCCTGTCCTCCGCGGCCCCCACACTTCCCACGGGCCCAGGGAAGGCGTCCATCTCCCACTGGGAAATGTTCCGGAAGCGAACAGCAGCGTCACCCTCCAGGACCGCAGCCTGCGTGCCCAAGGCCTCGGGCCTGCCTTTCCCCTGTCATGTCCGTGAAGCCCGCAGGCCCCTCCCGTGGCCGGGTGGGGTGCAGACGTCCGCAGGACCGGACCAGAGCCCCAAGGTGGACTTGCCCTGGTCAAGCCCCTCCTCAGACACAGGGCAGGTGCCCCGAACGGGACTCCAGGCGCCTCATGTCAGGCAGGATGGAAAAGTCTAGAAAACTCTTCCTGGTCAAGAGCTGCAGCAGAGCCTCAGGGTGTATGCACGAGTGTGGGGAGCCCGGCGCAGGAGGGGCTGGAGGCTCCGAGGAGCGCTTCTCCCCAGCACCCATTGGGACGGGCCTCTCCCCGTCACAGTCCTCCCTGCACCCCCGCTCGCCTGCCTGGCCACACGGTGGGCCGGCTCAGACACTCCTGCACACCGCGGTGCTGCACCTCCCCCTGCAGTGACCCTTAGGGCTAATGGCTTGCGCCACGGTCCCTAGGTCCGGCTGGACAACCAGCGCGCAGGGGGAGAACAGCAAACTCCCCGAAGACATAGATAAGACGGACGCCTGTGGAAAGATAACGACCCCCAGGAGCCACTAGGGGAATGCTGTCCGCACAGAACCTTATCTCGCCTTCTCTAGACCCACAAACTTCATTCTACTACAACTGTCTCTCTAAAATCTTTTCTCTTTCTCTGTCAAAAAAGGTCATTGGTTTGCTGATTAAAAAGAACATACGAAATCTAATAACGAGGCTAATTCAAATGAAACGTTACTAGACTCGGTGTATTAACAGAGCTGCTAGCTTAATAACTTCTCTGTTGTGTGCTTAGCCTTGTCAGCATTAATCTTAATGATAAAAATATTACATTGTGAAAAGTAAAACTCACCCGTGCTAATTAATAGTGATTTAGTGGTAGTGAGTAGTTAAAACAAAAAGAAATCACATAAAACAAAAAGAAAAATTAATCGCCCGACTACTTAGGACTGCGCCGGGCCCAGATGTAGATCACGCCCTGTCAATGATAAGCTAACCCTGAAAGCAAGCGGATTTCTTCACCGATGCTCGCCGTTCCTCTGCCGTTAGAGAACATATACATACTGGTCACCCGCTCAAAGAGAATGACACTCAGATTTTCACTCTTGAAGTGTGTCTGTGTGTCATTTCTTTCACCGACGCCCTGACCACCCTGCGGTCTCTCAACCCTGAGACGGCCTCATCGTTCACTGCTGTGCTGGTCCGCGGCACCGCGGGGTCCATGCCCCCTCCTTGCCCGGACGGCCCAGCCGAGCGGCACCAGGGAGGCCCCACTCTAGCTCTCGGGGCTCCGCAGCGGGACGGGAATTCTGAGGGGGAGGCCTTTTCGCAGGGACCGGCCCCTGGGGGCTGCAGCCAGTCAGGCAGCTCCCAGAGGGTGGGGGGTCACCGCCCCCCTGCTCCTCTCCCACAGCCCAGGGCACCCTCTTCCCCGCCCCCCGGGGCTCCCAGGCCACCCAGGGGCCGCCAGCGGAGCTCCCAAGACAGCCGGGGCGAGGCTCCTGAGCCAGCGGGTCAAACTGGCGAGGAAACAGCACCGAGTCAGAGAGAACCACGCGGCCCCAGGGCGCGGCCCTCTGCACAGGCTCGGGGCGGATCGGCCCGGCCACCGGCACCCGCGCCACAATCCCGGCCGTGACCATGGCGGGGTCAGCCGGCCTTCCCCATGGCTCGCGTGGGGCGTCCAGAGCCTTCCGGCGAGAGCGGCTGACCAGCAAGGGACGCCTGGGCCGAGACCCCTCCCGGCCACAAGGCCCCGCGCGACACGTCTGCCCCGGGCTCTCGGTAAAGCGAAGACCTGCCGGAGGACGCGGGAGTGGAAACCGCCCCGCGAGGAGGGCGCCGGCCTGGTGGGTCCTCGCCGCAACTCACAGGGCTCTTCTGGGGGGTTTATTTACATTTTTGGTATTTTCCAAATCACCAAGAAACACGGGCCCCTCACGGGGCAGAAAAGCAACACGTCACCGAGGGGGCCGGGTGGGGCGAGGGGCGGGCGGCCGAGAGAGGGGCCCCAGCAGACGCGCGTTACCTGGGTGAGGCCTGGAGAAGGGCCCATCCTTGGCTTGTGTGACTCCAAAACATAAGAACACCAAGATACTGGCCACGATGCCTCTGCAAATACAGAACAGCCTCAGTGTGCGCCGCGGGGGCGCAGGGGTCGGGCGGGACAGGCCACGCTGCCCGCAGCCCCGCCCGGCGCAGACCTCTTGGTGTTGTAGGCCGTGTCCCGCGGCGTCTCCTCCAGCAGCGTCACGTAGCCCAGCACGCAGGTGAGGATGAAGAGCACGGTCAGGGTGTGCGCCCGCCTGCGGGGAGCCCAGGTCAGCGCGCCCGGCCGGCACCGGCACTGGGAGGCGCCACTCAGCCTCATCTGAGAGTGGGGGGGGGGTGACCCACCCTCTGCCCGCCCCCGCAGGCCCGGTCACCCCCAGCGCCCCACGTCTGTCCAGCCCCGGTGGCTGTAGGAGCGAGCCCGGTGGGGCAGCCCTGGCACCGGGCAGTGCCTTCTGGAAGGTGTGGGGCCCGTGTGGGGTCCCTGCAGCACCCACCTGAGCCCTCCCAGAAAAACGGCTGCTTCCTGTCTTTTGGGGCTGTGACATCTCCCTGGGGGTCTCCACACAACCAGGCCAACGAGGGCGCAGCCCCATGCCGCCGGTGGGGTGCAGAGAGCGCCCCAAAAGCCCGCTGCTGCGGAGCTGCCCCTGAGAGGTGGCCTCGCCCCCCTGCCTGCCCACCCCGGCCACTGATGATGCCCATGCCATGGCCTTCAGCTCGGCCTCCATTGGGCGCGGCCACGGGCGGCAAGTGGACATTTAACTTAAGAAACTTTCCGCCCAACTGATCTTCCAGCTGCGTGGAGATGGCGGCCACGACGCCCCTCGCCTGGACACAGGGGTCGCTCGGAACCCTGGTGACGCCCAGTGACAGGCCCTCTGGCCCACACAGCGCCACATCCAGGGCACCTGCAGGGGGGCCTCCCCAGACGTGTCCTGTTGGAGAAACATGTCTTTGCCCTACACTCTGTCCCCTCAGACCTGCAGGCATGAGCTGGGGGTTGCCCTGCCGTGGCCCCGGGGGGGCGCCGGGGACCTGGCCCCCGTGTGGACACAGAGTGAGGGAACGCAGCCTCCAGCCACTGGAATGCACCCCAAGAAGCCCAACAGTCTTTGAAAACGAAACCCGAGAAACAAAGTTATGAATCATGCAAATGGCCCTTCGAGGAGCTTGGAGCACGAAGTAATGTCCACAGACGCAAACTTTTAAGCTTCTAAGTGAATTCTTGGCGATGCCCTAGAATTCCCTAAAATGCAAGTTTGTAGAATCCCTTCCCACAAATCCCAGTGGCGACCAGTCAGCACCTGGGCCCTTCCCCTGCTCAGGGGGGCGCAGGCCCCGGCCAGGCCCTCACCAGCCCTCCCTCTCCTCACAGGTCAGCTCAGCCAGCTGGGGTCCACTCCCAGGGACTGAGGCCCCTGGACAGGGGTCCCAGGGCTGCTGCTTGGTGCTTCTGCAGAAACCACCGCGGGGTGGGGGTTCTGCCAGCGGGTAGCCCTCCGCCCACGGGCTCCCTGCTGTATCCCCCACATAGAAACTGGCCGGGGGGACCCCAAGTGTGCCGCACGGATGGGAAAACCGGAGCAGGCCTGGCCGCGCGCCCTCCAGGCCAGTCTCCAGAGGTCACCCCGGGGTGGGGGAGGCCCCCGCCCAACCCTGCAGGCTGGAGGGGTGTGGCCCCCCAGGAGAGGCCACAGCTGGGCCCGGCGACAGCTCCAGCGACAGGGCACCAGCCCCGGCTCCGCGGCCACGAGCCCGGCAGGACGGGCGGCCGGCCCTGCAGCCGCTGCCGCCCCCCACGCGGGCCCAGCCCCCCCCAGAGCTGACAGGCCGGGGCGCAGGGGCCCCACGTGCGGCTCCCGGTCCGCGCCCGCCCGCGAGCGTGCGGGACCGGCCCCAGCGCCGGCCCGCGAGCCGCTCCCCGCGGCCCCCCGGGGCCGGGTCTCTCCGGGGCTGGGCCGAGGCCACGGCGCCCGCGCGCCCGCCGGGGGCCGAGCGCCCAGGGCCGGGGAGGCCGGGCCGCGCACGGAGGGGCCGGCCCAGCTCCCGGAGACGCGCGCGGCCCCGGCCCCGAGCCGGCGGGGCGCGGCGGCTGGAGGTGACTTTGCCGGGCCCGGAGGCGGCCCGGAGGCGCCCGGCGCTCACCAGAAGAAGGTGTTGGTGCCGTCGTCGTAGACCTCGGACTCGGTGCTGCGGCGGCCCCCGCCCGGCCCGGGCGCTCGGGCCGCGGGCGCGCCGTCGGGCGGCTCCTCCGGCGGGGCCGGGCGGGCGGGCGCGGGGGACCCCGGCCGCGGCCCCCCGGCGCCCCGGCGCTCGCCCCTGCGCATGGCGCCGCCCCGGCCGCTCGCGCCGCGCCCCAGCGCGCGCACGGCGGGCCCCGGCAGAGCGGCGCGCGGGGAGCGGGGACGGCGGCGGCGCGTCGCCCGGCGGGGTCTCGGGCGCGCCGGGCGCGGGCGGCGCGGAAAGGGTGGGCGGTGCATTGTGGGGCTTGTAGTCCGCGCCGCGGGGCAGGCCGGGCCTCGCAGGCCACGACGCCGGCTCCGCGCGGGGCGGGCCGCCTGGTTGCCGGGCAACCGGAGCCGCCGCGCCGCCCGCAGCGCAGCGCAGCGCGCCCCGCCCCGCCCCTGCCCGAGCCGAGCCGGGGCGCGGACGGGCCGGGGCGCTGGAGCCCCGGGGGTGTCTGGGCGCCCGGAAGGGCGAGGGCGCGCCCCTTCCGGTCGGCCCCAGCGGCTCGTGTCGGCCGAGCTCGGCCCGAAATCCCGGCCCCAGGCAACAGTGGGGACCCGCCCGCAGCCCGCCCCGCCGCGCCGCGGGGTCGAGGCCCGGGGGCAGGCGCGCCCCGACAGCGCCCCAGAGGCGGCGGCGGGGCGCGCCGGGAGGAAAGGGCGAGCTCGGGGACGGCGCCCTCCCGTCGGCCCGGGCGAGGCGCTCTGGGGCGTCGGGGCGGGCGCCGCGGGCCCCTCCCGAGCAAAAAGCCCCCGAGCCCCGCGCGGGGCGGCCGCCACCCACCGCCGGCCCCCGCTCCCCGGGACGGCGGCTCAGCCGGGAGGGGCGGTCGCGCCCGCTGGCGGGGCCGGGCCGCGGCTCTTGGCTTCGGAGGAGGCGCCGCTGCCCCGGCCGAGGGGCCGCTCCCGCGGGGGCGGGGCCGGGGCCGGGGCCGGGGGCGCCCCAGGCCCGTCCGGGGTGCGGCCCGGCTTCTCCCGCGGGAAGGACGAGGCTGTCGGCGCGGGCGCGGCTCGGGGAAGCGGCTCCCGGCACGGCCGCGCGACGGCCGGCGGCCCCGGTCAGGCGACGACGCGCCGTGTCCGCAGCGGCTGCCGCTGGACGGCGAGCCGGGCCCGACGGGTGGACAGGCCGCCCAGGCCGGACCCCAGACGAGGTCCCTGAGCGCCGCCGCGGGGCGCCCCCGCCCGGGGAAGGCGCCCCTGGGCGGCCCGCGGGGTGTGGGGCGGCCGCCCCGCCGCGCACGGGGCTCCGGCCTGCTGGGCGCCGGGCCGCCTTCGGGGGCCGTGGGCTGAGGGCAGGGGGCGGCCCCCGGGGGGCCAGACCGAGGGCAGCCCGGCCTCCAGCAGCGCCGCCGCGACAGCGTAGAGGCCGGGGCTCGCGCAGCGGAGCGGAGCAGGCGCGCGGGGGCCACCGAGGGCGGCGGAGGCGCCCCGACAGCCCGGCGGGGGGGCGGAGCGCGGGGCCTGCGGGCCCATTCCGGGGGGCGCACACAGGGCCGCCTCCGTCCGGGCCCACGCGCGGCGCCCCGCCCAGTCTCCCGCGGCCGCGCCTGTCCTTGGGGCCGCGACCCTGCCTTATATCCTCGCTCAGCGCGCCCCACCCACAAGCCTGATTGGGCCACTGAGCACCAATCAGTTTGCAGCTCACATCTGATTGGCCCCTTCCAGATCCGGGCCCGCGCCGGCCTATAAAAGGGCCCTGCGGGGCGCGCTCCTGGCCTGGGCACTGGCCGTCCGAGCCCGCGCTCGGCGGCGGCGACGGCCCCAGGGGCCGGCAGGCCAAGGCCCGGACTGGCGGCCGCTCTGCGGGACTCCCCGCTCCGGCCAGCGCCGCGCCCGCTGCCCCGCGCCCGGACCCCCCCGCGGCCGGCCCGGCGCGCTTCTCGCCGTCGCCTGCCCCCCACTGCCGCGGACAGCCCCCGCCAGGGCCGGCGGGCGGCAGGAGCCCCCAGGGGCGCGACGGGCTCGTCTGCCGCGGGGCGGCCGGTCGGGGCTGGGACCGCGCGCGGGGGCGGCCCCCGGGCCCGGCCGCTCCTGCCTCCCGCTGCCCCTCGCGCTGCGCGTGGCCAGCTGCCCGCGCTCCCGCCGGCCCTGCGAATCCTCCTGGCGCCCCCGCACCTCCGGCCGGCCGGGGTCCCGGTGCGGAGACAGATCCTGAAAAGTAAAATGGAAACGTGCCAAGTTGCTGCGCCCTTCGGAGAAATGGGTACAAGTGGCCAAACGACGAAGGAGGTCTGTGCTGTCAGCTTCCATTGGGAACGACTGTGGCCAATGCGGGGCCTCCCGGGGGCGCGGCGGGGGAGCGCCGGGCGGCGAAGCTGCCCGCGGCCTCTGCGGCGCCGGTTCGATCCCCGGCTGCTCCCCGGCCCCGGAGGAGGGTCCCGCATGGCGCGCAGCCCTCTCCTGCCGCCCGCTGCTCCCCTCAGCGGTGTCCTTCGGTCCTTCTGCCTGCTCTGCTCCCCACTCTGGCCCTGGTGGATTCTCTCACCCTCCCGCGCTTCTGCCTGTGCCCAGGGCTTGTATAAACAAAACAAACAAACAAATAAACAAACAAACAAACAAATAAAGCATGCCTCTAAAAAAAATAAAAGAAAAACAAAAACGACTATGGTCAATGAAACAGAGTGAGAAAGGCGCAGGGAGCCCATTACCTCCGCAGCACAGCAGCCGGCCGGGCAGCGTGGGGAGCAGGAGCGCATGGCCAGAGAGGAGGGGGCGGGCGGGCCAAGGCAGGGGCTGTGGGGGCTCCCGCTCCCTGTGGGGCACCCTGCCCTTGGGGCCTCCTCGACCCACAAATGGGGCTCCTTTTAATTTTTGAATCAGGGCAGCCTCAGGGCTGGCCAGTCGCTGGGGCCCTCAGGAGAGACAAGGACCACAGGCCTATCCACAGGGCACGAGAGAGCAAGGGCAGAGCGAGGGCAGAGCCCCGGGGGTGCCCACTGACCAGAGACTGAGGCCCAGGCTCCTTGCTGAGGCCCCAGCAGTTTCACGGGGATGCTTCCTGATGGCCGGTCTGAAGCATAGGCTGTGGCCGACAGGCGGCCTTCCCTCGTGGCTCCGCTGGCTCTTGGGCTGGGCCTGTCTGGGTGGCTCAGCCCTGCGCTGAGAGGCTTCAAGGCAAGGCTTTGATACCCGGGGGTCCTCACGGCTGCCAGTAAAGGGGAGCCTGAGCCCCATTCCCAGCGGGCAGCCTGTGTCAGAGCTGTGCCACTTGCGCCCAGTCCCCGGGAGGCAGCTTGGCCCACGGCAGGAAGGCCAGCAGCCCGCAGCCGACTGCAAGAGTCCAGCCAGAAAGGACCTTCTGCGCAAAGGAGGCGTCGGTCTCGCCCAGCCGGGCGGGCTGCTCCACAGGGACCAGGGTCTGGACGGCCCTCCCCGCCGCCCTGTCCCGCGGCTGCGCGCTCCTCTGCCTGTTCGGACCATCCCCGACAAGGCTGCTCTCCAGAGCGGCAATTTATTGGCTCTTCCCCAATATCTCATTTGTTGGTAAAAATAAGGGCGGTTTTATTTTTACAGGTAACAGATGTGTCTGCGCTGGGGGTCCTCCGCATCTGCACCGAGAGCCCTGCCCCAGGGCTGTGCACTCCAGCCCTCAGAAGCAGGATGACCCCGCCTGGCTCCCAACTGGGCGATGCTCCTGAGGGCAGCTGGGCAGGACCAGCCGGAGTGGGGCCGCCCCCTCCAGGCGCCGACCACTTTGACCTTCAAAACTTCTTAGGTTCTATTTTTTATGTTTGTTTTTAAAAGATTTATTAGTGCACACAAGAACTGGGGTACAGGCCAGAGGTGAGAGGACTCCCTAGAGGCAGAGCGGGGAACAAAGCAGGCGGAATGACTGAAACCCACTGCTGAGGGAGCAGCAGGGAGTCAGGAGAGGTCTGCTGCGCCATGTGGGTAGCTCCCTGGTGGACTGGGAATCGAATTTGTGCTGCGGAGGCTGCAGACAGCTTCATAGGCTGCGTCTTAACCCCTTGCATCACCAGGGAGGCCCCGCAGGTTCTATTTTTAACTGTCCTTTGGAGGAGAAATTGTGGACAGAGAGGTGTCGGCCCGGTGTGCGCCACAGTACCCCTGATCCCCGACTCGTAGGGTCGCTCCTGCAGGCTGGAGTCGCCTAGGATTGGGTCACCCCTCGGGGGCCAGCCTCGATGTCCCCGGCCACGTGTCAGGACACCTCCCCGCAGGGTGAGACTGGGGACCGCCTCGGAGGAGGGCGCTCGGCGGTGGGCCGAGCTCCAGGGCCCCAGGCGGGGCAGGCGTGGAGGCCGCGGGGGCACCCAGGCTGGCAGAGCCGGGAGCTGAGCGGAGCGCAGCCGTGGGGCGAAGTTCATGAGGCGTGCCCTGGGCTCAGCCCCAACCGTCAGGCTTGCGGGGCTCAGGTCGGAGCACACAGGCTAAAGCGGCGGGGAGACTTGCTGAGAACGCCCCTCCTGCTCGCCTGTCCACCGCGGCGAATCTGCAGAGGTGGGCGGGGCGCAGGGCCCTCCACCGCCCGCCTCGGGAAGACGCAGGGTCTGTGGGCGGGGATGTCAGGAGCCGGGTCCCCACCCAGGGCCCCCGGTCACAGGCCTGGCCCAGCTTCCTGCAGGGGCGGGGCGGGCACGGGTCAGTCCAGCGACAGCCCGGGAGGCCCGGCCCCGGCTGGCCCAGCGGCCTCTGGGAAGTGCCCACCAGACCCCAGGGAGGTCCGCGGCGCGGGTCTCTGGCTCTGTCCCCCGCGTCCCCTGCAGGGCCCCCGGGCCCAACCGAGGCCTGAGGCCCCTGGGACGGATGGGGTGGGGCCGGCCCCGCTGCACTTTGGGCGGGAGGGCGGTGGCGGGTGCGCAGGGTGCCCGGGGGTGGAGGGGGACGCTGGGGGCTCAGGGCGGCGGGCACTGGGGAGCCTGGCTTTGTGTGGGGGCCGCGGGCTGCCGAACAATAGGCTTTTGGGTGAGAACGCGGGCGGAATGGTGAAGACTGCACAGGTGGAAGCTCAAGGAAGCCGAGCGAAACCCCAGCGGCCCGGCCAGACGGAGCCAGCGGGGGCACCGGGCGCCGCATCTGCTCTCCCGGCGCACACGCGCGGCCGGGTTGGGACAAAACTGCACGTTTCCCCCGACAGCCGCAGCAGCACCCCGGCCCCGAGGCGCAGCACCCCGGCCCCGAGGCGCCCCACGCGCCCCAGCCGCGACTCCATGGGCCTGGCAGCATGTCCCTCAAGGCACATATTCCTACACGTTTTCACCCTCTTGGATTTTTTCTCAGCTTATGC